ATCTCCTCCTCCTTTTTGGGGTGGTGGCTGGTTCAGAAGGCAGTGATCCCCATTCAGAGGACCCCTGTGTGTCTTCCCCTAGCTTAGCCCTTCATTTCCATGCCTTTCAAGGCTGCAGAAAAAAGCAAGAAGCGAGTTTCTCTAATCATGTGCAGAGCGTTATCCTCTCAGTAGTTGAGCACCCCACCCACCCATACACTCTTGAATTGTGGGAGGGGGCAAAGCTTCCTCCTCTTTTTTAGGGAACTAGCGGGTGAGGTAAGAAGAACCAAGGCTGCTGGACTTTGCACGGGTTCAGAGGCACGCTTCCTGTAGGGCTGAGTGCTTGCCCATGTTGTCAAACATCCACAAACATCTGCTGCCCCCTGCCTAAGATGCCCTTGCACCACTGCCAGCAGCAGCCCTTTTTGAAGTTGGAAGTTGGCAGCCCCCCCGGGGGTGCTCCCTCCCACTCACGCCTCCAAGGGGCTCTGAATCCTGATGACAAGCTAGAGAGGCAGGCAAAGGGGTGGGGAGTTCTCTTGGCATCTGCTCAGAGAGGGACTGCTGGGTGGTTTTCCATATAGACAAACTTTCTCCAAGGGTGCAATTTCAGTTGACAACTTGTAAAGTATTCAATGTACATGGGAGGCCTGGCAGGCTTCCCGGAACGCAGAACCCTGACAGCACCCACCCAGCTTGTTGCAAAAAGTATATGTGTGTGTGTGTGTGTATATATATATATATATATATATATATATATATATATGTATATTGGAAAGAGGGAGTGGGAACCAGCCCTGGCCCCTGGAAGGCATCCTTTTCATTCTGTAGGGCAGGGCAGGCCTTTTCCTTTCGGCAAGGAAAGGTAGTGAAATCTACCCTGCCATTTGCGGCGTGTGTCACGCCCACGGAGGCGGCAAGAGAGATGCCACTCGAGGATGGCAGAGCTTTGGCAGGGAAAATAGCACAGAGGCACCGAGAAGCAATATTGCACTGGTTAGGCAGGGATGCAGAAAGGAAGGCGGCCAAACAGCTGCTGAAACGCCAAGCTGGGCTCTCTTTGCTCGGAAGCACCAACTGGCAAATGACCTAGGTGGATCAGTGGAACGCTGCGGATGTAGTGCATCTTGATTTCAGTAAGGCTTTCGACACAGTCCCTGGCGGGGGAGAAGCTGGTTAAATGTGGGCTAGAAAATGTTACTGTTAGGTGGATTTACAGCTGGTTGATTAACTGATCCCAAAAAGTGCTTGCCAATGGGTTGGGGAAGCTGTTCAGGGAAGTTTTTAATGTGCGACATCTTAGTTTATTTTTGGTCTTTGTGGAAGCCGCCCAGAGTGGCTGGGGAAACCCAGCCAGATGGGCAGGGTACAAATAATAAATTTATTATTATTATTATTATTATTATTATTATTATTAGTCTAGTGGAAGAGGAGGGAGGGAGGGATGTTAGAAGTCCTGCAGTGGTCCTGGATAGGGACTTCTCTGCTCAGACTGCATCTTCCACATCTTTCCTCGTGGCTGGCAAAAGCAGAATAAAATACGTATGACAGAGCAAGAACATAGAAACATGCTGAAGTCTCAGCACAGCCAGGTTTCCACATTTGCCAGGGGCTGTGCCAGAAATACTCAATCTCCTCTCGGTAGGAAGACTTGCAGGGCCAGCTCCTCCACCACCACCTTGGCATGGCATCTGGCAGCGCAGGCCAAAACATCACAGCTGGCATCTTTACCTTATTTAAAAAAAGCCTGTTATCACATGGGAACTTATTTCGAACCCAGAGAGGCTTGTTGGAGAGAGTTGACTGAGTTCAGGGCAAAGAAGCCCTGCTCAGAGTTAGGTGGAAAATGTGCTGGTGGCATTTATTTTTGCAAGAACAGCTGCTTCTGCTTCTCCTTTCCAGCTGAAACTGGCACTTAAGTTTTTGCTGGTCAGCACAGTCCCCCCTAAGGCAGGGTTTATTATTTGTTTGTTTGTTTGTTTGTTGCATATATAGCCCACCTTTCCTCCAATAATAATAATAATAATTTATTATTTATACCCCGCCCATCTGGCTGGGCTTCCCCAGTCACCCTGGGCGGCTTCCAAAAAAATATTAAAATACTATAATACATCCAAGGCTCGTTCCCCACCCACCTCCGTTTAATCCCCACAACAACCCTGTGAGGTAGGTTAGGTTGAGAGGCAGTGACAGCCGAAAGTCACCCAGTGGACAATGGACAATGGACCCTGGCCATTTGTGTGTACGCAAATGCAGATGTGTGTGCCAAACTGGGTATTTGACCCAAGTGAAATAAAGCCCAGTTTCGCCCCTGTGTGCTTCCAAGCGCACTTGCCCTGAGGGCTTGGGGCAGCCAGAAGCCCCACTGCAGGGTGCAGGCTCATCTCGGAGGCAGCCAGCCAGCCAGCAGGCCTCGTTCCTGTGTGAACATGAGACAGGGCGGCGGAGACCTGAGCACATCTGTGCTGCTATCTGGAGCCATCTCTTTGAAAGCGCACGAGACACGGCCTCTCCCCCACCCCAGGAACGTCACCCAGCCTTGCCTGTGGGTGGCAGGCGGCTCATTAGCTCAGCAGCCAAGGGCTGCAGGTGCCAGCCTCCAGGGAAGGGGGTGGGAACCGAACAGGAAGAGCCGCCAAGGAGGAGGTGATGCCAGAGGAACACACACAGAGACGGTGCAAGAGCCAAAGGTGTTGTGTTGCCATTGCCTGAGTCATGGGAGGCAGGAGGTAGCGGCGGGGAGGGGGTGGGGGGACTGCTGCACCCAGTGCCAGCATCTGATCACTCCTCCTTGTTAATCATCCAGGCTGCTGAGCAAGATTGGGTGGGGTCACCACCGCTTCGCCGGAGGGACGTCTGAGAAGCACAGAGCTTCCTTCAGCAGCCCTCCAGGAGCTCCCACACCGAAACCAGAGGTTGGAATGACACAGGGCGAGAGAGGTGCAAGGTGCAAGGCACAGGTGCAAGCTGAGAGATCAGGGGTCAAATTTCAGAATCATAGACTTGTAAGGGACCCGTCCAATGCAGGAATCTCAGCTAAAGTGTCCACAACAGATGGCCATCCAACCTCTGCTTTAAAACCTCCAAGGAAGGAGAGTCCACAACCTCCTGAGGGAGGCCACTGGGCCACAAAGAACCTCAACAGGTGACCTTGAGCCAGCTCTCTCACCCAGGCCTACTGCACAGGGCTGTTGTGAGGATGATATGGAGAGGGGCAGGCCAGATTCTCAGATGGTGCCCAGGTGGTGTTTAAAGCTGTGGCACACATCAAACTATACCGATGGCAGTATCTGAAAGGCTGGTTGGTCCAAGTCTGGTTTTAAGAGCAGAAAGCAAGAGGGGGCTTCGTGGAGGAGAAGGCTAGCGACAACAACTAATCATGACAGCTATGCTCTATCTCCATGGTCGGAGGCAGCAATACAGTGGTACCTCGGGTTACAGACGCTTCAGGTTACAGACTCAGCTAACCCAGAAATAGTACCTCGGGTTAAGAACTTTGCTTCAGGATGAGAACAGAAATCGTGCTCCGGCGGCATGGCAGCAGCAGGAGGCCCCATTAGCTAAAGTGGTGCTTCAGGTTAAGAACAGTTTCAGGTTAAGAACGGACCTCCGGAACGAATTAAGTTCTTAACCCGAGGTACCACTGTACTTCTGAATCCCACTTGCTGGAAACTGCAGGAGGGGAGAGGGCTCTTGGCCCCAGGTCCTGCTTGCAGGCTTCTTCCCATTTGGGCATCTGACTTGCCACTGTGAGAACAGGATGCCTGACTAGATGGGCCCCTCCTAGCCTGTTCCAGCAGCCTCTTCTTACGTTCCTTGAAGTTGCCCATCAGGAATTAGCAAACCAAAACAGAGAGAGCAGGGACCTCGCTCCCCATTTCCCTCATAGCGGTGAGGTATCACATTGTGCGATTTCTATGAAAATTACAGTAGCCCTTTCTCAATTTGCACCTCAATATTACCAACTAGCCTGGGCAAATTTTATGCAAATCCTGCGGCATCGCTCTCTCTTTCAGCGGCACAAGCAGCCCAGCCCAACCTTGTAAATTGCAAAACAAGCATCGCTCCAAAGCTGTCAGCAATGGATGCTTAGTTAACAGAGGCACAAGTCGAGCCACAGAGAAGGCAGAGGAGTCAACCACGGTTGCAGACGAACCTTTTAAGTTTCCTTTATTATTCCCCCACCCGCACACACACCCGACTCCACTCTGCTCCACGCCAGCCCCCAAATGGCCTGTGCCTTGAATATTTGATAGAGGCAGAAATCCCTCCAAAGCTCAGCAAAGCATTTTGTGGGGGCAAAGAGGAAAAAGCACTCCCAGACGAAGAACAGCAGCTAATGAGCATCCCAGAGTCTCTGCTCAGTTTCTTCTTCTTCTTTTTTTGCAGAGTTGCAGATGTTTTAAAATGAGGCAAAATCAGGCAAGGAGTTGCCTTTGGGGAGATGGCGGGAGCTTCTGGCTCTAAGCAACATTGCAGCGTTTGGGGAGCCTTCTAAGGCCGAGCAAAGCTTGCTTCTTCCAATTGAAGTCGACACCCAAAGTGGTCCAGGACCAAGCAGAGAGGAGCCCCTGTCTGCCTTCCACTCCCCAGCTCAGGTTCACTGACTCTTATTAACAGGGGATGAATTGCTTCGGGATCTGCTCAAAAGCAGTGTTGCAAGCAGATAAGGATGCTTTGCACAACCACCCACAGGCAGAGGGAGAAGAAACAACATCTTGCAGAGTGTCAAAGCCCTGGTCCCAAATTGAGGCAAGACAGCTGGTTCTGGCCTCTGAATTTCACATCGCAAGATGTGATTTAACTTTGAAAAGTGTTGAGCTCATAACACAGGGCCGGATTTAGGTTTGAGGAGGCCCTAAGCTACTGAAGGCAATGGGGCCCTTTATATGTCCAGCTGTCCTTTGTCAACAACAAATTGTCGCTGTTTTTTGTGTTGAATATATGCTATATGGTAATTTATAGATTACCATATAGCCATTTGCACATAGTTTTATTTGTTTTTTATCTTATATTTTGGAAATGTACATCCAGTTTTTTTTCCCTTTTGATTTCTTTTGGGGGCCCCAAAAGAGTGGGGCCCTAAGCTATAGCTTGTTTAGCTTATACATAAATCCAGCACTGCTCATAAGGTGGGTTTGTTTGTTTGTTCTTCCATCCTCACCTTTCTGCAAACACCGCAGGGAGCCTTAAAGTTTTATTACAATCAAGCTGGATTTCATATTCAGTTGTTAAATAAAAAGTGAGGCTGGATCCATTTTTTAAAATAATTAAAAAAAAAACCTGGGGAAGGTGTCCAATAATAAAACAGAAGTAGAAAAATGCAAAATGGAAGGGGCAGGATTAAGCCTTGGAAGATGGACCTAGAGGCTATCTCCTCAAGATGCTCTAGTGCTGGAAGTCTGTGACACAGGAACATGTCTATTCACTCAGTACTGTAGCAGGTGGCTCCTTATAGAGACACAGGAAGGGATGAAAATAAAACCCTTCTATGATTCTAGAATTATCACTACGCCCTTATACAGATCCATGGTGTTTTCTCTCTCTCTCTCTCTCTCTCTCACACACACACACACACACACACAAAAGACAGAAGTGGGAAAACAGTGGGAAGCCCTTGGAATACCCTCTCCAATCATAGGTCCACCTGGAGAACTTGCTATTTTTATCATTATTATAAATATTTTATATTTATCATTATTATAATCACCTAATACAAAAGTCCTAGCGACTTACACACACAATTAAAAAGAAACCATCAACTTTATAAAACAATGTCCTCACCCCTGAAATAATTCCTTTTCCCCCTAGGCCTTTAAGAACTGGCAATTTAGCACATTTTTAACTTAGAGAAGTTTGATTCCCTTGTCTATTTGGATGAACTGTTACTGTTTTAATTTGGCATGTTAATAACAGTAAAATAAAGCATACACATGTTAAATTTAGTGCGTTAATAAAATATCTTAAAATTGTTATTGTAAAAATGCACTTTTTGTTTTATGCTACTGCCTAGGGAACAAATTTTTTTTTAAGGTACAGGTTATAAATTATGTATAGTAAAGAAAGAAAGAAATCAGATTGGTCACTGTGGGAAACGGGATACAGTGGTACTTTGGGTTAAGTACTTAATTCGTTCCGGAGGTCCGTTCTTAACCTGAAACTGTTCTTAACCTGAAGCACCACTTTAGCTAATGGGGCCTCCCGCTGCTGCCATGCGATTTCTGTTCTCACCCTGAAGCAAAGTTCTTAACCCGAGGTACTATTTCTGGGCTAGCGGAGTCTGTAACCTGAAGCGTATGTAACCTGAAGTGTATGTAAACCGAGGTACCACTGTATTCTTTCTCTCTCTCATATTCAAGCTATATTGTATCCTTAAAAAAAATGAAAATAGTATTACATCCCAATGAGTTTTAAAAGGATGTTCCCTAATTTGACAGGGAGATATTAAGAGGTGCCATTATATAAATGATGACTTCATTCATGTTTGGCAGAAGTGCTATGTGATTAGCTATTTCAGAAAGAACCCTGTGATAATCGCTTTCTTCTGTCATCAAGGAGATTATAGGGTAAATTTGGTAATGAGTCCTTGAGTTCTAGGAAAAGATCTCTTGCAGGTAACTTCTTAATAGCAGGAAATGACAGAACAAAAATAAGCTGAATGACTGGTGGCGCTGGGGACAGGGGGAGAAGGGGGGATTGGTATATTATATTACCTAATTAGTGTTGAAGTTCTTAAATGCACCTGGAAAGGAAAGGTAGGAAAAGTCCATCAGTGGTGAAGAAAAGCGGAAACCTTGGATCGTAACCAATACCTACTCAGAGCAGCCCCACTGGTAATCTGGTGAGCCGGTGTGATGTAGTGGTTAAGAGCGGTAGTCTCGTAATCTGGGGAACCGGGTTCGCTTCCCTGCTCCTCCACATGCAGCTGCTGGGTGACCTTGGGCCGGTCACACTTCTCTGAAGTCTCTCAGCCCCACTCACCTCACAGAGTGTTTGTTGTGGGGGAGGAAGGGAAAGGAGAATGTTAGCCGCTTCGAGACTCCTTTGGGTAGTGAAAAAGCGGGATATCAAATCCAAATCCAATCAATGGGCAAGTCAGTAAGTGCACTGATTTCAAGGGGCTTACTCCAAGCATGACTTACAATGCAATCCCATGTATGAATCACTAGAAGAAAACTGAACTGTTAAATGAAAGCCAGCATGGTGTAGAGGTTAGTGTGTTGGACTAGGACCTGGGAGGCCTGGGTTCAAATCCCCACTCAGCCACAAAGCTCACTAGGTGACCTTGGGCCAGTCGCTTCCTCTCAGCCTTAAGGTAAAGGTAAAGGACCCCTGGTGCAGCACTCATCTCGCTTTCAGGCCAAGGGGGCTGGCGCTTGTCCGCAGACAGCTTTCCAGGTCATGTGGCCAGCATGACTAAACCACTACTAGCACACGGAGGACCGTGACGAGTGCCAGAGTGCACGGAAATGCCGTTTACCTTCTCGCTGCAGCGGTACCTATTTTTCTACTTGCATCAGTATGCTTTTGAACTGCTAGGTTGGCAGGAGCTGGGACAGAGCAATGGGAGCTCACCACCGACCTTCCGATTGGCAAGCCCAAGAGGCTCAGTGGTTTAGACCACAGAGCCACCTACGTCCCTTTCTCAGCCTTAGTCTACCACACAGGGTTGTTGTTGTGGGAATTAAATGAGGAGGGTGTGTAACCATGTACACCACCTTGAGAAAGGTTTAAATGCAAATACAGTGGTACCTCAGGTTAAGTACTTAATTCGTTCTGGAGGTCCGTTCTTAACCTGAAACTGTTCTTAACCTGAAGCACCACTTTAGCTAATGGGGCCTCCTGCTGCCGCCGCACCGTCGGAGCACGATTTCTGTTCTCATCCTGAAGCAAAGTTCTTAACCCAAGGTACTATTTCTGGGTTAGCAGAATCTGTAACCTGAAGCGTATGTAACCCGAGGTAAAAGGTAAAGGGACCCCTGACCATTAGGTATTCGAGGTTTCTTTTCCCTTGGGTTTCATAGTATTGCAACCATATCAAATTAATTGGAACTGGATCTTTTGGATTTTAAAGTTTTGGGTTTTGAAATCTAATATTGAGGAATATCACTTGGGGCACCAGGGGAATACAAATGCCAGATCCTCTTGTGGGATCAACATGGATCCTGGAGACTGAGCTGCAGTCTCTTTCAGACTGCCCCAGGCAAGTGATTGTACTGCTAAATCATTCCCTTTGGGAATGGAGGTAGACAGAGGAGCAAGTTGCCCCAGCAGAGGCACTTGGGCTGGTCCTGTATTCCAGTGATGCTCAGGCTCTCTTTTCCCTGGTACATCTTTCCTTCCATTTCCCCTTTCCCTGTTTCAATGTAGAAACACTGACCTCTGCTGGCCATCACATGTTCTTGCTCTATTATCAATCCCTCTTGTTCAATTCCTCCCCACTTTGAACTGGCAACTGCAATTTTTTTACTACAAGGGTCATTGACCTTTCTGGGCCAAGGAACACATTTGCAAGATGGAGAAACTGTTGTGGGTGCTACACACACACACACACACACCCCAGCACTCCCCACGATCTATTCTATCAACTATCAGTATCACATCCCCCATGTAAGACTGAGGGCCAGGCACACTGATCTTCCCTATTTGCCTGCTTGGAAAAACAAGCCATGCAAGATTTTGCACAGAAATTGCCCAAGAGACGACAGAGACGGGAAATTCCCAAGTCAGGTGAGAACATCATTTTGCAGGCCGCCAGCTCTAACACAGTGGGGATGCGGGTGGCACTGTGATCTAAACCACGAAGCCTAGGGCTTGCCAATCGGAAGGTCAGCGGTTCGAATCCCTGCGATGGGGTGAGCGCCTGTTGCTCGGTCCCTGCTCCTGCCAACCCAGCAGTTCAAAAGCACGTCAAAGTGCAAGTAGATAAATAGGTACCACTCCGGTGGGAAGGTAAACAGCATTTCCGTGCACTGCTCTGGTTTTGCCAGAAGCGGCTTAGTCATGCTGGCCACATGACCTGGAAAAACTGTCTGCGGACAAACGTCGGCTCCCTCAGCCAGTAAAGTGAGATGTGTGCTGCAACCCCAGAGTTGCTCGCGGCTGGACTTAACTGTCAGGGGTCCTTTACCTTTACCTTTTTTAGCTCTAACACAGAGCCGCCTCCACAGAGAGCTGTTTGGAAGCCCTGTTTTTGATGCTACTTGCCTGAGATTTCAGATAATCACCACACACAACAACCAGGCAGGGATTGAAACTAACAGCTGCACATGTCCATAGTTGCAGGATGGCATCTACTTTTATACAAGATGAAAACCAAATTCGAATCCTTTATTTGGAGTCTTGTAGAATTGATGCTTTTGAATTATGGTGCTGGAGGAGACTCTTGAGAGTCCCATGGACTGCAAGAAGATCAAACCTCTCCATTCTTAAGGAAATCAGTCCTGGAAGGACAGATCCTGAAGCTGAGGCTCCAATACTTTAGCCACCTCATGAGAAGAGAAGACTCCCTGGAAAAGACCCTGATGTTGGAAAAGATGGAGGGCACAAGGAGAAGGGGACAACAGGGGACGAGATGGTTGGACAGTGTTCTCAAAGCTACCAGCATGAGTTTGACCAAACTGCAGGAGGCAGTGGAAGACAGGAGTGCCTGGCATACTCTGGTCCATGGGGTCACGAAGAGTCGGACACGACTAAACGACTAAACAACAACAACAAAGTTCTCAGTGTTCAGTTTCCAGATTTTGTTTCTAAGACGACTTTAAAGAAAAATACATTTAATTGAGAGCATTTGCAGATGACTTAGTATTGACGTTACAGGAGCCAGAATCTAGTACCAAAAGGGTTTTAGAACTGATTCAAGAATTTGGTCAGGTTGCAGGATTCAAACTGAATAAGTTAAAAACCAAGGTTTTAGAGAAAACTTAACACCAATTGAGAGAGAGAGGTTTTAGAATGAGACAGGTTTAACAGTGGTTAAGAAAGTTAAATACCTGGGGATTAACATGACAGCAAAAAAAATGGGAATTTATTTAAAGACAACTGTGAAAAATGCTGGGCTGAAGTGAAAAAAGATTTAGAAATTTGGTCAAATTTGAAGCTTTCACTGCTGGGTCGTATTGCTGCGATAAAAATGAATGTATTGCCTAGAATGTTATTTTTGTTTCAAACATTGCAAATTGTGGACAAAATGGACTGTTTCAAGAGGTGGCAGAGAGATATTTCTAGATTTGTCTGGCAGGGCAAGAAGCCTAGAATAAAATTTAAAATACTAACAGATGCAAAGGAAAGAGGTGGATTTGCCCTGCCAGACTTTAAACTTTACTATGAATCAGCAGCTTTTGCTGGTTGAAAGAATGGCTGCTTCTTGAAAACGCAGACATTTTGGATCTAGAAGGTTTTAACAATGTATTTGGATGGCATGCATATCTGTGGTATGACAAGGTCAAAGCACATAAAGCATTCAGAAACCATATTGTCAGGAAAGCATTGTTTAATGTTTGGATAAGATACAAGGACTTATTGGAAAACAAAACCCCAAGGTGGTTGTCACCGATGGAAGCGAAAGCTCTGGAAAAGCTCAATATGGAGGTCAAATGGCCGAAATATTGGGAAATTTTGGAACAAGATGGAGATAGACTGAAACTGCAGAGTTTTGAGAAATTAAAAAAACAAAGTGCGAGACTGGCTTCATTATTATCAGATAATGGAGGCATATAATTTGGATAAGAAAATTGGCTTCCAGGTGGAAAAATCAAAATTAGAAACAGAACTATTAGAACCCAAAACTAAGATTTTGTCAAAGATGTATAACTTGCTGTTGAAATGGAATACTCAGGATGAAACGGTGAAATCTGCTATGATTAAATGGGCACAAGATGTTGGACATAACATAATGATGGCTGACTGGGAATAGTTATGGACCACAGGTATGAAGTTTACGGCATGCAATGCCTTAAGAGAGAATATTATGAAAATGATATACAGGTGGTACATGACCCCAGTCAAGCTTGCAAAAATCTATCATTTGCCCGATAACAAATGTTGGAAATGTAAAGAAACTGAAGGTACATTCTTTCACCACTGGTGGACGTGCCCAAGGATTAAGGCTTTCTGGGAGATGATATATAATGAATTGAAAAAGGTATTTAAATATACCTTCTTGAAGAAACCAGAGGCCTTTCTCCTGGGCATAGTCGGCCAATTGGTGCCAAAGAAGGACAGAACTTTTTTTATGTATGCCACAACAGCAGCAAGAATACTTATTGCAAAGTATTGGAAGACACAAGACCTACCCACTCTGGAAGAATGGCAGATGAAGGTGATGGACTACATGGAATTGGCGGAAATGACTGGCAGAATCCGAGACCAGGGAGAAGAGTCGGTGGAAGAAGATTGGAAGAAATTTAAAGACTATTTACAGAAATATTGCAAAATTAATGAATGTTAGAATGATGTTGGAATGAAGCTAGGTGGTTTAAGCAGTAATGCCATAAAGGTGTATGTGAAAAAGGATTGATAACAGATGAAAATTTAAAGTTACAGTATATTAAGTTAAAGGATTATGAGGAAACAAAGAGGGAAAGAAATTGCTGACTTAACTAATTGAACTGGAATACAAAAAAGGGAGGTATGAGGAGGTCAGGGAAACAAGGATATGAATCTAAGCTATGGAAAGATTGATCTATTTTTCTTCTTTTTTTTCTTTTTAAGTGTCTTTTATTCTTTAATTCTGTATTTTGTATTTTGTACTTTTCTTGTATTTTTACTTCTTGTTTTTGTGTAATTCTTTTTTCTGAAACTTTAATAAATATCATATAAAAAAATAATAATAAAGAAAAATACATTTTACTAATATTAAGGCAACACGGTTCAACAAAACTTGCTGAATTCAGTTGTTTGCTGTTTAGACAGAGAGCTGCATTTGGGATCCCAGACAGCAGCGTGGGAAAATATTGAACAAGGAGTATATAATAACAAGTTTTCCCACAAGCAAACCAAGAGGTTTGCTTCTAACTCTAGTGTGAACTTAGCTTACATTGTCACCAAGATATTGCAGTCATTCTCTGGTGTAGACACGCATGGACAACTGGGCTACTCTTCAAAGGTGATGACCTTTCATAGGCAAAGAGCTTATAAGGAAGATAAATAACATAGAATCAGAATAGGAAGGGATACCAACAGTCAAACAGTTTTGACCATCATAAAGTTCTTCCTAATGATTAGTTGGAATCTCCTTTCTTGAGAGGGATGAATGCATTTGAGAAATAGTCCATGTTTTGAATATTCCCACACTGGCAGTAGCTCAGGGCAAGGAGAGAGAGAGCCTGAAGAACAGGTTTAGTTACCAACCCACCCACCCCCCCTTTCTCAAAACACACACTGAACTCTGGGCAATTAGACTACCTCCATTTCCATTCAAATACAAATTAAGCCAAGTTATCATCAAAGAGTCGATGATGACAAGGATCAAAGCAAAGCAACAACTCTGGGAAAGATTAAAGAAAGTAAATGGAAGAGATTTTGAGAGAGATATTTAAAAGGCGTAAATGCAAATGATGAAGAGAAAGAGCAGGCCATTCAATTAACTGCATGTTTGCACACCTCTCCCAGATCAGAGGGAGAAGATCCACTCTGTACTGATGAGAGCTTGCAGGGTGGTTAAAATAACACCTTACACTTAACACAGATCTAACAGCCTGGCAGCGAAAGCAGTTAAGAGGAATTATTTGGAAGAATCTTAAAACAGCCAACAGTTAGATATAAAGCCAGGCCAGATATGTGAAGGTTTAACCCCAATGTGGCATATTTAAGAGTGAGCATTAAAAAAAAAGACTTGCATAGGACCAGAGTTTAGTAGGATGGCACCTGCTTTGCCTACAGAAAAGTCCCAAGTTCAAAGATCCCAGGAACTTCAGGTTGGGCTGAGAAATGCCATCTGCATGGAATCTGGCTGAACTGGTACCAGTCAGTGTAGAAAGCACTATAAAAGGAAGTCTAGGTTGCTCGGTCTGTATTCCACATGGATTCTCCAATGCTGAGTTCTGTCACTAGGAGCCAGCGTTCACCCCTTTTCACTTATGGGATGAAGCCATCATCCAAGTATTTTAGTGATGTTTCCATGGATCCCAGGCCCTAATAGCAATCACTCCTCTCTGCACGTTAGGCTGCCTTCTCATGTTTAATGCAAAAGCTGTATTTCCTTTGCAAATCAGCTTTTGCATTTCTAGTGCACACAGACTCCCTCGTGCTTATTTATTGATCAAGCAAACCTAGGCCCCAGGGAGCTCTTGAATAGTAAAATATATATTAAATAAGGTGAACAGCAACATCCAAGTCTTCCCACACAGGTTGACTGCTGAATGCAACAACTTTCATCTGATGAAAACTGCTTGCCAGAAACCTCACATTTCCATGACTGTCGACAGCTGTTTTCCAGCCTCAGCTGGGAAGGTGCCTTCCACAACCCAGGGTAGAATTGGGGCTGGCAAAGGTGAAGCCTAAAGCACAGCAACCAGATACTTTTCTGTGGACAGGGTAAGGCCAGAAATCCAGAAGACACCTCAGGCCTGGCCTATCCAGAGACTTCACACTGCTGGCCAACAACTGCTTTTGCACACTAGGTTCCTTCTACACCTTGAGAAGATGGGACACCTGGGCATGGACAGCCTGATGTAACTCACTTAGGCAAGGTCCCAGCCTCAGGCCGGCAGATTCTTCTCATTTAAGCCCCAAAGGTTTCCAGTGCAATATGCCTGAAGGAGCGCCTCCACGCCCATTGTTCTACCCAGACACTGAGGTCCAGTGCCAAGGCGGTTCCCTCACTGCGAGAAGGCAAGCTACAGGGACCCAGGCAGAGGGCCTTCTCAGTAGTGGCACCCTCCCTGTGGAACGCCCTCCCTGTGGAACGCCCTCCCTGTGGAACGCCCTCCCATCAGATGTCAAAGAGAACAATAACTACCAGCCTTTTAGAAGACATCTGAAGACAGCCCTGTTTAGGGAAGCTTTTAATGTTTGATGTATTACGGTATTTTAATATTTTGTTGGAAGGCACCCAGAGTGGCTGGGGAAACCCAGCCAGATAGGCGAGGTATTATTATTATTATTATTATTATTATTATTATTATTATTATTAAATGCTACCAAAGGAATTGCTATGGGAACCACTGGATACTGGGTCGAGACATTCCAGCCTCAAAAGGCACAAAGGAACTTAAAAATAAATAAATCTGAAGGCTTCTAAAATCTTTGCAGATCAGCTTTCTTTGGAGTATTTAGATATTTTTATGTTTCTTTTCTAAATTCAGTTTTTCGGTAAGCTTAATCCCATTATGCTAAAACAGTTGGAGGCAGCAATGCTTCTGAACACCAGTTTCTGGAAACCACAGGAGGGGAGAGGGCTCTTGTGCTTGGGGCATAGCTGTCAACTTACAGATCTGAAAATAAGGGACCAGCAGCCAAAATAAGGGACCTGCAGCCTCACCTGTTCCAGGCACTCCAGTCTTCCTGTCCTCCTGCAGTCTGGTCAAACTCATGCTGGTAGCTTCGAGAACACTGTCCAACCAACTTTGTAACCAGAGGTTCAACTGAATAGAATCTGAATCACATGCACCACAAGGCCTATGCAGCCTCAACTTAAGATGGCTCCCCAGCCTGGCTTTGCACTGCAAAGTTTGCAGCAGCACGTGCAACAAAATGGCGTCCAGCATTCAAAAACCCCCTCAGCTTGCATTAACTAGCCACACACAAGGCATGCAAGCTCCACCCCCCAGTCGTTCTTAGACTTCTTATTGGGTGAGCAACACAGCCAAGCAACACAGTTGGAGCCTCCCTCCTCCCTGGGCGGCCGGCAGGGAGGGAGGGAGAGGAGCTGCTTCCTTTGAAATTTAAGGGACATCATTTAAGGGACATTTAAGGGACATCCATCAATAAGGGACAGCAGCGGGACATGGCGCTGGAATAAGGGACTGTCCCTTCAAATAAGGGACACTTGACAGCTATGGCTTGGGGGTTCTGCTTGTGGGTTTCCCATTGGGGCATCTGGTTGGCTACTGTGAGACCAGGATGCTGAACTAGATTTCCTAATTCAGTAGGCTCTTCTTATGTGTTGGATATTTTGTGGTGTTTCAATATTTCATTTTAAGCCACTCTGAAGTGCAGAGAATAAATCTCCTCCTCCTCATCATATGCCAATGCTCTATGGTTCTTCAATTCTTCTCCCAAATCCACAGTCAAACTCGCTTCCCCCAAGCAGCCCATAGTCTCAGTGAGGGACAGGAAACACTCAGCAACAATAACACAGAAGATAAAACTTTATTGATATGTAGTGTGGGAGAGAGAATAAAAATACACAAAATGCCTCCCAGAAAAAAGGAGAGTTACAATACCCAAACTGTCAGGATTAGTATATCAAAACCAATCAGTTACTGTCCAGTTGTTTTTGGTAAAGAAAATACTGCTGCTAAGAGCACGAAGAACACTTGGTGAACTGGGTTCCCCCACCCCAGGGCCCTTCTTCAGAAAGAGGCAGTGACTGGTAGTTAACAGCAGGGTGTGTTCACTGATGTTCTCTGCAGATTCTGAAGTCCTGCCCCAAGGCTACCCAGTTAATGTTCAAGCCCTTCTGGGGAGTTCAGGAGATAAGAAGCCCCTTTTGGCCTCTCAGTGGAGACGGCCAGCTCTGCAACAAGGAGACAATTCTGCCCCTAGGAAGGGCGGCTCATGCTTGCAAGCCAATTAATGATGTTGAGAGTCAAGTGCCTGCTATCTGCCAATCTGGAAAGTGAAGGCAACTGGACTTGGCTTGCTTCATGGTTGGAGGCACTGGTTTCTCAAGCATGTGCAACATGTACTAAGAGGCAAGGCAACCTGCAGCAAGCTCTGCCTCCAGGAATGGATGTCAGGTGGGAATGGTGGAGGAAGGAGACACCACCCTGTGGGAGTAAGCAACGGCGCATGCGCTCTGCCTGAACAGTTTCCCAGCAGCAAGCAAGTTTGCCTGGAGATTATTCCCAGCTCTGCAGAATACAACCGCCAAACTGGAATTTCTCTAAAACAGCCCCCTTTTAAATATTTTTTCTGTTTCAAAAGTTTCCGTTTCTTCTTCCAGCAACCCAGGATTTAACGTTTCTGCTTTCAGAATTATTGCACATTTACTTAAAACAAACTATCAAGCCTTGTAGTGTTCATTTGTAGAAACAAACACACACACACTAAGCTGAGTTACACCTCTCATCCTACCTACGCTTCTCCCTGCATAAATAAAAGCCACCGTAGTGATTTATAGTACATAAATTTACAAAACAATAGTATTTAAAAAGGAAGAAAGCATCTTAAGAAGTCACTACGAAATTGAATGTCAGTCAAATCCAGCTCGTGGGGAGGCTTATTGAGTGATCGACACTTTTTGCATATAGGGAGAAAAGGTCTAGGGGCTCAATCCAACCAAGTCATACTCAGAGCAGACCCACCAGAGTTCATTGACTTCAATGAGTCCACGATGAATACATGACTGGATGAATACAAGCTCCTTCAGGCACAACCCCCACCAGGGACATCATCTTGCACCTGAGGATGTCCAAAAGGATCATTGCATGAGAACATGAGATTCTCATGAGCTTGTTCCCTAGGAAGGTTGGTTGGGAGGTGCTGGCAGCCACTCCGAGAGACACAGGTGACGCTAGCCAGCTAGCTGCCAGGCCAAAGGGGAGGGGCCACCCAATTTTCACCGAGAAACCAGTACATGAAGGAAGATTTGCTTGCTCCTATGTGAAGCTGCAACCACCAGTGGTCACCCTTCCAGGAGAGGCTGCCTCTTTCCTTGGCACGAGGTTCAATGAGCCTTTTCAAGCTCAGCCATTGGTAAGAACAAGTGATCCCTCCCTCCCAGCTTGCAAAAGACAGCTGGGCCAAATACACTTGGAGTAAAAAAGCAAATGGGATCACAAGGTCATCTTAAAAAGCAAGAGGCACGTGTGTTCGTCTCCTTGTTTTTGCAAGTGTTTGCTCTGAGTTCTCTCTTTTTTTTCCTGACACCACTACGCCTTTTTTTAATTGCAGGAAATGTCCTTTGCTTCTGAAAACAAAACGGAGAATTCTCTAAAACAAATGTGAGGCTGCTGCAATTCAAGATAAGGCAGTAGCTGTTCATTCACGTCTTCCTCAGCCCTGCTGCTCTTGAAACTATGTGTAAATCAGTAACAAAGAATCTGTGAAAAAATATCTCTTATAAAAAACACGCAAAAACGTTTGTAGGAGATGGATTTTTTTGCTCGTGAAGACAGCGCTAGAAAGGCACAACTCCTTCTTAAAATGATTTAAGAAGATGCAACTCGGCCAGCCAAGCTGCAACGATACGGAGCATGGCCCTTGCAGCCTCCTTGACCGCTTGTTTCACCTGACTGGGCTAGAAATACAGTCAACCTGACACAGCCCCCGAAAAATCGCCCCTGGGTAAAACCCATTCGGAAAAGAAGAAGAGTTACAAGATTTTGGCCACACTGACTTGGTTTGGGGCCCCCACTTTTGTTCACACTTTGCAGTCGAGTGAGAGTGGGTTTTGTTTGGACAGGAAAAGAGCAAAGAGGGGTTTTCTTTCCTGATGTTTTATAACATTTGCGTTGTCAATCCGACATTCAGAAGAACTTTGCTTTTGTCATCATTTTGACTACCCAGATATCTAAACCGCAGGCATTTCACCTTTCAAATTCTAAGTTTAGTAGGCAAACAATTAATAGCCCCTTTGCTTTGTTTAAAAAATCGAGACTGTGTAAATATAGCCCTTTTTTCGCTTTCTGGATCGAAGCAGGAAGGAAGGCATGCTTTCACAGCTGTAGGCACCTTCAGACCAACAGCATGACCCCCCCTCCCACCCCCACCCCTAACAAACAAGCCCTTGCCGCATGCGGATGATCTGGAGTAAGGCAGCTTGGACGTCTTCATCCATGTGACCCTGAAAAACAAAGAGGAGAGCTGCAGAAAACACAGAAGGACTTGGAACTTTTCAGTGACTTTTCAGTTGCAGTGACAAAACCTATAGATCCCAAAGTGGGTGGTATCACACACCCCCAGGGGGCAGTGGGATTCCCTAGGGGTGTGCTGGAGGTGTAAAGGACTATCAACTGAATTAAACTAAACTAAACTGCTTTAATGGGTACTAGAATAAATGTGCAATTAATTGAAACCATTTTGAATTTTGTTGTTGTGTTACTATCTTCCTTAGTGAGTTGTGCAAACTGCTATTCTGAATCATGCTTTTTCTAGGGTAGGGGGGCACTGGGCATGAGTTTATGAAACCAAGGAGGAGCTTGCCCCGAAAGCTTTGGGAACCACTGGCCTAAACTATTCACTGGCTCTGGCTGATCATAGAAGGAAGCAGTGGGTAGCGAGAGATGTCCCTCCAACCCCAGCAAGCTGTTCCTACTGAGTAAGAGAAACTGTGGTGGAACAAACAACACAGGCAAGCTGTGGAACATGCCCCACAACCCTCCATGCTGCCTCCCTTGAAGATTTATCTAAGGCAGGTTCAGCAGGCATCAGTCAAAAAGGGTGCGAAAAGATCACTGCCCAACACAGCAGGCAGCAGCAAAAGCAGAACACGTACCTGAACAGCACTGAGAAGGTGCGTCCGATATATTGAGATGACCTCCTGGTGCTGCCTCTCAGCATCCTAGGATAAAAGAGCACACCTGGTCATTCTCCAGAGTTACATTCTCAAAGTTTAGTCTGCTTCGCTAGCCCCCTTGGGGAAGGGCTGTGGTTTACGGCAGGCAGAAGGTCCCCAGCTCAATCGCAACGGCATCTCCAGGTAAGGGTGGGAGAGACTGCCTGCCTGAAACCCTGGAGAGCCACTGCTGCCAGTCAGTGTAGACAATACTGGGCTAGGTGGGCTGATGGTCTGACTCCATCAGGCAGTTTCCCATATTTCCTAGTCTTGGAGAGAGGCACAGCATTACAGGGATGCTGGCACCCTACTTCTAAGGCCAACAAAAATCCCTTCATTTCCTAAGACGCCATGCCAGGCATTGAGCTGGAAAGCAGAGCTCATGCCATCTGTTCTGCTCTATCAGGCCTCCTCTCCCCTCAACTGTCATCTGGGGGCACCCATTGCCTCAGACTGCTGCCATGGGAGAGCTTTGCTGATTGCCCAGCTCCATCAAGCACCTCCTGCCCCTGAACTGTGCCAGCCAGCCATTATAGGAACAACTGTTCAGAAACTGATGCTGGAGTTCAGGGTTTTTATTTTCCTCTTCCCTCCATGTTCCTTTTCCCTTGTGTGTCATTTATTTTTTAGACAGTAAGCCTGCAGGTAGGGACTGTCTCGCTTTGACTTTATGTAAGGCTGAAGAGTCAGGAACAAAGATTCTAAGTAAATGCATAATAAATAAAATTGCCCACAGACTTTCCAGCTTAGCTTTGCAACCGCAAAGAACAGAAAAAACATTTTTTAAAAAACTGGAAACAAAGGTTATAGGACCTTAAACTGTTTGCCAGCATCATGCAAGACCACAGCTCAAGGATGGTCACCACACCCAGTCCTGCTGTCTTCCCCTCACCCCCAAGCACCAGAACCCTGATCAATGAGACAAGTTTCAGCTACCACCCGATGGCTGCAGTTCACTACTTACGGCCAGCTGCTGCTGGAGGGTTTTCACCTGCGCCTGGAGCACTTCGACCTGCTGGCTCTGTCGCTTTGTGGGGAGGCCGCTGTTGTACGTAAGCTGAGAGAGACCGTTAAGGGCCTGTTTTAGCCGCTCCACATCATTAAGTAGCTCAGTTATCTTCAAGAGAGACATTGCCAAAGTTCAAACCGTAAGCCTTTCCTCTGCGGTTCCTCAGCAACATCTACTACAGGGATGGGGAGCTTGTGGCCTGACAAATATTTCGATGACTACAACTCCCAACATCCCTGACCACTGGCTGTGCTGGATGCAGGGGCTGATGGGAGATGGAGTCCAGCAACACCTGGAGAGCCACAGATGTTTCCCATCCCAGACTTACACTTGTGTGATCAAAGCAAAAAAAGAAGTTGAAAGCTGCTTGCTTCCAACCTGTATTCTGCCCTGCCTGGAGCAGAGCCAAGCAAGCAACAGGAAGGTCACCAAAACCCTGGCCCTTTGCTAGGGGCTGGGGGGGGGACAACAACAATGTGCTATGATACCCCAAAGTCCCCAAAATTCAAGTCACCAGTTTGCAAGGAAACAAGGACTGTCTCAGGGCCAGGAGCTGTGCATGGATGCACATTGCAAAGGTCTATTAAGGAGGGAAACCGGGGTTGTCAAAGCGCAGCACACACATTGTTTTGTCTGAGATGGAGTGGCAAGAAGGTGGCTGTGCATGAAGCAGTTCAGAACTTCACTACGTCTGTTATTATTATTAATCTGCCCTTCCTCCCCACAGAACACAGGCTGGTGCACAATACGATAAATGCAAGATGGCAAAAATAATTAAAATATGGGTAATTTGAAACATGGGCTTTTGAACTAACCAACAGGAAAGAAGCCCGTTTTGAATTCCCAATGAGCTGAAAGCCACAGGCAGCACCTCATCAGATGAACCAGCTCTGCAGGTCTGCCTCTCATGCAAGGAAATCATGTCTGAATCCATTTCCAATGTGGCTTAAAGGGTGCAGCCCACCCCCACTTCAACCAATCAGCCTGCATTTGGCTTCCAAATTGATTTGGGCAGGATTCGGAGGTTGTCTACGTCTACTACAGGACCACCTTCACAAGCCTGGAGCCTTATTATGTTTTGGACTACAACACCCATCATGGCCATACATGCCTGGGGCTGATGGGAGTTGCAGTCCAAAATACTCAGAAGGCCTAGTCTGGCAAAGGCTGCAGTGCAGCAGTTCTTCCAGGCCTACCTGCTCCCCCAGCTAATGTCAGAAGCTAGTCCAAGTGCTGCCTCTCCCACCAAGGATCCCTCTGCATTCATTATCCTCTGCTTTGTGCCTTATATGCTGCCAGCCGGCCTTTAGCCTACTGAGTCCACCCCCTTGCCCAACTCACCTTGTTGTCTTTGGCTTCCACTTGCTTTGCGGACTCCTGGATCCTTTTCTGCAGCTCCGCAATGGTGCTCAGGGACTTGTCGCACCTCTCCTTCTGGTCCTTGATCTCCTGCTCAATGCTGAAGTTCCTGGACTGCAGGGGCTCCTTCTTGTCCTTGGTGGGTGCCTCCTCCATCCTGGCTTGCTGGGCTGCCTCCAGCTTCCGGCTGAGCTCAGCCAGCTTCTCAGCCATGCTGCCTACTTGCCCTTCCAGCTTGCTCTTCACCATCTTGTGCTCTGCCATCCCAACCACCTCTCGGCTCTCCAGCTCCCACAGGGCTTCTTTGGCGCTCTGGATTTCAGACTGCAGCTTGGCAACCTTCTCTGCCCTCTCCTGGCTCTCTCCCTCCTTCTCTCTTAAGGCGGATTTCGCGGCGGATGCTTCCCTCTCCAAGCCCTCCTTGATGCGGAGGTGCTCGGCTAGGGGCACAGAGGCGGCCTTGAGATCGGCCATCTCCTGCTGCAGCTCCTGGGATTTCTGCACCTCCTGCTGGCAGCTGGCCTCCTTGCTGCTCAGCTCCCCTTTCAGCTCTTCGATGGTGCGGCCGAGCTGCCTCTCCAGGGCTTCCACCTGCTCCAGTGGGACATACTGGCCGTGGAGGCGGCTCTCTGCCTCGCGGGCCTCGGAGCGTTGCCGGGCGCTCTCCTCCTGAAGCCGCTCCTTTTCGCACTGGATCTCGGCAAACTTCTGCTGCAGCTCGCACAACTGCTTGTTGAGGCCGTCCATCTTGCTGGCAAACATCCGCTCCATTTCGTGTGACTTCTCCGCCAGGACATAGTTCTGCTGCAAGTCGTTCTGGACGCTCAGGAGCCTGGCCTTCAGCTTCTCGTTCTCCTGGCTGCATTTCTTGCCTTCCTCCTCTCTCTCTCGGCGCTGCTCCCTCTCCTTCTGCAGCTGGCTCCTCAGTTCTTTCGCCGTCTCCTCGAAGCAGCGCTCCTTCTCTTCGAAACTGGCAAGGGGGGCATATTTGGAATTGATGCATTCCTGGATCATGTCAAGCTCCTTCTTCTGGGCCTTGATCTCAGCATGCAACTGGGCCACCTCCTCTTGCTTCGCCTGGTATTTTGCCTGCATTTCGGAACCGTTCTCCTGCAGCTCCTGAATGTTTTTCTGGAGGGCGGCGACTTTTGCTTCATGCTCCCGTGTGTTTATGTATTCGCCTCCTTGCACTTGGCTTTGCAGAGTTCGCAGCTTCCTCTTCAGGGTCCCGTTCTCATCGCTCACCCTCACAAACTCTTGCTTGACACTTTCCATTTTGTCCTTCAGCTCCAGCAGCTCTTGGCCCGTCCTTTCAAGAGTGCTGTTCAGCCCTGCCTTGACCTCCTCGTGAGTAGCCACCGGCACGTACTGCTCTTCCATGGTCTCTTGAAGAGTGGCATTTTTGGACGCAAACTCAGATGCCTTGGCTTGCTGCTCCCTGTACTTTTGGCTGAGCTCGGCGAGTTGCCGCTCCAGGCCGGCCGTGGTTAGCTTCAAGGCTCTCATCTCCTTCTCGTGCTTCTCCCGAGGGATGTAAGCCGCCTGGAGCTGGCCAACCGTCTCCTTCAAGCGGAGGTTTTCCGCCAGCAGCTTCTCTGCCTCTGCGCTGTGCTTCTGACACTTCTCTCTGCTCTCCGCCAGCTTCTTGTTCAGCTCCCCAACCGTGACATCGCTCGCCCGCTTCACCTCCTCACTGATCTTCAAAGGCACGTACTGGCTCTTCATCTCGCTCCGGAGGGCCTCCACTTGCTGCTTCAGCAGGCTGTGGCCTGCCTTGGCCTTTTCCGCCTCTGCCTGCCAGGCCTGGCTCTGGTGCTTCAGCTCCGCCTGCACTCGCTCCAGCTCCCTGGCCTTCTGCTCATACCTGACCTTCAGCTGCTTGTGCTCCTCTGGCCTCACATACTGGGCAAACTGGCCTCTCTGGCCCTCCAGCTCCGCCCTCAGCCCCTGAGCCTCCGTGCGCAGCTTCTGCCGCTCCGCCTCCGCCTCTGCCAACCTCCGCGCCTTCTCCTCCACTTCGCCTGAGAGTGAGCTCTTCACTTTCTCAAGCTTCTCTGCCAGCTTGGCCGCCGCCTCCTTCAGCTGACCCTCCGCCTCGCAGGCCCTCCTCTCCCGCTTCTCATGCTCCACCTTCAACATGCTCAGCTCCCTCTGCAGCTTCTTGTTGTCGTCCACCAGCCTGGCTTCATCCCTGCGGAACTCCTCCACCAACAGCTCGTTCTGCTTCAGCTGGTTCCTCAGCTTGCCCACCTCAGCCGAGGCCCCCTCGTACTTGGCCTTGGTGTCCTTCAGCTGCTCCTTCAGCTCCTCCACCGCCTTGCTGCCGGTGGCCGCCGCCTCGCTTGTCAGGTGGTCCTTCAGGGCCAGGAAGTGCGTCTGCATCTGCTTCACTTTCCCTTCCGAGTCAAACATCCTCTTCTGCACGTCCTTCAAGGCGTCTTCCAGCTGCTTGATCTGCTGGTCCGACTCCTGCTTTGTTCTCTCGCACTCCGCTGCCAGCGCTTTGCACTCTGCCGCCTTGTGGGAGAGCTCCAGCTGCAGCCTGCTCACCTCCCCTCGGGCCGCATCGTAGCAGCTCCTCAGGTTGCCCAGCTCCCGTTTCAGAGCTTCCGCCTCGGAGGCAGCAGGAGACAGGCTTGGGCTCAGGAGCTCCAGGGGCCTCACCATGGATCTACTCTGGAGGGCAGCTGGCGCTGAGGCAGGGGCCTGCTAGAAAACAAGGAGACGGACTTCTTAAGACTCCAGAGAGGGGCTTCTACCAACAAACACACACACACACACACACACACACACACACCTCTTTAACTAGCTTTTATGTAGGGCAGCATTTCCCAAACATTGGTCTCCAGCTGTTTTTGGACTACAATTCCCATCATTCCTGACCACTGGTGTTGCGAGCTAGAGATGATGGGAGTTGTAGTCCAAAAACAGCTGGAGAAACACGGATGTACGGCATTAGAACTTCCCTACAGCTCAATGGCAGAGCACATGTGTCTTGTGTACGAAAGGCCCCAGGCCCATTCCCCAACATCTCCAGTTGAAAGGTAAGTAGATCTCAGGTAAGTGAGCAGAGAGACTGGGGGGTCACTGCCAGTTGACCGTTAGGGATACGGAGCAGACAGACAATAGGCTCATCCAGGAAGATCCTTAAGGGCCTCCTCTGCTCCATTAACACATTTTGACTGTGTAATGGATCTGTCACGGATCACAGTAACCGAGTTACTAAGCTGAGGGCAGAAGCTCAATTTATCTTGCTAATGGGGCAATTGCAACAAGCCTCCCGCTTTCCGCTGATTCCCAGCCAAATAAGTGTGACATCCAAGTAATGGATGAGCCTGTAGTTCATTTCGCTGGCTCTGCCAGAGGACAGTTGCTGGCCCACACCTTCCATTTCTGTGCAGTACACAGCAAGGCTCCCACAGGAGAAGGGACACAGAGCAACTGGACACCATGACGGCATTGTGGAGCCCCAAGAGACGGCCCAGTGACCAGGTGCACCAATGGCATTTTTACATGCTCAACATCATAGGAAAAGTAGCCACACTGCAGATGCCCACGTAGCATTCCCAAATGCACGAACGAGCCAACAAATTGGAGTACCTGTGGTTCTGCAGAATACGTAGAACCCTGCTTCAGCAAAACATCTTCTTTCCCTACAGAAAGACAAAATAAAGAGCTTGTTCAATCTAACCTGACAAAGTACAAATCTGCTATATGTTTAGAAGGTGGAACCTGCATTATTAAAAGTTAAACAGACAGCTGCTTCCTGCAAGGCCCTGTAGCCAGGAGCTGAGCAGCTGGGATGTCATAGAAAGCAGGGACACCCCCACTGCTGAGGGTCAAGGGAACCAGGCCTCAGGGCAGCATCTATAGAAAGGGAATGGAGAGGCAAGAGAATCACAGAGGCTGGAGGATCACAGAGTAGCAGGCTGGTTGGGGCCATTCAATACTATAAATCTCTCTGGTCCTGAAAGCACAAGATCTAAGGCAAGGTGGGGGATCTCTTTCAGCCCAAGGTCACCTCCCAGCCAGACAAAAGCACTTGAGGAGGAGGCAGAGAAGTGCCAGGGAGGGGTGTGGCTTGGGTCAAAAAGGTGTGGCCTAAGGAGAGCACTGTGGGCGAGGCAGAGAGGCCTGGACAGCCACATTCGATCCCTAGGTCTGAGGTTCTCAGTTCCTGCTCTATATTATCATTATTATTAAATTTATGAATGGGACATATGTCCCAAGGTAATTTACACACAGGGCAGCTTACAACATTAACAGATATGGTCAGCGAACTTTATAGCCCTGCTGCTTCTGTATGTCCCCAAATTACCCACTTTCACTTGACTGCCACAACTGCAGATAGAAGGGCACAAAACTCCACAATGTTAGCGCTCGATTCCCTTTCTAAACAAGGTATCAAGGAACAGCAATACTCACTGTTACCAAAACTGTTTCCAGATCCCCCGTGGTCACCCTGAAATCAAAACACACAGACTTTGGTTCAGAGAGATACAGATTAACCGTTCACAAGGGTTCAGGTTTTCAGAATGACACTATTTTTTTCATAGTCTTAATACACAGAGACTATGGGGGAATTTTTTTTTTTCATAGTCTTATGAAATCCACAGATAGTGGGACACAGGTGGCGCTGTGGGTTAAACCACAGAGCCTAGGGTTTGCTGATCAGAAGGTCGGTGGTTCGAATCCCTGCGACGGGGTGAGCTCCTGTTGCTCGGTCCCAGCTCCTGCCCACCTAGCAGTTCGAAAGCACGTCAAAGTGCAAGTAGATAAATAGGTACCGCTCCGGTGGGAAGGTAAATGGTGTTTCCGTGCGCTGCTCTGGTTCGCCAGAAGCGGCTTAGTCATGCTGGCCACATGACCCTGAAGCTGTACGCCGGCTCCCTCGGCCAATAAAGTGAGATGAGCGCCGCAACCCCAGCGTCAGCTACGACTGGACCTAATGGTCAGGGATCCCTTTACCTTTACCTTTAATCCACAGAGAACTTTCCTGAAATGCATATGATACTTAATACCTTCACAGAATAACAGAATTGTAGAGTTGGAAGGGATCCTGAGGGTCATCTAGTCCAACCCCCTGTAATGCAGAAATTTCAACTAAAGCTTGCATGACTCATGGTCACCCAACTTCTCCTTAAAAAACAATCTTGCTCTATCTTCCACACGACAGACCTCCAGATATTTGAAGATAGGCAACATATCCCCTCTCTGTCTTCTCTTCTCCAGGCTAAACATACCCAGCTCCTTCAACCGTTCCTCATAAGGCTTAGTTTCCAAATCCTCAATCATCTTGGTCGCCCTCCTCTGCACACCTGTGCAAGAGTGAACTGAGCCCTGTAACTATAGCCTTGTCACCCAATAACACAACTCCCAGTTCTTGCTAACTTAGTGGAGGGCTACTTGAAACAGAAACTGGCTTCCCCACCAAAGGGCGACGTACCTCATAGAATCTCAGCTTTGACTTCAGAGCTTCAAGCATCCGTGAACTTTCTTCCTTCTGCTTCTCCTTTGCTGTCAGCAGCCTCCTGAGCTCATCTTTCTGAAAGTGAGCAACAAATCAACATGGAACATACTGGTAATGTTTAAGCACTAAGAAATATGAATATGGAAATCCTGCAGGACAGAAACATGATACTTTCCAGCCTACCGTAGCTTACAGAAAAATAGGAAGCTGTTTTATATAGAGTAATATAGGAAAACCATTGGTCCATCTAGCTCAGTGCAGCCTACACTGACCGACAGCAGCTGCTCTCCTGGATTTCAAGCAGGAGTCTCTCTCGACGCTAGCTGGAAACGCTGTCAGAGGTGAACCTGGGATGTTCTGCATCCAAGACAGATGCTCTACCCCTGAGCTGCAGTCCTTCCCCTGTAGATCTGATCCATGCACACAAGCACACCCTCCTTTCTGGATTCAGCCTGCAAGGAAGGTTAGCCCCCATGACTCTTGCCCTGGCTTTAGGGAGTGGTGTGAGCAGATCTTACGGTGGGTACAGTGGATGACAAACACGTTATCAGAACTGACCCCAAAAGCAAAGTTCCCTTCCTTACTTTTTCATTTCAAATCAAATGTTCAGTTGTTGTTCAAGAGAGATGGAAGAATTTTCTCCCTCAGGTTCAGAATTGTCAACAAATAAGTTTAGGGTGGGGGAAAAGAAAGATTTTTTCTTTACCTCGCTTTCGAGATCATCTGCAACCATTTGCTCCTGCAAAGAACAGAAACAGCCATTGGAATCATATCTCGATTTATATTGTTACATAACATTATCAGCAGGAAACCTGGCCAACCTCATTCAGTACCCCAGTCTGTAAAATGGGGATAAAGGCAAATAAATGCACCATAAACCCATGAACACACCAGATCACCCTGGAAGGGCCCTCTGAGCTGCTGTCATTGCAAACCTCCATTACCTCGTTCAGCTGCAGCTGCAGGCCATTGATTCTGTCCAATAGAATCCGGTGCTCCTGCTGGATCTCCCTTAGCCTGCCTTTCAAGTCTTCATTCTCTCTTTCCAATTCCTTAAAACAGAGGACATTTTAAAACTGAGATCAGTTATCTCCTGCAGCATTAAAGCAACAGATGGATAAAATTAGGGAAATGGAGCAATTCCAATTTTAATGCACACCTCCCAAATTCACACACTCCCAAACCACTATGGTAACCAAAAACACAGCTATCCTCCGAAATACACACTTCTCTGCATTCTGTGACACAAGCTTACTTGCAAGATCACCTTACCCCATATAAACTCACTCAACCACTTTGCTCTGCAGAACCGGCAATGTTACAGGTGCCACCCGTTCTGCATTTTTAAAAACTCCATCTTTAAGTGTGGCAGCACCTACACGTTGGACCTCCCTGCCTATTGACATCAGCTATGTGCCTTCACTGTAATCTTTCCGGTGCCTGTTGAAAGCATTTATACACAAGGCCAGGTGTTTAGAAAGCTGGTGCAACTTTGTCTGTTTTTAGTCTATTGTTATTTGAACTTTCTGAAAGTCTAAAATTTTTCTTAATGCCTCTTACTGATAATTTTATTGATTTAGCTTTTTTACAAACCACTTTTCAGTTTTTTTCTTTTTACAATCAAGTGGTGTATAATTTTTTTAAAGAAAGAAAAGTCTCCAGTCGATCAGTGCATACAGAAAAGTGCATATTAGGGAAAACAACTTACAAAGATGCTTTATATTAAGGTGAATTGCTTGCAAAGATCTGTATATTAAGAGAAACACACATGAACTCTCATGCAGACTTTTAAAAAATTAATAAACTAATGTGGAAAATGATGCAAACTGAACGAGACAACTGCTACTGACGGATTTGTCCACCCCTGGATGTGACAAATCAAAGTAAATCCTAACAACAACCACTAGTAGGCACCCTTCCTAAATATGGCAGGTGGCCAGTAACAGCCCTCTTTCCTTATCCACATACTTAAGAGGCCATCAGCACTTCAAACCGCTGCTTATCTCCAGCCTGTCAACAGCTGAAAAACCAGCTCTTAGAGATGCTTAAAGTGTTTTTCCTCTGACTTGGATATGCCAGACACTGAACTGCTCAGCCCACACACCACAGACAGATCTGCTTAGCTCAAAAACAGGCAGCATTTCTTACACCCAAACAAAAAAAGGGGGAAAGCTATCATGGTAACCAGTAATGGACCATGCCAAGCATGTCTTCATATTTCATAGAGCAGCCTTCCCGAACCCAATGCCCTCTAGATATTTTGGACTAATTCCCATCATCCCTGGCTCTGCTGGCTCAGGCTGATGGGAGTTGTAGTCCAAAACATATTGAGGGAACCAGGTTGGGGAAGGCTAGACTAGCACCACCCAGTTAAAGCTACAAACAACATGAGAAGGGTAGGAGGAGAAGGAGAAACAAGACAGCACCAAAATGGGTCCTCATCCAGATCTCACATTCTCACTTAATTTTCTCCAAGCGAGCATTTGTACTATGCAAACAAGAACCTAAACAGCCACGTTTTGCTCAGAGGAGACCCACTGAAATGGACCTAAGCTAGCCAGGGCCATAGATTTCAATGAGTCTGCTCTGAATGGGACACCCATGAGGATCCCAGCACAGCTCATTTACATTTACTTGTTCCTATCACCCATTTAACTTTTGTGCCACACCTGTGCAACTTTGAAAAGAACCTGAAAAGCTGGAATCCCACACTTCTTTCAGCGTTTTCTAAAACCTGCTCGCTTGAGAGCATCCCACACAAAGCACAAATCTCTCCCTTCACCTGTACATTCCGGTGTTCCTTCTGATGCGTCTTGAAGCTCATGTCCTCTAAGGCATTTGGTTGACTCCATTTTGGCAGCATGTTGGTCACCTGTTGTGCAGCATTGAAACACGGAATTGTCAGAGGAAGTAAGAGACGCGTATGAACTGTGCTAGCAAAAGCAGCAGAAGTGTAAGAGATCCATCAGTCACATTAATCTCAGAAAGCGATCGAGTCTTGGAGGCAAACAGCAGCCCAGAAGGTGGCGAAGATGGCAGGCCTTGCTCATTTTGAGGAGGCTGACAAACATACCCAGAGGCTTACATCTTTTCCTGAGGCCCTTCTCCAGGTCCTGCCTCTGAAGGAGACTCGGAGGGTGATGACAAAGGAGGGGGCCTTTTCAGTTGTGGCTCCCCATCTGTGGAATGCTCTCCTCAGCAAGGTCTGCCTGCCACCTTCGTTGACATCTTTTCAGCACCAAGTAAAGGCTTATCTTCTTTCCCAGGCTTTTAATGGACTAAGATGAAGTTGTTTTGCTACTTGTGTGATGCCAAAGCTTTCTCTGGTGGCTATAGGGATTGGTTTGTGCTGTTTTCATGGTGTAATATATTCATATTTATCCTTTAATTGTGATTTAAGTCACTTGGAGACCTTCCGGTAACAAGCAACTAACAAGTGAAATCATATTATTATAATTAGCATCATTAGGGATGGATGAGAGGTCAATAAGGCAAGACTTTTCCTAGAAAGCAGAAACTCCCCCTGAATAAATATTAAGTAGGCAGGACCTATCTTGGTTATGAACTCGCAACAACACATATGAAAATATGCAGAATCCTCACCTTGAAAGGCTGTCCTTTCTTCATGACTTCGTAACTTGCTAAAAAAAAAAGAAAAGAATAATTTGTTTTCTGTTTAGACATTCCAAGCAGAAGATTAGACAAAATGCAACACTCTTTCAAAGGGAGTCCGTTCCACTGTCAAACAGCTCTTACTATCAGAAAGTTCTTCCTAATGTTTGGCCAGAATCTGCTTTCTTGTAATTTCAATCCATTGGTTCAGGCCCTATCCTTGAGCAGCAGAAAACAAGTTTGCTCCAACCTCCATGTGACAGGCTTTCAGATATTTCAACATAGCTACCACATGGTGTCACAGTACGATCCCCAACAATGGGTAGCAATCGAGTGCAGACTGTCACAAAGAGAGGTCCCAAAGGCCAGTCTCCAGCCTATCACAAATAAAAACTCAAAAGCTGTCCACTCCTGGCTTAACAGCAACTTCTCATGCCCCAAACTGGAACCAGACATGCAAGGAGGTAAATATTCCTCATTTCTTTTTAACCACCCGCTCCTCAACTCCAAGGAAAGGTAACATACCTTTGTTGGACTCCTCCATGGCAGCCTTTATCAGAGCCAAGATTTCAACGCTATCACCAATCCTTGCATAGTAAGAGCAGTCATGGCCAAGGGCATCTACCAAAGTGACGTCCGCACCATTTTTGAGCAAAACTTCCACAGCATCCTTGCAGCCATATTCACAGCCTAACATCAGAGATGTCCTGAGGATGGAAGAAGAAGCCACATGGGAACATGAGGAGTCTTGTGGAGATGGCACATGCAATGGTGGGCTCTGTGGAACAATCACTATGCTTTTTCTTTTCATCCGCTTGCATTAATATCCCCAACTCTGCAAAACTGCAGGCAAAGGGGCTCCCAATATGCAAACAGGCGCAATAAAACAGTTCACACAACAAACCAGGCATGTGGTAATGTGTAGTCAGTGTGGCATAATGGTTGGAAACCAGAGTTTGAATCCCCACTCAGCCACAAAGCTCACTGGGTGGCCTTGGGCCAGAAACCATCTCTTAGCCTAACCAACCTCACAGGGTTGTTGTGAGAATTAAATGGGGAGGTGGAGAACCATGTACACCACCTTGAGCTCCTTGGAAGAAAAGGTGGTATATGCATGTAATAAATAGTAGTACAAGATGAAAAATGCACCTGAAAAATTTCCATCAACTCAAAAACTCTCTCACATTCCGTTGGTCTAATACTCCTACAGTAGATCATCCCACAAATGATCACAATGAGATTTTTCTTTTCTTCTCTTTCACAACATGTTTGAGACTTGAGATGCTTTTTTTTCTGAAATGCTATCTGCTATTTATTTACCAGTGGCTTGTTGACAGAGGTACCCTTGTTTAAGCAGCTGTAGTTTGAACAAACCACCATTTTCTACACTGAACCACAATGATAAACTATGGTTTGTTCCTTTAAACCTCTTCCCCCTTGGCCACAGAGGGATGCGGGAAGAGCACAGAAGTCCACGATTCATCCAGGCTCATGTACGTAATACTAAACCATGGTTTGCGGTGACATCTGAACCAGGTCAGGTTATCTGTCAATTGTCAAACTGATGATGCTGTATTAGTAAATAAATAAATGAAGCAGTCAGACTATTGCTATCTTTGAAGAAATTCCACCTCTTCGGATCAACACACCCCAAGCTTGTGTCCAACAGCTTCATTGTTTGAATCCCCAGAGAGTGTTCTTTGGAAAGCATACAGACACATCACCCACGGGGGGCTAAATGGATGCATTACCGGTTCTGTTTGTCTCTTGCATTGACATCAGCGCCCCTGTCGAGCAGAAGTTGGCATATGGCTGGACGGCACATCTGAGTGGCCAGCACCAGAGGCGTCCTCCCATCCTAGAGAGAAGGGGCAGGAAAACATTACAAAGGAGGGGTAAAATGAACTTGACCAATCCTGGGGAAGAACCCCGAAAGGGGCCTGCATGATACTTACTGCATCTCTGGCATTCACCAAGGCTCCATGGTCACACAGTAACTGGATGCTGGATGAACAATCTGACATCGCTTTGGGAGACAGAAGGACATCACATCATTAGTAAATGGGTCACTTCGCTACCGGTGGGCTATTTATATATTGTCAGATTTCTATGAATGGCTGCGCCTTTAAGATCTAGAAGCCACAACCGTTCTAATGACAAATGTCCAACCAGGGAACAGCAATTAAAAAGGGCCAATATGCCACTATCTTCCATGCTTTACTCATTGCACCTGAACTCCAGCCCTGCAAGAAAAGCCTGTGTGTTGTTAGTGGCTCACCTAACCCAACTACACCTTTATCAGTTGCCTGAGGCACAGAGATAGTGTGGAAGAGAACCTAGTCTCTCCCTAAAAGCTTCTCCTAACTGGTAGTCTGGAAGAGGAACATCGACCACTGGAGGGGGTAATAGGATTGTTTTTGTTTTATCGTGCATTTTGTGTTCTCATTTTGAATTTTTATGTTGGGAACAACGCTATGATCTTTGGACAAAGGGCAGTATACAACTTTAATAAACAAATATTGAAATAAGAAGTTTGCAGCCAGCCCTTCCCAATCTGGGGGGCGTCCAGATGTGTGCATCATATGATGCTGGAGCTGATGGGAGTCATAGTCTAAAACATCGAGACAACAAATTGGGAGAGGCTGTCCCAGCCACATGTGGAAATTGAGCAGCTATTCATATGCCTTGCCAAACACGGTCCTTCTCAAGGCGTTAGGAGAAATTGCTCCAAAGGAAGGAAACTCCCTTACCTGCATCATGAAGAGCAGTGCGACCCTGAAGATCCACATTTTCTGTAGGGCAGTTGTACTATGGGAACAGCCAAAGACATTTCATCAATACTGTTATTACTATTAATTATTATCGTTGTTGCTGTTAAATTTATTACCTGCCCTTCACCAGCAGGCCACAGGGCAGGTTACAACCATTTAAAATTCAGCTTTAAAAACAGCTAAAACAAATCACTGTCCCAAGAATATGGAATAGACCTATAATTTATTTATTCTAACATTTATGGTTAAGGGTTCCTAATAGTGGCAGCACTCTCATGATGAAAATATTTCAAGAAACATTTAAATAAGATTCAGCTCCAGAATGTTAAATGTGCTGTTCAGCTTTGCAGATCTATTATTATTATTATTAATTTATTAGGGTTTTTTAAAAAACAAAAATAACTCAAAGTGACTTACAACAATAAGTAAATCACACATGCATTAAAACCCGCATAAAACAAAATGGGGGGGAATCTAAAATGCATTCATATTTTTAAAATAAAACATCCCATCTACCTAAGGAGGCCAGAGATAACTAAAAGAAAGGAGTCAGAACATATAGTGGCTGTGCTGTACTGTAGATATCATACCTAACCTAATAATCTGGGAGGCATAACAAAGGAAGCTTCCTTATATAGGGTCAGACCTTGATCCACCCAGCACAGTATTGCCTACACCAGCTTTCTCCAACTAGCTGCCCTTCTGATGCTTAAGATTCCCATCATTCCTATTAACAGGCTGGAGCTGATGGGAGAGACAATGTAAGAACATCTGGCTTTGGGAGCCTAGCCTACACTGACTGGGAGAGGTTCTCCAGAGTTTCAGACAGAAGCCTTTTCCCAGGAGATGTCAGGTGATGAACATGGGAGCTTCTGTATGCTGTAAGCTATGGATCCTTCCCCATAAATCTTTATGAAACAGAAAGCTTCATACACACAGAGGAATTACCTGCTTATATCTATCCTAGCACAAAGAATCTCAGTTTTCTGCTTGTTTCTTCAGATTTCTTCAACATCCCAATTTGAAAATAACAAGGTTCAGGGTGATCAAAACCTTATTAGATTTTTGGCCATTCCTGCACCAACATTTGGGTAAAGGTGTCCACACAGCGGCAGCTATAACGTGATGGGAATATTTCAAGGGACGACACACACACAGAGAAAGGAAAAAAGCTTTGCTGTCATGGTTTCCCCTCACTGCCTACCCTGCCTTTTACATGCAACACTTAAACAATTTCTCAAACATACAGTACCTGCAACAATTTTTGCAGACAGAGTGCATGTCCATATTTCGCAGCGAGGTGCAGACCGTTCCTTCCTAGAGAGGTCAAAGTAACAAGGAAATGCAGAATGGAATCATGAAAGACATGGCAGAGCTTTCATTCAGTGTCTACCACAGACCCATACACACAGAGATGGGTTGTGTGCTGAACATAAAAAGGTAAAGGGACCCCTGACCATTAGGTCAAGTCGTGACCGACTCTGGGGTTGCAGCGCTCATCTCGCTTTATTGGCCAACGTACAGCTTCCGGGTCATGTGGCCAGCATGACTAAGCTGCTTCTGGCGAACCAGAGCAGCACACAGAAACGCCGTTTACCTTCCCGCCGGAGCGGTACCTATTTATCTACTTGCACTTTGACGTGCTTTCAAACTGCTATGTTGGCAGGAGCAGGGACCGAGCAACGGGAGCTCACCCTGTCGCGGGGATTCGAACCTTCTGATCGGCAAGTCCTAGGCTCTGTGGTTTAACCCACAGTGCCACCCGCATCCCGCATGCTGCACATAGCTTGAGTTAAAATACTGACCATGATGTAATTACTGTATTTTATACATCAATTCATAAGGGATGGAAAGACAATGGAGTATTTTAAGTCAATCTACCTTGAAGAGTGACCCAGCTTAGACCCTTCCATGATGTCTCAACTTCCCCATGGCTGCCAACAGCAAACCCTCACGACAACCCCAGGGATGTAATCGGCAAAAAGGTGGCTGGGAACCCAACAGGGACATTGATACACATCTAAGAAGCTAGTTCACAACAACCCCTTTCCATATTCACTCAGCAAGTTTGAGCAATACATGAAAACATTTCATAGAATCATAGAGTTGGAAGAGACCACAAGGGCCATCGAGTCCACCCCCTGCCAAGCAGGAAACACCATCAGAGCACTCCTGACATATGGTTGTCAAGCCTCTGCTTAAAGACCTCCAAAGAAGGAGACTCCATCACACTCCTTGGCAGCAAATTCCACTGTCGAACAGCTCTTACTGTCAGGAAGATGTTGCCTAACATCTTCTACAATCTCTCTTTAGAAAGATCTTATCAGAGAGACAACCCTCTTATTTTAAACAAGGACTCATACCTACTGCATCAGTAGCTACAATGTCAACCCCGTGTACAAGAATGGCATTCAGACAATCAAGATTCCCTTTGGCAGCTACAACATGGAACCTAAACAAAGCAAAACAGGAAAATGTCTGTGTAATGTTTACATATACAAGGTTACAATTAAAATGTTGAAGTGCAATCCAACGCTATAAAAATACAAAAGCAGCACAGAAAAGCACCTGCAGCAGAGAATAAAAAGAAATGCAACAAATAGGCTGCTGGGAGATAGCTCAGTCTGGAGAGCATGAGACTCTTAATCTCAGGGTTGTGGGGTTCAAGCCCCAGGGTGAGCCAAAGACTCTTGCACTGAATTTACTCTTAGCCTAACCTGCCTCACAGGGGTGTTATGAGGATAAAATGTGGAAGAAGAGAATTATGAACACCACCTTCACCTCATTGGAGGAAAGGTGAGATGCAAATATAATAAATTATTATTATTATTATTATTATCATTATTATTATCATCATCATCATCACCACCACCACCGCTATCTATCTATCTTTTCCACCCTTCATCCTATGATCCCAGGGAGGTTACAACATTAAAACACAACTATAAATATAAATGGGATAAGTAAATGTGAGCTGAAAGGTCTCTTAGAGCCCTCAGGATCTATTAGCTTCTGGGGGTGAACCAATTTAATAGGACACCACCCTTACAGAGAAGCAAGAGGAGCCCGACAGAAATTTAAACCTCAACAGGATATGGCCTTACCATGGCAAAAGCCTTCTTTAAACACACACACACCACAACCAGACCTCCCCATTCTCCTCCTGCCTCATAGAGAAAACCAAACTAAGCGTCTCCTGCTATGTCCCGAGGGCCAATAACGTGTCGGGGCCATAAAATCCTGAACAGCTCTGGATCTGGCAGCACCAGAAGGACACTCATCCAAGGGGTTTCTGGATGTCTTGGTCTCAATGTGCAGTGCAATCCTACACACGTCTAGTCTGAATTAGGACTTTTTGGGATTTAATGGGATTTACTCCTGGGTTAAGAAAGTAAAGGACTGCAGTTCAAATCTTCCAACAGGAGAACAATCTTTTAGAACAAGCCTTCTAAAATCTTTACCCCAGTTTGTATCTGGGATTTGAATTGGTTTTATGTATGTACTGTTGTTTTAAAATGTTTGTATTTATAACTGGGTGATTTCTAAACTGTTCTTTTTATTGTTGCAATTTCTTTAACTGTGTTAATATACATAACTGTTGTATATATGCTATATTGTAAATTGCTTTGGGATGCCTCACAGAAAGCAATTCATAAAATGAATGAAGAAGAAGAGGAGGAAGAAGAATGTGCGACAGGTAAACCCTAATGGAAAGGCAATCTTTGAGCAGCCAAATAGAATGTAGGTTAACCCTGGATTTCTGTTTTTCAGTCTGCTGAGAATGCACAAACTCAGATATTTCTGTAATTCTCAGCAATCCTTACAACAGCCCCGTGAAGCCGGCCATTGTTATCTCCATATTAGAATAAAGGGGCTGAGGTGCTGGCTTGCTCAACACCAACTAGTGAGCTCATGGCTAAGCTGAGAAGCCACATTTCTGGATGTTGGTTCCAGAGAGTGAGAAGCTGTGCCTGAATGCCTCTGACCTCTGGCTTTCATCTTGGAAACTCTTGGGGGTATGCAGGCTGTGACCTACAACCACCCAGACAGAGTCACTCACCACAAAGCATCCAATACAAGGCTCACAGAATAACCCTAGCATTAAATGTCCTCACCGCTTACCATTTAAGACAGAAAACAGCTTTGTGCAGTAACTTGAGACTGCCATTCAAACCTTCTCCGGATTGGCTACTGAGAAGCTTCTGAAGTTACCACAAATATCTCCCCTTTTATTATGTGCGCACACAGGAGTTCAGAGAGTGAAACAGAAAGGGACCTGGGAGTGGGACAGACACCACACAAGTAATACAAACCGCATGGGAAAGACCCAGGCCTTTTATTCTTGTCTGGAGCAAGTTTGGAACCAAACCACAAACACACCCTGCAACCTAGACAGATTTTTTTGAATCAACCAGGCAGAGACCACCCAATTACTTGCTTCTGGATCTGCTGCATATTACTGTGTCAAGGAAAACAATTCATCTCAAGCAGCTTTCATAGTGCCTTCCAGTTGCTGTTGGACTACAGCTCCCATCAGCCCCAGCCAGCATGGCCCAAGACAGGCGGTGGTCAGAGCTGCAGTCCAGTAACATCTGGAGGGCCCCCAGGTTTCCCCTCCACTAAACCACATGTTTACACAGTTCGCATGACATCCAAACATGCCCTGTATGTGTGGAAGTATAAAATGCTCTTCCGCAGGATGCAGGTCCCAACAGCTTTCTGTTTATTTAAAACATTTCTATGGCACCTTTCCAAGGCTCAGGGAGGCTTACAGGAAATAAGCACTAGGCAGATAAGAGCCAACAGAAACAACAGTGCCCCTCTCAAAAATTTGGAAGGGGCCAGGAAGATCAAAGGCAAAAAAGACACATCTAAGCAGCCCTCCTCCAAGGGGTGGGTGGGCTACAAACTTGGTGGGAGGTGGGCAGAGCAGCTGAGGTCAAAACCCCGACTTCTACTCACGCAGATCTTCCTTCCACATCGAGTTTGGTGGGGTTTACGCCCTTCTTGGCAAGGACAGACGAGATCTTCTCCACGTCGCCCCGTTCGGCAGCTTTCATCAAGCGATCATCGTACTTGTTCCAGTCTGCAGTCAACTGTTCAAAGAATGCAGGAGAAATGTTTTCAGTGTACAGTGGTGCAAATCCCTCAGAAATATGAGCAAATGCCTGTTTCCCATAGAGGATATAGTGGGGGAGGGGGGAGAAGTGTTATTCATCTGCCATCCATGTAGCTGGAAGGGAAAATCCCTTAAGAAACGGAAGCCAAGGAAAGCTGCTTCTGGGCTTTAACAAAACAAAAAACTGAAGGAGCTTGATTTCACATATTATTGTGTCAGTTTAATACGGGAAGTACTTAAGAAAAATCCAAACACTGAGAAAACCATGAAGGATTCATGCCTTTTGCATCCCATTATTTACTGGCATGCAATGTTATTCTCAGAAAATAAGATTATAGGATATTTGCAGCACCTTTCTGCAGTTCAATGTATATTTGAATGTGCTTAGAGATGCAGAAGGTCTCAGCTCAATGAGCAGCTTCACTTAAACAACGATCAGAGGAATGGGTTACCTTAAACACAATCAGGCTTGGTGTGAGGAGTGTTTTGGCTTTTCCAAGCCTAATAACTAGAGGGGAGAAGTGACCTTCTTGCAGACTTCAGCTGGGGAGGCAAAGTTAGCCCTCCAGCCAACCACCCTCACTGCACTCTCTCCAGAAAGATCGCCTCTCCTGCAAACACGGTTAGGCTTCAACAAGGCTTTCTTTTTTGAACTGAATTTTACATAGCACACACACCAAGCCAGTGGTGGTGCAGTGGTTAATGCTGGACCTGGGAGTAGGGGGTTCAAGTCTGCACTCAGCCTTGAAGCTTGCTGGGTGTCCTTGGGCCAGTCACTCACTCTCAGCCTAGCCTACCTCACAGGGTTGCTGTGAGGATTGAACGAGGAGGGGGAGAACCACATAAGTCACCTTGAGTTCCAGGAGAGAAAAAGGTGGGATATAATTGCAAAAAATAAACAAACATCCCAGTTACAACTAATTCTATACATATACACATGCACTCACATTTAAAACTCTTTCATGCAATAAATAGGTTATTCCCCAAGCCTAATTCTGGTGCAGAGGAAGTTTTCAGAAGAGGGGTCACAGCTGGGGAGAAGACAGTCAATGCTTCCCAGCTGCAACCCACTTTGAAAATGCCCACCACCAAATTCTATTGCTTCTAAGGGCAGTGTGTGTGTGTGTGTGTGTGTGTGTGTGTGTGTGTGTGGAGAGAGGCGGTAAGGAGGGAGATTTTAGGTGGTGTGGGGAGGGCCCAGGGCCTTCATTGCACCCAACCTGAGGGCTGGCAATTCACCATCCCTGGTGTAGATAGAAGCTGTTGGATAAGCATCTTCCTGCCCAAGATCATGGAGAGTTGCTGCCTGCCACAGCTGACAATGTGCTAGGTCAGAGCTGGGGAAGATCAGTGGCCTTTCAGTTAGTTGCTGGAGTCATGAGGGTTGTTGGGGGGATTTAATGAGGAGGAGAACTATGTATACCACCTTGAGCTCCTTGGAGGAAAAATGGGATATAAATGCAAATGAATGAATAAATGAATGAATAGGATAATAAGCCAGACCTCCCACAAAACAGCTTTTTCCTCTATTCCTTTGAATTCTAGCTTCCGGTAGAACTAATTACAGTTCTTCTAAAACAGAAGGAGTCTATGATATCATTTGCACACCAGTTTAACCATCAAGAGGCCCTTTCTGTTTCCAGAGCCTCCTTGCTCTGGTTTAATTGCCAGGAGCGTTCTGTTTGGATTTCCAGCCAGGCCACCTCGGTGCCTTCTCAGAATAGAAACAAGGTTCTCCACCCTACTTGGCATTTCTTGTTTTCAAGATAGACAGAAGGAAAAAGTACTGAAATCCAAAACACTCTCTTCCCCTACTTCAGCCCACCAACGCCCAAGTCCTCGTTTCTTGCAAAAGGCTTGCATTTCTACTCAAAGGATAATGGCTACATTTGAACTGCACAGGAATGTGTTGTTTTTGAGGTTCTCCCACTTCCCATCTCAACTGGGTGTGGGCCTATTTCATGTGTTATTCCTCTCAAACTGCAGATTAAATCTCTGCCTGAAATGAAAGCAGTATCTTCCTGCCTATGAATGGCAGCATGTGTGGTTTGCTCTGGAAATGTACAGAAGAAGCCAAAACTAATGCCCACTGCAGCTTCCTGGCAGGCACACCTAGACCACAAAAAGAGAAAGTGCAATCCGTAGTGTCATTCAAACGCTGAAAGGCACCTGCTTTTTTCCCAGTCATTTCTACGGAAAGACAACTTGCAAAGTGACCCAAATGAATGTGGAAGCAATAATTTTATTTTATTTTATTTGCCTCCCACTACACAGCAAACAACTGCATTCCAAAGCAGGGTATCATGTTTCTGCCTGTAGTGTCACATGAAACCACAGTAGCACAATTTGGGTATGCACCCCACTAGCTAGCAGGAAATCCATTACCAGAGGGAGAAACAGCAGTTGCCATACCAGCAGCAAACGCTAAACTGGTACCAGCAGGGAGAAAATTCTAGCCACTCCCCCCCCCCAATGTGCTAGCTTTCTACATGCAGGAAGCTTCCAAATACATGTTGCCATTCAGTGGTCCACCAAGATACCTTGTTCCATGTACTGTACATATAGACCAGGCTTTGCTCAACTCATTACCTTGCAAATAAGAAGCTACTTCCAATTAGGGCTGGGCGATATCTGGTTTTCAACATCACAATATATCACCAGCTAAATATCACGATATCTCGATATATATTGTGATGTTATTTCAATACTGGTATTTATTGCACAGCCCTATTTCCAATGTGCAACAGTAGTTTAAAAAATCTATGAACAACAATATTTAAATCTTTCATCTCCCAGCAATCAGATATAAAAACTTGTGCACACAAATATCCCCTTGGTATCAACAGCTTCAGAAAGGCATATTTGAGGGCACAGTGACCCACAAGTTGGTCTGCATGTCCAGGTATACCTTTCCATCTAGAATTGGGGCCGCAGCAGGACTCCACGTTTGCATTTGCTCCAAGTCAGTAGGCAAAAACTGCACAAAAGCCAATGGACGTCATATTTGATTATCCCACAGCTAATTCTGGCCTGTATGGGATTATAGTGGTATGGGGCGAGCCTGCTTTCATCTCTCAGCCCTTCAGTCTTCAGCCGCTCCCTCCTAGGGCTCTTCAAAGGAGCAAAGGCAGCACCACTGACCTACTGAACCCTTTCTGGAGTCATCAAAACATCCAGCATCTGAAGGCCAAACAAGACATTTCAAAAGAAACAAGCATGGAATTAAGGATGCTTATGTTACGCTGATTTTAATGCATGTGATTTTGGGGGTGACGGGGGCATTTGCAGGGAAGCATCGGCAGATGAGTGGCACTTAAGCTGTTCCCAGGTGGCCAATTCTTGCCTGCAAAACCTCTCCCAGAAAATTCTCAAATACCACCACCACTGCGACTCTAAAGCCACAACTCAGTTTGGATGGGGAAGAAACAGCCTCACCTGGACCACCTACAGGGAAGAAATGGCAAACACCTGAGGAGCTAAATACCACAGGCCCTCCAATACAAGTGCCCCACATTCTCTATTTCAGGATTGGGACCAAGCACTTGCAGCAGAAATCAAGTCCTATTTGACTTTGAAAAAGCCTGATAAATCTTTTCAAGGAATCCCAAGCAGGCACATTTCAAAAAAGAAGAAAGCAACTGGAAGCACCATTTCAGTCTCTTCACTTTCTATATTCCTGCACATCTGTGTCATTGACAAACTAGCAGAATTCTCAATGGCAAGCATTTCTACCTAGCATAAAAATATGCTGGGCAGTGCTGGTGCAGAACACAGAAGTGATGCATCCCTTTCCAGGAACTGAAATAAATGCTTTTGACCTCTACCCATTCCCTAAGCATACTTGACATTTTTAAGTTTAGGCAATTAATATTTCCTTTCATTGAAAACTTAAGAGCCCACAAGTGCTCCAGCATGCTAAGTATATAGAATAACTAGAATGGTTTGGTCAAACATTCCCAGTTACAGTTAAACAGATACGGTAAATACACCAAAAGAAGCTCCTCTCAAAGCGAATACCTGGAGGGCTGCAAACAGTGTGTCTGTCACAGGTGTAAGCTTCCAAGATGGAATAAAGGTGGGATATAAAGACAACAGGATTACAATTTAAAGGATTTCAAACATTAGAAGCCCAGCAACTCCTCTGAACAGAAATCTACCATAAAGAGTGCAGCACCGAGATCATCCATCTCTTCAATTCACCTGCTGTACTGCACAAAAAGGCGTAAATTAAGAGAAACTCTCACAAAGAGTTCTAAGCGGAAAGAATACTACAACAAGCAAATGCTGCAATTCAGGCCACACTGAGAAGGAACAATGCAAGCTGTGGCAGAAAGTTGGAAGCTGCTCTGCCGTAAGACGATACCTACTGTGTTTTTAAGGGCACAGGAAAACCAGCAACTCATTCTAGAGTTCCCGAGTCCTGGCTGCCAAGAGTGAACAGCAAACCCGACATTCAGCTACAGCCAGAGTCCAAGGGGGCTGCCCAGTGCAACCTGAATTTCTGCTGCCCTTCTGCATTCATCTTGGTCCTTCTTCCCTTAGCTCGGATCCCCTGACATGCTGTCTCCGTCTTCGGGGTCTTCTTCAGACTTCATCACTCTTGAGAAGACAACTGGGCAGCTTCTAGGGACAGGGCTGTGCCAAGTGGCACCGTCCCTTCCAGCGGGCTGTGCCAACTGCTGCAGCTGCCCCCGCCTGGCACTGGAGGAGGGGGATGCCCAACACCAACGTGGCTTTTGTTTTCACTCCTCCTGCGCCGTAGCGCCAACTACTGCCTCTGCAGTTCAGACACAGTAAATATTGCCCCGCTCCAAAATATCCTGTAAACAATATGCAGACAGTCTCACACCAGTCCAGAGCTATTTTTTGATTTGCCCGGTACTTGATAGCTGAGCGATCGAAAGAAATAGCTAATAATATATCCAGTGCATGCTCAACCGGTGAGTAATATGTGACGGCCGCTGCCGGCCAGAGAGGCAAGAATGTGCACAAACTGCTCACACCACGAGCGGGCGATATGTGCTACTGACCCAGGCGCTGCACTCCCTCTAAGAAGCAAATGCAGTATGTTGTGCCCAATTAGCTTTCAAGTGACACTTTCCAAGGGAAACTAAGCCACTGTAAAATAGGGCATGATCAGTTCTACCAGGGACCCCTGTCATTAACCAGTACGGGCTCCCAACAGCTTAAGAGCCGATCGCGGCTTTGTAATCATATGACTGCGTCCAGCAGAGAGGAATGCAAGAGTCTATTTTGACAAAAGCATCTCAGATGTTTATTTAGAAGACACACGTGCCCCTGCTTTTCTAAAAAAAATTAAATAAATAAAAAGAACTCTCCTTTTACAAGCACGGACCCCATTCTGAAAGCCAAGGAGGTTTCAGTTTACTTTTGCTGCCAGGCTGTCTCCTTGCTGGCTAGTTGAGAGGCCCCATGGAGGTTTGTCAAACCATCAAATAGACAACACAGTGATTAACAGGGCTAGGGATGCAGTGCTCCCTTTTCTCCTTTTCAGTTTTAACAAGGAAGGCACACTCTTAAAATGCCATCTTTAGCACAGTTGGATGACACCAGCTTTGAATCTTCCAGATCAAATGGTCCAAAGGGAGCCCATGAAATATGCGGGGGGGGGGGGGAGAGCCCTCCAGACTATTAAGACAGAGGGACTGAAAATACAATTTGCTGAGGTGACCCTTCTTAGAAAGTTCTAATGGTGGCTCAGAGGTCGGTTGGTGGTCTACCAGAGGACATTTGTCCATTCAATAGGCAAACTCCAGTTCCTCCTACCCCCACACCCCCATAAAAGACTCATGGACAACAACATTCAGCATTTTAAAATAGAAGGATCCCCTCACTCATTCCCAGTCACAAAATGCTTGCCTAAATAAGGTCTTGCACTGATACCACTCTGGTGATGCTGAGTGGTTCAAAGCTGGGAGCAGCCATTGACAGCTTCTTTGGTTTGCCTCAGTGCTTGGGCTCAGATAAGCTGCACCAAAGAAATAACATTCGAGAGACTGCAGCAGTACTCAGGAGATGTGCCAGGTATGGGCAGGTGAGCTAACATTACTGCTCCTTTTTCCTGAGTGGGTATGTATGCATACTTGATGTCGAAAACACTTGGAGACATAGATGAATTGTTGGCCTTGGATCTGGCGATGCAAGACACAGGCGAACTGTTGGCCTCAACCAACGCTCCCCTCAGCCTCCATTCCACCCACGCAAAACTGCATTGTTGCAAAGGTTGTTGGTCATTTTCTACAATTGAACTCGCTCCCCTGGCAAGGCAGAAGTGCATCCACTTCTCATAACGCTGGAAAGTAGAAGCTGAATTGCTTTCTGCTTCCTGCTTTAACATTAGCGTGAACTTGGAAAACGGTATATTCTAGGAAACCAGCTGTGCAACCCAGCAGCTTTTCCTCACAAAAACAACATTCCAAGAAAAATGAAACTGAAATGGTTAGCAAAATCTCATATGAACGGGACCAGCAAGTCATTTTGTAAATCCACCACAATTTGGGTTTATAATGTTAAGAAAGTTCAAAGGCAAATTAAACGAAATTCCAAAGTCAGGTGAGAACATCATTTTGCAGGCCGCCAGCTCTAACACAGTGGGGATGCGGGTGGCACTGTGATCTAAACCACGAAGCCTAGGGCTTGCCAATCGGAAGGTCAGCGGTTCGAATCCCTGCGATGGGGTGAGCGCCTGTTGCTCGGTCCCTGCTCCTGCCAACCCAGCAGTTCAAAAGCACGTCAAAGTGCAAGTAGATAAATAGGTACCACTCCGGTGGGAAGGTAAACAGCATTTCCGTGCACTGCTCTGGTTTTGCCAGAAGCGGCTTAGTCATGCTGGCCACATGACCTGGAAAAACTGTCTGCGGACAAACGTCGGCTCCCTCAGCCAGTAAAGTGAGATGTGTGCTGCAACCCCAGAGTCGCTCGCGGCTGGACCTAACTGTCAGGGGTCCTTTACCTTTACCTTTTTTAGCTCTAACACAGAGCCGCCTCCACAGAGAGCTGTTTGGAAGCCCTGTTTTTGATGCTACTTGCCTGAGATAACAGATAATCACCACACACAACAACCAGGCAGGGACTGAAAGTAACAGCTGCACATGTCCATAGTTGCAGGATGGCATCTACTTTTATACAAGATGAAAACCAAATTTGAATCCTTTATTTGGAGTCTTGTAGAATTGATGCTTTTGAATTATGGTGCTGGAGGAGACTCTTGAGAGTCCCATGGACTGCAAGTAGATCAAACCTCTCCATTCTTAAGGAAATCAGTCCTGGAAGGACAGATCCTGAAGCTGAGGCTCCAATACTTTAGCCACCTCATGAGAAGAGAAGACTCCCTGGAAAAGACCCTGATGTTGGAAAAGATGGAGGGCACAAGGAGAAGGGGACGACAGGGGACGAGATGGTTGGACAGTGTTCTCGAAGCTACCAGCATGAGTTTGACCAAACTGCAGGAGGCAGTGGAAGACAGGAGTGCCTGGCATACTCTGGTCCATGGGGTCATGAAGAGTCGGACACGACTAAACGACTAAACAACAACAACAAAGTTCTCAGTGTTCAGTTTCCAGATTTTGTTTCTAAGACGACTTTAAAGAAAAATACAATTAAATGGGAGCATTTGCAGATGACTTAGTATTGACGTTACAGGAGCCAGAATCTAGTACCAAAAGGGTTTTAGAACTGATTCAAGAATTTGGTCAGGTTGCAGGATTCAAACTGAATAAGTTAAAAACCAAGGTTTTAGAGAAAAACTTAACACCGTTTGAAAGAGAGAGGTTTCAGAATGAGACAGGTTTAACAGTGGTTAAGAAAGTTAAATACCTGGGGATTAACATGACAGCAAAAATGGGAACTTATTTAAGGATAACTATGAAAAATGTTGGTCAGAAGTGAAAAAAGATTTAGAAATTTGGTCAAATTTGAAGCTTTCACTGCTAGGCCGTATTGCTGCGATAAAAATGAATGTATTGCCTAGAATGTTGTTTTTGTTTCAAACTTTGCAGATTGTGGACAAAATGGACTGTTTCAAGAGGTGGCAGAGAGATATTTCTAGATTTGTCTGGCAGGGCAAGAAACCCAGAATAAAATTTAAAATACTAACAGATGCAAAGGAAAGAGGTGGATTTGCCCTGCCAGACCTCAAACTTTATTATGAATCAGCAGCTTTCTGCTGGTTGAAAGAATGGCTACTTCTTGAAAACACTGACATTTTGGACTTGGAAGGTTTCAATAATGTATTTGGATGGCATGCATATTTATGGTATGATAAGGTCAAAGCACACAAAGCATTTAAAACCATATTGTCAGGAAAGCGCTATTTAATGTTTGGATAAGATATAAGGATTTGCTAGAAAATAAAACCCCAAGGTGGCTGTCACCAATGGAAGCGAAAGCTTTGAAAAGGGTCAATATGGAGGTCAAATGGCCGAAATATTGGGAAATTTTAGAAGAAGACGGAGATAGACTGAAATTGCAGAGTTTTGAAAAACTAAAAAACAAAGTGCGAGACTGACTTCATTATTATCAAATAATGGAGGCATTTAAATTGGACAGGAAAATTGGCTTCCAGGTAGAAAAATCAAAATTAGAAACAGAATTGTTAGAACCCAATACTAAGAATTTGTCAAGAATGTATAACTTGCTGCTGAAATGGAATACTCAAGATGAAACGGTAAAATCGGCTATGATTAAATGGGCACAGGACGTAGGACATAACATTATGTTTGCTGACTGGGAACAGTTATGGACCACAGGTATGAAATTTACGGCATGTAATGCCTTAAGAGAGAATATTATGAAAATGATATACAGGTGGTACATAACCCCAGTCAAGCTTGCGAAAATCTATCACTTGCCCGATAACAAATGCTGGAAATGTAAAGAAATTGAAGGTACATTTTTTCACCTTTGGTGGACGTGCCCAAAGATTAAGGTCTTCTGGGAAATGATATATAATGAATTAAAAAGGTATTTAAGTATACCTTCCTAAGAAACCAGAGGCCTTTCTCCTGGGTATAGTCGGCCAAATGGTGTTAAAAAAGGATAGAACTTTCTTTATGTACGCAACAACAGCAGCAAGAATACTCATCGCAAAGTATTGGAAGACACAAGAACTTCCCACGCTGGAGGAATGGCAGATGAAACTTATGGACTATATGGAACTGGCTGAAATGACTGGTAGAATCCGTGACCAGGGAGAAGAGTCGATGGAGGAAGACTGGAAGAAATTCAAAGACTATCTTCAGAAACACTGCAAAATTAAGGAATGTTAGAGTGATGTTGGACTGAAAACAAGTGGTTTCCAGCTGCACAGGTTAAAGTTATGGAAATTTGATATTAAAAGGGAAAACTTTAAAGTTATATGATATTAAGACCAAGGACTAGGTTTAAAAAAAAATTGAAGTTATATATTTTAACATTTTATTAAATTAAAGATTGGGATTAAAAAAAAAAGTGGAAAAGAAATTGCTGAACAAACAATGTGGACTGGAATACAAAGGAGGGAGGTTTGAGGAAGTCTAGAAAATAAGTTACGTAAAATTGGAAATGGAAAAGAGAGTTTGTTTTTAATTGTTGTGTTTTGTGTTTTTATTGTTAAGTTTTGTATTATTTTTATGTGAGTTTTTCTGTTCTTTTTTTGTGTTATGTTGTTTTAAACTTTAATAAAAATTATTTAAAAAAAAAAAGGGGGGGCAAATTAAACTAGCTTCAAAGATCTTAAAAATAAGTTGTTTACCTGACTTGCCACATTATATCTTGCTTCCTTCTGCCTACAGCAGGTGCCAAATGAATTTCACATCCAGGTTCCAACCTGGTGAAAAATATTATACTCCCAAGGAATTGGTGGGCTCTTTGCCACTTTGGTTCCATAAACTCATTCCCACTGCCCCTGCTCCTAAATAAATACATGATTAAATATCCCTTCTAGGGTGAAATTACGTACTCACGTCTTTTCTGCTTTCTTTGAGTGGGTGGTCTGTGTGTGTGTGTGTGTGTGTGTGTGTGTGTGTGTCTGATAATGATTTTTTGTGATAGTCTCAATGTGGTCTTCATGATATTCACATGTTTATTTTTGGAAATTTTATGGTATTAGCTGTATTAATGACTGTGAATAACATTTAGAAATACAGAACCTCAGCTGTGCAAATGGTTGACCAAATAACCTCAAACCCGATTCCAGCTGTATGGATTTTTGAATCCTGGGCTGGTGGAAGCAAGATGCTTGGACTGAAAAATGAGGTTGAATCAGGTTCCTGTAGGCCAGAATAAAGAACACAAGGAATATTTATAGTGAGAGGAGTGAAGAAAGTCTGCAGGATAGATAAACCAGACACAGTGTAATGGGAATAAGGAGTAAAGGAATTGCTGCAGACCGAGGCAGTGATTTTTGGGGAGGTGGGGGATAAATCATAAGACATGCCTCATCCTGACCAGAATACAGCCCAAGTTGCAAGTCTCCTGCAAGTTTAAGTTCTTTAACCACTGAAGCCTGAAAAATGTGAAGGAGGTCATTAGTCTTGTTTAAAAAGGCTTTTAACTACCACGTCCAATGGAGCTTACTCCTAAGACAGTTAGTTACTGAAACCACCTCACTCCTGCTGGTGGATTTATTCTCCTTTTAATGCTTGACAAAGCATTATCTGCTGCTGTTTCTTTTCTGCCAGTTGTTTTGTTGCTCTTATTACTGTTAGACATTTTCAGCTTCTTTTTGAAGAGAGTGAGATTTAAAGATCATAATAACACAGAAAATCCTAACTGCTGACAATGCTATACATTTATACTATATATAAGCAGTGTTAGAAACTCAGGTATACAAGCTAGGTATACCTTAAACGAAGGTCACAGTCGCCACAACGGAATGTCTATTCACCAAGGGGTTGGATGATCCTTAGGGTCCCTTCCAATGCTACAAATTTATGATCTTAGAACATGTCATATCACCAACATAGCGGTCAACTTTTCCCTTTAAGGGAAATTCCCTTATTCCGAATAGGATTCCTTGCAAGAAAAGGGAAAAGTTGACAGCTATGCACCAAAAGCTAACATGAAACAGATTATAAAGTTTTGCAGACACCCACAATACATCCAATGCAGCCCCTGTTATTTAAAAGGGGTAAATCCTTCCTAACTTGTTTGGTTTTTGAGAGCCTACATATTAAAAGACTTACAGTACCTTGCAGTAAAGGTAGAAAGAGGCGTTTGTGGTATGTAATGTACCAAGAGCACGGATTACTCCTGCAGATCAGGGTAAAATGAGACAGGATGTTCTTAAATTACCAGCAGAAAGGGCATACAGCTGCTGTGAACACAGAGAATTGGAATCACTGGGTGCTACCAGCAATAAAGGCTATTAATAGTTTCTGCTGCTTCTAAGGAGTTTGAAGTTTTCCAGTTTCTAGATTATCCAAGCAGTGAGGATCAAGGCCGCCACTAGACTGGGCCCATTTCTTTTTTCATTCTGCAGAACTCAAGTTTTTGTCAAGTTCTCTTACAAATGGAGCTGGCCACAGGCTAATAAATCCTCAGCATTTGCTCTCAACTTGAGAAAAACAGCACCTGCCTTACAAGGCTTACCAACTGGACTGGTAAGGTGATCTCTCTTGCAGTTAATGACTCATGCCAAATGAGAGATGGTGGTGATCACTAAATGCCAAAAGAAAAGGGTTACAACAGAAGTGTAACCTCTGCATACCCAATCAAGTGTAAATTTCTGGCCTGCAGTTAAGGTAATGAGAGGTCTCCCTCTCAGAAAAGCCCCAACACAGATGCACCCCAGTCAAAAGGAGCTACTTGGCGAGGGCTTCTGAAGTCCTCTTATAGTATTTGAAAACTGAAATCTCTTGCTCTATTCCTCTGTCACAATCATTTATCTCTGAGCCACATATACTGAGCACTGTTACAGCTCCAATTCCAATGGAACCTTATATAATCACAGAACTGAAGTGTTGGAAGGGACCCAAGGGTCATCTAGTCCAACCCCCTGCAATGCAGGAATCACACAGCTAAACAATCCCTAAGTGATGGCCATTTAACCTCTGTTGAAAAACCTCAAATGAAGAAGCGTCCACCACCTTGCGTGTTTCTACGTCACAAAAATCCGCAAAAGTAGTAAGAAGCATAATCTGCCAGCACAATTAAGTCACACTAATGTTTTGATATATTTTTATGGGATTTTGGCTTAAGTGGTGTACTTATGCTTTGCCACCACATTGTTCCAAGGATTAGACCACACTTCAGAATCAGGTTTTTGCTCACTGCATGTTATTCAAAACTCTGCAACTGGAATGTATCCTGGCACCAAGTTATTAGCCCATGCACCAGAAATTGCCTAGGGGACAATTCTAATGCTGGAAACTCTAAGTGGAACAACTGTAAACAGGAGAATCATGGGACATTCCCAGATTATTCCAGGGATTTCTATGAAAGATACATAGTGTACTTCTTACTCTGTAATTCTCTCTTCCAGTCACTCTCTGCCCTGTGAATTCCACAACTGATTAAGTTTCTTTTAAACTGAGTTACTTTCAGAGTTCCTGTAAGAGACATCAGACTCCCACAATCCTGGGCCAAGGAGCCGATAGTCTCTACAAGGTCAGGATGATTAAACAGATAACTGATAAAAGTGGCATTCTGTGGGATCTCAAGTAACTAAAGCGAGGGGTGATGCAGCCGGGTGCTAATCTCTTCAATGACCTCTTGCCCTCAAAGCCCTCTCTTTTCATCAGCTTTGCAAATTTAAGCAAAAATTCAGATTCAATTTTATTAAACATATTACTGTTCTGTCTTCTGATCACACCCAGGCAGCCAGTCTAACAAGACACACATTATCCAAACACAATAAAATCCTAAATCAGGCTGAGCAACATGACCTAGGAATGAGTGGAACATGAGTACTCAAGGGCTTACAATGAAATCTGTCAGGGAACTTATTTTCGGGGTAACATTTAATAAATCATACCCCAAATTTCCAACATATTTATTATTAAACAGAATGTACATCCTACTTGATTCAGTGGGAGGGGACTCAAACCTCTAAGCAGTTTACAACCAAATAAAATTAAGCATTTAAATCATCTATAAAAAAGTTAAAAACAGGTATTAAAAATATTTAAAAGAGGCTTAAGTTCCATACTAGCTAAAATGATATTAAAACACATGTAACTTCTATATTTCTGGAAAGGCTTGCCAAAACAAAGGAGTTTTAAGCAGGCACTGAAGGAATACAATGAAGGCACCTGTCTGATGTCAATATGCAGGGAGGAACATTACATGGCCCCTTGCTGAAGCTAAGCAGGTCCGGTTCTGGTCAGTTCCTGGATGGGAGACTACTTGGGAACTGCAGGCATACTACCTTGGGTTCTAGGGTGGGTGGAGGGAATAGGATATCAGCATAAGGAAATATATACAAGGTGCAACCCGAATCAAGAATATTCAAATAATAGTGGGAATTGACTAGAACTAGCCATACTGACAAATGCCGCTGTTTGCATCAAAGATTGGGAATTCACTGAGATCCGATGGAATGCTTCCATGCATTTTGAAACCCACTATTCCCAAGGTTCTTCATTTGGAAATTTGCTAAATTGATTCATTGCATTTCCACCCCATCATCCCTCCAAGGAGCTTAAGGTTCTCTTCCTCCCCATTTTATAATCACAACAGCCCTGTGAGGAAGGTGAGGTTGCAAGACAGTGAGCTTCACGGATGAGCAGGGATTTGAACCCTTGTCCAACACACTAATCACTGCACCACACTGGTTCTCCAAATGCACTGGCTGTACTTGTTTATGCATGTCCCTAGCCTGCCTCACATGATGCCAGACTACACACAGAAAGAATTAGCAGCAGGGGGTCCCACACTCATGCATTTGGTAACCATGCCTTGCCCCAACTATTCATTCTTAAGCAGCATTTGCTGCCAAATGGGAACTCAGTATAAAGTGTGTATGTGGGCCATCAAGATCTCTCCCTCCACCGTCGTTTTTGCCACAGATGCTCATGTGAAATTAGTGGTTGTTTGTTTACACACACACCCTCCCCTTTTTGCTTCTTCCTGCCTCATGGCCCGGACTTGTAGCACGAGAACAGCAACACTAGTGATTCTCCTGCCAAGACACACAGAGGCACAGGCTTCCAACCACACAGCAGCTTTTATTTTAAAACGGGCTACCTGCCAAAGCGAGTGCCTCTGTAGATGGCACCCCACCTTGATGACACTCTGAAAGCCATGCAGAAACACACACAGCACTCAGTCCATACACATTTCTTTATCATAAACACAACCAGTCATGATTTCCAGTAGACCCCACCTACTGCTGGTCGTTTGCCTTCCTCATGGGGAAAACATAGGAAGTTGCCATATACTGAGTCAGACCATTGGTCCATCTAGCTCAGTTTTGTTCACACTGGCTGGCAGCAGCTCTCCAGGGTTTCAGAATGGGGTCTTTCACAGTCCTACCTGGAAAAGCTGCTGGGGAATGAACCTGGGACCTGCTACACGCAAGGCAGATGGCTCTTCCTCTATGGGTTTTCCTCTGCTATACAGTCTCTCATTACCTTATTTAACATAATAAATAGCTTTAATACTATCAAGTGACCAGTGGGGTGCGGTCAGGGGACTAGGCTAGTTCCCTAAATATTCCCCTGGTACCTCCTTCCCAAAGCCTGGGAAGCTTCTGCCTGACTTAAGGAGGGAGGTACGATGCTCATGTGTGCAACATCGCTCATGTGCACATTGTCATCCCAGTCCTCCCATCCCCACAATCGTCCTTGCAAGCTGACACCTCTGGCCTTAACTGTTCCCCTACAAAAAAAAATCACCGCACACCACTACAAGCAACATATTGGATACCAACATTGCTCACAAAAATAAATATTTTTCTGTGGAGTGTATCTAAGAACAGATTTGCTCTTTAAGTCACAAGTCTGCATACAGTAGCAACAATTCTGAGAATTTGGGGGTAAACTGGGGCAGTGGGGAAGTCATTGGCATAGCAGCAACTGGGCACAGTTAGCCAAACTGCTTGGAGTCCCAATACATGGTCCTCAATATGTCAGCATCTCTGACAGTTAAACAGATACTGTGATATTCCATGCTAGTTCTTTTCAGACTAGACTCTCTGAAATTAATAACTTTGGTTAGGACCTGAATACAACCCATATAGTCCTAGACTGTGCCGCAAGTGGAGATGAGGGATGAACAAGCTATACCAGCCTTCGTGAAGCTGGCTCCCTCCAGATGTTTTGTACAACAGCTGGTGGGAATTGTGGTTACAAAAGATCTGGAGGGCACCAGCTTGGCAATGCCTGAACTACACCACACCAAGGTGTTTGCAGAATGGTTTAAGCAAATAAGTAAATCTTTACAAGTGGACACGGAAGGAGGGGTGGGGAGGAAATGGAAGGGTCACAAGCCAATTGGCCTTGAGGAAAATTTGCTTACACATCTGGAAAAATAGGCATCAAATCCTGAGAATGAACTAAAACTCTCCCATGAAGTTTCTTCAAACTCAAGCCTGCCTCACCCAGCATAGACACGTCCCCTTGGAAAAATATTTGGGGAACTGCTTTTTTCTTATCATTAAAGCTACATTCACCCTAACTCACGATTTAGCCAAAGGAGGAGAGCATTCCAGAAAGATTAAAACATCACAGGAAGAGACTGACCTTCCTGTTACATGTGGGAGGGACAGCCTGCTCCTTCTCAATTAGCTGGCAGCTTTCTCAGTTTAATTGCCCAGCTCATAAAGTGTGTGTTTTGCAAATGTCAGTGTCTTCACCAAAGTGGGGTGGAAGGAATAAGTCTTGTGGCACCTTAATGAATAAAGAAAGTCTGCCATCAGTTATGAGATGGCTTCTCGAGGGTAGAATAAATTCCAAGCAAACACCCACAAAAGGAACAGGAGGAAGCACTTTCACACACTTCTACTCTTCCCACAAGAAAAAGGAGTTTGAAGCTTATGTTTAGTTTGGAAAGAAACAGGACCCCACTGCCACCTCCATATACAGGCACCCCCCCCCAATCTTACACACAGTCTGAGAGACAAACAAAATTAAATCCAGCTGATGTTTACATGCCATCACTCACACTGGCAAGAGTGCTTTATTTCCGATTATGAAATGGAAAGACAAAATGGAAATATCCCTTTCAAAGGGAAACCAACAGAGCTTAGCTGACAGATTTGGAGGTGCCTGTGATTTGCGCAGGCTGGAATACTAATGCAAGCAATCCGACCTAAGAGCCTCACTCAAAAGTAGGAAAGTTAAGAGAATTTCCACAATGTGCATGTTTGTAAGAGGTCAGGACGGAAAATCATGCAAGCAAATAGGAGTCGTTTTCGCTAGGGCTGTCTTTTAAACCCACAAACATTACTTAAATTGCATTATTCCCTGCATTGTTTTTGACATTTTACTTCCATTGACATGCACTGAAATTAATTGTGTACATTTCAGCCACAGCTGGCAGCAAGATGAATAAGGTAGGTTTTAGTGGAAGCAGAGCTGTAGTGGAATAGAAACAGTGCTTATTGGGCCAGTCACTGCCTCTCAGTCTAACGTACCTCACAGGGTTGTTGTGCGGATTAAATGAGGACTTGGAGAAAGAACTATGTATGCCACCTTGAGCTCCTTGGAGGAAAAAGGTGGGCTATAAATGCAATTTATTACATTTATTTTTATTATTTTTACTATTTTTGTTGTTGTTGTTGTTGCAATGAATGCAGGACAGGATGGAGATGGCTGCCACCTTACATCCCTATGCAATAGTCAGGTAAACCTGAATGTAGTGCAAGCGCAGGCCAAAGAATCACAGGCCTAAGCCTGCAGCTATCCACTGAGTGTACAAAACTGCCTTACAGGAAGTCAGGCCTGTATCATCTTCTCTGGCTAGCAGGGTTCTCAAGGAGAGGAAAGTCATTGCCAACTGTGCTACCTAAGGCAGTTTTTCACTGTGGATCAGCATTCCTTAATCTGGTGCCCTCCAGGAGTTTTGGATTACAACTCTCCAGCCAGGATGAATACGGGAGTCCTATTCCAAAACATCTGGAGGGCATCAGGCTGCCATGATGTTGGGGGGCTGAACCTGGGACTTTCCCTATGCAAAGCAGGTTCTGCTCCACCAGTGAGCAGCACTGGCCCCTCCCCTGCTGGAAGAGCAATGACTTGACAGTGTACTCTAGAACTGTAGAACAGCAGGTTTTAGATTAACCCTCCACCCTGTAATTAATACAGGCAAGTCTTGACATATTTAACCACTAATAGCATTTCATTCAAGGCACACATTTTTCTTCTCAGAAGAAGTTGCATAAATGTCCACTCCCTATATATGAAAAACACACAAACACACATCAGTAAACAGTTCAGTAAAGTATGCTTCTGAGCAATAGAGCATGCTGAAGTAATTCTGAAGCATGGAAACATGCCGTTGCAAGACTCAGTTGAGACTCCCAGGAAGAAATCTACAACTTGGCCATAATGATTTCGTTCATTGGCAGATCTCCTCAGTTCTTTTAAGCAAAGCTGAAAATCCAACATTCTCTTCGGCTGCAATCGCTGGACTCTGCAGGGAAGCTGCCAATGATCTGCCTTCAGTTGGGTTAAGACTCCTGAGTTTGGAACAAGGAGGGTTATGTCCACTATCACTTGTTAGTAAAGTAATAGCTGTGCAATTTGGCACAGAATATCACTGATCCAGCCAACAGCAATCAAGACCCCACACATATCCGCATAAAATCCATATTCCCATGAGCAGCACAGAGTAGGGAATGCTGGAGGAACTGGAGGAAGGGGGTGCAGTGGTCTGCATTCCACAGCTAGCTCTTTTGACCTGCAACTCCTGACTGAGTTGCACACTAGAACATGGCCCCTCTCTGAAATCCACACTCCACCAAATTCTAGGTGGTCCAAAATCCATCTTTAAAACATGTGGTTTATTTCTCCTACAGGTAAAAATAGCTTGGAGCAGCTAGAAAGTGTGCAGCTGCTCCCATCTCTGATGCAAATGGGGCCACAAGTTCCCCTGGGATTGATGCAACATGGTAATGTCCCTTCCTATGAAACTGTATGGAAAGTTTCCAATTTCATAGGGAATTGGTAGTCCTCTAATGCCATCTTATTTAAAGCAGGAATCAGCATACATTTGTTTTTTGAAAACTATTGCTATCACACTCAAGTGGCTTATGTCACAGAAGCAAAACAACAAAAAATAAACACTTTGCTGAGGTTTGTTTTAAGAAAATAAAATAAAAACCAATACCAGGTGTTACAAAGAACAACAACAGTGTTACAAAGAGTGTGACAATTGCATGAGGTTTCTGGCCCTTGAAGTAAGCAATTCCACCTACAACACCACCACCTTAACTGCTACTCTCTTCCAAGAACTTTTAAACCAAGATGGCAACCAAGGTGCAAACCTATGTAAACAGTTTGCAGGAAAGCTAAGGCTGTCAGCATAACCAGTATCAGATGCTCAGCATTCTGTTTGCTCTCAAGAAAAGGGCCACCTTTCCCTTTCATCTGATCACATTAAGGGTCAGAAGAGTCTCCACAAAGCTGTTTGTTGAATGCAAAATCTGAACAAAGGAAGGAAGCTGCCCACTGAATGTGCTGATAACCCTGTGCCCCAATTCAAACTCCACTGCCTCCACACACACCCCCACCCCTAACTGATCTGGGGAAATTTAAGAACAGAGCTGGGATCAGCATTACTATAAACTTAATAAATTACATCAAGGGTGAGTAGAAGGCAGATTTGGATCTACTGGTAGATCTCTTGGGAGACTTGCAATAGATCTACATGGGTTGCTGACTCCAATAGCAATAACAAAGGGACCTTTTCCACCCAAATTAGGCTGCCAAAATGAAGGAAGTGAATTAGGAGCAGCATTTTGTGTGTGTGAAAGAAAGGAGCTCAAGTCTGGTACTGAAAAGAAATTTCTATGCTTGGAGGCACTCTGTTCTTTTCTTCCAACCATCTTTTGCACCCAGCTCTGGTTGGTGGATCTTGGGGTTGTAGCAGGCAAGTAGTAAATCTGCCAAAACAAACCTAAACTGCCCATTTCCCAGTTATATTATATTTATATCGTCATGGAGCAAGCATGCCAGCTAATGTGAAGGCTGCTTTTAAATTCAAGGAGTACAGAATGAAAATCTTTGTTTCAGAAAGAGGAGGTAATAACAGCATTCCCATAGTTACACACTGGGCCTGGCTTTCTATGACTACAGACACAAATGACCTCGGATTGCCTCAACGTTGCTAATTAATGAGTGATGCAAGCTTATGACCAGTAATTAATCCAGGCACAGCAGAAATTGCAGCATGCAATAGCCAAAGTCTGATCAATGAAATGGAAAACTCACACAGCAAGAGCCCCTCCTTGCTTCTGCTGCTGTGTAAAGGCTGTATCAGGCGGGTGGAGTCATGGGTCTCAAAAAGTACTTTTCCACAAGATACAATTCATGGGGCAAAATCCAGTTGTGATTAAAAAAAAAATGCCCAGAAAGAAGATCTACATTAGGAGCAAAGTTCAGCAACTGACAGAAAGGCTAACTTCAGTGTGCAGTCAGATACTGCCAAGTCCGACTGCAATGAAGAGGCTGAGTTGCTGGCATATTCTAGGAGGAAACTGTCCTCCTCAAATTTGTCCTCTGTGTTCCTCATTTCTGGCCTAAACACACAACACTTCATCTTTCACTGTCCTGAGTATATGCAGATTTTCAGCAACCATCTCAATGGGCAAAGCTCCGAGTTCTGCCTGCATGAATCTCAACGTCAATCATTAGCCCTCATGAAATCAGAGTTACAACCATTTATATAGTTTATGACAGTTCTGAATTTTTCCCTGTCGGCCTTCCTTTTGAGGGGATCCATTTTAGCCAAAGTAGGCGTAGCAAGCCAACTTGATTCCTTGGTTTGCAGCCTATTCCAAATTCAAAAGTAGGCTGAGAGCAAGAGTTGCTTGACTTGAGATGTTACGAAATAAGTGAATTACCTTCCTAATGCAACAAAACCCAAGCACTTCCTACACACCTCATCTTCTCACTTTACACATCCCAAATGTGTGTTCTCACACACAATGGGCACAACCCTAGCACTATTTCATGTGCAAAACATGCATACACAAAAAAAAATGTGCCACAAACGCCTCAAGGAAAACCCTCCTTAAGCGCTCATATTTTCAACATTTGAATCAAAACAGGAGATAAGTTTGAAAAAAAGAATGCTGAGACAATGTCTAATTTCATGGTACAGGTTGTATGTCTACAGTACTGGCTTGCATTGGTCTGGATGCCTTTGGCAAGCAGCAATAATTTCCAGACAACAAAGCAAATGAGTTTTTGTAAATAAGAATTTGTTCTTCCAAACAGCTGATACAGCACTAATGATTGATGTATGTGGTCAGGTAAGCTAATAATGGGCAAAGGAGATTCCACCCATTTGGAGCCTACACTAGCTATGGTTCAGTGGGCATGAATGTGTCAAAACAGCCTAGACCAACAGGTTCCATAGCAAAATAAGTCTGGCAAAATCTTTAAAAAATGAGCTACTTCTAAAGAACGAGTTTGTGTGTACACAAGTTCTTTTAATTTATTATCCACTCTTCACCCTAAGGGTCCCTGAGCAGGTTAGAAAGTTCCTCCCTCTAGCATATTTATTGACTCACTCTAAAAGTCACAAATTTCAACAGCTTGCCAAAAGCCATCCATCACCTTCCCGAAAGGGATTTGGTCAAGGGTGCACAAGTGGCTTTATTTTACTCTGACCATAATCTGATGAATATTTAAGGTTCTGCCTCAGTATAGAGGTTGATATGCTTTATACCTCATTTTAACTTTGTATGCATATGCATAAGTCTTAATCTAAAAAACATGTTGTCGGGGGGGGAGGGTAGCTTGCTCAGCTCTACTGTTGCTTTCACAATCACAGTCAGCCCAATGTTAAGGTTCCCAATACCACTTTTTCTCCCATATATTAACAATCCATAACACCAAGAAGCAAAAACATGTTCTAATTATGAACGCACTTCAGTACGGAGGCACTACACCTTGTTCCATTTTCACACCTTCATTCATTTCCATATTATTATTACTTATTATTATTTATTGAAGTTATATACCACCGTATACCCGCAGGTCATATAACACCTTTTGCAAGAGAAATGAATTCATTTCATCAAGTTTGTGAGAGAGGTTGCTCTATTCCTATTCTATAAGAGCAGCAGGGGAAAAGAACTGAGGTTAGACATGGACTTATGTGCCGCCTCATAGCAAGAAAGAAACAGAGCTGCAAAGTTCCCCTGTGACATAAGCAGCTCCAAAGCCTCAGCATCAAGCTGTTCCAATGATGGATGGGAGCATCATTTTCTGGGGATTGGTCAAAGACTACCAACAATTTGAGAAGATTTTACTGAAGGAGAGACTGACACCAAACACAGCACACTAAAGGTGTGTGACAGCCACCAGCAGCAGCTAATGAAAAATACTGGAGGGGGGGAGATGCACTCCACAGTTATGGAGCATGAAGGAATAATTATAGATTATCTGTCATGCAATCAAAGCAAAAAAACAACAAAGTCCTCAAACAAATTATTCAGCGCCTTCCTCTCAGACCCCAACACAACACATAACCTCAATCTCTTCCCATGTGAATTCACCCTGAGGTGCCTCCCTTCCTGGTAACAAGAGTGTGGTTTTCCGACATGCCAAATTAAAGATGACTAATTTAGCATGTATCTTGTCAAGTATCTCAGAGTCTTGTCACTGTGATGACAACCAAAGTCATTAACAGGTACACAACTCTACCGTGAAATTCCAGTACTTGCCCTGAAGTCATCAAGGTTTGCCTCACCTGCCTGCTTACTTCACTTCCCACAGACGTTAATGTGAAGTAAGAGGCACACAAATGGATTCAGGCTGTGGATCAGACACATCAGAGGTTCTCAAACAGTGGTCACAGACCACTGGTGAACTGCAAGTTCCCTTTAGGTGGTCCTGGGAAAAGCTGTGGAACAACTGGATTTCTTCTTCTTCTTTTTTGATGACTGACAAGACCATTTAGAGCTGGGACCAGATTACTAAACAGACTATGGCCCATGATTTTCATACAACAGCACTAGCGCAATATGGGATTTTCATCACTCCACCTCAAGTCTAAATACAGAAGCAGGAAAAATGTTGCAACTGACAAACCCAACTTCAAATAACTTTTGTTCACAAGAACAGGTACATTCATCACATTAGAAAAGACAATACTATGGTTATTAAGATACTAGTTAAACATGTGCTTTGCTTTACAGAACAAAAAAAAAGTTTCTTAAGTGGTTTGCTGAAAAAAGTTTGAGAACCAATAAACAACTTAAGTGAACAGGGCCCTTTCCAATGTATATTCAAAGAAAGCATAATTAATCATTTTATGGCTGTTGTCTCAAATCTACATAGTTGGAAGTATGTCTGGCTGGAAGCAATGAAACTTATTTCCAACCATACACACTACTGCAACAGTTTGACTTCACCCCCAGGGACACACTCCATTGTCTCTTGAGACAGATGGATGACAACAACACACTTTGGGCTGAGATACAATAAATCTTCATCTTTTGTGAAGTCATGTCAAACTTAATTAAGATAATGTTCATCATGCCTATATCCATATTTTTTAAAAAAGTTCTTAACACATTTTCAGGGGGGGAAATTGAATGCACAAAGTGTTCAACAACTCACTTTGGTGCTTTCAAGGGAAGCAGTTTAACCAAGAAGCCTTTTTAGTTCACTTCGAGAGCGGCTGAACAGTTTCCCAGATGAACTTATTTTCAAAAACATGGCACGCAGCTTTCCATCTCTTTTGCTCTCACAGAACATTTCCTGGGTGCTCCTATTTCAGCTTTGCTCAGCAAGTGCAGAAGATTGCTATGCAGGGGAGGCCTTCTCAACTGCACGTAAATTCTGCCAGCACCAGCATCAGGAGGAGGGCCAAACTCATTCAGCTTTTTATTTGTGTGTGTGTGTGACAACAAATGCAGAGCTTACGTTGCCCTGGAAAGTGCAACCCATGCAACAGTGAGAGGGAGGGAGGAAGGGAGGGAGGGAGAGATCTGTGGCAACTGGATTAAGGGCGAAAACTTTCCTACCTCGGGATTTGGATCTCCATCCTCCCCCACACAAAAAAAAAAAGAGGGCGAGCGCGGGGGCTTTGAGAAAAATATGTCAAAACAAGGAAGAGCGTGACTTTGCTGCTGCTCCTATTGTCCCTCCCCCCATTCCGTTTTGTGGGTCACACATTACCCCATTTCCCTCCCTCTTCCAGACGACCCTCCAACTACCTCCCTCGCTGTATCCCCTGGAAAGACGGGAGCTGCATGCCAGAGCCCCCCCCAAGTTCTCCCCACTTTCCCTTTCCACCCCTCTGCCCCCACTTGCCCTGAGGCTGCCCCTCCCCCTCCCTTGGCCTGAGGCTGCCCCTCACTCTCGCCCCCTCAGCGCCCTCCTCACCTGGCCCTCCCCCCCAGCCACTCACCCCCCCGAGGCTGCCACCGCCTCCCGCCACCGACACTTCCTGCTTCCTCAGGCGGGACTTGAGGCTCTTCATGATGTTACTGCCGCCGCCACCGCTGCCCCTCAGACTTCGGGACGGGACGACGCTCGGCGCCGGCGCCCCTTTCCTCGCCCCGCCCCTCCACCCACACCCGGCCAATGGGAGACGGCCAGGCCCCCGCTGCAGCCATTGGGGAGGCGGATCCTCGGGGGAAGGGCGGGACTTCCTTGGTCTCCTTCGGCAAGCGGCTCCCTGAGCGAGGACTCCGTACCTGGGTCGGGAGAGGGGCGGGGCTGGCCAGGTGCCTGTGGGGCCACGCCCCCTAGGCGGGGAGGAGGCGGGAGGCTGGGCAGATTTAAAAAGGGCCGCGCGGACCCTGCGCTGGAGGAGCGGCAGCTACAGCCGCCCGGGTGGGAGGCAGGTTGGGCTGCCCTCCGCGCCTGGCATAGCGCGGGCGAAATAGCCAGGAATCAGTGGCGCATCGAACGCTCGCATTGCTAAGATCTGATAAAGTTGACAATCTTTTCTTGGATTTGCTGTTTTAACTCATGTCCAACTCATTCTACGTGCCCATTTTATAGGGGTTTTTTTATCTTTTTGTCTGTTTTATATACATTATAAAATCATAACAAATAAATAAATTTGCCAAAGAGACGACCCCCCCCCACTAACCTTGCTGAAGCTGAGCAGGCCTGGATGTGTGGCCTGCATGGCCACCCTTGCATCCTGAAAGGGCACCAGCCACAGGCCCATGGGGCAAGGGTGCAAGTGCTATTGATAGTTATGGGTCAAGGCCCAGGATGGGCTTAGCCAAGGGGGGCAGTTGCCCCCCAAATCAATACAAATTTAAGGTTCTGGGCCCCCCCAAAAAAGTTTGCCCCTTCCCCTACAAATATTTGGTACGCCCATGAGATTCAGGGGAAATTAAAAGGAAGGACTTATTCATACAGCACATGGTTAAACTCTGCAACTCAGTCCCGGAAGTGGCAGTGGGTGCCACTGTATTAGACAAATGCATGGAGGAGAGAGCTATCGATGGCTACTAGCTGGGGAAGCTGTTCTCTGCTGCCAGAATTGGCAGCAGAAATGCTTCAAAATACCGATTGCTGGAAACCACAGGAGGGGAGAGGGCTCTTGTGGGTTTCTCACAGACATCTGGTTGTCCACTGTGAGGACAGGGATACTAGACAAGATGGACCACTGGCTTATGCTCTTAAAAGGATGGGTGGCTGGGTCCTGACCCCACCCCACCCCAAAAAGAGGCTTTTAATGAGGAGGGAGGGAAACAAATATTTTCAGAGTACCCAATGGGAATAATAGTTTTATGTGGAGAAAAAGAAGATACAGAAAGATGCAAGCCAGTCCCCTGCTCCAGACAATGACCCTACTTGGATTCCAATAGGACCCATTGCAGTAAGACTGCCAGCTGTCTGGAATTAGCATTGATGTAACCCAGCCTTCCTCCAGCCTGATACAAGCCAGCATGAGGGGGACCATCCACCTCTTTCCAAAGGGTCAGATGTCATGCGAGTCTGCTTCCTGAAGATGACGCTTTCCACAAGATCTGATGGCCGATCTTATCAGGGTTGTTTACCATGGCAAAAGAAACCCAATTTTTTTCCACACTGCAGTTAGAAAGGATCCTTCCATGTTGGCTCAGGAAAGAATCTCAATGGAGAAACTTAATGTCTGGGGGACGGGGAACAGATGCTGCAGGCAGGAGGAGTTTAGCTCCTAAGAGGCCTCATCAGGTCCCTTCCACCTGGGCACTCTCCCTACCAGGATCTCCACACAGCTGGAGAGCTTCTGACAAAGGAGAGGAGTCACAGAGGCAGTGACTCTGTGAATCATAGAATTGTAGAATTGGAAGAGGTACCAAGGGTCATCTAGTATAACACCCTAAAACAAAGGAATCAGAGCTAAATTAAACCTGACAGATGTCCATTCAACCTCTGTTTAAAACCTTCCAAGGAATGAGCGCCGTGGTCCATTCCACTGTCAAACAGTTCTTACCATCAAGGAGGTTCTTCCTAATGCTAAGTCAGAATTTTCTTCCTTGTCATTTGAATCCACTGGTACGGGCCCTAGCCTCTGGAGAAGCAGAAAACAGGCTTGCTCCATCTGGTCATGCTGGCTGCTTAGGGAAGGCTGATGCAGAAGAATTAAAGTCACATATGGAGCTCAAATCTAAAATATGAAGCCATTAGCAAAATGAGACAAGACCCCGGGGAACAGCTTAGATCATAACTGACTTATCAGGGCCCGTCTGTCGCATCTAAGCCTCACGATGCTTTGCCTTGAGAGCATCCACTTCAGCTGCCGCAAGACTCTGTATACAGGTGGGCCGGTTCTCATTCATACTTTAGCTGTGATTCCTGCACTGCAGCAGGTTGAACTAGATGGCCCCTGGGGTCCCATCGACTCTACAATTCTATGATTCTAGCATGCGATTGCAAACATAGGTCTGTGCAATAGGAGGAGACAAGAAAAGCCGCTGGGATGGGGCAGGGGAGGTTGGAGTTCTTTACGAGCTACAAAGCCATCACTGCAAACCCTCTGAATGTTCCGAGATCTCTCAGTGCCACCAAACAGTTCTTGTTCTGAGCACAGGAATAGCCAGCAGCTCCATGCCATAAAGGCTGCTAACCATTTATTTGCACAAGCAGAAGATTGGTGCTAGCAAGAGGTGTCTAGATAATAATGCATGATAATGCATGTTCCCCCAAAAACTACGGGAACACTCACAGAATCCTCTTGCTGGTATAGTAGTTAGAATGTTAGATGAGGATCTGGGAGACCTGAGTTCAAATCCCAACTCTGCAATGAAGCTCTCAGCTGGGTGACCTTGGGCCCATCAACACCTCTCAGCCTAATTTTGCAATACAGTGGTACCTCGGGTTACAGACGCTTCAGGTTACAGACTCTGCTAACCCAGAGATAGTACCTTGGGTTAAGAACTTTGCTTCAGGATGAGAACAGAAATTGTGCGGCGGCAGCAGGAGGCCCCATTAGCTAAAGTGGTGCTTCAGGTTAAGAACAGTTTCAGGTTATGAACAAACCTCCGGAATGAATTAAGTTCTTAACTCGAGGTACCACTGTATTTCAAAAAGTGAAAATCCGAACACAAAAGTTGTTGAACTTTTTAAAAAAATTGCCCCAAGTTGTTTAGCTTTTTTTTGCAAAATCTCAAAAAAGAAGAAGTTTTTAGCCATTTTTCAGGAAAATCGCCAAAATCTAGACTTCTGACATTGGTTGCCATACATCTGGATTTCCGCCCAGACACTGCTTCCAACTGCAGTATTCTGGCTATGTCCAGGAAATTCCGTATGTATGGCAACCCCATCTCAGCCTAACCTACCTCACAGGGTTGTTGTGGGAGTGAAATGAGGAGAACCATGTCTGCCACTTTGAGATCCTTGGAGGGAAAAGGTGAGGTATAAATGCAGGAAGGAAAAAAGGAAACATGATCATTGCAAAGACAGGGACTAGCAATGGGTTCCTACTCTCAACTACTCCAACAATTGCAATTCATGCCAAGATGCAGTTTGTCCGTTTTAAAGTGCTGCACACAGGGAGAAAAGCTGTTGTTTTTTTGAATACAAGATGCTTGGGGAAGACCCCCCCACTTTTTTTTTTTTGCAGATTTATTGCCATATTAAACCTCCCAGGATTTGACAACAAAATCACCGAGGGCCAACCTTGATCAGAGTGTAGCTTTCTGAAAAGCCCCACATTCAAGACCCCCAACAGAGCGGCCACAATCTGAAAATAAATCCTCTAATTTTATACCTGCCCCCATGCTAGGAATTCAGGCCATGCTTGCGGGTGACCTAAAATTATAGGAGGTTACAGACGTGATATTTATCATTTTAAAAGTAGCACTACGCTTGTGGCTGAGATGCCCCATGCCTCCTCCTCCACCCCCCCAACCCCGCCACTGTGGGCTATTTGTAGTTTGGGGCGCATCAAGAACATACCAGACAGCTCTCCCGTCTCCTGCCTCGTTTGTTTTCCCTTGTCCAATACAAATAAGGCAATTGCACGACACGCTGTAAACTTAACCTGCCGGGTGACACACGGCCACAACAATCCGAGGCATGCTCCTTTGGGGTCAAAACCTTCCCCCCGTGTTGCCTGAAATCTGCCTTCAAACGGGATGGAAAGCAGCCTGCACCGCTGCTCAAGTTAGAAAGCCAGTGGCATTTGGAAGGAAAGATTCCAGAGTCCAGAGGAAATGCTTTTACAGTTTGGACATTGAGAAGGCACAACTATGTTCACCCTGGCCCCGCGCCCTCTCTCTCCCCACCACCATCAGGACGAATTAGGAGCAAATTGGCCCGTCATAAGCAACAAGAAGTGTGCAAGCCAAGGTTTAGTCACAGGGACACTTATCCAGCTTAGCCTAACACACTTCAGCCAGTAATCCATCCTTGCACAGCTCAAGTGTTAATGAGAACCTGAAGAAAAAGTTGGAAGCGAGGGAACCGTCCCCTAGTACTGCCCTTCCACAAACTGAGGCGCCCCAGGCATTTTGGACTACAGTTGCCGGCAGTCCCTCCCAGCATAGCTGTAGGAGGCTGGGGCTGATGGAGGTGAAGGGCACCTAGCTCTATCTCCAACGTCAAAGCAATGTCTTTGCTGCTATAGCCCCAAAGCACCAGTTAAGGTGGGGGAGATGACCTTTTAGCAGTAGGAGAACGTCCCCGCTTGCAACCTTGCACATGCTGTTGTATGGCAAAGCCACATTTGTAATGCCTGTAAGAAACCCGCAAGCAGGATTCAGGCATAAGAGCTCCCTCACTTCCTGCGGTTTCCAGCAACTGATACTCAAAATCCTTGCTGCTGCCTCCAACTGCGGAGGCAGAGCAGATCCATCATGGCTAGTAGTCACTGATAGCCTTATTCTCCATGCATCTGCCCATTCCTCTTTTAAAGCCATTGCTGACCATCAGCGCCTCTTGTGAGAGCAAATTTAATAACTTTATGCACTGTGTTAATAAGTCCTTTCTTTTTATCTATCCCAAATCTCTCAACAGTCAGTCGGCAGAGCATGAGACTGTTGACCTCGGGGCCATGGAGTCGAGCCCCATATTGCACAAAAGATTCCTGCATTGCAGGAGGTTGGAATAGATGATACCTTCCAGTTCTATTATTCTGCTTGCTGATTCAGCATCACTGGATGTCCACGAGTTCTAGTGAGATGAGAGAGGGAGGAAAACCATTCCTCTATCCACTTTCTCCATGCCATGCATTAGAATATTAGAATATTCTATTCTAATTCAATCCCATGCACAATTTTATAAATTTCTATCCTATTATCTCTTACTCGCCTTTTTTCTCTACACTGAAATGCTGCAACCTTTCTTCATAGGACAGTTGCTCCCTCTGCTTGATCACTTTGGTTGCCCTTTCCTGAACTTTTTCTAACTCTTCAATATCCTTTTTGAGGTGAGGCAACCAGAACTGCACACAGTATTCCAAATACAGTGCAATAGGATGCTACCCTCAGGGCACTGACCCTTGCTTCAGAACTGGAATCCAACTAAGGCCACATCCTCTCTTGCTATGCTGCCAACACTCGGCCTTACCTTTTGTGTTGGCCTTAGGAGTGGCCTGGACAGTCGTGGCACGAGGCCACTGTACAGATTCCTCGCTGATCTCCTCCAGCAGAAAGGGAACTTTAGCAGCAGTGTCAGGTTGAGGCTCACACTCTGAAGTAGCACAGAACAGCCTTTGTCAACCTGGTGCCCGCCGATTTAAACGCAGACTCTGGTTCAGGGCAACTTCTGGCCTCCCCAACGCAGCATCTGAATCAGGTAGGGGCAGAACCCATGGCCCTCCAGAAGTTGCTGGAGTCCAGTTTCCATCAGCCCAGCTAACACAGCCAATGGACAAAGATAGGAAGGATTCAAAGTCCTGCAACATCTGGAGGACCACAGGTTCCCCATCCCAGATCTAAGAAGATTTAAGTAGAAATACATGATGAAAGCAAGCCCAGCCTATTGTAAGAGCTGTTTGACAGTGAAACAGTCAACCTCGGAAGGTGTAAACACACCTTCATTGGAGATTTCTAAGCAAAGGCTGGGTGGCCACCTGTCAGGGATTCTTTAGTCATGATCCTTGCAGTGCAGGGGTTTGGACTAGACGATCCTTGAGATCCCTTCCAACTCTACATTCTATGATTCCATGACTTGGTCATGCTGGCTGCATCAGCCAAAACAAAACAAACACAGTGGGCGGGGGGAGGATTTTCTTTAAAAAGTCACAACAGGACAGACATTCTTGGCCAACCCCCACCTTTCACTCGTAGTTGAGCCCCTCCAGAAAGCGAAGTCAAGGCAAAGAAAGAGCTCTGACTCCTATCTCCTTCCACTTCCCCAGCCTGGCCCCCACCCCCCAGTAAAGATTCAACACAAAGGCACAGCGAACAAAGAACGGCAACCTCACCCAGAAAGAGGCCATCTTTGAACTCTGGCGCACGTGGAGAAGGAAAGGATGGGCGATGCAGAGCCCTGGGACGGCCAAGACTGTGCCTTCGGTCCTCCACTGCAGCTTGGTCCGCCGGATCATTGGCTCCAATCAGCCAACAGAGCAAGAGGGGACAAGAGGCGGGCTTCTCAGTATGCAAGCTCTGTGGGTATCACAGAGGCAAATGGTGCAGGAAGCTGCTCCAACACGCATCACCACCACCACCACCGAGTATGGGAGAAAAGGTCGAGCAAAAAGCGGTGGGCCATTTGATGTGTTGCAACGGCAAAGGATATGGATAGAGTGAAAAGAAAACAGCCCCGGTGGAGGCAGGAAGCTGAAAATCAGATTGCTAGGAGGGGGAAAGGAAGGAAAGGGCTGGGACAATGGAACAGCCCTGAAAAAACACAGCACTTTCTCAAACACGTACCAGAAACAGCTAACTGTGGAGCAAGAGATTGGGACGCACGTTAGCAAGGAAGGCTTAGGAGCGGCCAGAGAGAACCTGCCCCAACCTTCCTCAAGCTAAGAGAGCAAGAACCTAAGAAGAGCCTGCTGGATCAGGCCCATGGCCCATCTCGTCCCAGTTCTCACAGATACCTGCGGAAAACCCACAAGTGGGATTTGAGTGCAAGAGTCATCGCCCCTCCTGTGGCTTCCAGGAACTGGTATTCAGAAGCATTGTTGCCTCCACTGTAGAAGCAGAGCAGATCCATTGTGGCTAGTAGCCATCCATTGCCCCCTCCTCCATGAATTTGACTCATCGTCTTTTAAAACCATCACTGTCTCCTGTGAGAGGGAGTTCCAGAATTTTGCTATGTGCTGCTGCCCTCCTAGTGTTTTGGACAACTCCCACCAGCCCCAGCCAGGTTGGGGAGGGCTGAACAAGAGCATGGCTATGCAAGTGGGGCCAGGGAGCAGAGGGCATTGCACCAGATTCAAATCTCCATCCAGTCAAGCGGCTGACTGATGGCCTTGGGCAGCAGGGAGCCTGGCTAAAAGGCCATTTCACAGGGGTAAAGGCCCCCAGTCCACCTGCAGAGGATTTTGTACCACCAAAGCCTCCCATAACCCAACGTTTTCATTCCACACTCTAGTGCCATTAGCCTCAACCACCAGAGAGACAGAGACAGGTCCAGGCGACAAGCAATGCCTATTTCAGGAACATCTGAAGGATACAAATGAGGAATAGGGTTATTTTTGTTCCTGTTATATAGGGCACTGCCAGAGGACAAAGGGCCAGTAAGAGACGGGAGAAAAGAGGCAACGGATTTCATGGCCATCTCACTCTCCTGGGAAACTGTAATTTATTTATTTAGATAATTTCTTTGTTATACCAGGCTCTTCAACCAAAAAGGGTGGAACCTATCTTTTCTGCTCTGGAAACAGCTCCGCTGAACAGAACTGGATTTCATCCAAAGACCCCTTGCAGGAGTATATTCCATATCCTGGTTCCTGGGAGCTCAAGGTCATTGTTGTAAGAGGTGACATGACAGAAGTTTATAAAATTATGTATGGTGTGGAGAAAGTGGATAGTGTCCCCCCCACTCTTTCTCTTGTAGCCTGATCCAGGAGATTGCTCTTATATCCTTTAGGACCTGGACTCTGAAGTCTCCAGTTGCCCAGGACAGTGTGCAGAGAAATAGCGGAGGAACGTTGCAGCTTGTGCTTGCTGACCTCCAGTTGGTGTTAAGAGGAAGGACTAAGAATGCAAGTTCTGCAGAAAACACACATCCCATTCTTTCTAGCTGCCCTCTATCCCCAATCCAGCCACCCAATGTACACCCTGACTGGGTTTACTTTGGGCTCTGAGGACGCTCCATTCCTGAGGCATTGTAAACCACTGTTAAACACATTATGGGCCACCTACTAGCAGACAATTATGGTTACGAACCTCCACCCACATAGAACCCCTTTTGCACCCCACTCCTTTGAATTCACCACTCATGGCAAGAACGCTTATGCCCAGCTAATGATCTAGATACCCTCCATTATCTACTTAGTCCCGAGAAAACTCCCTTCTCAGGTGACCAAATCTGTAAGAGCTATCCACTTCTAAACGACATTGTCCAAGGCCAATCAGGACAAAACCAGTCAATGAAATAAACAACTATTTGACTTTTAGAAGACATTTGAAGGCAGGCCTGTATAGGGAAGTCTTAAGGCTTTATGTTTTATTGTGTTTTTAGTATTTTGGCGGGAGCGGCCCAGAATGGTTGGGCCAACCCAGTCAGATGGGTGGCATATAAATAATAAAAATTTTATTATTATAATTAAGAACACAGATTGTTTCAGTCCTTGTTAGCTTCACTGCCCTCCCTCCCCTTTTCACATGGCCTTTCACCTTTTTCAATAAGCCCTTTCTGCAGCTACTGCTCATACATTAGGTCAACATTCCCCAACTTTGTGCTCTCCAGATGTTTTGATCTGAAAGCCCCATCAGTCCCAGATAGGCTGGCTTGCTGTCCAAAACATCTGGAGGGCAGCAGGCTGGGGAAAGGTGTTAGGTGATAACTTGTTTGCTACTTGTGCCCTTGCCACCTCCTAAAATGTAGCCTCGCCACCAATATTTGCACATTGCTCTCTCACCACCCTGCTCCCAGATCACCATTTAGGTGATCTTAAGTGCCTCTTTCCCAAACCTGTTTGCTCATGTACAGCCCAGTGCATTACATGGGGCCCTGGGGATCCTTTCCAACTCTACATTTATATGACTCTACTATATGCATGGCTGGAATAAAACCACATTTTAAAGATGTGTATGGTTTTGCAAGCAGCAAAACAGACCCGTCTTTTAACAGTTGAAATAGAAAAGTTTATTTGGGGACCTGTAAACATCCCCTACCAAAAAAAACAACAAAAAAAACCATTTCAGAAAACTTGTGAGACACAATGGCAAATCTGTCCTATGTTAGAAGGTGCATTTGAACCCAAGACAAAAGTTAACCCCACAATTCTTCAGCTATGCAGGCAAAGAACACAGACTTAAACCCACACATTTTTACCCTCCCAACACCAAGAAAGCACATGAACTCCCTCCCCACCCTGTCCCTCCCCTCCCAAGCTGCAAGTAGACATCTGCGTTTGGTCCTCCCCACTCGGTTGGAAGCAAGAGTTTGTTTGCTTGTTTTGAAGGGGTTGAGGGATGGAAGAGGAAGACAACACACCATCAAACCATCATCAGCTTGGTTTCAAGGGGAAAAAATGGGCCTAAAAGCATGCAGGAGGCTCAAGACTATGAAACGTTTCGTCACATTTCCAGCACCACATTCCAACACCAAAATCGATCCAATGACACGCTCCAGGAGGCTCTCCCCTTGAAAGAGATCCGTCTGAAGGAAAAGCGACCTTGGGACGTGGGGGCGGCAACAGTTCCATCTGAAGACACAAAACACTATTCACTTGACACGGATGTCAGCTGTGCGGAAAGACGTGTGCAAGAGGAGACTGTGAGCAGACGTGGAACCGGGCAGGTCTGCTGCAGAGACCCAAGGATCCCTTCCAGTGATGCACACACTCATACACACACGCACACACACCATGAGTGTGAGAAGCTTACACAGCTTTCCGATGATACTCCGGAGGTGCGACTTCATAGTCGCTCGCGCTGAACAGCGTGGAAGAGTTCTTTGCTAGGTACCTGCAGACGGGGAAGGAAGGGGAAGGCAACAGGCTTGAATCTCAGATGGAAGCCAAGAGGTTGGGCTTAGTGATATATATATAGAGATAGAGAGAGAGTGTTGATAACCCTAAGATGTATGGGCAGTAAAAGAAAGTGTTGAAAGGGTGCTCCAGCTGACCCACCCAGTCTTTGGAAACCTTATAAGAAGCTGTGCAATAGAGGAGCTTCTAGGACCAAGGTGAAACTGACAACTCCCTTGTTATTTTTGTTGCTAGGTGTTATTAATGTAATCTTATTATAGTACTGAAATGTTGTTTTGCATGTTGTTATATTTACTGTTGTAGGAAAGCGCCATACAAATACCGTATTTTCCCGTGTATAAGACGACACTTTTTGCTTTAAAAAAAAGGCAAAAATTGGGTGTTGTCTTATACACGGATAGTGAATGCAGAGGGGGGGACATGCAATTAACGGCAGCAGCAAGCAGGAGATTGGCAGCAGCGATTGGGCGGGTGATTGGTGACTGCGGCAAGGCCTGCTGGCGATTGGCTGTGGCAACTGGGCAGGCGATTGGTGGCTGTGGCGAGGCAGGCAGGCAGGCGATTGGCGGCTGTGGCAAGTGGGCGGGTGGGCTGTTGGTGGCGGCGAACGGGCAGACAATTGGCGGCTGTGGGAAGGTGTGCGATTTGCAGTGGCTGTGGGAAGCGATTGGCAGTGGCGGGCAGGCGGGTGAGCAATTGGTGGAAGTGACCTCCCCCACCCCCCAAAAAAGCTAAAAAACTTAATTTCTTAATTTTGGGTTAAAAAAAATAGGGGGCGTCTTATAAATGATGGCAGACGGATGGGTTTGGGGAGAGGATGTTGCGAAAGAGTCAAGCTGTCTGAAGAAGTGTGAAGGAACCTCCTAACACTGATAGATGTTTCTTTGGCCCTGTTCCTCCTCAGTTCTTGTTGTGGATGTTCCTTTTGCTCTGTCCCATAAGGCCATTGCTTAGTCATCACCCGACTGTAACGCTCTACACGTGTAAAGCTAAAGTGAGGGAATGCCTCTACATAAGCCTGTTTAATTTATAGGCCTGTGGACTCCACTGCTGTGTTGTTCTGACCAAGCCATCTCAGACATCACAACTGGGTGTGGTTGATTTAAGAAAATCCACAACAGTGTCCAATCTTGGCCTTATTGTGTTAGCAAGGAATGTGGAGAGACAGGCATACAAACCCAGCTCACAGCTCCATCACATGCTTCCCCTCAGCCCCACAAGCCCTCCTCTTGCACTATTTTGTAGAACTAGGACAGAAAGCCAGAACACCCCTGGATTGTGCCTTTAAGCAAGGAGGAAAGGGAAGCTCAACTGCTCACCCAGGCAGACAGAAACCTCTGCACCTACACAGGTACCACTTCAAACTAACTCACACAGAAATCTAGCATGTCAGAGAGAAGGATGCTGGCATCACCTCCTCTCCAAAAACGTTGTTTTTTCATATTCAATTATCTCTTTTCCTCCCCACTTGTGGGAGGAAACATTTCCACCTGCCCATATGAAGTGGCAGAGTTATGTTACGACTTTAGACAGAAGCAGAGCAAATCCTACCCAGTATATTAATGTGCCAGATTAGGATCTGGGAGACCAGAGTTCAAATCCCCACTCAACCATGAAGCTCACTGGGTGACCTTGGGCTGGTCACTTACTCTCAGCCTAACCTACCTCACAGGGTTGTTGTCAGTATAAAATGGGAAGCATGAGAACTATGTAAGCACCATGAGCTCCTTGGAGGGCAGGTAAAACAAACATAATAAACTAAATTAAATTAAATTAAATTAAATATTAAATTAAATATTAAATTAAATTAAAATTAAAATTAAAATAGAAATTCCCAAATGGCTCACTGCCTGTTGCAGCAAAAACAAGGGGGCTTGTGGCACTCAGAAGGATTTGAATTGGATTCAGAAGCTCTGCAAGGGGGCAGATTGTGTTAGCAGCAAAAGTTTGTGGCACAGCAGTAGACAAGGTCAGATCACTAGGGTGGATCCTTTGAGATTTGGCTCATTAAGGGCTTGCTGTATCTATGCCGCCTCTCAAAAGCCTGAAAAAAATGCCACACTTCTCTAAGGAAATCCATGGAACTAAGAGACCACGGAAGAGGACTTCTAATCCTGTCCCATCATCCATCAACATTTCAGCTTGCCAAGAGATAAAAGCACAGTTCCTTGTATCACGCTAGAAGGAAGAAGAGCCCTGGAGTTGCCCACAACCCCCATGCAAACATCTTTGCATGAAACACAAGCTCTCACAAGGACCAAGGTGCCTCTCTCAACTCAGCAGATATCAAACGCGATCCATTGTACATACTTTAGAAAATCGTGCAAGTAGTTCAACAGCAAGGCCAGACTCTTCTCGTCCAAGGGCGTGTAAGCGAGCATGGCTCCGATCCGGACTGTTCAGACGGTAATTTAAGGACAAGGGAGAAGACAACGTTAAGGGAAGCATTTGCACAATTCATAACATTCACCAGCTCTATTTCCAGTTGAGTTGTCCAGCCATCACATCATACAGGTCATGACTGCAGCTGCCTTTTGAAAGTGACACATTAGTGATCCTAAAGCAGAGATGAAGTTTCAGGGATGCCTGGAAAGCCTCCTGGGTCAGAAACAAGTGAGGAAGCATTTTGGAACACAGTGAAGAGTAGCACTGAGGGGAACTGAGGGTTATGAAAGGTCCACTTAGTAGGTGCTGCTAACCCCCAATATAGACTGGGCAGTTTTGTCTAGCACAGTGGCTGGTACCACCCTCCGGGGGTGGCGACATTATCTAGAGGGGTGCTTAGAGGCAAGGGGGTGCTGGAGGTGTAAATGGCTGTCAGGCTTTGAAAAGCTGGTCTCAGTGGATCATGTTCATCCATTTAGTTGAATTAAACTAAATAGTTTCAATTGGATGTTGAAAAATTACACAGTCACTGTTTTAAATTTGTTTGTGTGGGTCTTGCAAACGGTTATCCTGAGCAATGCTTTTTATAGGGCAGGGGGCACTGGGGGTGAGTTTATGGAACCAAGGGGGCAGCAGCTCCCCAAAGTCTGAGAACCACTGGTCTAATAGAATGATGCACCAGGATGGGTTCCTCGCTGAATATTCTGCAACTCATCCTACACTGCCCACAGTACTAGAAATGATTAAAGGAAGCAAAGCTATTTCGTATCTTGGGGCTGGAGGCTCCCACCCAAAGGAGAGCAATGCAGCTCCCAAGGCCTCATTTATGGGGAAATCACACCACATGCTCACGCACATGAACTTCTGCAATGATGCCACCCTACACCCTGGGCCTCCAATAGCTCTTTGTGTTCAACTCTCAATTTTCCCCAACATAATTCTTATGTCCGTTATAATTTCCCCCCTGATTCAATAAATTGCTTTGTGCAGCTTTAAGGTGGGTTCAAAAACAAGATGAATGCTGCACCTGTGAAGGAGCAGGACATGCATACCAGAAAGAGAGAGCCTCGTTTGTCAGCTAAGAAGCGGCTTCCACTGGCATTTAAAAGAACAGCCTCCTCATAAAAGTGCTGCAGCCACATTTGTAAAATGTGGCTGCTCCAAACGTTTCAAACTACAGCTCCCAGAAACCTCAGGCAGCATGGCTGTGCTCCCATCAGGTCTCAGCATGCTGCCCGGGACTGGTGGGAGTCGCAGTCCAAAGCGACGGTTATCAGGTTGGGAAAAGCCTTTTGTGTCCCACAAACTATGTACATACCAAACAGCCGCAGGAGGTGGGGAGCTCCGTACACCTGTGACATCGGTGCATCAGGGTGGTCCGCTAAGATTTCTGCATACTGCGGCCTCTCAAATTTATAGAGCAGCTGAGTGCCCAGCATGACGTTGAAGTACTCTTTGATGCCTGCCACAACTTCGTTAACAGCATATTCTCTGGTGCACAGCAAGAAAAATGCAGGGTCAGCAACAGCCAGAACACGAATTCGTTATTAATTATTATTAATATTTCATTTATACCCCACCCATCTCTCCGGACAGCATACAGCATATATAAAAACACAATAAAAATCAAACATTAAAAACTTCCCAATACAGGGCTGCCTTCAGATGTCTTCTAAAAGTTGTGTAGTTCTTTATCTCATTGACATCTGAAGGGAAGGCGTTCCACGGGGGGTGGGGGGTGCAAATGGACATGGCCACCAAACCCTCCTGCTCTGGGAATTCTAGCTGTCACCTCATTTCCTGCTGACCTCCATCTGTGCACATCTGCAGAGTGTTCTCAGCAGCTGGGAACCTCCAATTCCCACCATCCCTGGCTGTGCTGGCAGCTGAAGCCTAACAACATCTGGAGGGCCACAGATATTCTCCACCCCCTGGTGTTATCTGCTCTGCTCCCAGGCTGGCCTTTGCATAAGAACATAAGAAAAGCCTGCTGTTCCCCAGCATCCTGTTCTCACAGTGGCCAACCAGATGCCTGTGGGAACCAAGCTACAGACCTTCGGGCATGGACATCATCCCATCCCCTTTTGTGCGTATCAGAAGCCTATCTTAGCAATAAGCAGTTTGTGGGGGACATGTGTAAGTGCATGCATAAAATAATGAGCCTGCAGGCAGGACTATTGCTTTTTCAAAAAAAATTAAAGAGCACCTATAATTTTTTTTGACACTGCACAAATAATCTTTTCTCACAGTAGGGGGCTTCAACACCCCTAAGGAAGCTGCCTTGACTGTCACAGCCTCCTGGCCTTCACAGCAACCTTGAAACTGGGCAGTCACATTCTGGACTAACTTTTTTTGCACAAAGCAGGATTCTGGTGACACTGCGATTGGCGTATTACCACGCTTTTGCCATGATTGGGCTATTGCCAGATCAAGGCTGGGTTGGATCCAGTCGCCCTCTTCAGCACGGCAGAGAGAGCTTGTTCGGATGGCCTCAGAGCATTACAAATTCAGTTGTGTCCCAGAATGCTCCAGGAAATGTTTCAGGATATTACAGTGGGGTAAACTCTGTAAAATCCCTTTGTGGATAAATGGAGTCAGGCGTTCAATGGGTCAATTGACCAGGGTCGCTTCCTGGCACCCTCTTCCTCCAGGTTCCCACAAAGCAAGCCCCCAAATACTTTACCTCAAACAGGGCTGGGGGAGAAGAGAACTACTGAATTGGGTTGTAAGATTACTTGAGGCATGGCTGCAAAAAAACCCCAAACCCTCATGCTGAATTTGAGCCAACCTTCCTGCAGGACTGGAAGGGAGTATTCAAGATAGAACAAGTGAAAGAAATATAAACACACTAAGCTGCTTTGAACAGCTGTGCAGCACATACATGTCTCATGCAAATAGAGCCAGTGTGGCAAAACAGTTGGGTATCAAACCAGGACCTGAAAGAGCAGGGTTTGAATCCCCCACTCAGACATGAAGCTCACTGCGTGCCCTTGAGCCAGCCACTAGGTTGTTGTGGGAATTAAATGGGGGGGGGGCAGCAAGTAGAACCATATATACCACCTTGGGCTCCTTGGAAGAAAAGAGGGTATATAAATGTAATAAACAAACAAACAAAGAGAGTTTGAGGTCAGCCTCCTCATATCAAAGGACCAATATTTTTGGTTAGAGATACTCCACAATGGGCCCTTCTGATGCGCTCCCACAACCACCACCCCTCCTCACTTGTTATCAGTGTTCCCTCGCGACTTCTTGTAGTTTGCGTAGTCCTCCAAAATGGAGTCAACGTTCTTCTTGGCAGGAAGGTAGAAGAGCTACGGAAGAAAGCGAGAGGCGCCTAAGCCAGAACAAAAAAGACTGGAGACAGGAGAGAGGTGCAACTCCATGGAACCTCTTCTTTCAAATTGGAAGAAACTTGCACCTCCTTTGCAACCACAAGATGGCAAGGATAAAAGTAGCTAACTAGCCTACAAGGGAAAACCCCACTATGGTTTTTAGAAGTATAATCTGCGGGAGCCATCAAGGGCCACCAGGTTTTCCACCTGCCTTCGAGCAACCCGCTGCCTGGGACCTTGTAAGGCAAAGATGCTTCTTACATATTCTTGCCTTCTCTTAATATTTCTGTAGGGAATGTTCTTTGCCTTTTTGGAAGGTACACGGATGTGTTTCGTTTGTAATACTGCTGAAACGTTTTGAAATTCTATCAATTGGACTTCCATTATTGTATTTTTATGTGTTGATTTAGTCTTGGGAGCTTGGGAGTCTTTGGGATTTAATCTTTTTGGCTGAAAGGCGGCTTACAAACAAACCGTAATATCCCATTACCTAACAACCAACTCAGGTTACTGCAGGTGCTTAAAAATAAGCAGTCCATTTAGTAACACAATTTCAGAGTTACCTGCTTTTGCCGGGTGATCAAATCCCAGTCATCCACAAGCCACGGTTTCAGCTCCTCGGGTATTTTTACCTTGACTTCAACCCTGTTCATAAAAGTCTCCTCCTGAAGAATAAAAGACACAAGTTCTGCATTCAGATACTGGCACCAAGCAAAGCACATTGGCAAAAGAACAGAAAAGGGCATTTATTTATTATTTTTTACAGTGTATCAGTGAATTTAACAATATTGCATCTCTGTATTCAGAGACGTCCTCACTAGCAAGATCCAAGGAACTGAGAACAGACCTCGGCACTGTAACGGCAGGACACAACTATTCAGAAGCCGGCGCAAGGAAGAAAACCTCAGTTGTCTATTGCCAGCCCTATAGAGAAGGCTGCCAAGTGTTTCTTGTGGTTCCATGAGGACACTTACAAAGTTTCAAGGAGTTGTAAAATATGTTCATTGCCACTCGATACAAGCATTCACATATTCCCACAAGCTGCATTTATTATTTGTTTCATAAAATTTATACACTTCTTGATTGTAAAAAAGAAAAGAAACCACGTATCAAAGCAGTTTACAAAAATATAAAACGATCAAGAAGAATTAGCAGCAATAATTTAAGACCTTTGAAAAGTTTAAATAACAATTGACTAAAAGCAGATTAAAATTCGCACCAGCATTCAACTTATCTGTGTAGGTTTGTCTAAGCAAAAATGTTTTTAACATGCGTTGAAACAGTACAGTGAAGGCACCAGCCTAGTGTCAATTGGCAGGGAGTTCCAAAGTGTAAATCCTGCCGCACTAAGAGAGTTTTTACAAATGTGGAACACATATTATGTGGCACATGTAACAACAGCAGTTCCACTGATCAAAGCAGTAAATTAGGCGTATATGGTGTACGGAGATATTGCTGGTAAATTGGTCCCAAGTTGTTAAGGGCTTTGCATACTAATAACAACACCTTGAACTTGGCCTGGTAGTCAATTGGCAACCAATGCAGATCTCTGAGCACAGGTGTATATGCAGACAAGGCCTCACTCGTGTCAGCAATCGTGCTGCAGCATTCTGCACTAACTGCAGCTTCCAGATCAAGGGCAAAAGAAATCCCACGCAGAGTGACTTGCAGTAATCCAATACTGAAGTAAGGGATTTGGAAAAAAAATATTATTGCCATCTATCCCCCTTCCTTGTGAAGTTGCCCAAAGGCTGAGATGGTTCCAAAACATCTTGGATATTCTTTCTTTTTTAAGACTTGCAAACTGTGTAATGACTGCAACCCAACAAGGGGAACTCTACCTAGAGTCCCAGACAGTCCAAAATACTTACACTTTCAACAGTGGGATCTACACGAGCCCTTTTCTTCCTGGGAGGCTGAGGGTTTTCATTAGTGCTGCTGCCTTCACCGATTCCAGGAGCTACACAAACAGGCAAGGGAATCACTGTTGTGGTTTTAGCTAAACATTTTACACAGGTGGCAGTTCACACACAACACACACTTGCGGAAGGGGTCTACTGGACAGAACCAGAAATCAGACACACACACACACACTGCACCCCAATGTTGTGGCAGCCCCTTTAAAATAGTCACTGGGATCCCAGATGCAAACCTCATTTTTTAAGTTGCTCAGCAGTGCTAAGAACTGTTTCGGGGGTAGCTCCAATGTCTTGAGTTAATTGAACTGATTACAAACTTTTTGATTGACTTAAAGATGCATCCAATTGATTGGGCAATGCTTTTTAAGAAGTGTTACATTAAAACTTTTAATACTAGCAGGCACGAAAAAAGACTTTCCCTCTCTTATGTATGAAGGAAAACCCCTGCTTCAAGCAAAACCTTTTTAAAAATAAAAAATAAAAAAGTAACTATTGTTTCATTCAGGGCAGGCCATATTCAATAGTCTAGACACGCAGAATCAATCTGGTAGCTGATCAAAACTCAACTGAGACTTCTAGGGCTGCCACCTGATTAGAGTAGTTTTTATCACCCAATGCAATTAACTGCTTTTTTCTCCTTCCCCTTTTATTTTTCTTAAGATACCAATATAAAAAATTTTCAAGTTCTAGCAAGATGTGCATTATAGTAGGGCTGCCTTTTAATGTTTGTTCGTATTTATGTAGAGTGGGCAGCTTTGAATAAATTACTGCATCAAAATAACAACAGCAGAGAAAAAAATTGCCTCCAAGTAACTAATTGGAAGTACTACTGCTGCTGCTCCCGGATTCTAGGAGCTTCGATTTTGGAGCCAACACACTGGGAGGGCCATCTTTTCCTTAACCCTTTTTGCTCTTATAAAAGTAAGGTGGGGCCTGGGGAGAAATGTTGGCGTAACATTGAAAATCTAGAAGAACGTCATGCTAGATAAGAGTGGGCAACTCAAAAGAGGTGCTCTTACTTTTCTGTTTGTTCTTTTTGGTCTTCCTGCCAAAGGGAAAAGAGACACTGTTATTGCACATGTAAAGCAAGTATAACGCCAGCACTTTTTTTTTAAAAAAAGTTCCTTCTTCTAAGCCCAATCACTTGATCTGTAAGGGACTGACCAAGCCACAAAGCGCAAGGCCCATTGTTGAAAGGAACGTCATCCACGCAGGATAATTCAAGGTGCTTAGGCCTAATACGGAAAGGACAGGCTTTGGCATATGTAGAAGCTGCATTCCCAGCATTTGCTAAAATAAAGGAAGAGCTACGTGCTTTAAATTTTCCGCAAAGCTAGTATCCTTCCCCCGTGACCAGCCATACCTGCAGCTGCAAAGGCACACCAGAAATGTACACTGCCTTTAAAAAAATAAGGTGTAGAAGCAGCCTCTTTCACCCCACCCTAATAGCTGGAAGCATGGCAGACCACCTGTCTTCGTGATTTATAAAAAAGCACAGCTACAATTCTCATCGACATCTGAAAAGGTTAGATCACTGCAGTGTGTTACACATGGGGCTTCCTCTGAAGACGGTTCAGAGACCTCAGATAGCGCAGAATTCAGCAGCTAGGTAGCTCACTGGGGCAAGACAGACTGAGCATATAACTACAAGCCTGGCCCAACTGCATTGCCTGCCAATTAGTTTCTGAGCCCAGTGTTAGCTTGATCTATGAAGCCTTAAACAGCTCAGGACCACAGTATCTCAAGGACCACCTCCACCCATAAGCACCGACCCAGATCTTGTGATCATCATCATCTGAGGCTCTTCTTTGGGTGCCTCCGCCACAAGAGGTCTGGAGGGTGGCAACAGGAGAACAGGCCTTTTCTGCAGTGTCTCCCTGTTTGTGAAATGCTCTCCCCAGGGAGGCTTGCCTGGCACCTTCATTACATATATTTAGGCACCAGGCAAGAACATTCCTCTTCTCCCAGGCCTTTCGCTAATTAAACAATCTATGGCCTTTTAAATTTGGGGGGCAGGGAGTCATTCTTTTGTTTGTTTTAATAACATAATACTATGTTATGTATTTTCATGTTTATATACTGTAAATCCTATGATCCTGGGATGAAGGGCGGTATATAAATTTAATAATAAGTGGAATATCCATATGCAGCATCTGAAAATCAAATCCACACATCACGAGTGACCGGAGGAAGTACAAAAAGGAGCGATCAACCAAGATGGTGGTGGGGTTTTTTATCATGAAGAACACCTTCGAGAAAATCTGATGCATTAAGAACTGCATAAATTGTTATTCTACCAGCTATCTCCAGGGAGGATATTCCATTACAGTGGTACCTCAGTCTACGAACAGTCCTGTTAACGATCTATTTGGGCAACGAACTCCGCAAAAACCAGAAGCAGGTGTTCTGGCTAGCGAACTTTGCCTCAGAAGATGAATGGTGGAAGGGCACCAGCGGCAGGAGGCCTCAGTAGGGAAAGAACGCCTCAGTTTAAGAACGCTTTGGCTTAAGAACGGACTTCCGTACCGAATTAAGTTTGTAGACCAAGGTACCACTGTAATCACATAATATGCCTATACATCATTTTTCAGAGAGAGAGAAACTTATAAATCTACACAAAGCAAGGAAATCTGAATTTCAGGATGAAGATCCTGGCGTGACAATCCATCCTTAACTCACCGCGTCGATATTGCAGGGGTCTCCAAACCGCAAACTGTATGCGCTCCATCTCGTCTGAAAAATCTAGGCACAATGGGGGTTGAGTTAAGGAGAGAGTGTCAGACCCGACACATGGAACCTTTAAGAGAATGCACTTCAGTTCAGCTGGAAAAGGCAAGACAGCTTTTAGAGGAAGTTACAGCCCCATTCAACAAGTGTCTGGAGGGTGGGAAGCCTACCGGGGCTGACATCTTCCTCCTACCTTGAATGCTATTTTGTCATATCTGGGCTCTGTTATGTACACTATTCATCCATCCATCCATGGAAGCAACACAAGGCTGAGCCCAGGCTTACGCAGATCATTGGTGTTATTTTCTCAGAGGACACTCAGAGAAGCCAGCAGGCCCCCCTCCTGAGAAGAACAAGGCTAGTTTTCTTCGAAATCGATGCCAGCTACACATCTCGCCACCTGCTCACTTAAGACTGCTCAACAGTAAGGGAAAGAGTGGGCTCAAAAACTCCTGCAATACTGTAGAAGCCATGACTGCCTAAAGAACACCTATTGGACCATTCAAAGCCCAGTCTCTTGGAAATGGTGGCAAGCTCGTTTTCCATCACAGTTCTTCATTGGAAAGCAGTTTCCTCAGCACTAAAGTTACATTTTCCAAAGCAACATTCCACATGTACCAACGGTACAGTTTTAAGCTTTGGAAATATGCTTGCTAAGATCTTCAAGGCCAAAAGATTATGAGGGAAAGCCTTTAAAAGAAAAAAGAATAAAACAGACAAAATAGTTTCTTACACTTCAACATTTTTCTGCTGGAGTCCGGACGTTTTTTTCCCTGGTGCGGCCCCTCTCATCTTTCCTTCTGCATACTGTTCCCTTTGAAAAAAAGAGTCATCAAAACAGGACTTAATTAGAGGCATCTCTATGCCTCTATAGCGCAGAAGTATCTCTGCAACAGAAGCCCTGCCTGTCTTGCTATTCTTAACTGCCAGTGCAACCAGTTAAAATTTAACATTGGGAATGTCCCTAAGTATTGCACTGAAACTGTGGCATCCTGGTCTGTTCCTCTTGCCCTGACAGTGCCCATGCTGCAATTTTTTTCCAACAGTGTTATATGTTTATATATACCCACACAGAATGTGAGCTCCATCCAGTATGTAGTTCAGGACAACACAGAAGGTATTTCATAGTGTATGTTTAAAGCAATTTGGGGGTAAGTAGATTATAGCTCCAAAGAGTTCTCCTGCTTGAGCAATGAGAGAGAAGGGCACCTTCTCCCATACTAGGTGAAGTGAGTTCTACAAAATTCACACACACATAAAATCCATGTAATACATATTCAGGCTGCAGGGGAGAGACTGTGCTGAACCCTCAAGGGGCTGTCTTTCCCATTTGTCCTGCCCTCCGCACCCCAGCCTGCAAGGAGAAGCAGCTCCCCAAGAATTTACTGCTGCTCTCTCTGCTACCTTTGGGGGCACACCCCTTTCCCTTTTGGCAGAGGCAATAATGTATTCATCTTTTAAAAATGTTTGCTGTTTTAAGTTTGAGTTACATTGCTAGGGCCAAAGGTTCCCCACACCTTTCTTACACAAGAATACAGAGACCCATGTAAAAAAAACCCAACCATTTATTATACACTGGCCTGGCTTAGTTCCTCCATTACTAGGTAATACTCACTGATTGGCCTTTTGAAGTTCTTTCTGCTTTTGCAGATTGGTGTCCACGTATTTGAGCACTCTGCTTTCTGGAACCCATTCATCCCAGCTGCAAGGGAAGGGAAGAGTTTTCAGGGGCTACATAACAAGAAGCCCACTGCCTAGCTGTTAATTCAGTGGCTTCACAGAAAACCAATGAACTTTATTCATTTATTTAAAAAAATATTTATAGACAGCTATTTATAAAAACTTTGCTTTTCCGACTTGCAGCCCTGCCTAACAAAGGGTTACAGGCACAAGCGTGTGGATTTCTCCTAAGTTTCGGAATCCAGGTATTCAATCAATTCCTGTAGAAAAAAGAATCATTGTTCTAGATGCTGTTGTTTTCATTAAGAAGACTTTAAAGTTAGCTGAAAGCTACATTCCTGGAGAAAGTTTGGGAACGCTTTCTGATAGGGCGACAGGATTATGACCTCATGCTTTACCATCCCCAGCTATGACTGATCAATTTGCAGCTTATTCTGTGGGGTTTTCTCTCTCTCTCTCTCTCTCTCTCTCTCTCTCTCACACACACACACACACCCTTTTTCAATCGCTCTGTTGCCACTGATCAGGACACCGAAACCTGCCAGGACTTCCACTGTGCCTCTCCTGCCCAATCCGCTGTCACTTATTGCAGGCCACAAAAACCTTGCTTTGGCACAGCAGACCTTTTGAGACAGGCACAGGCTTTACTCTAGTGGGAGCTTAGAGAGGGAGGACACGTAAGTTACTCCCTTTCCCCACAACAACCTTGGGAGTGTGTATGGAATGGCTGAGAATAGATAGCAGATAGCAGCCTTCAGGGAGGACTGTTAGATTGGAGTAAAAAGAGAGGGTGTAGTCGGATGCCTTGATTGTGGCCCACACTGCTAGGAGAGAGCCACATGGGAGGAAAGCAAGAGGGTGCCCTGTAATCTGTGGGCAGATCAAGGCTCCTTTTTTGTATCAGCTTAAACCTGGCAGAGAGGGGAGCAGCCTTCAACTTAGGAAATTTCAGTTAATATTAATAACTAGTTAAACTTGGGGCACTGCTTGAATTTAGACAGTGGTTTCTTTTTATTCCTTTTTCTCCTTTCTGGTAAATTATCAATGTCTGCAGCAGGAACCATAATCGCTACTTAGCATGTAATTCATCTTTTTCCTGTGCTGGTGCCACCCAAATGTTTAGAACTTTAGCTCCCGTCAGGGCCAGCCAGCCCTAGCGTCATACAGTCATGCTGCCTGGGCTGATGGGGAGTTGTAGTCTGAAACATCTGGAGGATGCCAGAATGGGGAAAGCAGATATGAATGAATGCAATTAGAGACTTAGGAGAAATCCCCATTTCACATTCTGACTCACACCACCTGTAACTGTTTCTCCAGCAAGAGGTGAAGAGCAAAGAGCCTTCAATAATTCACAAAGCTGTGTTGCCCGGGGTTTTTTGCTCAAAAGCCTCATGATTGTGGCAGTGAGTAGACAAGGTTGACTTATGGGTTCAATACTATTATTATTTTATTAATCTTGAAACTTCAAGCACATCTGAGATCGTTGCAATAAAATAATCAAGAGACAAAAATATAAACACATAAGAAAGCTAAACAAAATGTGTGTGTGAATAAAACAGATCAACTGAATTAAAAAAGCTTAGGAAAATAAAATCGGTATCTGCCTGGCACCAAAAAGATACCAAAGCAGATGCCAGATATTCCTCTCTGGGAAAAGCATTCTAAAGTCACCACCACAGAGAAGGCCCTTTCCCCTGAAACCACAATATGTCAGAAAAACCTAGAGAAGAGCCTCTTCTGCAGATCTCAATGTATTGGCAAGTATATGTGAACCCATACAATTTTCCAGGTATCCTGGCCCTAAGCCATGATGGGTCTTAAAAATCAAAACCAGCACTCTGAGCTGGGCCCAGAAATAATTGACAGGGAGCTGGTCGTGTTGGTGAAACGCTGGCATCACAACAGCTGTCCTCAGTTGCTCATGTAGAAGCCATATCCCTGAACTAACTGTGGTTACCAAAACACCTTCAGGAGCAGCTGCACACATAGTGTGTTTCGGCAGCCTAGCCCAAAGGATGACTGAGGACAGGCTGCCATCTGCTTTGGCTGGAAATGCCAGGGGTGAAATCCTGCAAAGATGCTGCACATATTTTGTACTGCCCCAACTTTCTGACCTTAAACATTAGTTTAAGTTGCCATAGAAATGAAGGAACTTTAACCATTGCTGTTCATTGTATATTGATTTTTTTGGTTTTAATAATGGTTTTGTTATGATGGTGGCTATTTGATTGCCATTGTCACAAGCCATTCTGTGCTCCATTTTGGAGAAAAAGTAGGATATATACCTCGTATCAAATACAGGTTTGTTTTTGTTTTGTTATCGTTACTTAAAAATAAATACTCACTTCTTATTCCAACCACTGTAATGTATGAAGTATTTCACCTGTTTGTCCTTTATAGCAACCTTTACACACTAGAAGGAGGAAGAAGAAAGTCTGTCAACAACTTAGCAAGTCCACGTGCAATTCAGAGACTTTTATGCCACTCTGGGCCAGATTAACAGTTCTTAGGCAGCCTACAGGGTATTTAATTGCCCCAGCCAAATCGGGTCCCTTGCTGTGGCAAGATGTTCTGGGAGTTTCCCAGCATGCAAAGTGCGAGCCCATCCTGCTCCTTGCAGCTGGGGACACGGTGGCTGCCCAGAGGGCACAATGTCCCCAGTCACTCGCCACACAGGCTGCCTCTCTTAGCATGAGGAATACGATACCATCAGTACTGCAGAAGGACTTCAAAAGGAAGGCAGGATGGAGCGGACCAGAGAAAGGGAGCCGGGCTGCTTGTGGCTGCTGTGTTTGCACAGGCTTGCTTCTGTGCGAGAATGCTGGCAGAGGAAAGCACGGTATGTGAATCAGGCCCTTTGGCTCTGGAGCCCCAGAGCAGGTTTTTTTGTTTTGTTTTGTTTTGCACAGCGCACGCGTCCCCCACCACCACCCCTTAAATCCAGCACTGCCGTGGGTGGGTTAACGTCGTCTGCCACAGCAAACTACAGCCAACATACCTTTGCTTCGTAAAGAAGAGGTCCATGGAAACACAGCACCCGTTCACCTGTGAGAAAATTTCCATTTAGTAGGAAAAGCAGGCCTAGACGCACACGCACCACACAAACACTGAATAATATCATCATCGCACTGAAATGAAGATGCAAGGATCCGTTAACGTTCATCTTACTATTTCAGCTCCTCATAAGAGCTTGGGCCAAGGTAAGCAGAGCTGAACCGCCATTTTGCTCAAACTGGACTTCCCATCCACCAACCCAAATAAACACGCATGTTCAAAAGCTGGTGTTTCTGTTGACGAGTGCAGAAAGGGCTTCCAAGGCAACATATTTTTGCTTTCAAAGTTGAACGATAAGACACACAGAAAAATCAGAGGATTTTTCATCTGTGCCTTTGAAGCAATGCAACTTCCTCATCAGAGATTTGAGTTGCACAAGATGCCAACGCCACCCTCTGTGTGTGTGCGCGCACACATGGATGTCCTCATTTTCATGTTGTAATGCACAGAGTACCAAACCGTCAAGTAGCAATCTGCCTCCCTATAAGCTAAGAGGAAGACTTATTTGAGCATTGCTAATTAAGGGTGTCCAGACTCCAGGGCCTACCACAGAGAATGCCAGAGGGGCTGATCCTGTCCCACACCAAAAGAGATGGCACAGGATGTCATATGCTCACCTGTGCTCAACCGACATGGGCTAGCAACTATTGTGCCAGGCCATGCGATGGAGCTCTGGTGCCCACAGGAGAGGGTGAAAGCCTCTGAGCAGGATGAGGGCATTTGCAGGCAGAAAGAAGAGAGTCTGGCTGCAGCAGCTGGGCCAGCTGCCCAAAGGGGGTCCACCGCCTAGCCCACCACCCTCCTCTCACAGTGGCCAACCAGGTGCCCCTAGCAGGAAGCCTTGAAGGCAGCAGGACCCCCAACAGGGCAGAAGCAGCTCTCCCTGCCACAGGGATCCAGGAGCATCACTGCCTCCTACTGGGGGGGGGGGGCGGACATAGCCGTCGTGGCTAGTAGCCATTATGACGAGTAGCCATTATGACTAGTAGGCAATGAAAGACAAATTCAGGTGTGTGTTTGGCTCATTCTCCTCGGCCTGACCCAGCAACCAGGGTCTTCCTCAGAGGAAGGCTGAGCCGCAAGACGCAGACAGGGAAGAGGGGGGGGAAAACACCCCCTAGTGGCTCCCTTTCCCCCCTCCTGAGGAGTGGGGAGGGGAAAACAAAGAGAAGAACCCGAGGGGCCGTTTTGCTGCGGGGAAAACGGGCTCCTGTGCATGCACTGCCTGCTTGCCTGGGGTGGGGAGGGGGAGGCAGAGCGGCCGCCGCCGCCCCCCGCCCGGCTCTGGGCGCCCCCTCCTCTCCCTCTCCCCTGCCCTTCGCGGCTGGAGGTCCGTGGTTGGGGGTCTCCGGCAGGGCGCCCCCTCCGTCCCCGGCTCGACCCTCCCTCCTGCCGCTGCTCACCCTCTTGGAATTTGGGTTTGGGGTCCTGCTTGGGCGCCATTTATAAGCGACTCCTCCGCCTCCCCCTCCCCGCGGGGGCTCCTCAGCTGCGTCGCCGCATTATGGCAAGAGGAGGGAAGCCTCCGCTACGGCGCATGCGCGCGCACAGGATCTTTCCACGCCTGGATCTTCCTCCTCTCCCGGGGCATGCTGGGTTTTGTAGTCTTCGGCGGTGGCTCCTCCTGCTTCCCGTCTCGTCGCCGCTGCGCCTGCCTGCCTGTCACATGAGCTGCTAAAACAAACCTCCTTCTTTTTAATCAGCCAATGGGCAAAAGAGGCGCGCTCAACTTGGGGCTCGAACCCACGACCTTGGTATTAAGAGTCCCATGCTCTACCGACTGAGCTAGCCGGGCATTAGCACAAGTTCTTCAGCCTGGAATACTCCTGCCTGCAACCCCTGATGCTGCTGTCTGGCTTCAAGCATGCGGCAATGTTGGTCATCAGGCAGGTGATGCTTTCACTGTTTTCTTTTCAGCTTAAACATTTTTCCTTAGACATGCCAGATGATCAGAAAGTTGATTCAAGTTTTAATCTACTCTTAGTCTATAGTCTTGGGGACGCGGATGGCGCTGTGGGTAAAACCTCAGTGCCTAGGACTTGCCGATCGTATGGTCGGCGGTTCGAATCCCCGCGGCGGGGTGAGCTCCCGTCGTTCAGTCCCAGCTCCTGCCCACCTAGCAATTCGAAAGCACTCTTAAGAGCAAGTAGATAAACAGGGACCGCTTTATAGCGGGAAGGTAAACGGCATTTCTGTGTGCTGCGCTGGTGCTGGCTCGCCAGCTGCAGCTTCGTCACGCTGGCCACGTGACCCGGAAGTGTCTCCGGCGGCGCCGGCTCACGACCTCTAGAGCAAGATGAGCACGCAACCCTAGAGTCGGACACGATTGGCCCGTACGCGCAGGGGTACCTTTACTTTTACCTTTACCTAGTCTATAGTCTATTGTCAGTCACCCTTTTAGAAAGTCTTAAATTGTTGTTGTTATTTTGTCTTAGTGATACTTGAATTGTTTTGTCTTTTTCTTACCCCCCACTGCGGATTTTGAATTTATTTTTTATTTTTTTACAGTGAAGCAGTGTATCAGTTTTATGAAATAAATAAAATCACTGGAAGCTCTGGATCTGGGATAATGGCAGAGGTTTCCCAACTGGCAAGTCAGGTACCCCACATAATCTTGGGGGGGGGGAGTAGGGTCAGAGTTTATATAAATATGTCTATATTTGACAACAGGGTTAAACACAACATGTATTTTATTCATTTATTAAGGGTTGTATCCTATGCTAGTTCCACCTAGAATAGACCTCATTGTCGTTAGTGAACCTGACTCTCTTAGGTTCATTAATTTACTGGGTCTACTCTGGGCTAGTGCCGGCTACAACCCATAATTTCCTTTCCACACACAATTTCCTTTCCACACTTCCAATTTCCTTGGAGCTGCCCACTCATCTGCCCCATCTTCCCACACCACAGATTCAGGAGCAGGTACATCAAAAGCCCTTTTCCTCCATCATTGGATCTGCCAGTCAGGAGAAAGACTAGCCTCAGAAAGCCCTACCCACAACTGCAGCCTTTCAATCATGCTTTAGCAGAGAAAGGGAGGTGGGACTACAGGGCCACCCCACCAGCGCACCAGAAACACCACTATCATCTTCCTCTCCAAATTTTATCATTCCAAGTCTTGCGGTTGCAATAACTCTGCAACTAAAAAAAACACGTGCCTGAGCTTGCTTTTTTCCTCCTCCCTCCCAACCCCTTTCCCTTTCGTGTCATGACTTTTAGGCTTCAAGCCAGCAAGCAGTCTTGTACATTGCTCTGAGAGGTTTTTTCAGCTGAAAAGCAAGTAAAAAAAAGTTTTAAAAAAAAAACTAGGCAGAATGGGACTTCAGAACTCCCACCCACCCACCCCACCCCACTTGGAGGCCTGGAGCTGTCCATAGTGCTGGTTCTGATGCTGCCACCTAGAGGGAAAAAGGCAAAGGGGCAGGGATCACATTCTGCCCCAGGGGTGCTGAGGCAGTGGAGATAAATGTCCCATGCTGAGGATTTCTTGTCAGGACTATAGGATTCCCTTCCCATTCCAGGCACCAAGTCTGTGAGGAGTCCTTGCACATAGAGAGGCATGCAATCTGCCTGCTTCCTTCTCAGTATGGCAACTGGGGAAAAGGTAGGGTGTTGTGATGCAACCTTGAACAGAGCAGCTGGCTTTCATGTTTCCATTGTGACACTGACTACAAAGGGTAGCCTCTCCCTTTTCCCACCAGATGGCACCCTTGTTCCAAGACAGGGCTCAATGATGGACTCTGTAAGCAGGAAATAATATATAATGGGCTCAATGAGCAGGGAAGGATAGCCTGTGAGAACATTGAAACTGCCTTCCCAGATCAGGCCAGGAGTTTTATTTCCAATAGAATAAAGTAATCCAGGTGCCTTTGGGAACCCAAAGCAGTGTGTGAGACTGATTTAAATAAATGGACACAATACCCAAGTGTTTCCAGCTTCCGAATGCACAGGCAAACCACAGTTTATCACTGCTGACTGCGTTGGTGTTCCACATGCTCAGCACTCCCTGTTTCCATTGCACCTCCGTCTCTGGAGGCAAAGCTGCAGCCATAGTTATGGTTTCGTAGAATTGTAGAGTTGAAATATACCCCAAGGGCCATCTAGTCCAACCCCTGCAATGTAGGAATCCCACCCACAGCCGTCCCTGGGTGGCCTCGAACCACCAACCTTCTGGTTAACAGTCAGACATACTGACCCACTGAGCCACAGATACCTGTTTGTCAAGCCAGGCATTGTGCCGTATCCTATTTAGTGCAAGCCATGGTGTCTGTATCTGATTGTTGCTGCAAAGCATGCTTGATCAGTTCAGACATTGGGCCAAACCATAGGTAAGCTTCCCCAGCTATAGTTTGGCATGTCAGGCAGTCTTCCCCAATCTGAGACTCTCCAGGTGTGTTGGCCTGCAATGCCCACCAGCCCTTTTAGCACAGCTGGACAGTGGGAGTTGTAGTCCAAAACATCTGGAGAGCAGCAGTTTATTGAAGGCTGATTCCTATCAAGTTCCAATCTAATGCTAGTTATTTCTATGGGATTATCTTACATAAACTGTCTTGGAGGACTGAAAGGCAAGATGCATTCAGATTAAACATTACTGAAAAACAAAACTATAGGATGTGCAAGGCAGATTAACCAGATCCATTTCAGTCTGGCTTCAGGCCCTTTTCTGGCACTGAGATGGCCTTGGTTGGCCTGTTGGGTCACCTCTGCCTGGACAGGGAAACAGGAATTGTGCTTTACCTGTGAGCAAAGCTCAATGGATCTCCACGGTCAGAAAGGCAAGACCTGGAATTGCACAACTTTAAATCAAGAACCTTCTAACTGCTCCCAGTAAGCCCTAAATATCTGGGAGACCGCCCTGCTTCCCCACAGACTGTCTGCAGTGCCGAAAGTGGCAGAGGGGCTCCTTTTGGTCTTCTTATGCCCTCAGAGACTTGGCATGGGGGGGGGGTTGGCAGCCCAGTAGAGGGCCTTCTCCGTGGAGTCCCCTAAGGTATGGAACTCCCTCCCAGCAGTGGGACATCTGGCGCCCTCATTATACAGCATTTGGAGAAGATGCACACCTTTCAAAGTCAAGGTGTATGTTTCAAGGACGCACCCTATTTTTATGCATGGAAGTTGTGTTCTTTTATTAAAAAGTTAAAAAATATGCTTTAACCCGCCCTGGGAAAATAGGTGGGCAAAAAATAGATTAACAAAAGTAATAACAATAATAATATTTATTATGGGAAGAAGCATTCTTCCCCGCCTCCCGTTCCTCCAAGCCAGCGACGTGCGTGGTTCTCCTCCCTTTCCACTTTACCTGCACAACATTCCTGCAAGGTGGGTTCCCAGCTGATGGACAGCGACAAGGTCAAGGGGCGACGCTGGCTGCAGCGGAGCTGCAAGACCGCGCTTCTGCCACGCGGCGGCGCAGTTCCGGCCGGTCTCCAGCAGGCGGCGTCGCAGGGCTGTCCCGCCGGCCAGGCTGCCCGCCGTGGGGGCAGGAGAAGCGGCGGCGGCGAGCGCGTTCGCGTCGTGCAGCTGCTGCCTCCGGCCAGGGCGCGAAGCCGGGAGCCGCGGGCATGGAGGAGCAGGCGGCCGGGCGCCCCCCGCCAGCAGCCTGAGGACGCCCCCCGGCCGCCGCCGCCGCCTGCCCAGCATGGCCCTCCCGCTGCTCCTGGTGGCCGCCCTGCTGGCCCGCCGGGGGGGCGGCACCGAGAAGCCAGGTGGGTGCCGCGGAGCGGGGTGGGGAGTCGGACTGTGCCGCCTGCTTTTTCTCTTGGAGGCTTCGCCTGCAGCCCCCGGCTCCTGGCAGGGAATAGTTCCTATTGCATGGGGAGGGATGCAAAGCCAGGGTGCTCGGAGCATGCACAGAGTGCCTTTTCAAGAAGGGCCGGCGGAGGCAAAGGTGCAGGAGGAGACGGTGCCATGGCAGGGCGGGGGCAAGTCGGGGGTCCCGGCTCAAGTTGCAGCTTCTTGCAGCAGCAGCAACAACAAACTTCTATGCATTCCTTTGAAAAGATCACTGCCTGCCATCTAGACTTCAGTGGGTGCTTTGGATGTTTGTGGACTGAATCTGGGCAAAAGGCTGCTTGGAGCAGCGCCCCCCACTCCCCACTCACCAATTCTATTGTTTCCTTGGAAATATTTGTGGCAAGATTGTGGCGGTGGTGGTGGGGAGCTGGGAGGCTCTCCTCCTCCTCCTCCTGGCATCCGGCAGCCTGTTTTTATTCAAGGGGGGCGGTGTGCTCCTTTGTAGAACCCGCTGGGCCTTCTCAGAAGAACGGAGGGATCTATCTTTGCTTTTCTGGAGTCCCAATTGAGAAAGTGGATAGAGAAAAGTTTTTCTCCCCGCCTTCTAACATTGGAACTCACAATCACCCAGTGATGCTGAATGTTGGAAGATTCAGGACAGTGAAAAGAAAGGAGATCTTCACGCAGTGCAGAGTTAAATTGTGAGATTCACTCCCGCAGGAGGCAGTGACAGCCACCAAGTTGGATGGCTTTCGGCTGGCATCCCTCTGTCTCGAGAGACAATGGAGTGCACTTCCGGGGCTCCTGAAGTCAAACCAATGGCTTTTAAAACAGAAGGAAGAGCCTGGCTGCAGGATCAGACCACTGGCCTATCTAGCTCTGCACCGCCTTCTCACAGTGGCCAACCAGGTGCCCCAAAGGGAAACCCCGCGAGCAGCACCTGAGTGCAAGAGCACTCTGCCCACCTGCAAATTCCCTGCAGGTGGTATAGGCATCATGGCTAAAAAGGTAAAGGTAAAGGGACCCCTGACCATTAAGTCCAGTCGTGGCCGACTCTGGGGTTGTGGCGCTCATCTTGCTTTACTGGCCAAGTACAGCTTCCAGGTCATGTGGCCAGCATGACTAAGCCGCTTCTGGCGAACCAGAGCAGCGCATGGAAACGCCATTTACCTTCCCGCCGGAGCAGTACCTATTTATCTACTTGCACTTTGATGTGCTTTCGAACTGCTAGGTTGGCAGGAGCAGGGACCAAGCAACGGGAGCTCACCCCGTCGCGGGGATTCGAACCGCTGACCTTCTGATCGGCAAGTCCTAGGCTCTGTGGTTTAACCCACAGCGCCACCCAGGCATCATGGCTAGAAGCCCTTAAAAAAGGATGAAAGACATTCATGAAAGATAGCGCTTTCAATAGTTACTGGCCACAAGGGCCAAAGTATATACCAGCTCAGGCAGCATGATGTTGAACGCCAGAGACTGGAACCTGCAGGAGGGGAGAGTGTTGTTGTTCTCAGGTCCCACTTGAGGGCTTTGCCTTGGGGCACCTGGTTGGCCACTGAGAGAACAGGATGCTGGACTAGTTGGGCCCCCTTTGGCCTGACCAAGGAGCCAGGATCACCTCCCGCTCTTGGCCTTAGGAGGACAGAGCGGAGGAAACTGGAGATTTGTCTACCTGCACTCTCAGGTTCTGTCTGCCAGCCAGAGCTTAGGTGATAAAGCTTTGGAAATCACAGGTTGCCGCTTGTTGTTGTTTAGTCATTTAGTCGTGTCTGACTCTTCAATTCCAGCTTAGTAGAACAATAAAACTTTAGAGCTGGAAGGGACCTTAAGGGTCAGGTATGCCAACTCCTGGGGCCTCTCAAAATCTCTGGGCAAGGGACCCCAATGTTAAGGGGGCATAGAAGGCTCCTGACAGTCAGACTCCCAGACTGTTCCTTCTCCATGAGCCTCGAAAGCCATCGCCAGACAAGAAGGTGTGCTGTGCCTTTGGCACCTTGGCGTGACCCTGCTGACGAGTCCAGCACATCTTCAGCTTTATAACCTTGTAGGAAAAAATGCGCCTAGGCATATCCTTGCGGCGACCATAACTCAGGTTTAAGGTGCCACTTGGCTCCTAGCTTTTATATCTCAGTTTCTAACACTGGCCTCACAACTGCCTCATTGGGGCAAGATCTGCTGGGAAGAGTTGCAGTGCTCAGTAGGTCTGAGCTGGGTTGTTTCTTTGAATAAAGAGTTCACTGACACCTTGTGAGTTATTGCTGACCGGCTTCTGGTCTAAAACACTTGGAAGGTGCCTTGTTGCTGCCTTTGAGGGACTGGCCCTTCCTATTTCCGGATGATCATTCCAAAGTATTTCCTGCAGGGGTTGGTTCTGCCGACGCACAAGATCCTGGCTATGACGTCGTTCATCCCGTCAAGGTGGACGAGCGAGGCTTTTTCCTCTCTTACAACCTGTCCTACCGCTCGCTGTACAAAAGGGCCATCTCCTCGAGGAATCGCCCGCTTGCTTTCTACAAGCTGTACCACCGAGGGCAGGAACTGATGTTCAACCTGAGCCTGAACAGCCGCCTCCTGGCTCCCGGCTTCGTCAGTGAGAGACGGTTTGGAGGCATCGCCCACGCCAAGATCCAGGCTTACAAGCAGAACTTGTGTCATATGATTGGGTCCGTTCAGAACCAGGAACAAGAAAGTGGATTGGCTGCTCTAAGCACCTGTGATGGGCTGGTAAGCATCATGGACTCTTTGCATCTTATGACGTAGAACCATCAGATCGTAGAATTGTAGTTGCAAGGGACCCAGTGGGTCATCTAGTCCAACCCCCTGCAATAAAGGTAAAGGTAAAGGGACCCCTGACTATTAGGTCCAGTCGTGGCCGACTCTGGGGTTGTGGTGCTCATCTCGCTTTATTGGCCGAGGGAGCCGGCGTACAGCTTCTGGGTCATGTGGCCAGCATGAAGAAGCTGCTTCTGGCGAACCAGAGCAGCGCACAGAAACGCTGTTTACCTTCCCGCCAGAGTGGTACCTATTTATCTACTTGCACTTTGATGTGCTTTCGAACTGCTAGGTTGGCAGGAGCAGGGACCGAGCAATGGGAGCTCACCCCGTTGCAGGGATTCGAACCGCTGACCTTCTGATTGGCAAGCCCTAGGTTCAGTGGTTTAACCCACAGCGCCACCCGCGTCTCTACCCCCTGCAATAGCCATCCCCTGCAATAGCCATCTTCAAATATCTCAAGGGCTGTTTTCTCCTACACTAGAGGGCAGGTCTTGAACCAATGGCTCAAGTTACAAGAAAGGAGAGTCCAACTAAACATAGGGGGAAACCTTCTGACAGTAAGAGCTGTTTGGCAGTGGAACGGTCTCCCTCTGGAGGTTGTGGACTCTCCTTCCTTGGAGGTTTATAAGCAGAGGTTGGATGGCCATCTGTCATGGATGCTTTAGCTGAGATTCCTGCACTGTAGAGGGTTGGACTAGATGACCCTTGGGGTCCCTTCCAACTCTACAATTCTGTGATTCTAATGTCTTCACCAACCTGGTGCCTTCCAGGTGTTTTGGACCACAGCTCCCATCAACTCAACATCATTAGCCCCAGCCAGCATGGCTGTGTTCTCATCATGACTGCGACTGATGGGAGTTGTAGTCCAAGACACCTGGAGGGCACCAGGTTGGGGAAGCCTGGCATAAAAACTGACCTGGTGGCTTTGATGCATTGTAGAGTTGGAAACTTCCTTAATGGCAAGTTATAAATGCCGCTGACCTTCAGTGCAACATCCCTCTTTTGTTATGTTTTTGTACAACATCTGGTTTGGCAATTGTTGTTCGGCACGAGTAAAGGTAATTATAAGTCTCGTCTCCTTTGCAGGTTCTTTTTTCTTTTTTTAAAAAAGTAATGTTTTATTCTTAGATATTGTGATTAAAGGAAACAAACAAGACTCCTGCATGCCGTGCCCTGGAAAGCTTTGCAGAAGAGATCATGTGCAACACACATGACATTCTGAGACCACTGATGTTGGGTGTCTCATTCCACTCTCAGGGACGGTCCAATCCTGAAAGGTTTTATTATAGTCAGGTTTGTTTATTTATTTATTATATAACAGGTTCCTGGACTAGATAGGTCATTGGCTTCATCCAGCAGGCTCTTCTTATGTTCTTATGTTGTTTGCAACCACATCTGCAAACTCTTAAGACTTGGAAACTGATGTACCGTAGTGATGATGACTCTTGTCGTCTCCAGAAAGGAGTCTTCCGGCTGGCTAATGAAGACTTCTTTATTGATCCACTGCCTGAGAGCAACTCCAGGGAGAAGGCGGCCCATCCCCACAGGATATATAGACGCCACGTCCCAGATTATGAAGCCGAAGAGTTTATTTCGGTCGTGAGCACGAAACAAGACAGGAAGCAGTCTGCCGTTGTCAGGATGTGCGGGGTCCAAGGTAACTCCCCCCTCCTCCTGGTTCACAAATGATTTGTTGGCTGAAGGAAGCTTCCTAATGTGTTAGCTTGCTTACTTTCCTCCCCGAGATTGCATGCTGACTTTGTTATTTGAAAATTCACATTATATGTCCCCTAGATGTGACATTAACGGCATGAATGCTGCTCACATGAATGTACGTGTCAATGTGAACAGCAGTCGTGGGTGAGAAAAGCAGAATCAAGTCTGTAGCAGGGGACTTTTTATCCAGAGAAATGTTGAATCCATGCTTCTTAATGGAAATTACTGGGGACATGTTTTCAGCTGTGGCTCAGCTAAGCAGACCAGGGCTGGTTTTGACTTTTTGAGCTCTAAATACAGACTTCCCCAACCTGGTACCCTCCAGATGTTTGGACTACACTCTCATCAGCCCCAGCCAGCATGGATGAAAAGAGAACTTTAGAAGCAATGTGCCTGCAAAAAAAATGTCGGAAAAATATGTTTGTGCTGGCTGGGGCAGGTGGGGGTTGTAGTCCAAAACATCTGGAGGGCACCAGGTTGGGGAAGGCTGTCCAAAATCTTTTGGACACAATTCAGAAGAGCATTTTCTGCATTTTTGCAGGGGAGTTGTTTCCAAAGTTCGCTTTCCAGCTGTCTAATTGACCATGACCGCAGTTCAAAGGCTGGAAGAGAGAGCGGGGATTGTGTGCGAGTTGGTGCAGCCCTGACTGTGCATTCCCCAAAGGGCAAGGTTTTCTTCATGCCATGCAGCTCCTAAAAATCTCCATCTATGTTGCCACTGGGGAAAAAAAGCCTCTGGAGCAAATTGGGGGATGTTCTCGGTGGGTTTTGATTGCACTTTGGGCCTCCCACCTTGCCTGGGAGGGTCTGACGTGTAGATTTCACTTCGAGTCGAGACACTGATTAGCCACGGATACTGTTCCCCTACAGTAAACACTTTCCACCTGAAGGCAGCCTCGCTCGGGGGTGAGAATTTGCCCCTGTTGCTTTTAGGATCCCCCCTTCCATTCAAAACATGATTTCAGAAGCTTTTCTGAACTACAACTCCCATTACCCCTGCAGTTGGACTATGCTGGTTACTGAAAGTTGTAGTTCAGTAACATCTGGAGAGCCAAAGTTTTCCCACCCCTGGACTACAGCAAAAACTTGCCTGAAGAATAAAAGTTGGGTGGTGGGCATGCATCCTTGTGGCAAAGGAAAGAGGTATGTTGGATCCCATTATTTGAGTGGGAAGATGGTATAGATCCAGGGGTTGGAAGCCTGTTGGACATCAGCTTCTACCAGTCCAAACCAGCATGGTCAGTTGGCAGTGTTAGGAGTGGAAGCTGAAGAACATCTGGAGAACTTCAGGTTCCCCATCCTTGAGTGACATCAGCCTCCCCAAGCCTGCTGCCCTCAGTGGTCATGAGTGGTGGTGGGAGATGGAGTCCAACCACATCTGTAGGGCACAGATGGACCCATACCCCTGTTGAAGGGACCCAGATGCTTCAAGGCTGACCAGCTTGCAGAGCAGCAGCAGCAGAGGGTCCCAGGCATCCTCTCATCTTCTCCTCTCAACCTCCAAGAAAGCCTCGAGACCTCTGAGAAGCAGAGAGAGAAGTGGGAGGAGAAGCGGCGGAGGAAGCGGCGGATCAAGCAGCGCTCTGTCAGCAAGGAGAAGTGGGTGGAGACCCTGGTGGTGGCCGACACCAAGATGGTCAAGTATCACGGCAGCGAGAACGTCGAGAAGTACGTCCTGACGGTCATGAACATGGTGAGTCCTTCAGGGGTGGGAGAGAGAGAACCAGTCTTTGTGCTGGGTGGGGAAAGCTGTTCAGTGCACTAGACCAGTGGTTCCCAAACTTTTCCAGGCCAATTCCTCTTTGGTCCCATAAACTCATCCCTAATGCCCCCTACCCCATAAAAAGTATTATTCAGAATACAGTCATACCTTGGCTTACAGATGCTTCAGGTTGTGCATTTTCGGGTTGCGCACCACAACGAACTTGGAAGTACCGGAACAGGTTACTTCCGGGTTTCGGCGCATGCACAGATGCGCTAAATCACGCTTTGCGTATGTGCAGAAGAGCCAAATCGCAACCCACGCATGCACAGAGACGGCACTGTGGGTTGCGAACGCTGTGGGTTGCGAACGTGCCTCCCGCACAGATCACATTCACAACCCGAGCGTCCACTGTAGTGGTTTGCAGAACCCACTAAAGAAGATAGTAACAGGTCTAGAGTGAGAGACTAGGGTGATCTCTGCTGTTGTGAGACTTTTGTGGGTGAACTGAGAGTTTGTTGGACCTTGGGCGAGAACCCAGAGACTGTGAGGGAGAGTGTGTCAGAAGAAAAATGAATTGATACTGATTTCTATATATTAGTAACATTCATATTAATGTAACATTTTTATAGGTACAGTCATACCTTGGATCTCAAACACCTTGGCTCCTGAACAAATTGGCTCCCGAACGATCAAACAATCGAAACCCAGAGTGTTCTGGTTTTCGAACGTTCTTTTGGAAGCTGAATGTCCAATGGGGCTTCTGCAGCTTCTGATTGGCTTCAGGAGCTTCCTGCAGCCAATCAGAAGCCATGCTTTGGTTTCTGAACATTTTGGAAGTCGAACAGACTTCCGGAACAGATTCCGTTCGACTTCCAAGGTACGACTGTAACTGTGTGTGAAATTTTTATCACTTCTTAACTCTAAATCAGAAGAAAAGGCAATCTGTGTAAAATCCTATTGCTGTTTATTCCAATTCAGCGCCAAACTGCCGCTTTCCCCAGAGGAGCCCTATGTCGGGTTCATCAGCTTCAGTGGGTCTGCTCTGAGCAGGACTTGCATTGAACACCAGCCTTGATCTTCTGAGGACCAAGTGTAGCATGGTGGTTAGAATGCCAGACTAAGACCTGAGAGACCAGGGTTCAAATCCCCACTTGGCTATGAAGCTAACTGGGTGACCTTGGGCCGGCCACTGCCTTTCTCAGTCCAGCCTACCTCACAGGGGTTTGAATGAGGAGGGGGAGAAGCATGTATTGCTTGGAGAAAAAGGTGGGATATAAATCCAATGAATGAGTGCGAGTTACAAAGGGAGTGTGGTGATAGCGGGGTCTTGCCACCCTCCACCCCCTGAGCCTTCATCAGCTCTGTTTCTCCTTTGGCGCAGGTGGCCGGAATGTTCCACGATGCCAGCATTGGGAACCCTATCCATGTTTCCATTGTGCGCCTTATCTTCCTGGAAGAAGAAGAGGTACAAAGAGGCTTTTAATACTGCTGTGCTGTTTTCATTATCTGTATTTTAATTGATTCAGGTGTTTATTATTATTATTATTATTATTATTATTATTATTATTTTATTAGTTTAATTACTTTTTAACAATTGCATTCTATACGCTTTTAGCTTTTTGCATTTTATCTGCATCATTTTTTATTTGTGTAAGCTGCCTTGAGTTCTGGTCTGGGGAAAATGTGGTATATAAAGAAATATAATAATAACAGAAGCATTTAGCTGTGAATTCTACATTGCAGGGGGTAGGACTAGATGACCGTTTGGGTCCCTCTTGTCTCTACAATTCTATGATTCTGAGGTTAGCTAGTACACCTTCTGTTCCTGCCAGCACATCACAGGATATAGGAGCAACTTTCTGCAATTAGGTTGAACAGGCCTCTGGGAATTTAGGTGCCTCTCTGCACAACCCGCAGACCACATAGCAATTTCTCCCTGAAGCAATTTCAGTGGCTTTTTCAGGCTTCCCCTGTCAGCCGAGCGCTGCCTCTGTGAAAGGCAGGAAGTGTTTCTAGAAAGGCGGTGGTTTGCACCGGTGAGGGTCCTTCATGCACGAGTCTTCTAATTTGTCTATGGGTGTGTGCATTTCTGTGCAGATTAGGCTGCTGGGGTGTGTTGGGAGGAGATGTTATGTGCTTGTATTGCGTGCTTATGCATGCAATTATTGGGGAGGGGGAATCTTCAAGGCAGGGCTGGACCAACGGCAAGAGATGATGCTCAAGGCAATGACACCAATAGGCACATCAGTGATGCGATACACGAGGCCCAGGATCTCTTGAAACGCTGGCCGGGGCTGCTGGAAATCATAGTCCAAAATGTCTGGAGAGTGCAGCTGCTTGGCAAAGGCCTGTTTAGTATCTGACCCTATTATGAGCTTTGTAAATAATAAGGTGGAGGACACAGAGTGCTGGGACGCAGGTGGAACTGTGGGTTAAACCACAAAGCCTAGGACTTGCCAATCAGAAGGTGGGCGGTTCGAATCCCTGCGACGGGGTGAGCTCCTGTTGCTCGGTCCCTGCTCCTGCCAACCTAGCAGTTCGAAAGCACGTCAAAGTGCAAGTAGATAAATAGGGAAGGTAAACGGCGTTTCCGTGCGCTGCTCTGGTTCGCCAGAAGCGGCTTAGTCATGCTGGCCACATGACCTGGAAGCTGTCTGCAGACAAACGCTGGCTCCCTCAGCCAATAAAGCGAGATGAGCGCTGCAACCCCAGAGTCGGTCACGACTGGACCTAATGGTCAGGGGTCCCTTTACCTTTACCTTAAATAATAAGGTGGAGGACACAGAGTAATGGGAATGCCCCCAAAGTGTGTCTTGATGGAATGCTAAACAGGAATACAACGCAAAGCATAGAATCATAGAATTGAAGAGCTGAAAGGGACCTCAAGGGTCATGTAGACCAACACTCTGCAGTGCAGGAGTCACAGCTAAAGGATCCCTGACAGATGGCCAGCCAACCTCTGCTTAAAAACCCCCACTGATGGAGAGAGTCCACCACCTTCCGAGGGAGTCTGTTCCACTTTTGCTAACGGAAATTTTATCCTAGTATTTAGTCAGAATCTCCTTTCTTGTTGTTTGAATCCATTGGTTCCAGTCTTCCCCTCTGGAGCAGCAGAACTTGCTCCATCTTCCATGTGGCGGGCAGCCCTTCCGATATTGGAATATGGCTATCATACCTCCTCTCAGTCTCTTCTTCTCCAGACTAAACATACCCTTCTCCCTCAACTGTTTCTCATAAGGCTTGACTTCCAGGCCCTTGATCATCCTGGTCCTCCTCTTGTGCAAAACCTTCCAGCTGGTCAACATCCTTCTTAAATAGTGATGCCCAGAACTGGGCACAGGTGGGGTTGGACTAAAGTATCTCATCTCCATTTCTGTAGGACGACCTGAAAATCACTCACCATGCAGACAACACCTTGAGGAGTTTCTGCAAATGGCAGAAGGCCATCAATGTGAAGGGGGACGACCATCCGCTGCACCACGACGTGGCTGTCCTGCTCACAAGGTATAGCTCTGCTCAGGCTCTGCGCTGGCGCTACCACACATTTCTTTGAAGGCATTTATAAACCGCCCAACATTTTCTTAGGTCTCTGAGTGGTAAGTCCATGCGCTACGAACAAGGGCATCCCATGTGGTTCCCCACTGATGTCGTAGGTTTCTAGATCCCTTCGGTCCCAGCTGGCAGAGCCAGCGATTGGGGTGGTAAAGAGAGCTGGAGGCATCATACAACATGGAGCCTGTGTGGTGCATTGGGTCCGTGCATCTGGCTGTTAACCAGAAGGTTGGTGGTTCAAGCCCACCCAGGGACGGCTATGGGCAGGATTCCTGCATTTTAGGGGGTTGTACTAGATGACCCTTGGGGGTGCATTCCAACTACACAATTCTGTGAACATCTGGAGGGCACCAGGTTTGTTTGTTTTATTTCTTACATATATATATAGCATCTTTTAATATTTTAATATTTTGTTGGAAACTGCCCAGAGTGGCTGGGAAGCCCAACTAGATGGGCAGGGTATAAATAATAAATTATGATGATGATGATGATATTTTCCTTGCAAGGAGCTCAAGGCAGTGTACATGGTTCTCCTGCTTGTCTTCCCCACCCCACCCCCTACAAATAATTTTTATTGGTTTTCATGTAAATACAAAAACGACATATAGCTACAGTAACTTGTCCAGTGGTACATTAAGTTTCATATGCAGTACACAGTACACAAGCAGTGTGTTAATTTTTTCATTATCAATTCAAGTATCCTCCTACATACTTTCGGCTGAGGGGGAGGGATTGAACCAAGGTCACCCAGTGAGCTTCCTGGCCAAGTGGGGATTCGAACCCTGATCTCCCAGGTCCGACAATCTAACAGCTACATTACACTGGCTGTTATCTACTCAGATTGGAATGAATATGCAATTAACAGCGGATGTGATAGAACCTCTGCACAACCCTTTATGCAAACACACCAGGCTGATTGCTGCCTCTTTTTCCTCATGTGTGTGTTTCCTGCCTGCCTGGGGAAGGAAAGACCTCTGTGCCGCCATGAACCGTCCCTGTGAGACTCTCGGCCTGTCTCACGTCTCCGGCATGTGCCAGCCTCACAGGAGCTGCAACATCAACGAGGACACGGGGCTCCCTTTGGCCTTCACTGTGGCTCACGAACTTGGACACAGGTACTGGAGGGGCAGCGCTCGTTGATCACACAATCCATAGCTAAACTGTGGAACTCCCTCCCACAGGATAAAGTGATGGCCACCAATCTAGATGCTTTGAAAAATGGGTTTGACAAATTTGTGGAGGAGAGGACTATTGATGGCTACTAGCCATGATGCCCATGCTCCACGGTTGGAGGCAGCAATGCTTTTGAATGCCGGTTGCTGGAAAACAGAGGAGGGGAGAAGGTTCTTGTGCTCAGATCCTGCTTGAGCTGGGGCTGATGGGAGTTGTAGTCCAAAACATTTGGAGGTCACCAGGTCTGGGAATGCTGCATTTAGAGCAGGGGTCGGCAACATGCGGCCCACAAAGACCGTTTTACCAGCCCACAAGCCGCCCCTGAACCAAGCTGCCTGCTCGGTGAGTCCCCCACGCACTGCACTAAACTGGTGCAGCACGGGGACTTGCTGAGTGGCACCGGAAATGGCGTCTGCGCATGCACAGATACTGGAAATCGCGTCTGCGCATGTCTAGAAGCCGAAAAGCGCTTCGGCGCAGGCGTGATTTTCGGCATCTGAGCATGCACAGAAGCAATTTCTGGCGCCGTGGACATGCACAGATGCAATTTCCAGCATCACGCTGCACCAGTCCGGCCCACGGATGATCTCCGTGGGAGTGATCCAGCCCATGGCCGGTAAACCTTCCCAACCCCTGATTTAGAGCCTACTACCTCCCTCTTCCCGCAGACAGCATGGCCCCAGTGTCACATGACCCTGCTGGCTGGGGCTGATGGGAATTGTAGTCTCAACCCCTCTGGAGAGCACTCGGTCGGCCAAGGCTGATCCCTCAAAGGCTCGGGGAGGGAAGACTCCCGCCCCGGGGTGTGTGGATGCAAATTTGGCTTCCGTCCCGGATCTTGGGGTGCCCCCTTGAAGCTCCTTTGCGGTCGTGTCTCTGGGCGCGTGGCTCACCTCCCCCTTTGCGGGGCTGTGCTCTTACAGTTTTGGGATTCAGCATGACGGAAGCGGCAATGACTGTGAGCCAGTTGGGAAAAGACCTTTCATCATGTCTCCACAGCTCCTGTACGACACCTCGCCACTCACCTGGTCCCACTGCAGCAGGGAGTACATCACCCGCTTCCTCGAGTAAGTCTGGGGGCCATTACCATTGGCGTAGCTCTCGATAGCTGTGGCTGTGATGCAGGGGTCGTTGTTTACTCTGTGTGTGTTGGAGGGGTGGGGCGAGGCATTGGGGCATTTGGGTCAATGAAACGGCTTAAGCCCCAAATACCTGAAAGATCGTCTCCTTCCCTACAGACCCTCTCGGGTGCTGACATCAGCAGAGAGGGCTCCTGCAGTCAATGCCCCTTTAGGCTTTTGAACTTTTTTTTTAACATGGTGGTTTTTGAATTATGAACCATAGAATCATATAACTGTAGAGTTGGAACAGACCGCGAAGGTCCTCTAGTCCAAGGACTCTTGCCTAACGTGGGGCTTGAACCCACAACTCTGAGATTAAGAGTCTCATGCTCTACCGACTGAGTCACAAGCCATGGACTTCTGCAGGAATGGCACACTGCAAATGATAGTCACACCTGTGCCTGCTCACACCTATGCCATTTCGAAGATTATGCAATAATCCCATAAATATACAATAATAATAATGACCAGGGCAGATCTCCGTGCATTGCCTTTCAGGTAGTTCTGCTCAGTGCTATGTTTCTAGAAAAAGTGGTGCTGGAACGCACCATGAACACCTCCCTTGTTCTCTTATAATGGCAGTGGTGCCCTCTACAGAGGTGCCGGAACTGAGTTCTGGCAAGTTCTGGCAAGTTCTGGCTGGAAAAAATAGACTTGGATCTACTATTTTCTGTGCACGTACACGGGCAAATTATTTGGGGAGCTTCAAGATCTTCTTTCAGGTGACTTCAGTTGTGTTTTCATTGAAGTTTCATGGTACATAGGAGAACTTGCACCCCACTCTCTTGAAACAGAAGGCCCACCTGTCTTTTCTTGGTTCTCAGTGCTTAACTTTGAAGCACACAGTGGCTGAAAAGTTTCCTTTTCATGCTGATGAGGCAGTTCTAGGAGGCTTGAGGCAGGGACCCCACTGCAGAAATTTGCCCCTCACCCTGATCCCATACCCTCCTACATTTATCTGATGAAAATAAGGACAAATAAGAAAATAAGGATTCAATAACAACAACAATAACAATAGTAAAGGTAAAGGGACCCCTGACCGTTAGGTCCAGTTGCGGCCGACTCTGGGTTTGCAGCGCTCATCTCGCTTTACTGGCCGAGGGAGCCGGCGTACAGCTTCCGAGTCATGTGGCCAGCATGACTAAGCCTCTTCTGGAGAACCAGAGCAGCGCACGGAAATGCCGTTTACCTTCCCGCCTATTTATCTACTTGCACTTTGATGTGCTTTCGAACTACTAGGTTGGCAGGAGCAGGGACCGAGCAACAGGAGCTCACCCTGTTGCGGAGATTCAAACCGCCGACCTTCTGATCGGCAAGCCCTAGGCTCTGTGGTTTAGACCACAGCACCACCTGCGTCCCTCCTAATAACAATAGTATTTTTTACTATTTATGCCCTACCCATTGGTCTGGTTGCCCCAGCTGCTCTGAGTGGCTTCCAACATATATAAAAACATAATAAAACAATTAAATATTTTTTAAAAAAACCTTCCCTATACAGAGCTGCCTTCAGGTGTCTTCTAAAGGTTGAATAGTTACTTATCTCTTTGACTCGGGGGTCGCATAACACTACATCACTGGATGGCTGTATGTGGGTCAACACTCAGAATTGAACAGTGTGTGGGTTACATGAATGAGAGATAAACAGTTAAAGCCTTGATCAAGGAGGGGCTTGGTTCTGCCTTGGCCCTGTGCTTCTAGTGTGGACTCCAGCCCTGTCCCAGATGAGACTGGTCCTCTTGGAAAGGTTGTGCCAAATTCTTTCCTCCGGCATTGTTTATTTTTAACACCTCCTTGCTGCCAATTCCTGCCTCCCCCCAGGGCACTTAAGCCAAGCGCCTGGGGATTGGGGGTCTGTCTGTCAGCTCCTGCTTGGCCCAGCTGCTCTTCCCCGCTTTGGCTCTTGTAGAAAAGAACCACAGAGGTTGTGAGGGCAGCAGCTGCAGTCCAGCTGCTTGTCAGCCCTTTTCTTGCTATTTCTTGTGACAGAGCAAGCAACCAGCACCTTAGCCCAGATTTCAGGCCCGTGGCTCCAAGGCAGCGAATGAGCCAAGCCATTCAGGCCTTGCCTTGGGCTCACTTGGGAATGAGGTGGAACCCTGCCTAAAGGCTCGAGGTCTGCTTGCAGAGGCCATTGTGTCAGATAAGAGGTCCTGGGGCTCAAGCCAAGCTGGAAATTCAGGTGGCTTTGCTGGCGTGTAGTACCTTCCATCAGCTTCAGCTGGTGGCCCAACTCTGCCCCTATCCAGACAGCGATAGCCTAACTTCTGTCATCCATGTCCTGGTAACCTAGGTTAGATTACAGTGGTACCTCAAGTTAAGTACTTAATTCGTTCCAGAGGTCTGTTCTTAACCTGAAACTGTTCTTAACCTGAAGCACCACTTTAGCTAATGGGGCCTCCCACTGCCGCTGCGCTGCCGGAGCCCGATTTCTGTTCTCATCCTGAAGCAAAGTTCTTAACCCGAGGTACTATTTCTGGGTTAGTGGAGTCTGTAACCTGAAGCGTATGTAACCCGAGGTACCACTGTACTGCAACATGTTATATGTGTGGCTGCCTCTGAAGACTGTTGGGAAACTTCAGCTGGTGCAGAATTTGGTCGCCTGGTTGCTCACTTGGGCAAGACAGTTTTGAGCATATTACACCAGTCCTGGCCCAGCTGCACTGGCTGCCAATTTGTTTCCAGGCCCAATTCAGAGCGCTGGTTTTGACCTATAAAGCCTTTGTTGCATATCTTTAGGTACCAGGTGAAAACATTCCCCTTCTCCCAGGCCTTTGGCTAATTCAGCAACCCATGGCTTTGTGTTCACCCCTTTCATTTGGGTCTTTCTCTCCACAGCCGGGGCTGGGGGCTCTGCCTGGACGACCCACCGGCCAAAGATGTGATCGACTTCCCCTCCATCCCTCCGGGAGTCCTCTACGATGTCAGTCACCAGTGCCGGCTCCAATATGGTGCCTACTCCACCTACTGTGAAGATATGGATGTAAGGAGGGGCTGGAGCCTTGGGGGCTCCCCAGTTATTTTGGATACAGCAGCAGCATCAAATTCCAAACAGGGTATGCAGGTGGGGTGGGGTCTAATCTCGTCCGAGAAACTCTCTCCAGAAGGAAACTTCAGTGGAGAGGAGGCCAGTTCAGCCAAGATTTGGGTAAGCAGCTCACCCCTGGTAGAGCCAGTACTGTGACCATAGAATCACACAACTGTAAAGGTGGAAGGGACCCCCAAAGGTCATCTAGTCCAACCGTCTGCAGTGCAGGAACCAGAGCTAAAGAATCCTTGACAGATGGCCATCCGACTTCTGTATAAAAACTGCCAATGAAGGAGAGCTCCACAGCCCAGTGGGGGATTCAAATCCTGGCCTCCCAGGTCCCAGTCTGGGGCTCTAACCACTACACCACACAAGCATTTCCTCCATTCCTCTTCCCCCACTTTCTGCTGTATGCTCACCTTTCCCATGCTAGCCTCCCACACCATGAAAGTTTAGGCCAGCCTTCCCCGACCTTGCACCCTCCAGATCTTTTGGACTACAGTTCCCATCGGTCTCAGTCACACTGTGTTGGGGCTGATGGAAGTTGTAGTCCAAAACATCTAGAGGGCACCCGATTGGGGAAGGCTGACTTAGATTGTAATGTCCTTGGAACAGGGACCTGTCCATTTTCGCTTGTCTTTACTTTATCAAGCACCATCTATACATTGATGGTTCTATGTAAAGAATGCCAATTTCATTGCCTTTCTTACTGTGCTCCTTTCAAATTGGTCTTTGGTTCACACAAGACTGTCAAAAAGAATCCAGAGTGTTGGGGGCCACATTGGCAGGGAAACTGCACTGCCTGGATTTGGAGATGAGAAAGGAATAAGTGGGAGCTTCTCCCCTTTTCTCTTCTGTAGGGCAGTGTGGGGCTCATTCCACCCATAAGGAGAAAAAAACTCCTCACCTTTTTTTTTTTGCCTTCTCATCTTACAGAGTGTCTGCAGCACGCTGTGGTGCTCCGTGGGGAACACATGTCACTCCAAGCTGGATGCAGCGGTCGATGGCACCAAATGCGACGAAGGCAAGGTAATTCCCCTGCAAACGCATGCTCCTCTGGACTAGGAGCTGGGTTCAAATCCTCACTCAGCCATGAAGCTCACTGGGTAGTGAGCACAGGCTACCTCTGTTATTGCAACTTAAGAAGATTTTACTTTCCTCCACGCTTTCCAGGCATGGTCCATGCTACTTTAAAGCTCTGTGCCGAAGCGCCTCGCCATTTCTGCTTTAAAGGGCAGGTTTTCACGGGGAAAACTCCAGGGCGGAAAAAAACGGAGCACTCTGCTATGGAACTTTAAAGTGCAGAGCTGTGCCTGAAAAGTACAGGGCAAAAGGTGTGTGTGAATAAGCCCTCAGTGCAGACAATACTGAGCTAGATAGATGCGTGGTCAGACCTGGTTTAAGGGAGCTTTTTGTGTTCCCACTGCCGGATTTGGCTTCTACTTGGCTCTATAAAATGCACTCTTGCTCAGTATATACAGACAGCCACTCTTTCCTTTCTTTCCACTGCAAAGAAAGAGCGTTCCAATTAGAGCTGGAGATGGAACCCAAATTACTCTTGGCTTTATTGTTTTTATTTTTTTAAAGGAGAGCATCTCAAGTTTCTTCCTCCCGCTGGCTTTGGGTGCAACCTGAGATGTTCACACACCAGCCACAGGCTGCCTTCATTAAATCTGTCAGGGCCCTCTCCCAATTCTGCCTTAAAACTATCCCAAACTGCAGGCTGAGAGGCTGCTTTTACAAAATCCACAAAATCCTTTTTTCCGCAACCCCCTCTTCTTCTTCTTTTTATTTTAAAGAAAGCTTCCAGCCTCATGAAGACTTTTGCAAACTTGAGAGCTCACTCACTGCTCTACAACCTTTCATTTGGACATAATGTTTATTACATCTATTTTATTAATTTGGTTTATGAGTCACCTCATAAAAAGTGCTCTCTAGGCTACGATAATGGTTTTATTCTACTATTAGCTTCTCGGTTCGGATCATGCCATTTGTTCTGGTCGTGAGGCTTTTAGGACATAATTTCCCCTCTTTTAAAGCTGTCACGAGTTAAAGAGAATTTGTGAGTCATGCTCTGCTGGTTTGCGGATAAAACATTGTACTTAATTAGGAAGACCGTTCGAGGGAAAATGATCAAACTGCCTGCTTCAGGCTTGCATTTTCAGATATTGCCTGTGGGTTTTCTAAAATAACTCCCCAAACATGAAGCCCAGAATCTTCCTCATACACACACACACACACACACGTGTCTATTTATATGATTGCTAAGGTATTGAAGTTCTGCTACAGTTGTTAGAGTTTAGAGATGTAGTCCAAAACATCTGGATGGTACCAGGTTGGAAGAAGGCTTTGCCTGAGCCTGGATGTACAGGCCAGCCTCATCTGATGTACTCCTCCTCCTTCCCTTCCTCCACAGTGGTGCTTCAATGGGGAATGTGTCCATATGGGATACCGCCCCGAGTCCATCAACGGAGGCTGGGCAGCCTGGAGTTCCTGGGCGGCCTGTTCTCGGACTTGTGGGGCGGGCGTGCAGAACGCAGAGCGGCAGTGCAACAGCCCCACGTAAGTGACTGACCGTTCTGCTTGCAGTGGTGGCGAGCGAGGGGGGCATATGAGAACATGAGAAGAGCATCGGGTGGATCAGGCCAGTGATTCTTCTAGTCCAGCATCCTGTCTATGAATTTGTCTAATGCTCTTTGAAAGCCATCCAAGTTGGTGGCCATCACTGCCTCCGGTGGGATGGAGTTCCATAGGTTAACTATGCACCATGGGTGTAGCCAGGATTTATGTTGCCCGGGCCGGGGGGCGGGCAGGACACCCACCTGTCCTCATCCTCTGTCTGCCTCTGTCTAGCAGATTCGGAATGAAATGTCTCGACAACTGTTGTTTTAAATTACCTTCTTTTGAGCCCAAGTGCTCAGAAAAAACCTGTCGAAATCTTCAGTCGTTTGAAAACTAGGAAGTTAAATTTAAAAATTAACATCAGGGAGTACCTTTCATGTGCCACAACATCATCAGCGAGCATTTCAGTTTCAGATACAGTGGTACCTCGGGTTAAGTACTTAATTTGTTCCAGAGGTCCGTTCTTAACCTGAAACTGTTCTTAACCTGAACCACCACTTTAGCTAATGGGGCCTCCTGCTGCTGCCACGCCGCCGGAGCACGATTTCTGTTCTCAACCTGAAGCAAAGTTCTTAACCCGCGGTACTATTTCTGGGTTAGCGGAGTCTGTAACCTGAAGTGAATGTAACCTGAAGCATATGTAACCCGAGGTACCACTGTATTCTGATTATTTCTACTTTCAGTTAAGTATTTTTATTTATTTACTTGATGGGGGGGGCAGCTGCCTCCCCTGCCCCCTGGCTGCGCCCATGCTGTGTGCTGCGTGAAGGACTTTTCTTTGATCGGGCCTGAATCTTCCAGCATTCAGCTTCCCTGGATGTCCACGAGTTCTAGCATAATGAGAGAAGGAGATATGTGGTCCCCTTTCTCCCTGGCCATCCAACCTCTGCTTAAGAACCCCCAATGAAGGAGAGCCCCCTGCTTTCCAAGGTCATATGTTCCGCTGTCAAACAGCTGTTATGGTCAGATAGTTCTTCCTAATGTGGGTGTTCGTCGGTCTTTCTGTCCCAACCTCAGGCCAAAGTACGGTGGGAAGTATTGCCTGGGGGAGAGGAAGCGCTTCAGGGTTTGCAACACCAAGCCCTGCCCGTCCGACGGACCCTCTTTCCGCCAGCTCCAATGCAGCCGCTTCAACGGCAGAGCCTACAAGGGGAAGCTGTACAAATGGACCCCACTCCCTAATAACAGTGAGTCCACCTCTCTCTCTCTCTCTCCAGCAAAACAGCAAAGATGTATTTATGCATGTATGCATGTATTAGTATTCCACCTTTCCTCCAAAATGTGGTATACATGGTTTTCTGCATTTCACTCGCACAGCGACCCTGGCAGGTAGTCTAGGCTGAGGGAGGTAGCAACTGGCCCAAGGCCACCTGTTAGATTCATGGCAGATATAAGTCCTGGTCTCCTAGGCCCCAGTCCAGGACTCTGACTACTGCTGAATTTATACGATTACTCCTGCGGTTATTTAAAACATTTATTTGTTTACTTATTTGCAGCATTTCTATTCCACTTTTCCTCCAAGGAGCTCAAGGTGGCCTATACAGTTGCCTGCCCCCCTTTCAATCTCCACAACAACTCTGTGAGGTAGGTTAGGCAGAGAGGAAGTTGCCAGCCCAAGGTCACCCAGTGAGCTTCTTAGCAGTGAGGGGATTTGAACCCTGGTCTCCCAATTCCTGTTTCGGCACTCTAACCACTGCACCACGCTGCTGTTCCTCCGGGCAATAGCAGAGCAGTTCAAAGAAGACAAAACACACACACACATTAATCTATTTATAACATCAGTAGGATTATATTCATGGTTGTGTGTGTGTGTGTGTGAGAGAGAGAGAGAGAGGGTGGGGGGTGGGTAGGACCTGAGAGACTTGGGTTCAAATCCCCACTTGGACAAGAAACTGACTAGTTGACCTTAGGCCAGTCACTGCCTCTCAGCCTAACCTACCTCACAGGGTTGTTGTGGAGATTAAATAAGGAGGGAGAGAACCACGGACGCAACCTTGATCTCCTTAGAGGAAAAAAGTGGGATATGGAATGTAATAAATAAAAATCCATACTGTAGCTATGCACACACAGGCACCAAGCTAAAAACTTAAGCAGCCAGCAAGTGCTTGTGTGGACAAGAAAGTCTCAAGGAGGTGCCAAGATCTCATCAGAGTCAGCGCCTGCCTTAGCTCAGATAAATGTGTGTTTATTTATAGAAGTATTATTTATATATGACCCTTTTGTAAGATATCAGGGCAGTGTACAGCAATATTAACATATTTTAAAATGAGAAGCATTCACTGAGCTGACTAGCTAATCAATGGCCATTTTAAACAGCTGCTCAGGCTGGTCAGCATAAAAAAAACCTTCAAAATCAAAAGTGAGGGTGCCCGCCACATCTCTGCATGGGACCAGCAATGTGTAACACCTCATGTATTGAATACCTAATGCTGGCAAGCTGTTCTTTGGCCACACGGCTTGAGGAGACGAGAGGAGAGGCAGTCAAGTGTCTGGACTTTTCTCTCTGACATCCGCAGTTAACCCTTGCGAACTTCACTGTCGCCCGGAGAACGAGTACTTTGCAGAAAAGCTCCGCGACGCTGTCATTGACGGGACCCCGTGTCATGAAGGAAATTTGAGCCGAGACATGTGCATTAATGGGATCTGTAAGGTAAGAGAGGTTTGGGGAAGTGTGACTCCCTGGATGGAGGAGAGAGAGAGAGTTTAGAGACTAGCCCTCGCCCTGTAAGAAGATCCCTGCATGTAGTAATCTAGCATATTGAAGTGTGCTGTGCTAACATTCTACATGCAGGGCATGGTGAGTCAGGTGAAGAGAGCCTTCAGAGACACAGCCCTGCAATCCAAGGTGGTGGTGCAATCCAGTGAGATAGGAAAGCAAGGAGCTAAATGGCCCCTTAAACCTAGGTTATGGGCACAACAACGTAATGTCTAGGCGTGCCTTTTTTATAACAAGAATACAAAGCTGAAAATGAATGAATTGCAGCTAAAATATGATGTTCATTTTTCACATGGTCTATTCCTTCCCTTGCCCAACCCCCTAATATTCTTATGAGGATCTCTTCTCCAGTCTTCAGAGAGGGGCTGGAGCTGGGGAGGCAGAAAAAGGCCTTCTTTCCTACTACTCTGCAATTTTAATCTGAAATCTTAGGAGCAGTATGCACCCAGAGCTCAGAAACGGCTCGCCCTAATGAGATTCCCTGTCGCAAAATGTGCCTAGAACAATGGGAGTTTCGAACACTGGTGCAATCTAGAACCCAGCCACTTTACATTCTGTATTGTGGCCAAATCTGCCCGGGTAGGCAGGGTCTCTGTGAGTGGAAAGAGACCATGGAAACAGTAAGCATGGAATTTCTTGCAAACCCTGACGATGCCTAAGGTTTCCGGAGGAAAGGAACAAATCCAGAGTTCCCCTGCCAAACCTAGCCTGGCAACTTCTCTCCCTGATAAAGGAAGGTCCCCCTGGAGAGTTTTAAAATAGCCTGTCGCTGACTCCAGTGGATTAAGTGATCAGAGAGGCTGGTGCGCCAGAGAAGGATTCAAAACCCTCCAAGTGATGACAGCTGAATGGGGATGTAGAGCAATCCATACTTTGCCTCTTCCGGCTTCTCAGAGAGGAACAGGAAATTGGGGGTGGGGAGGGTCTCCTCATGAGTTGGAGCAGTGCATGAGCCTAGTCTAAAGTGGCTGCTGGCCTGTCTTTCCTCATCCCTGCAGCCTATTAGAATTTATGTAATGGTCTCTTTATACATGTATATCCTGCACATTGCAAGTCCAGTGACTGTGTAATAAATGCATGCGCCCTTGAGCTTTTGCCCTGGACTTTCAGAGAGCAAGCCTGGATTTTCGCCTCAGAAGTCAGCCAGTGTGAAGATCCAGTCGACCCCACCCAAGCAGCCCCTAGGTTTTTGGACTACAGTTCCCCTCAGTTGCTCTGGAGGTGGCTAACCCATCACCCGTCCCTGATGCCTTTCAGAACGTCGGTTGTGACTATGAGATTGACTCCTATGCTGTGGAGGATCGATGCGGCGTGTGCCGTGGAGACGGGTCGACCTGCGAGACCGTCAAGAAGACCTTTGAGGAGAGCGATGGGCTGGGTGAGGATGTTTCTGCCAGATTTGAGGGCCCGGTTGGGAATAAGGTGGGATGTCAGAGGATAGAAATGGAAATGGGACTGCCTGCAATGAATGAACATGGATCAGAACATAAATGGATGCCTACTGAAGTATAGGTCGGTTCCTATACTATATAATAACAGCAAGAACCTTTATTGAACTAACAGAACTGGACAACAAGGGCAAAGCAACTGCTTATATACATTTCTGAAGGCCTGGGCCACTCCCACTCCAAACATGATTGGCTGTCAAAACTTCCAATCAGCGAATCATGACTCAGAGTTTAAGGGCCAATGGCAGAGGCCCAAATCCTGAAATGTTCTGTGATTGGATATCATGTATCGAATCAGAACACAGGGGCTCAGAATCCTTGGTCCAGACTGAAGCTCAGGCAAACACAGAGTACTGAATACACAACACCTACCAACATCACTGATGGAGGGGTGTTGGTGGGGAGGGTTGAATGGGGCCTTTCTTGGACCCAGCTTGCTCCTTTCCCTCCTCAGTCCCCTTCCATCTTTAAGAAGTTCCAGATAACTTGGCATTTGTGGAATTAGAAGCACTGTGACAAGGATATATAGGTGCACTTGATGTAAGCTAGAGGTACAAATAATATGGATTGGGGCAGCGAGGGAGCTTTGAAATGCAACATTCCAAAATGTTTTGTGGAGGAGGCTAGACCGCACAGAGGTCCCTCGCTTCTTTGAGGTTTTCCATTACCCACCAATGAGTGTTGTGTTCACATCACATGCTTTCCTTTGGCAAATGGAGAATTTCCTCTGTCCCATTCATGTGCTCTGTTCAGAAACATCCCTCCTTCTTTTTCCCCTCCACCAAAAAATATTCCTTGGTAAAGTCATGCCCCGGGTCTCCCAGTGGCCATTTCCTTTCACAGTAGAATGACAGGCATTCTGGGAAAGGGTGTGGGCATTCAAGAAGGGACTACTCTGGTGACATTCAGAAAAGGGGACTTTGGCTCCACTTTACAGAAAGGATTACTTTTTGTCCTGTTAACCTGCAACTGATGAGGAGTTTGATTCCCCTGAACAGGCTACGTTGATGTTGGGCTCATCCCAGCTGGTGCACGAGAGATCCAAATCGAGGAGGTGGCGGAAGCAGAGAATTTCCTGGCCTTGAGAAGCGAAGATCCAGAGAAATACTTCTTGAATGGCGGCTGGACCATCCAATGGAACGGCGATTACAAGGTGGCCGGGACCACCTTCACCTACGAGAGAACTGGGAACTGGGAAAACCTCACGTCTCCAGGCCCCACGGAGGAGCCAGTGTGGATTCAGGTACTTGCAGAGGATTCAAGTGCTGGGCTTTGAACCTGTGAGTTCTGGGTCAAGTCTCTGCCACTGTCGTGGACTCACTGCTGCAGAGTTGGGCAGACTTAATTAAGATACATGAAGCAGAAATTCAACAGGTGCAGCTTCCTAAAGCCCTGCTTTTTGGCATCAGGGAAAGCAGCACTTGTTAAGACTTCACTCTCCGACTGCAGCTGTGAGGCTGCCGAGGTCATAAACATATTTTCAGCCCTCGGTGATTCTGTGTCCTGGAATCTGCTCATCCCTGGCTTGTGTTTAAACAGCCCCTCCCAGCTCAAGCTGGAGTGGAAGGTTATTTTGCGGCCAACAAAGAGTTGATTGAAATTGACCCCCAAACTCTTGTAGGTAACAGTATGGTATTTGTGCTCTCACAGAATTGCAGAGTTGAAAGGGACCCGCACGGTCATCTAGTCTGACCCCCTAGTCTGACCAAGATGATCAAAGGTCTAGAAAGCAAGCCTTATGAGAAATGGGGGAGGGAGTTGGGTATGTTCAGGCTGAAGGAGAGGTGACTTGAGAGGGGATGTGATAGCCATCTATGAATATCTGAAGGGCTGTCGCACAGAAGATTGAGCAAGCTTGTTTTCTGCTGCTCCAGTGTGGAGGAACCAAACCAAGGGCTTCAAGTTACAAGGAAGGAGATTCCAACTACTGGTAAATATTAGGCAGAACCTTCTGATGCTGAGAGCTGTTTGACGGTGTACCAGACTCCCTCAGAAGGTCTTGGCCTCTCCTTCCTTGGAGGTTTTTAAAGAGAGGTTGGATGGCCACATGTCAGACATTCTTTAGCTGTGATTCCTGCATTGCCGGGGGTTGGACTAGATGACCCTTGGGGTCCCTTCCAATACTACAATTCTATGATTTGTCAGACCTTAAGGTGCCACGAGGCTCTTTGGCCTTGCTTCCATGCCATTTTAAGCTACAGTCATACCTCATGTTACGTCTGCTTCATGTTACGTTATTTCAGGTTATGTTCCGCGACGACCCGGAAGTACCGGAAAGGGTTACTTCTGGGTTTCGCCGCTCGCGCATGCGCAGAAGTGCAAAATGGTGTCACGCGCATGCACAGAAGCGGTGAATCGCAACCCATGTGTGTGCAGACACACCGTTGCGGGTTGCGCTCTTTGCATGTTGCGAATGGGCCCCTGGAATGGATCCTGTTCGCAACCAGAGGTGCCACTGTATAGTTCAACTATGGTTTATCCATGAAAATGCAGAGTGCACTAGCACTAAGTCAAGAACAAACTATGGCTTGGCTCACAACAGCGTGTTAGCACCAGGAGGGACGGAGAAGCCACACGCCCACAATTGCCGCCATGTGCGCCACCAGGGTTCAAATTAAAACCATAGTTCAGTTTCCCTGTAGTTTAAAATGGTCTGCGTACAAGGACTTTGTCATTTCAGGAACTGGGTTTGTCTCTTTTCTGTTAACTGCTTTGAGCACGCACTACAGATTTCTGGGAAACGCAGCATGTAAATAAACTGGCTATTGCTTCATAGCCTCCATCTTCAAGGGCTTTGCCTGCCCCCCCCCCAGCCATGCTTCTTGCCGCTTCTGTTCTACAAAGCTGCTCTGCGAAGTTCTGAGCAAAGCACTCCTCTCGAGTTACTTTGGAAATGGCAGCATCTGGCATTTGGGAGGTTCCTGCTGATCTGGGAAGCCTTTGCTGACTTCCGTGGGTGGACCTGGCCTCTCTCTTGCCCAGCTGAAATTGAAATCTGTTGCAGCATTCCTCAGAACCCTCCAGATGTCTTGAACTGTCACTCCCATCACCCTCATCTGGTTCATCGGCCTGGTTTGCTGAGGGGGCTGGAGGAGAGGCACCACCAAGGGCCTCCGACCTTCCCAGAGGCTGCTATGAATGCGGAGACCACCGTAGGGCCCCTCCTGTCAGTGGTACAGGCTCCTGCCCTCCCTGTAAGGACAGTTCATCACCATTTTTTTTCTGCAGGGAAGTCTGGTGGGTGTCTTCCTGGCTGCCAGGGAAGCCTTTGCTTTGGAGCAGCCAGACTTCCCAGGAGAGCTCTTTAGGAGTTAAATGGATTTCTCAGGGCTAATTCTTTTTCTCTCCCCTCTTGCAGGGAGGTGTTTACTTTAACATTCTCTTCCCCTTCCAGCTTGACAAGGAAAGGAATTCTTTTTCCATTTTTGACCCCTGCTTGTCTTCCTCCAGCTGCTTGTGAATTCTGAAACAAAGGAGCTGGCTTTGAGACCCACCAGGCAGGCAGGCAGGGATCTCTCCTCTTCCTAAATCACACCACCTTGTTGGACATCAGAGGCATGCCAGGCTGGGGGTGGGGGGCTTTCGGTACAGGCCTGCTTCCCCTGTCTTTTTTGCCACTGCCCTGGCAGGTTATTCATTTTGTGTTCCAAGAATAACTTTGGTTCTTTGCTTAAGAGCTATTGTGGTTAGCGTGTTGGAACCTGGGAGACCAGGGTTCGAATCCCCACTCAGCCATGAAGCTCCCTGGGTGACCATTGGGCCAGTCAGTGCCTTCTCTCAGCCGAACCTACCTCACAGGGTTGTTGTGAGGATAAAATGGGGAGGAGAACCATGTATACCACCTTCAGTTCCTTGGAGGAAAAGGTGGGAAATAAAGACAATCAATCAATCAAAGAAGATCCAGCCAGATTCCTGAGCACAACAGCTTTCTCCTGTGGTTTCCAGCAACTGGCATTCAGAAGCATTGCTGCTTTCAACTGTGGAGACATTATTATTATTATTATTATTATTATTATTATTATTATTATTACAGTGGTACCTCGGGTTAAGAACTTAATTTGTTCTAGAGGTCCGTTCTTAACCTGAAACATTTATATTCTACCACTTGTGTCTCCACGGAGCCCAAGGTGGGGTATACATGGTTCTCTCCCCACCTTCTATAATCCCCACAACAAACCTTTGAGGTAGGTTAGGCTGAGAGGTCATGGCCAAGTGGATACAGTGGTACCTCGGGTTACATACGCTTCAGGTTACAGACGCTTCAGGTTACAGACTCCGCTAACCCAGGAATAGTACCTCGGGTTAGGAACTTTGTTTCAGGATGAGAACAGAAATCGTGCAGCGGCAGCAGGAGGCCCCATTAGCTAAAGTGTCCCACAGACACATTTAAAAGGCTGTAGAATATTAATAAGCCAAAGGACTGGTTGGAGAGGAATATTCTACCAGAAAACCATGTTCCCATTCCCCCGCCCCATCACTCAGTTGGGAGTGTTTTTTAAACCTTGATGGAAAGAGCTCTAAAGCAAACGAAGCTCAATTTCTCTCTCTCTCTCTCTCTCTCTCTCTCTCTCTCACACACACACACACACACACACACACACACTTTCCCTGGAATTTCTTGGCTGGTCCTCAGAAAACCCAGTGCCGACCCCTTGTTCAATATGGCCAAACCTGTCCATTTCATTTTCTCTGTTTCTAATTTTTCCAGCCTCCCTCCGATTTCTGCATACGTTTGCAAATTTCACTTTTCAGACAAGAGAAAGCTTTCAGGGAGGCTTACAGATATCAAGAAGGCAAGCTGGCGCTTATCCACCCTTACCCTTTGGCCGCTCTTTTTCAAGGCACATGTCCGCACTTTAAATCTCTCTGTCTGAACTGTCCCCCAAAACCTGCTCTTTAAAGCTGAATCGCAGCAAACGTCAATTCAGGTTTACCATGGGTTGACACTTGCTCCAATTGTGTTTTCAAGAAGGAAAAGGGGGGGGCACTTGGACACGGAGTTTTCCACACCTGGAAAGTGTGGAGGAAAGTTAAGTGTGGATAAGCCCACTCCTTGCACTCGGACTTATTGACATAAAAGGTACGACACAAAAGGAAAAAGACTGGGAGGGAGGAGAAAGAAAGCAAGTTCAGGCAGCGGTACCAAGTTACAAAGTTCTCATGCCAGCCAGCTGGAAGGGAAAGAGTTCAAAGAGGGAGGTTAGATGAATGTTAATGCCTTTGTTTATTCAGGGAAAAAACAACTTTGGAGGGAGTCTCAAGCTGCTTTCTCCGACTTTTTAAAGATTATTAGTTTCTATGTTCACGCTAATGCCTTGGAATGACTTATAGCACATAATCTCTTGGAACATTCTCTGGGATTTGTAACGGAATTGAAAAACCTTTTTAAAAAATGTTATTTAAAAATATATACCCTGAGATGTCTCTTGGAATGATGCCCAAGTCCATTCCAAGAGCAGCAAAGTTTTGGCAACAACGGCAGCTTCGAGGGTGGGCTAATTCACACTTACCTTTCCTCCAATCTTTCCAGGCCATAGTCCTTACTTTAAAACTCCTTTTTTTGCTTTTGCTCTGGAGCCTTCCCTGTGAAAACCTGCTCTTTAAAGCTCAATGGGACAATCCCCAGAAAATGCAAATTGATGCTTGCCCCAAGTGAGCACCGAAATCGCAGGAGAAGCTCAGGGGCAAAAAACCCCAACACCCCACACTTGGACATGAAGCTTTTAAGCACAGACCTGTGCCTGGAAAGAGTGGGAGGTGAGTGTGGATAAGCCCTTAATTAAGTTGGCAAGCCTTTGCCAGAGCCGTGTGCCCCACGGACTGATACTTGAACCCTCCTGCAGGTAGTCTGCCTTGGGGCATTCACGTACCACTACAACACACTGAAATCAGCTTGGAAATAAAATCTGAGAAGCTGTTTTACATCTCAAGGCTCTTAACCCCCTGCAGCTCGTCTTGTAAGGATGCTGAGAAATGATTTGGGCCTCTTATCTCAGACTTGCTGTTCGCAGGGGTGATGTGAGCCAAACAGCCTTGAAACTGGTTTAGGCTTGCTGTGTAGACGCACATTCAATGGCAGGTGTGCCTTTGCAGATAAGCCTGCAAATAAAGTTTGATGATAAGCTGAGACTGATATCTGGGGGTGGAGCTGAAATCACACATACACACCCCTACACACACACACACACACACACACAGAGAGAGAGAGAGAGAGAGAGACCTATTTAAATGGTCAGGTTGAAGAAAGTGAGGAAACGAAGGGAAACTTAAATATGTCACTCTAGTGCAACAAAGCCACCTTAAAAAAACCAAAACAACAGACTTTGCAATTAGGTAAGTGACAGGGGCACATACTGGAACATGTGACATGAGTGAATGATTGAACATGAAACTTTGCAGGCACCCTGCAAGCAGATCAGGGTGAATCCTCATTGTTGTATAACTGCCCCATAAACAAATTGGAATGAATGCTCTGCAAAGATGGGACATAGTCTAACCCAGTGGTTCCCAATTTGTTTCGGGCCACCGCCCTCTTAGTTCCATAAACTCACACCCAGTTCCTCTCCTCTGTAAAAAGCACTATTCAGAGTAGCAGTTTGCCCAGCACACTAAGCAAGATAGCACAATAAAATTCAAAACTATAACAATTGCCCTTCCCCCCCCCAAAAAAAAATCCAAATAAAACTATTTGGTTTAATTCATTCAACAGAATTGACAAACTTGATCCAGTGATACCAGCTTTGCAAAGTCTGGCATTCATTTATACCTCCAGCACCTGCTTGCCGCGCCCCCTTGCCTCTTAGGTAATTCATTGCCCCCCAGGGCCTGCTGCTGCCCATTTTGGGTAAAGGTAAAGGGACCCCCTTACCATTAGGTCCAGTCGCCGACTCCAGGGTTGCAGGGCTCATCTCGCTTTATTGGCCGAGGAAGCTGGCGTACAGCTTCCGGGTCATGTGGCCAGCATGACTAAGCCGCTTCTGGCGAACCAGAGCAGTGCACAGAAATGCCATTTACCTTCCCGCCAGAGCGGTACCTATTTATCTACTTGCACTTTGACGTGCTTTCGAACTGCTAGGTTGGCAGGAGCAGGGACTGAGTAACGGGAGCTCACCCCATTGCGGGGATTCGAACCACCGACCTTCTAATCGGCAAACCCTAGGCTCTGTGGTTTAACCCACAGCGCCACCCGTGTCCCTCCCACTTTGGGTACCACTGGTCTAAACACTGCACGAGTTTTGTACAATTAGATCATGTGGAAAGCTGAAGAGGAGCCCACAGATCCATCCTGCTTTCCTTAGCTCTGAGGAGGGGCCCTTCCCCTATTGTAACATCCTTGTGATCCTCTGAAAACCAAACACTGGTCACTTCCTAAACTTTCAGTAAGTTTGCAGTTGCCGGTCCTCTGCTGCAGGCATCTCAAGGTCTTTTCCTGCTGGCCCTCTTTCTCTTGGCAGGACATCATCACACTTCCTCGGTACTTGGACCACATTTCGTTAAACGCTTTTTATACCGTCTGGCTGGATGCTGCCTAAGAACATTTTCTTCCTTGCCTCTCAGCTCTTATTCCAGGAGAAGAACCCAGGAGTCCGCTATCAATACACCATTCAAAGGGAATCTGAGAATGAGAACGAGATCACGCCGGCCGAATTCTTTTGGCAATACGGACCCTGGACAAAATGCACAGCCACCTGTGGCACAGGTAAGGATGCCTGCCTCTTTCTTTGCCTTTGTCTCACTGTTCAACGTTTGGTGAGGAGTGGCGGGGGGTGGTCACGTTCTGGCCTAGGAGCCAGAGCAAGAAACTTCGTGCGTTGGGGGAAATCCAGAAAAGCAGGTGAACCTTCCACGAGCCCTGCAGTCACCACCAGAGTCTCTTCTCTTCAGACCGCATCTGAGGGAGATGCACAGAGAGAGAGAGAGAGAGAGAGAGAGAAGGCCTTTTCAGTGGTGGCTCCCCAATAGTGGCATGCTGTCCCCAGGAAAAGATGCCAGGCATCATAATTGTCAGCCTTTTGCTACCAGGCTAAGACATTCCTGTTTTTCCAAGGCTTCTGGTTGTTAATTTTAGATCATAACTTTGTAATATTCTCTTCTCTTTTGTGGAACTCTTGTTTCAGTGGTGTGCAGGATTTGTCTGTCTCAAAGTATTGCTGATTGAGCACTTGAGGAATTATTTGTCTGCTATATTTTGTAATACTAATAATAATAATAATAAATTTAACTGATTTTAGCTGTTTTGCATTTTATGATGCTTTAAGTGATTCCAAGGCATTTTTTTGAATAGAGCACTGAACAAATGAAATGAATGAATGAATGGTGGCAGAAGGACTCATGACACTACTCTGTAGCCGTCTTCTAACAGTGGTGAATTAGGAGCCCAGGATCAGGCCTTTTGTGTGGGGCAGGAAAGGCCAGTGGGCGTATCCTCTCCCCAACCCCCAACAGTCCACCTTGTAGTAAGAAGGATATGGTAATAATAATTAGCTAATGAAGTAGCCAGAAAATTTTGCTATCCCTTAATGGTGTCCGTGGGACGCAGGTGGCACTGCGGTCTAAACCACAGAGCCTAAGGCTTGCCGATCAGAAGGTCAGCGGTTCGAATCCCCGTGACGGGGTGAGCTCCCGTTGCTCGGTCCCTGCTCCTGCCAACCTAGCAGCTTGAAAGCACGTTAAAGTACAAGTAGATAAATAGGTACCACTCCAGCGGGAAGGTAAATGGCGTTTCCGTGTGCTGCTCTGGTTCGCCAGAAGCGGCTTAATCAAGCTGGCCACATGACCTGGAAGCTGTACGCCAGCTCCCTCGGCCAGTAAAGTGAGATGAGCGCCACAACCCCAGAGTCGGCCACGACTGGACCTAACGGTCAGGGGTCCCTTTACCTTTAATGGTGTCCATAATCCCCTGCTTAGAGGCATGCAGTTCTGGCTTGAGGATGTAGCTTGTCTAGACTGCTGGGGTAGGAAGTACCAAATGCATTTCATGTTTGGCCACTTCAATTAGAGCCCTGAATTGGGGGATGCAGCATCCTGCCTTGAGGTGCTGGCTAACTGAGAGCAAGATGGAAGGGCAGGCAGGCAAGAGAATTTATTCCGCCGGCAAGGAAAGGCGTTTGCAAAGGCCGCTGCCACCCACTCTAGCCTGTGGATAAGGAAAACGCTGTTGTGGAGTGCATAAATTCTCAATGCAAATGTATCAAAGCGATCAGACCGGCAACACTGCTGGATGTGTTTAAACCCTGCCTGTGCCCCTTTGTCCAGGATGCTTGACTCTCTGCAAATGTGTGTGCCAATACATGCACAGTGGTGCATAAGGACATGGGTTTCTGTTTGCGCAGCTGCATGTGCTCCTTTCTCTTGCCGCCAGCTGGTCAAGGCCTCTTTGGAAACAGACAACTTGAAAAACAGAAAAGCAGGAGGCTTTGCCTTGTCCTTTGATGTCCGCCTCTTGTTGACTGGGGTAACTGGGAAAGAGTCCTCCTCTACAGCTGAGTTTTATTAAAGCATAAGATGAAGGGACCAAGTGTACAGGCCAGTTAAGGATGCTTCTTCACTCTCTCCTTAGGGTGCTTCCAAATGACCACCATTTTGGGGTGGGATTTAGTCGCGGCTAATTCAGGTTGTACAACTACAGTTGGTTTGGGAGGTCTTGTGCAACTCACCCAATTCCCCCAAAGATCAGACCTTTTGCAATAAGGAGAAGGAAGGGGTTTTTAATTTATTTTTTTCATAATATTTATACACTGCTTGATTGTAAAGCTACAACAAACCTCAAAGTGGTTTACTATCACTAAGAAAAATTAACGACAACAATTTAAAGCTTTTAAAAAGTTAAAATAACAATAGATTTTAAAAAGATTAAAGTTTGCATTGGTTTTCTCAATATGTGGACGGGATTGTTATAGGAGGGCTTGGCATTCGAAATCAGGCATTTCATAACTATTCCAGTTTGATTAACCAGACATGAGGGGTTTGGGGTCACAATGAGGTTCTTCTGAAGCAAATGCATATATCCCTGTTTCCCAGTGTTGTTCAGAAGCCAGCATTTTCCAGGTAAACTTTCACAATGGCACTTGGCTCTCCCTTACATAAGAACGAAAGAACAACCTGGATCAGCATCCCATCTAGTCCAGCATCCTGCTCTCACAGTGGCCAACCAAATGCCTGTGGGAAACCCACAAGCAGGATTCGAGCACAAGAGCCCTCTCCCCTCTTGTGGTTTCCAGCAATTGGTATTCAGAAGCACTGCTGCCCCCAGCTGTGGAGGCAGAGCAAAGCCATGATGGCTAGTAGCCATTGATAGCCTTCCTCCATAAATTACAAACCTGCCACACAAGGTGTGCCTGCTTCTACAAGTCCTAGAAGTGGCAAAACATCAGCTCCATGGTTTGAAGGAACGCACTGCAGTGAAGGCAGGGCCGGATCCTTCCAACTCAGTGCTCATTACTGCACGTTTAACTCCTACGGGCAAAACATTTCTTGGGGAGGCATTCTCCCCATCCCTCCCCCTGCTACCCCACCTTCAGTCTGCTGCTGAGAAATTCTGTGTGATGGATCACAGCTGCCTGGAAGGCCCTGTCCAGATGGGTTTCACAGCTCCACAAAAGCCCAGAAACCTGAGCTTCAGAGGCAGCAAATTGGATGTCTTCAGAGGGGGCAGATTATGTCACCTGGGACGACACAGATTCTCTTCTTTCAGCTCTCCCTGAACTGACGCACAGCTACACTTGCCAAAGATTTCTTTCTTTCTTTCTTTCTTTCTTTCTTTCTTTCTTTCTTTCTTTCTTTCTTCCTTCCTTCCTTCCTTCCTTCCTTCCTCTTTTCTTTTTTTTCCTTTTCTTTCTTGGCATCTCTGTCCCTTTTACTGAAACCAGATCGTCTTCCAGGACTCCTCTGCAGTGTCGCCGCTCCAGATTTTCTGACAGATGCTGTCACACTACCTTGACAAGGCCCAGAGCAGCACTTGGGGCAGTGGTTTGGGTGTGTTTGTGTGTTCCTTGTGATGTACAGTGGTACCTCAGGTTAAGGACTTAATTTGTTCCGGAGGTTCGTACTTAACCTGAAACTGTTCTTAACCTGAAGCATCACTTTAGCTAATGGGGCCTCCCGCTGCCGCCGCGCCGCCAGAGCACAATTTCTGTTCTCATCCTGAAGCAAAGTTCTTAACCTGAAGCACTATTTCTGGGTTAGCGGAGTAGTCTGTAACCTGAAGCGTATGTAACCCGAGGTACCACTGTATTTGTATTTGGCTGTATAAACACCATACATTGAAAGCACATGGTTTGCCCCAAAGAATCCTGGGGACGGCAGTTTACCCCTCACAGAGCTACAAACAGGGGAAGGGACACCGCTCAGTGGCAGAGCAGCTGCCTTTCATGTAGAAGGACCCAGGCTCAATCTCTGACATCTCCAGTTGGGGCTGGGAGAGATTAGTGCCTGAAACTCTGGAAAATTGCTGCTAGTTGGTGCAGAAGTGAGCTAGATGGCAAGAGCTGTTTGACAGTGGGACGGACTCCCTCGGAAAGTGGTGGACTCTCATCCAGACGGCTATATTCCTGAATTGCATGGGGTTGGACTAGACCAGAGATTGTCAACCTGGTCCCTACCACCCACTAGTAGGTGTTTCAGGATTCTGGGAGGGCGGTAGGGGGTTCTACAGCACAAGCTGAATCCTTCTTCCATCGAGCGCTGGTGGGCGGTAAGGAAATTTTACCATCAAGAAAGATGCATTAGTGGGCGGTAGGTATAAAAAGGTTGACTACCCCTGGACTAGATGATGCTTGGAAGTCCCTTCCAACTCTACAATTCTGTTATCAGTATAAGGCAGCTTCCTGAGCTCCTGTGCTCCTAGGGCTACAGTTCCCAGCACCCTTAACAAACAGCTCTGGTTATCTCCCGCTTAGACTACTGCAATGCGCTCTACATGGGGCTACCTTTGAAGGTGACCCGGAAACTACAACTAATCCAGAACGGGCAGCCAGACTGGTGACTGGGAGCGGCGGCTGAGACCATATAACACCGGTCTTGAAAGACCTACATTGGCTCCCAGTACGTTTCCGAGCACAATTCAAAGTGTTGGTGCTGACCTTTAAAGCCCTAAACGCCCTCAGTCCTGAAGGAGTGTCTCCACCTCCATCGTTCTGCCCAGACACTGAGGTCCAGCACTGAGGGCCTTCTGGCGGTTCCCTCACTGCAAGAAGCCAAGGTACAGGGAACCAGGCAGAGGGCCTTCTCGGTAGTGGCGCCCTCACTGTGGAACGCCCTCCCACCAGATGTCAAAGAGATCACAACTACCAGACTTTTAGAAGACATTTGAAGGCAGCCCTGTTTAGGGAAGCTTATAGTGTTTGATGTATTGCAGTATTTTAATGTTTTTTTTGGAAGCCGCCCAGAGGGCCTGGGGAAGCCCAGCCAGATGGGCGGGGTATAAATAATAAATTATTATTATTATTATTATTATTATTATTATTATTGCTGTATTTGGGATTGTGAAAGTGGATTTTCCTCTAGGCTTGATTGGCAGGGTGAATTTCCCTGAATCTGACTGGCTGTTGATTGGTCTGCTGCCAGCAGACTTCAATCAGGGGTCCCAGCCAGGGTCTCCCATACACACCCAAAGCCTCTGGTGTGCTTGCTGTGCTGCAAACATTGACGCCAGCCGCTCATATCGTTTGTGGCCTGTTGGCCTTATGAATTGTTATCGCCAGACTATGAAAGGGAACCTTTAAGCAGGTTCTGGGTCTGGGAAAGGAGAAGGGGCAGATAGGCAATCAGGGAGCAGAAAAAGGGTGACATAATCATGGACTGAGGGAGGCAGGGAGCTCTCGGATGATTTCTTCATTTGCTGGGTTGGGAGAGGAAGTCTGCCAGCCAAGCGCCTTCTGGGTTTCCTGCCAGAAACTGAGGCTGCCAGAAGCACATCAGATCCTGGCTTGTGACCGGCCCCCATGGGGACTGTCCAGCCTGCACGCCAGGAGCAGCTCCAGCATCCAGCCCCACTGAGCTAAGCCAACCCCTGGCCCACGTGCCTCCTCCTTGCTCCCAGGGAAGTGTCTGTGTGCTTCAGCCAGCTGGGAAATGATGAGGGAGAGAGAGAGACATAGAGAGAGGTGGGGTGGGGGAGAGAGAGACCTTTGCAAGGTCAGACTCTGGAGCAAAGGGTCAGCTGGCGATAAGGAGGAGAAAGGACAAGGCAAGGGATGTTCTGTGTCTCGTAGAAAAGGAGCCCACAACAGGAGCAAGAGGCAGATTGTTGCAAGTGACAGGGTGGGGGGACTGCACATAAGGACATACGAAGTGCTTATTGGATCAGGCCAGCATCCTTTGGCCAACCAGTTGCTTGTGGGGAGCCCACAAGTAGGATTTGGCAACAACAATTTATTATTTATACCCCGCCCATCTGGCTGGGCTTCCCCAGCCACTCTGGGTGGCTTCCAACAAAATATTAAAATACCGTAACGCATCAAACATTAAAAGCTTCCCTAAACAGGGCCTCCTTCAGATGTCTTCTAAAAGTCTGGTAGTTATTGTTACCTTTGACATCTGATGGGAGGGTGTTCCACAGGGCGGGCGCCACTACCGAGAAGGCCCTCTGCCTGGTTCCCTGTAACTTGGCTTCTCTCAGTGAGGGAACCGCCAGAAGGCCCTCAGTGCTGGACCTCAGTGTCCGGGCAGAATGATGGGGGTGGAGACGCTCCTTCAGGTATACTCCCCTCTTGTGGCTCCCAGCAACTGGTATTCAGAAGCATTGCCGCCTCTGACTGTGGAGGCAGAGCAAAGCCATCATGGCTAGCAGTCATCGATAGCCCTCTCCTCTTCCATGAATTTGTCTAACCTAAAGTTACCAGATTTTTTTTCCAATGAATCCGGGGACACTTTTCAACTTCAATGGATTTTGTATGGGGACTGATTTGTAAATCCGGGGACTGTCCCTGGGAAACAGAGACGTCTAGTAACCTTAGTCTAACCCTCTTTTTAAGCCATTCAAGATGGTGGTCGTAATTGCCTGCTTTGGGAGCAAGTTCCAAAGTTTAACTGTGCCTTGCGTGAAGAAAGACTTTCTTCGTCCCAAATCTTCCAACGTTCAGTTTCATTGGATGTCCACTATGAGACTGGGAGGACAACTTTTCTCTATCCGCTTCCTCCATGCCATTCACTGTACAAATAGCAAAGGAGGCTCTCTGGAGGCAACAGTGCTGGCTGGGGTGTAAGGAGGAGGAAGGTGGTGTCTATTTGCAAGGTCCAAGCCCAGAGCTGGTGCACATTCACACAGTCAACCAAGGATCAGATGCAATCTTGTGCGCACTCACTTGGGGGAGGAAATCCTATTAAATTCCATGGGACATTTTTCTGAATACGTCTGGCTAAGAAGCAGGTCAGGGTCACTTCCAGATGACATGTTAATTGAGCATCCTAATTAGTTCCCACAAAGTTTGCAGGGAAGGTAAACAACATCAACTGTTTATTGAGGGTTTGTTCTGATTTGTTTGCAGGAACATGAAATGATGTCTCCTCAAGCAAATGTTACCCCACAATTTCCACTGCACTTTCTCATCCCTTTCCTTACTGCAAACTGTCCAATCCCCCCCCCCCCTTAGGTTTAGGTTTAGAGAAGTGGGTTTGTCCTGCAAAAGTGCCAAATCCAGTTTAATTATGCAACCTGAATTGGCTGGTAATTCAGTTGAAACGCCCCTGACCCCATGAAATAATGACAGTCTGGAAGCAGCCCAGAAGTCTTTTCTCGCAAAGCTAGTTTGGAGGCAGAGCATAGCCGTCGTGGCTAGTAGCCATCGATTGCCCTCTCCTCCATGAAGGCTCCATCAGTTGTAGCAATTCCATGCAAAGAGCTCCTGACGCTCCTGCTTTTGGCTTCTGCAGGGAGAGGCTTTTGCAGCTGTTTTGTGTTTTGACCTCTCAGCTGTTGCTGATGTGCAGAAGCTGAGGCCAGTCCTCAGCAGACGGCCTGCTCATAGGTGCTGCTGCTGACCAAGGGGCCCTGAATGGAAGCAGGCAGCCTTCACTGAGCCATCTCCCAGATGCTTCCTATCTAAAGCCGCCAAGGTTAGCAGGCAGCAAACAGCCTGTTTTGTCCAAACAGTTGTGCTAAAATAGTTCCAGAGGTCTGGAAATAGCCCTTGTGCCATCTGGGAGGGCGGTGGGCAGGCGCCTCTCTTTCTCCTGGAGGAAGGAATGGCGTGGCATCACAGAAGGAAGGGGAGGCAGGAAAGAGCCGTGATCATAATTCAGCTTAGGACACCTTCTGCCTGAATCTTGATGCTTATATTGCAACAGATAAGAGGGTATTCCAGGAAGCCAGAGCTAGAGCCTGGGTAGCTCAGTTGGTTAGAGCATGGTGCTCATAATGGCAAGGTTGCAGGTTTGATCCCTGTATGGGACAACTGCATATTCCTGAATTGCAGGGGTTCCAACTCAACAATTCGATTATTCTAAGTAGGGCTGGGTGATCTATCGATATATCGTCCCAAATCGGTTTGAAATCCATATCATGATATTTTGTTTATTTTTAGAAAGTGGGGTTTTTTTGTGATGTGGGTGACAGAGCACACTTGGATCCACTTTAATTGCATGAACTTTTCTGATATGTGCTTGAATACAGTGGTACCTCGGGTTACAGACGCTTCAGGTTACAGACTCCGCTAACCCAGAAATAGTACCTCGGGTTAAGAACTTTGCTTCAGGATGAGAACAGAAATCGTGCTGTGGCGGCGCGGCGGCAGCGGGAGTCCCCATTAGCTAAAGTGGTGCTTCAGGTTAAGAACAGTTTCAGGTTAAGAACGGACCTCCGGAACGAATTAAGTTTTTAACTCGAGGTACTACTGTACTGGCCGGAAAACACAAGACAGTCTGGTAGCATCCTTAGCCTTTCTGAGCTTACAGGGTGAGGTCAAATTCTGCACGCTCCTTTGAGCTCTGCAAAAGAAAGAGGGAGGTGGCAATGGAACTGTACTGTTGGAACATAGACACACCAAATCAAATAAATCCTCAGGAAAAGGTTTCTCTCCCGTGGGATTACCCGTGGGCCTCTCCCGCTGCTAGGATTGATTTCTGAGGTCGGTTGTTGGCTCTCCTGCCCGGCGCTCCTCATTGCAGAGTCTTGGCTTGCAGCTCACCCCACGTGGCAGGAGATCAGTTTCCAGGATTCTTTCCCAGCCCTGTGGAGTTCCATGCATCCAATTGCAAGAGCTCTCTTCAGATCGGCACTACTGTTCCTGGCAGAAAAGGGCTATTGTTCCCGCAGACAATCTGCGGCATTGTACGTGGAGGAGGGCTCTGAGTCCGCCCAGCAGAAAACCGATTCCGCGGGAGTCCCGTTACCAGTTGCACCAATTATTGCAAGAAGGCATTGCCATAAAAACAAAAACACAGAGGAATAAATTGCAGCTTTTGTTTTTAAAATAAACTTAAGGCCAGGACCAACAGTTTAGATTTCTTTCTTGTTAACGGCTCTGGGCTGAAGGTCACAAGCAGACAAATCAACCTCTGAAATGGAGCAGTTTGGGCATTATTTAAGTCTGCTGCTTTCGAGGGTTCTGGTTGAGGGAACAAATTTTCTTTGTCCTGCATGGTGAAGTGCTTTTATGCCTGGTTTTGAGACCACAGCCCCACCCCATCTTAGAATAGCTTAAAGATAGGGAGTTGGATGCAGGAGCTGCTGGCGCAGAGGCCCTAACAAAGAAGAGGGGCAGACAAAGAGGGTCCTTGTTTGTTAGCTGGTCATCCATGCACTGTGTGTGTGTGTGTGTGTGTGTGTCTTGGCATGCTCCGTTTTCAACCTGATCTTTGCTGACCTCAGCCCCCCAACGGTGCTCCGTGGTGACTTAATTACAACATTCCAAGTTCTCTAGGCTGCCTCCTGCTGCTTCCCCTCCCTAACCTTGCAGGGCTTGGGGGGGTATTGTTAGTAACAGCTGCTCACAGGTGCAGGGCTTAGAGACCTGCAGCGTCTTCTGCAATCATTAACCCCTGTGCTGCTCCCAAAAGGTCCTTGCTACAGCTGGCTGCCCAACGCAGCAATTGTGTGTGGTGGTGGGACTCTAACACCCAGCCGGGGAAGTGGCTGTACCATCAGCCCTGCATGCAGAAGATCCCAGATTTTTTTAAAAAATATTTTATTATTATTATTATTATTATTATTATTATTATTATTAAAGATTTTCTTGTTTTACAAAAGTGTTTGCAATGTCTCTCTCGTATTTTTGCCCCCATGTAACATTTTTACAAATCAGTTTCATTTGTCGAGACATTGGGAAGAAAAGGGGGAAAGAGCTGGAGGGGGGGGAAGATGGGTGGGGTCGGGTGACGATGTTTCTATATGTAGGGTTTGGTGTCAGCGCTGCTTGTGCAGGTTCTTTGTTGTTCGCTTATGTTCCTTTGGTGGTGAGAGAGGTTGGGGTTGGCCTAGGGTGTGGCTGTTCATTTGTGATTGGCTGTGGTGGTCTTTGTTTTCATGTGTGAGTGGGGTGGGTGGGTGTTTTGGATCAGGTTAGCCTTATTGGTCTGTGTGCTGTTGGTGGGTTTTTGTTGGAGTCTTGTTGGGCTGTGTATGTAATAAAGGGGAGCCAGATTTAATCCCCAGTCGTATCTCTAGGTAGGGCTGAGGAATGGCCCCTCCTGAAACCCTGGAGGGCCACTGCTGCCTGTTGGCGTGCAGCTGTTTCAGTCCAAGAACCACTTTTCCTCATGAGCAACCTTCAAGTGGGGGAGCACATGCCAAGAGTTTTATAGCTTAATCATAGAATCATAGAGTTGGAAGGGACCCTGAGGATCATCTAGTCCAACCCCCTGCAATGCAAGAATATGCAGCTGTCCATTACGGGGACCGAACCTGCAACCTTGCATACATAGTTCTCTGCCTCCCCATTTTATCCTCACAACAACCCTGTGAGGTAGGCTAGGCTGAGAGGGAGTGACTGGCCCAAGGTCACCCAGCGAGCGCCGTGACCGTGTGGGGATTTGGACCCTGGTCTGCCAGGTCCTGGTCCAGTGCTCTAACCACTACACCCCACTGATCCTTGGTTCTTGGCCTGCCAGCATGTACTACTGTGTGCACGGGGCATGCCTGATAGGCACCTCCTTCTCTCATCAGGGGTCCAGCGGCAGATTGTGCACTGCATGGAGAAAGTGGCTGGGATGGTGGAGGAGCACTACTGCAACGTCCTTAGCCGGCCGGACGACAAGCAGAAGAGTTGCAGCGAGGAGCCGTGTCCTGCCAGGTCAGCTCAACTCCTCTGTGTCTAAACCACAAGAACATAAAGAGAGTGTGTTGGATCAGGTCAATGGCCCATCGAGCCAATCATCCTGTTCCCCAATAACTGTGAAAGGAGCCTCTTAGAATCACAGAATTGTAGAGTTGGAAGAGATCCAAAGGGTCATTTATTCCAAACCCTTGCAATGGTCATGCTCCCAGAGTTGGACGTCTAATTGCTCTTTCCCTAGCCTAACCCTTGAATTCCTTATTAGACACCGAGAGACAGCAGGACTGTGCAAGGTGCCCCGACTATAAAATTGGAGAAATCGAGAGATATATAGCTGCACCAGCAACATATCTCTTCTTTCTCGTACCTAGAAATGCAAGAAGGGCCTTTACACTCGCCAGAAGCTCGGCTCTTCCCTCACCGGTCCTGGAAGGAGCCTTTAGAAAAGTCCCGTATGCTCAGAGACTTTGCACCTGTCCATTGGGAGAGATAGGAAGCCCAGAACACTTGTTCTTTAGATGTCCCTTCTATGAAGAGGCACGTAGTAAGACCATTGATCACCTACTGGTGAGGCTCGCCGACCTCCCGCAAAAGCAAAAATTTGACATTTTCCTGTTAGGCAAAGATCAGAAGATGACCTGGATGGTCGCCAGATTCTGTGTACAGATCTGTAGGCGCAGACCATCTCCCAACTCAAAATAGTCTGTCATGAAAATCCCCAAACTCGGTTCCATGGGTGACTCTGGGTCAACCCCCTGGGATAGTTTATTGTTGTACATTGTTTTTAAATTTATTGTTGTTAATTGTTTTAATCATCTGTTTTACCTCTGTGACTGTACCCCCAAGTGTGTTTTATAAGCTGGTCTTCGACCATATCTATCCTGCTCGCTCCCTTCCAGGTGGTGGGCTGGCGAGTGGCAGGCGTGTTCTGCCACTTGTGGGGACACTGGGCTGATGAAGAGGACCATCCTCTGCATTCAGAGCGTGGCGCTGGATGAGCAGCGGGCTCTGCAAGCCAGCAAGTGCCAACATCTCTCCAAGCCGGATGCCACGGCCCCCTGCAACCGAGAGGTCCTCTGCCCGGCTCGGTGGCTGGCTGGCAATTGGTCCAAGGTGAGGAGAATCCGAGCGCAAAAACCCTTGCTGCAAGTCTTGGTTCAATCCACAAGGGCATCTCCAGGTAGGGCTGGGAATGGCCCCTGTCTGAAATCCTGAAGGGCAGCTGTCAAATCAATTATTGGGCTAGATGGACCCCATGATCTGATTCATTAGAAAGCCGCTAGCTTCCTACCTTCCTCCAGACAGGAACTGGAGGGTTCTCCATTGCATAAATAACCATGGCTTTTGCAAATTTGTCAAAGGCCAACGCTGTACTCTGCAATCGAAATACACTTGAGAGCAAGCCCCACCAGAGATCTTGCTAGGTCCTTGGGAGAGGACAGAGGAGGCTGCCCAACATCCTTGGCCTTGGGCAATCTGGGTTTTTCCTCCCAGGGTCCTTGCAGAAAGACTCCGCTTTTAATGTGACTGGCAGCGAGTCACATGTCCTTGTGGCATGAAACTATTTTCGGTATGTGGGTTGCTGCAACTCTGGAGAAAGGTCAGAAGACCTCTTATCTGCTCAGCTGCAACAAACATCCTTCTTGTGCTTTGTTTCTCCCTGTTAGCAAATCCCCACTCGCTCTTTTCCCCCTCAGCAAGGAATCTTGCTCGGATGAAGAGTGGTACTTGATGGGAACCCCAAATAGAGATGACCTATGAAGTCACTGGGTGCCAGTCCCCTCCAGGGTGACATGCCAGCCCCCCAGCTGTCTGGGTTTTTCCATGCAAGCCAAGCTTTGTCAGGAAACAAAGATGACCTGAAACTGAAGAACGATGGCTGGGTTTAGATTGAGTTTCTGTAGTGGAAAGAGCAAATGACCTTGGATTATAATGATTTCTGGCCCTTTTTTGCATGGACCAGCCTTCCCCAACCTGGTGCCCTCCAGAAATTTTGGACTACAACTGGGGCACCAGGTTTGTTTATTTACTGCATTTATATTCCACCACCTGTGTCTCCAAGGAGCCCAAGGTGGGGTATACATAGTTCTCTCCCCACCTTCTATAATCCCCACAACAAACCTGTGAGGTAAGTTAGGCTGAGAGGTCATGGCCAAGTGGATATTGGAAACCTGGTCTTCCAGGTCCTAGTTTGACACTCTAACCAGTGTTCCCAAACTTTTGGGGGCCACCAATCCCTTGGTTTTATAAACCCTTCCCCAGTGTTCCCAACCCTATAAAAGGCATTATCAGAATAGTGGTTTGCATGACCCACTAAGGAAGACCGTAACACAATCAAATTCAAAACAGTGACAACTAATTGTATATATATATAGATAGATAGATATTATATATGTATATATATATATATTGATAATTTTATACACACACACACACACACATATAATCAATTATAAGTATTTAGTTTAATTACTACAACAAAATTGATGGACAAACCATTCATACCAGCTTTTTGAAATCTTATAATCATTTACATTTCCTGTTCCCATTTGCCAATGCTTCCTAGCACCCCCACCTAGGTAATCCCATTGCCTCTCAGGGGATGCTACCACCCACTTTGGGAATCAACTGCTCTAACCACTATACCACACTATCTCTCTTGGAGGATCCTAGCATAGAGAAACTGCCAGCACTGTGTTGGCCATTGATGTCTCTCACACTCCTTATTTTCTCTCCCCTTTCCCATACAGTGTTCGGTCACATGTGGAAGTGGGATACAGCATCGCCTGGTGTACTGCCCCAATAATACCAGAGCCAGCTGTGATCCGGGGCAAAGACCAGCCTCCGAAATGGCCTGTTCGTTACTGCCCTGCTGGAACAAGATTGAGAGCATCTTCCCAGACTGGTCAGGCTCTGGTTCCTCAAGCCGGGAGCTGTACAATGAGATCAATTTCATCCCAAGCCACCCCATCCCTCGATTCATCCCTTTGTCGCCCAAATCTGAAGACCTCAATGCCATAAGGGAAGAAGACTTTTCACCCGGCAACAACAAAAAGGGAAATGTGTTTGTGGATGATTTTTACTACGATTACAATTTTATCAACTTCCATGAAGACCTGTCTTACGACCCAGCTGACACCAAGGGTGGCGGAAGAGAGGACTTGTTGCCAGATGTTGGGGTGAAGAAGGTCAGCGACGTGAAAGAGGACCCTCAAGAAATGGCTCCCGATTCTCTCCCTACTGTAAAGCCAGAGATGGACCATGGAAGCCCAACATCTCCAGCTGTTGGGCAGAATAGCAAAGGGGTAACCAGTGGGTTTCAAGAGCATAGCACTGCTGTCAGTTGGCATGGTTCTTTGGGTACAGCAGTTGCTGTCTCTCCAACCTCCTCCATGGGAGTTAACATGAAGGAGAACCCACCAGCCATTTGGGGAGATCTTCCTTCTTCCACTTCTGCAGCTGCAACGGATTTCCCTTCTGGCACCAACACCCATGCATCTGTCAATCATGCCCAAGAAGACACCACGCATTGGGAAGGGAAGGTAGCAAACACAGCCCCCTCTGTGATCTTCCCTTACTTGACCCTCCTGACTCCAACCGTACCTTCTGTTGAGGGCAGCCCCAGTCAAGACCATGAGTTTAGCACTCGCAAGAGCTGGAAGGAAGACGTTGGAGGCTCAAAGGTCCCATATCTCAGCACCATTGGAGACAATGGCTTGTTGGACCGTGGAGAAGGTGGTGGTGCAGACCGGGCCATCGTTGATCTCAGAGATGAGGTTGGTGATGGACGCAGAATGGAAGAAGCCCTGGTTAGGACAGTCATGGCAGGAACTGCAGAAACAGCATCAAAGGGGACGCATGGGAACTTCATTTCTCCACTACCTGGTCCTACCAAAACCACCCTTCACCTTCCAGCTCAGGTCCCAAGCGAGACAAGCAGGAAGCCTGATGATGGTGTGAGTCCGTACGACGTGGCAAACAGCAAGAGCCTTGCGGCAGATGCACAGGACCTCCAACACTCTCCTGCTGATGTAGTCAAGGCCAAGGGCGAGTCTACCTCCCTGGAGCCCATACCCACCTTTGCATATGAGCCACCTGGGCTTGACAGCAATACGGTTGAGAGGCAGCCCCCTTCCAGCCGCGTTCTGCTCATGCCACACGGTCCCAACTCACTGGGGCGGCAGCTGCCGACTGAGCCGACGTCCTTGGAGTGGGGGCCCTCCTCTCCTGGCTCTGTCCCTCCCATGCCACCTGCACCGAGGCGGAAGGAGGAGTCTGTTGGAATGAAAACCAAGTGGGACGCTGAGCGTATCCCTCCCAGTGTGGGGGACCAGGGACTCTCTGGGGGCAGAAATAAAAGTGGCCCCCATGGGGATCACTGGATGTTTGCAAGCAGCCATGGAGGTCTCGGGCCCAGGCCCACGACAGAAAGGCACCAGGAAAAGGAGGACAGGACGCTCTCGGTGGCTCCTCCAGCTACTGTCGCAGCTGCTCTGAATGCCAGCTGGGAAGCTGGAAACTGGAGTGAGGCAAGTTCCTGGCAGGAAGGAGAGGATACCTGCCGGGTGCAGGGAGTTCTCTGCTTGGCTCTGAGCCCCTTGGCACCCGGCCTGCTTTCCCCAGAGCTCAGCTCTGCAGAAAGTGGGAGGGTTTGGGTCACACTCTCGTCCAGGGTTAGCCAGCCCGGTTCCCTCCAGTTGTTGTTGGGCTGCAATTATTTTTATTTATTTGTTTCATAAAATGTACATATTGTTTGACTGTAAAAAAAACAAACCAAAACCACAAAGTGGTTAAAACAATAAAACTACCGACAAGAAGCATTAACAACAATAATTAAAAACTTCTAAAAAGTTTTTAAAGTCTAAAAACAGATCAAAACTCTCATCGACTTTCTAAGCAAAATTGTTTAGACAACAATCACTGGCCATGCTGGTGGTTGGGATTTTATTTATTTGCTATTTGTTTATGTATTAAATTTATATTTCTCCTCCTACCTCTCTGAAGGGAGCCTAGATTGGCTAAAAAAAACATAAGGGGAAAGGATGTATCCAATATATAATAATTAAAATGGCAGCATACCTTCCAACATTTCTCCATTGAAAATAGGGACATCCTATTCAAGAACAACAGCAATATTCCTATTTATACCCGGCTCATCTGACTGAGTTGCCCCAGCCACTCTAGGCGGCTTCCAACGTACAGTATATAAAAAATAATAAAACATTTTTTAAAAAAGCTGTCTATACAGAGCTGTCTGGAAGGGAGTTCCAGAGATGGGGGTCCTGACAGAGAAAGCCCCTTCCCATGTTCACACTGCCCTTTCCTTCCAGGGGCGATGCTGGCTATGCTCTGCAGCCATGGCTGGAGGCAGCAACGCTTTCGAATACTGGTTGCTGGAAACCACTGGAGAGGAGAGTTGCTCTCGTGCTCAGGTCCCATTGGGACATCTGGTTGGCCACTGTGAGAACAGGATGCTGGACTTGATGGGCTACTGTCCTGATCCAGCTTCTTATGCTCTTAGGTGTTTAAGAAGCTCCCCCAACCTGATCATAAACAGCAAGTTGGGAAGTATCGAGTAAGGCTCTCCTCTAAGTCCAGGTCTTTTAGGGCTCTGTATACTAGCACCAACGCCTTGAATTGGACACTGTAGCTCACCGGCAGCCAGTGCAGGACTCTCAGATCTGGAGCTGTAGTCCAACCACCTCTGGACCGCACCTACAGACCCTCCAAGTGTCCCAGAGAGCCAGCGTGGTGTAGTAGTTAAGAGCAGTGGACTCATAATCTGGGGAACCGGGTACACTTCCCTGCTCCTTCACACGCAGTTGCTGGGTGACCTTGGGCCAGTCACACTTCTCTGAAGTCTCTCAGCCTCACTCACCTCACAGAGTGTTTGTTGTGGGGGAGGAAGGGAAAGGAGATTGTTAGCCGCTTTGAGACTCCTTAAGGGGAGTGATAGGCGGGATATCAAGTCCAAACTCCTCCTCCTCCTCCTCCTCCTCTTCTTCGTCTTCTTCCCTATTTTCCAGAGACTGTACCAGATTTACAGAAGCTGTCCTGGTTTCTGATTTGATCCTGGAGTGCCTGTCTTTTCTTTAGGATGTCCCTCTTTCCACCGGAGAAATATTGGAGGGGACGTCTCTATTTTGACTGGAGAAATGGTGGAGGGTATGGAATAGGGTGTCCCTATTTTCATCAGAGAACTGTCGGAGGCTATGCACCTTGTTGGCTACACCTGGTCTAGAGGAGGTGGAATGGAGTGGGGTTGGAGGTGCAGAGAAGACCCTGTCTTGGCTCCAAGCTTGTCTTTTCAGACCACGTGGCCTCTTTGCCTGTTGGGACTCTGGTGATTGCAAGAGGCTCCAGCAGGTGGTATGAGGATGGGCCTCATAGAGGCCAGAGTTTGGGCCACTGGGTAGAGGGGCTGGAGAATCTTTTTCAACTTAAAGGTTGCCTCCCGGGGGCCACATGCTGGTAGTGGGTGGGGCAAGAGGCAAAAGTGGGTGGGGCAACATAAATGGATTTTTAAATCCTCTGTAGGCTAGCTTCCCCACACATTCTCACCCTCCTCTTTATCCTCCATCCAGACCAGCAAGAAGCATCCCCAGAGCTCCAGCTAGGGCAAAATACTCAAGGAGGGTGTAGAGCAAGGCCAGGAGGAGTGTGGCTTGGGGAGAGTCAGGAGGGCCAGGTGGAGAGGACTGGAAGGCCACATCTGGGAGGGCCTGAGGTTCCCTAGCCCTGCTTGGAGAGGCGGGAGGTGAAAACCCAGCTCTATCGAATTAGCGGGGACTGAGCAGGCCTGGGTGCTAACAGGGCTTCCTCTTCCTTCCAGTGCTCCACCACATGCGGCCTGGGCGCCATTTGGAGAACAGTGCGCTGCAGCACAGGGCAGGAGCAAGACTGCAGCCCTGCCCGGAAGCCCATCCCTGCCCGGAGGTGCTACTTGAGGCCGTGTTCCAGCTGGCGTGTCGGGAACTGGAGCAAAGTAGGCAAAACTCACCTCAGGCAATGCCCTTTGCCTAGGAGGCCTCTGGGGCTCGTCTTCAAACACCCCTCTTTATAATTTTTTTAAGTATTTGCTCTGTGGTGCGTAGCAGCAGGTTGCTCTCGATGACTTCCAAAGTCTGTTCCAACCCCAAAATGCCGTGACTCCAACTGGAGCAAAAGCCTCAGATCTTTGCAATCTAACAGTGGGTAAGGGAAGAGGCTCCTGCCAACCTAGCAGTTCGAAAGCACGTCAAAGTGCAAGTAGATAAATAGGTACCACTCCGGCGGGAAGGTAAACAGCGTTTCTGTGCTCTGGTTCGCCAGAAGCGGCTTAGTCATGCTGGCCACATGACCCGGAAGCTGTACACCGGCTCCCTTGGCCAATAAAGCGAGATGAATACCGCAACCCCAGAGTCGGCCACGACTGGACCTAATGGTCAGGGGTCCCTTTACCTTTAAGGGAAGAGGCATGGAGGCAGGTCTAAGCCTGCTGCCCCTGTCCGCTTTCCTCCAGTGTGCCATTGAGGCAACTGCCTCAGAATGCCTTAGGATAGTGCCGGCCCTGGCGGCCAATTACCACGGATAGTCTTATCCTCTGTAAACCTTGACCTGAGGCCACTCCCTGCCTCTTAGGCTGGCCTACCTTGCAGGGCGGTTGTGAGCATAAAGTGGGGCAGGGGGACATTTCTTAGAACCCATGGGGGGACAGGACAGCAGGGACTTGAATAGGTAGGAACAAAAACAGGGTCCTTTTGAGAGCAGCCAGTCTGCTTCCCAATATCCCTCCACCCCAAAGCGGACAGTGGCCAGCTCTCAGTCAGCTTCTCTTTGCACTATTTGGCACCCAGTGCTCCAGGACCTGTGGAGGCGGTGTGAAAGTCCGGGACACCCACTGCGTCGACAGCAGGGACCAGCGGCCCCTCCGCCCCTTCCACTGCCAGGCTGTGCTGTACAAGCCCCTCACCCAGATGCCCTGCAATAGCAAGCCGTGCCTCGGCTGGTACACCTCTACCTGGAGAGAGGTGAGTCGGGGGCAGGGGGCAAGCAGAGAGGGGAGGAGGCTGTGAGCCCAACCCAGAGCCCCCTTGTGCTGGGGTGAAGTGTGGGCGTCTTGCTCCAATTTTTCTTGCTGCTTTCTTACCCCAGATTTGAGTAGGCTGCAATGATGATGGTGATGGTGATGATGTGTGGCTTGGGTCTCCGCCCTCTGTAGCATCCATTCATTTTTACCATCGTGCTGAATGGAAAATAAATTCCAAAGGCAATGAATGACCCCACCACCACCACCACCCTTCCTTGTAGTTGTTGTAGTTATTAACTATTTACAGTATAGCCCACCTTTCACTCCGACGGGGACTCAAGGTGACTTCCACAAATCAAAACAACACAAATCAAATACGACAAAACTAAAAACAATTGTTGAAAAGTAGCTGAATTAAGAACAATATAAAAAACAAATCTGTTAAAATGCAGATTTAAAAAACAAACAAACAGCACAGCTCTCGTAAAAGCCTTTTCCTTAAAAAAAAAACCAATCAGTTCCCTAAAGCCTGTTGGAATAAAACAATCTTCACTGGATGATGTAAGGACAGCAAGGAGGGAGCCTGTCTGGCTTCTCTAAGGAGAGAGTTCTGAAGCCTGGGAGCAGCCACCAAGAAGGCTCTCTCCTGTGTCTCCACCAAGTATGTCTGTGAGGGTGGTGAGACTGAGAGAAGGGCCTCCCTCGAAGATTTCAGAGCGCAGGCAGGTTTGCATGGGAGAAGACGATCCTTCACATAGCTTGGACCTAAGCTGTATAGGACTTTATGGGTCATAATTGACACTTGGAATTGTAGTTTTTCTACTGTGCCATTTCGGTTTAATAGGAATGTCTTCTGCCAGGTGATGCTCCCTGAGATCTGATCTGCTTTAGCAAATACATTCTCTCCCCAAAGACTTGGAAGCTCCCAAAGAGCAGGAAATGCAGGCTGCTGCCCCAGTGATGTGCCTTATACCAGGGGTAGCCAACATGACGCTCTCCAGATACTATTGGACTGTAACTCCCAGCATCCCTGTCAACTGGGGCTGGTTGGGAGTTGGAGTTCAACATCTGGGGGCCACTACAATGTGCTGCCCCAGCCCAGAATGGACCTCCTTACTCCACGGGAAGCCCAATAAGCAGACAAGCCCGTGGAGGTTACTGTGTGGCCTCCCACTCCTGTTTTGACTGCCATGCTTGCTCCTTGGCTCAGAACTAGCTCCTGCCCAAGCACCCGCCTGCGTCCACCATAGTGGGTTGGTGGTGCTTCCTTCTCAGCTGATTCCTGTCTGTTTCCTGCTAGTGCTCTGAGCTGTGTGGAGGAGGGGAGCAAGAACGCCTGGTGACCTGCCCGGAATTTGGACGGTGCGATGAAGCCCTCCGCCCAAACAACACCAGGCCTTGCAACGTCCACCCCTGCACCAAGTGGACAGTGGGATCCTGGGGGCAGGTAAGCCAGGAGTCCTTCTTCTGAATCCCTGATGGGAAGGAATCCAGAACACTTTTGATGATTGGAAGTTAGGGTGCTACGTCCCCCCTTCCTTGGGGTGTTCCAGGGCAGGCTGTGGCTGGGTGGTCTGAAGTCCTTTTTGATCTCTTTAGTGCACGGCCATGTGTGGGGGAGGCATCCAGAAGAGGCAGGTGAAATGCATGAACACCAAGACTGGGGAGGTGGAAGAAGACAGCAGCCTTTGCGATCACGAACCGTGGCCGGAGAACACGCAGAAGTGCAACCCCCAGGACTGCAGCCCCAGCCCACCAAGTAAGTGGTGGGGTGGGGTGGGATGGGCGTGTCAGGAACTCGTCCTACGCTTGAGTAGGACCCTGGCAGAGACACATGCCCGACTGGCATGTTCTCTCCCTCCTGGTTGTTCGTTCGGAAGCTTCAAAAGCTTTCTTCAGCCTGAACATCACAGCGACCGATGCCAACAGACATCAGCACACTTAGGGAGCTGCAGAGTTTGCGCAGTTTGCGTAACAGACCTCAGCAACTCAGCATTTTGGCTAATCTACTTTATTTACATATAAACACACATGAAGCACTGCAACATGGCTCCCTCTCTTTCTAGCATCAGACAGCAAAGAGAAAAAAAACAAAGGACAATAGTCCCACTTCACGGAACACAGTAACACAAACATCCTGTCTCCGTCACTTCCCACTCTGTGGAGTCAAAACATACACCGTCATGTGATAGACAAAAATCCCATGACTGCAATCATGGAGCAGGAATTCTAACAGGGCGGAGGGGTGGGAGAGTTAGAGATTCTGCAAGACGTGTTAGCGGTGAGGACACAAGAGTCCGGCCTCTGGCCACAGAACTGGTAAGAACCAGTTTAGGAGGAACCTAACCAGATATTAGAGTGAAAAAACAGCTGCAGATAAGGTACAAGGAGGGTTCTGTACGTTCAGTAAAAGCTTTGTATTGAGTCAGTGTTTTCAAGGAGCATGGTTAGATGAAGAGATGGCGATGTGCTGGGTGGCAGAAGTGGTTGGCTAGAGAGTAAAGCAGCCAGGATGTTGCATATTTCATATATGGGGCAGGGGGTGTTAGTGGAATGTTCTCAAATATAATGGTTTAAGTGTCACTAGAAAAATTCAATATATTTTTCAAAACTTTATTTTTAAAGCATTTTCACAGTGTTTTTAATATGTGTCTAGATTCCACCAGAGCCACAGCAACAGGGGAAGGGGAGTCAGCTCTTTCCCTGCCACCCCTGTGCAATTTACCTCCCTAAGGGCTGAAGCCCTGGGTAAAAATAAAAGCAATTGGCTGGTGCTTTAAAATAGATGGTGTTGGTGCCAGGCAGGCCTCCCTGCAGAGAGCATTCCATAAGTGTGGAGCCACCACTGAAAAGGCCACTTCTCCCATCGGCCTTAGCCACTCAGTGCAAAGAGTACACTGTAGAAATGTCGATCTCCTCCCAGCAAGCCCCTTTGGTGCAACCCCCTCCCACCCTCACCACTTAGAGGTCCAGCACCACCTGCCTGCTTCTGGTCCAAAAATGCAAACTATGCAAACGCTCCCGAGGGCCTAATCCAGCATAGCCTGTAGAATTGTCCTGGTTGTTGCCAAAAGATTACACTGGTTTTCTGTGCAAGGGCAGGGCACAGGAAATGTTAGCCTTGCAACAAATGCCTTTATCCAGAAGAATACTTGTTACTCATGGTAATAGCGCTAAGAGATAAAGTGGGAATACAGATCCTGCGGTGATGATGGATATACAATGGCCTTGATGTATAGGGTCATGATTTTCCCCCACATAAACGATGCAAGACAATGTGAGGGAATGTGGAGGGCTAAAGACTCTGGGTTTTTTTAATGGCTTATATTTGGTTTATGGCCCAGGGCAGGAAGCGCTGATGGGAAAGAAAACATATCCTGCTGAACTCTGGAGGGAGGGGGAAAGTCTCGTCCGCTTGCCATATGAAGTCAGATCCTTGCTAAAGCTGCAGGCCTGGGCACAGAGGTGTCAGGTCCCTTTGGTCTTTAGTGCAGAACCCCATGCAGGCTGCTGCAGAGTGGTCTTACGTCATAGAATTGTGGAGTTGGAAGGGAGCCTAAGGCTCATCTACTCCAACCCCCCAATATGGGATTCACAGCCTTCTCGTGGGGCATTAGGGGAAATGATCTGCAAAATAACCTCCCAGGATAGAAACACAACAAACACACTCCTTGGATTCCTAGCAGCTATGAATTTGTAAATGAACGAACTCAGAGCAGCTGAACATGTTGAAAACTAACATCACAGATTTGTATAAGGGCAATTCTCTTCCGCTCTGTCCTTCTTTTTATGTTTATGTTCTGAAACTGTTCTGGAAACCCAGCAGTGTTACACTAAAATGGTGTTTGGGGTTGTGACCAGGTAAAGAAAAGCTTCAGGAACCAAACAACTGAAGTCTCTGGCTTCTGCTATGGCTGTGTATGCATGACTAAAGTTGCCGCTTCTGCAAGGGGAGAACTGGTGAACGTGGCAGGCACCGCGTGAATTTCAGTGGCCCCTTGCTTCTTTATCCTGCTGAAGACATAGCTTCCTGAAACTGATAATTAAATGATCAAAGCAGCAGCTTTGAAAACAATTAAGAACATAATAAGAGCCTGGCTGCTGGATCAGGCCAAAGGGAGCCCATCTAGTCTAGCATCCTGTTCTCACAGTGGCCAAACAGATGCCCCAAACGGGAAGCCCCCAGGGCAACGGCCTCCTCCCACTCTTGTTCTCCAGCATTCTAAGGTAGACTGTCTCTGTCTGTGGAGGTTCCATTTTAGGATTCATAATAAACGAAGAAGAGCCTGGCTGCTGGATAGGTCCAAATGGGGGCCCATCTAGTGCAGCATGTTCTTCTCACAGTGGCCAGCCAGATGCCTCTGGGAAAGTAGCCTTGGACTGGGCAGGCGGAAGGGAGAGGAAGCAATCCCTGCTTGCAGTGCCCTCAGTGTATGGGGGAACATGGTGGGAGGCCCAAACAGGTGCACAGAGGGCTCTATCCGCCCCCCTCCCGGGGGTGAGAAGTCAGTGGTGATTCTGCTTATAGTTTATAGCAGAAAAGCGATGACTGTGTGGCATTAGGAGCTGCCTGAGTGGAAGCAGGCCCTTTGCCCCAGGTGGTGATGCCTCTCTTCCCAGCATCCTGCCTCCCTTTAGGAAGTGGGAAGCGTCAGCAGCAGCAGCCCATAAACCCATGCTGGATTCTCTATGTGGAAGATCAGGCTATTAATAAACTCACTTCTTATCAGCTGCAGAAGGCTAATAAAAATGTAGTAACACAGATTGTTAAGAAGGAAGAGCTGTGTGTGTGTGTGTGTGTGTGTGTGTGTGTTACACTGTGCAGCTGTGGCTTGTCAGCTTCCCCCAGTTTAAGACTGAACGAGGAGCCAAACTTCATAACTAACAGGGATAAATTAACTGAAAGCCATGAAACAAGATTGCGCAAAGGAGGATCCTTCAGTCGCTGCAGAAGCCCGCTTTCCCCTTGCTGTCTCAGGGAAAAGTTGTTGCTTTTAAAATGCCTTGAGTGAAAGCATGTGTACAGGCACATGTGTGTGCAAACTGGTTTGCATGTTAGGCTGAAAGCCCAACTGCTTGGAAACATACCTTCCAACTTTCCCCGATGCAAAACCAGGACACACAGCTTCTAACACGTGCTCTGGGGTGAATCACGTGACCTGTGCCTCGCTCTCACCCTGAAAATTTGTGGGGGGTTTTTTTTGTGGGGGGGGACACAGTGTGAGATTGTAGCACCCAAAATGACTACTGAGATCTCGTGAGGGAAAAAATGGAATGTTCTGTCCCGTCCCGTCCCGTCCCGGGCATTTGGAAGGCTTTAATTTTGGGGGGATCAGTCTGGCTGACTGAAATCGCTGACCTAGTCAGACAAGTTTCTTAGTAAGACAACAACCTTAGCTGGCCACTTAAGTGTCCTCATTGGCATCCCAAAAGAATGAGATGGATTAGAAGCATAGAATTGTAGAATTAATGAGCCCCTGTGGTCATCTAGTCCAACTCCCTGCAACACAGGAATCTTTTGCCCAATGTGGGGCTCGAACCCTTGACCCTGAAATTAAGAGTTTCATGCTGTCCTTACTGAACTATCTCAGCAAGAGCTACAACTAGGGGGTGGGGTGGTGCCCTCCAAGCTGTAGGCCTTTCCTCCACCCTCCTCACCTAGCTGCTTTGTAGGAGATCAAGAGCCAGTGTATATATATATGAGTGAGCTGGAAGCAGACTAGTGGCTGGAGACACGTAGACATGATTGCTCTGTGCTGGATACAAACCTGTGATCAGTGGAGATGCAATATCTTTTAGAATCACATAATTGGAAGGGACTCCAACTAGTCCGACCCTCTTCAGTGCAGAAATCGCAACTGTTGGGGTGTTAATGCCATGAGTCCTTCCATTTTATGCTCAGGTTAGTCCCTGTAATGAGCCACTTGACAGCGATCATTTATTGAGCGTCCTGTATGTGTGTGTGTGAAGAGGTGTCTTGCCCTGGGAGAAGGACTCTCGGCTGCTAAGATTGGCAGAGAGACAGATGCCGGGTCCTTCCTGCAGAAATAGCTCCCTGAAAGAGCCCTCTTGAAGGCCGGAGATAAGAGGCCTTGCCGAGAGTAAGCAGGGCTCCATCAGAGGCACCAAAGCAATATTCCCAAGGCGTTCTTCTCCGCAGCTTCCTGTGGCATCTTTCAGGCGGTGCTCAGAGCAGGAGCCGATGGTAGCAGTCAAGGCAGGGCAGGGGGGCAGAGAGAGAACATCATCCTCTGCAACTCTTGGCTAACTCCGTGGCTGTGTTTCCTGACTGCTCTAGTCAGGAACCAGTTCCAAGGTACAGTTCTTCCTCCCTGGAGGAATCTCCATGGAAACATTTGAGTCTAATAATGCAAAATCCAAGTGCAAAATCCATCCAGACAAAGGGATGGAGGTGATTTTGTGCTCAAAGGGGATCCAGTAAGAGCGAGCTCGAGATCCAGGAAAGGCAGAAATGTCTCTTTACAGGCCTGGGGGGCTCCTCCAGAGGATAATATCCACTCGCTCGCTTCCCCCAGTTTGCCCCTTTGATGCTGTAGGAGGGGGTGTTTGGTGGGGCTAGCTGTAACCTCTGACACAGTGATGTCATTGTTTGCTGAGCTGAAAGAGACCTTTGTGGTCAAACTAGACATTCTTTCCCCCAATTCCTTGCTGCTCCTTTCTGTCTGCGTTGCCCCAGAGAGAAAAGGGTCTGCAGCTCAGCTGCCGCCCCTGCTTTGGGACCCCAAAACTCTTAATAAAGCCCCGAAGACCTTTGAATTCTCCTTTGATGTGTTGTAGAAATTAGAAAGCACTGCCTCCACTTTTGAAACCCCTTTCTGTGGTAGCATTGATTAGATTTATAGCCCATCCCAGTCCGGAGGTCCAGGGTGGGTAACCGACAGGTGCACATTACAAAGGCAATTAAGATCAAAGGCAAAGCCAAGCAAACGACTTCCAGTCTGCTACTATTTTGCAGGTGGCATTCAGTTGCATACCAGCAAATTCAAATTGTGGTGGCGTTGCTGACACTTATTAGTTGTCCTTTTTACGGAAAGTAAGCTCAAAGTGACTTAACGTATACTGCAAAAATGAAAAGCAATATAAAACTAGAACAAAACGAAAGCTAACAACTTTTGTATACATAAACGGCATCCTAGCACGTCCCACCCACTGAAGGAGGCTGCAGGATCTGAAACACTCCAAGTTAAAAGCCGATTGACATGGATTTGGCTTATCTGCACTTATTTGCCCCGCTCTTTCAAGGCACAGGTCCACACTTTAAAGCTCGATGTTCAAGTTTTTGTGGTTTTTTGCCCAGAGCTTTCCCTGGTAAAACCTGCTCTTTAGTGTTCAGTCAGAGCAAATGTCAGTTCGGGTTTTCCATGGATTGATGTTTGTGCCAATGGAGCACTAAAGATCGAGTTTTTGCAGGGAAAGCTCTGGAGCAAAAAGGGGGGGCACTCGGATACAGAGCTTTAAAGCACAGGCTGTGCCTGGAAAAAGCAAAGGGAAGGGAAGTGTTGATATGCCCTCTGTTATGTAGCAAGCCCACTTTCTCCCCAGACTTTGGCTTTTGGAGTAAGGAAGGTGATGGGGAAATACTCCAGGAAGTGCTCGAATCTATAACATAGAACCTCTCTGCAAACAAACCAGGATGGTTGTGCATTAAACAGCAGATGTCATGTCACTTCCCCACAAACGCTATGCAAACAAGTGAGGATGAAGGCACAAGAAGCAGGTCATCTGGAAGTGACTTGGAGTAGGTATCTGACAAATCTGACACACTGACAAATTCAAATGTGTAAACCCCCTTGGGTTCACATGTGAAACTTACGATGTCCCTGATTCTGAGTCCATGATCTCAGAGGGGAGGAGTCAGCCCCTTGGGCACATGTGCCCAAAATTTCAGATCAGTGGCCCGAGGGGGGCTATTTAGCATCCAGCCTCCTGTTCTGACAGTGACCAATATCAGGAACCAGAGTCAGGGGTAGGTCAGCAATAAAAACATTGAATGAAGTTTACTCTTTATTCAAAGAAACCAGAAGTGCAGGCCTGATGATCACAGTAACTCTTCCCAGCAGGTCTTGTCCCAATGAGGCAGTTGCAAGGACCCTGCTCTCTTTCCCCCGCTCTCTAAGGCTCCTTTCCTGGTTCCTTCCCCAGCAACCTGAGGCTCCCTCTCCATACCTCTTCTGGTTCTGGGAGACCAGGCAGGAAGGGGAGCTTGCCGCAGCAGGAGGGGGAGACCCCCTGGCTTCTTCAGCAACCTGCCTCATTGCTGCTGCTTGGCCCCATCCCTTCCCAGCCTCCTCTTCTGCCCCTGATTCTGGGCTTCTCTCTGCCATAGCCTCTTCCTGCTCACTAAACCCTGTTACCTTTTCAGCTTCCGACACCACCTCCACCTTCTCCTTCTCCTTCTCCTTCTCCTTCTCCTTCTCCTTCTCCTTCTCCTTCTCCTTCTCCTCCTCCACCTCCTCCTCCCAGGCTTCTCCCTCTGACCACTCATCATAGTCCCACCACCAGTACCCTGGTTCTGAGTCTTCTTCCCTGGGGGGGAGGGTTCCCCAACTGGTGCCTTCCCCCCCCCCATTCCTCTGCATCCATCCAGTCCTTGACAACCAGCCAGATGCCATTATGGGAAGCCCACAAGCAGGACCCAAGTGCAAGAGAAGTGCTCTTCTCACTTGTGATTCCTAGTATCTGACCTTCAGGCCTCAACTCTGGAGGAAAAGCACAGCCACTGTGGCCTTATGCAGATAGCCTAATTTTCCATGAATTTGTCTAATCCTCTTTTAAAGCCATCCAAAGTAGAGGCCATCACTATATTTTGCAAAGTTACAATGAACTATGGATCTGTACCCTTACATGCAGGGATATTTTTTCCTTTTTTTACACAGATTGCAAGGAGCAAGCACAATATGGATTAAGACCATGGGGGTTGTTTTCCCCTTTGATCTGCGCCCAATCTGGACTGGTCTCCTCCTGCCTGCAGTTTGCACTGGGGGGGAACCTCCAGTTGGGAAAGGGTTAAAGCCCCCAGATCCCCATGCTGAGGTCCTGGTCCACGCTGGCATCTTCTGGAGGGAATGAAAAAGCATTTAACAGTACCGCTAAGTAGCTAAGACATTGCCTAGTTTGGCTCTCCTGCACACTTTTTAAAGCTGACCCGGCAATTCCCTCTCTCCGAGCTGCCGTTTCCTTATCTAGGAATGTGCATCAAAGTTTGTTTCTGTGACCCTGTGAAAAAATTCAACCTCTTCCCTCCGGGCTTAGCAGCAGATTTAGGAGTAAACCTTCTGAATAATATCCAAAGAGGGATTTGATCCCATCGAGACCTTGTGAGTTTCTGCTGAGTATGATTTGGCACGGAGGGACTCAACCAGCCCTTAATTAAAATATTCAGTTTGCTTTGCTGTTGAGCATTATGCTTTTAAGTTGCCTGTCTGGTGGGGGGGACGGGACGGGACTGGAGAACAGACGCTTACATTATCAGCTGCAAAATATCTCCTCCACACGAAAGGCTGCCAATGTTTGTTCCCCAGTTGGAGAAATTCCATGTTGTAAGGCTGGCCTATCGGTGCTGGCCCCAGAACCACACAGTAAATCCTGTGGATTGTATCTCTTCTTAAATGGGCAAATGTTTCAGATGTCCATAGCTGCCCCAGCGGCTTTTAAAAATGGCAGGTAAAACCTACAAGTTCTTGGGATCTAAAATTAATGGGTTAGGAGTTTGTATGTCTCCGTACCTTCCAACCACCCACTGATTAAAATCACGATGTGTGGCTTTCAGTGTTGTGCTCCCATGCAAGCCAGCTGGGGCTTCCTCACCCCAGCTCCCTGTCTCTGTTTCCACCAGCAGCTCCCTCAGCGCCAAACCAGCATCTCCAGCTCCTCCTCTTCCCTGTTATCATCCTCATCTTTGTCAGCTTCCTCTCCTTTGGTGAGGGCATGGTCGAGCAGGAGGCATGGTGTCTGGGCCTGGCGGAGGCGGCCCAGCTCCTCCCTCCACCTCCATGGGCACCTTCTTTTGAATGGGAGTCTTTTGGTGCCAAGCTCTCATGGAGCCAGCTGACTGGCGTGAGAACTTGGCACCGAAAACAGGACATCCAATCGTGATTTTGGTGTGCACTGGTCAAATCTGGACTGTTGACAGGTATGAGTCTCGAGCCAACAATCTACCCAAGGCAGTATCCACAGACCTCCCAAAAAGTAAACCCCCTTCAGATTATAATGGTGACCCAGTGACTACCTTCACACCCTGTTGGCTTCCAGATGTTTTGGACTACAACTCTCATCAGCCCCAGCCCATGTGGTCATGCTCCCATCATCCCTAGCTTCATGCAGCCATGCTGGCTGGAGCTGATGGGAGTTGCAGTACAAAGCATCTGGAGGGCACCAGAGGCTGGAGAAGGTTAGGGGCAGAGAACCTGAAGGTATCCTGTGGCTGATCAACAGCCTGATGCAGTACAAGGCAGCTTCCTGGTTCCAGCCCCTGACAGGAATAATCACGATCTGCAGATGGAAAACTACAAAGGCCTGTTCAGACTAATCTGGAGAACAGCACCAGAGCAGCTGCAGTCGAGGCCTGGGTGATGTATTGATACATCGTCCAGGACTGGTTTGAGGGTCAGAGCGCAATGGCGCCTTCACCCAGTGGTAGATTGTGGTTGGGCCTTCGTTACCTACTTCTTCGTGGGGCTGGAACTGATGCTGGATGTTCCTCCCTCTGCTTTTCACAATGTATCACTATATTGTGATGTTTAGCTGGTGATACATCATGATGTTGAGAAGCCGATATCGCCCAACCCTACTCATAACACTAGAACTTGCGGACGTCCGTTGAAGCTGAATGTGGGAAGACTGAAGACGGATAAAAGAAAGTACAGTCATACCTCGGGTTACAGATGCTTCAGGCTGCGCATTTTCGGGTTATGGGCGTGCCAAAACCCGAAAGTACCAGAACAGGTTACTTCTGGGTTTCGGCGCTCGTGCATGCTCAGAAGCGCTAAATCGTGCTTTACGTATGCGCCGAATCGCAACCCACGCGTGCACAGACGCAGCGCTGCAGGTTGCGGACGCTGCGGGTTGCGAACGTGCCTCCCGCACGGATCACATTCGCAACCCGAGCGTCCACAGTTCAGTGGTACCTCTACTTACATTCACCTCCGGTTACGTATCCTTCAGGATATGTATGCAGCAAACCTGGAAGTATTTTTCCAGGTTTTGCCATGCACGCATGCGCAGAAGCGGCACCTCCGGCTATGCACACCTCGGGATCCGACCGGAGCTCCAGAATGGATCCCGTGCACAACCGGAGGTACCACTGCACTTCTGTACGCAGTGCATAGTTAACCTGTGAAACTCCCTTGCACAGGAGGTAGTGATGGCCTCCAACTTGGATAGCTTTAAAAGAGGAATTGACAAATTGATGGGCTCACTAGCTGTGATGGCTGTGCTCTGCCTCCGCAGCTGGAAGCAGCAATACTTCTGAATACCAGTTTCTAGAAAGGACAGGAGGGGAGAGGACTATTGTGCTCGGATCCTGCTTGTGGATTTCCCATGATGGGCATCTGTTTGGCCCCTGTGAGAAGAGGATACTGATCCAGCAGGCTGCCCATCCAGACTGCTGACCTGTTTGTTGCATGGGTGTGTTTATAAAAACACACCAGACCTTTTGTATTTGTTTTCCAGGGTTAGGCTACAGCTGCTTTGCCTTTTTGTGCAGGATGGTGCTGTTCACTCACAATACTTGAACACTGCAGGAAAATAAACTTCCTGATGTGCGATTTGCAAAAGCGAGGGAAGGTTTAGCCTGTGATAGAGCTGGCGAGCCAGAGGTTTAGAGGTCTTAACCTCTGACCTGTGCGAGGTCATGACTGCTAATCTCCATGGACTAGGAAATAGCTCCTGTGTTCCAGACACTTTTTTTATCAGCAGGCAAAAGAAACCTCTCTCTTCAGCCATTGCCTTGGCGGGGCGGGGGGCTGCCTAATTCTCTGGGGGGGCTCCCGGGGAGACTTCATTGTGGAATTGGGGTTGCCCACACATGCGGGGTGTTTTGTTGCAGTGTCTACTCGGCATCATTGTCGTAAATAGACACACACTCCAGCTATTTAATCCTGATTGCCCTTGTTGTCCCTTGTACAATCCAATAAGTTAAAATGACACCTCACCAATTACCCATTTGAAATTGTTGAACGGCCCGTTTGGAATATCAAGCTCCTGTCTAGTAGCAGTTTGGGGCTACTGTGGCCGCAATACACACCATCCATTGAAAGCACATGACCTTCCCCAAAGACTCCTGGGAACTGCAGTTTCCCTCTCTCAAAGCCATCTCCTCAGCCTCCCCGCCCCCAAGTAAGAACCATTTTCAGGTGCATTTTTCAGACTGAGGACGCCTGGCATGGCAAAGAGCTGAGCACCACCTCATGTCCTGCCTTTGGGGTTACATGGCTTGTACATGTGGTTTGCTAAGCGTCTCCTAGCAACTCCCAGCACCCTGCACAAACTACATTTTTCAGGACACTTGGCAGGGGTGAAAAAGTATGGTCGTTAAAGTGGTAAAGGTAAAGGGATCCCTGACCATTAGGTCCAGTCGTGGCCGACTCTGGGGTTGCGGAGCTCATCTCGCTTTATTGGCCGAGGGAGCCGGCGTACAGCTTCTGGGTCATGTGGCCAGCATGACTAAGCCGCTTCTGGCAAACCAGAGCAGTGCACGGAAACACCGTTTACCTTCCGCCAGAGCGGTACCTATTTATCTACTTGCACTTTGACGTGCTTTTGAACTGCTAGGTTGGCAGGAGCAGGGACCGAGCAACGGGACCGCCGACCTTCTGATCGGCAAGCCCTAGGCTCTGTGGTTTAACCCACAGCACCACCTGCGTCCTAAAGTGGTATAAGAGTGCTTTAAATGCACAGTGTGGAAGGGATGCTGGAGGAGCGCTAGGGGAGGAACTGGCTGCGTCAGCCCAGTGCTCAGTGAGCTGTTTATGAGCTCTGAGCCTTGGGAGTGATGAGAAAGAGAAAGTGATCATGAGCTCATTGGAGGAGCTGAGCGCCTTGCCAAGCATCCAAGCAAGCCTCCTGGTTCCCATTCCACATCACTGAGCAGCAGGTTAATCCCAGGCCATTCCTCTTGGCTGTAAATGATTAGCGATTGGGTGGGGGGAAGTGGCCTCACCTGGTATCGCCTGAGATAATGGGCTAAGCAGAAATTCACTCTTATGCTGGAGGGGAAGCCTTGTCAACCGATGGTCTTGGTTCTGTTTCCACTGCAAGCCTTTACATTGGAGAGCGGTTGGGGGTGATGGAAATACAAAAGCAAAACAGTCTCTCAAGCATGAAGTTTAGTTCGTTTCTCTGACAACGGGCTTAGTTTTAACAGCATCAGGCACCTTCTTAACCATCTTTCAGCTGGTTAAGGAATTTTATAAACAGCTTCAATAATCTCTTTGTTGGAAGACCCCAGTAAAATAATTATGAATGATATGTAGAGAAAATCAGCATAATTTAAAAGCAAGCATACAAAACTAAATTGTGAGTCCCAAAAGGCCCTGATCCCACACACTCCTCCACATTCAGCCTGACCCCCCAAACAGCCAAAAGCAAACTTTCACACCATATTAGCATTGGGGGCTGGGGGCTTCTCCAAGAGGATTAGCACAGCTGAAATAAAGAGTCTGGAGGAAGCCTCTTGGGTGTAAATTAAGCTATTTTAAAAAAAGAAAATAGTGGAAGATTAGGAGACAGATCATCATTCAGGCAATGGATCCAGTTGTAACAAGTTGCCAAAGCCTGAGGTCATCCTAATCCACAAGAGTCTGAAAAGTGGCTCCCTATTCCTTAGTGTGCATGTGATCTTCCCCACCTTATAGTTGTGATAAAAATAAAAACTGCTCCTTTTATAGAGTCCTTTTGTAGGTTCTCTATCGGTAGGAGAAAATAACAGAGACCAGCCAGAGAATATTGAGAAGCAAAGCAGCTAGTAAGCCTGATCTTTATTAACTGTTACAACAGGGTGCTCCCTCACACACAGGAGAGGAGGAAGACCCCGAGCCATGCGCACAAGCCCTTATGTAGACATTTTTAAATTGCCCGCCCTGGATTCCAAGACCACCCCCAGAAACATCATACCTACATCACAGAAAAGGCAGTCTACAACAGAAATCTGAGTGCTTTGTTTATCTCCTATCTGGCAAATTACCTGATTGCATTATCTGGGTTTTGGCCACTCTTTTGTTATTATAACTACTTAATTCCCAAATCTAGGTCACAGGTCACAGGCTCACACCCTGTTCATATCTTGAATGTGCCCTTGAGACAGGATTTGTGAGGACAGGATTTGTGAGGAAAAAGACAATGGGGAGGTTTCCCACTTTGACCTTGCAGAGAAATATTTGAGGTCAATTTGTTCAGGACCTTTTTGGTGTAGTTTCAGACATGTGGTTTATATATACAGTTATGAACATTTATTATTTTAATATATGACCTTAAAATTCTTATAACAGTTGGAAAGAGATGATCTTGAAAAAGTTAGTATTTGCAGATGTCACTGCTGGTGACATAAATTTCTTCCAAAGTGAGTGCTGGTGATTTCTGTGAGCATGGAACACTGGAACAGGCTGACAGAGGTTCACAGGGGCTACTTTCTGATGAGAAAGAACATGCAGAGATTGCTTGGTGTGTGTGTGTGTGTGTGGGTGGGTGTGTAAAGCAGCAGGTGGTGTGGATGGGAGGAGTGTCTCCAGGTTGCGAATGAGATGCACAAACCTTCCCTTCCTCTTCTAGTGAGGATCTAAGCCAGGGCTCAGCAAACTTTTTCAGCAGGAGGCTGGTCCACTGTCCCTCAGACCTTGGGGAGGCCGGAATATATTTTGGGGGGGAAATGAACAAATTCCTATGCCCCACAAATAACCCAGAGATGCATTTTAAATAAAAGCACACATTCTACTCATATAAAAAACACTGATTCCTGGACCGTCCGCGGGCCGGATTGAGAAGTCGATTGGCCTGCATCCGGCCCCTGGGCCTTAGTTTGCCTACCATGATCTAGGCAGCCACAGGAAAGATTTGGGGCAGAATCCCTGTTCCCACATCAATCGCTGCAATGTGGTTTTTAGCACTCCATTGTTTTTTCACCCAGGGGAACATTTATCTTGAATATGGACAGATCTGAGATGAGTGATGGTGGGATGCACTCCCTTCCAGCAGTGCAGCATCTGTTTCACATCAGGAGAGGCAGGATGGGATTGGGGGGGCATTTGCATGAGTGCTTCAGGTGGTGGAAGGGGAGGGGACAGAAGATGGGCAGCAGAGTGTGGGAACTGAGATGTGCCTCCCCCCCCCCCCAGTTGTGGGATGAGAAAGGCAAACCCTTCTTCTCCCTTCCTGGCTCTAATGGGAGAAGACTGTGAATCAAAGGAGAGAACGTTTTTCTCCCTCTGTCACAGCAAGCAGAACTCATGGGTATCCAATGAAGCTGAATGTAGAAAGATTCAGGACAGGTGAGTTCCAGCATTCTGTCAGAGCCTTGGCACCTCCTTCCCAAAGCCCGGGAAGCTTCTGCCTGGCTTGGGGGGGCAGACACGATTCTCATGTGTACAATGTTGCCCCCCACAATGGCCCTCACAAGCTGGTGCCTCTAGCCCCAACCGTTCCCTTGCAAAAATAATTCACCACACACCACTGCTCAAATCCCGCTACGTTGTTTTCTTCCTGCAGGTTTTGCCTGCGAGCGCGACAGGCTCTCCTTCAGCTTCTGCCAGACGCTGCTGTTCCTGGGCAGGTGCCACCTCCCTACCGTCAGCCTCCAGTGCTGCCAGACGTGCCGTCAGCAGGGCCACGGCCCCCGGGACCGCGGGAACGAGCGGGCTTCCCGGAAGTGAGCACTCCCATCACCTCAGGACCCTTTCAGGCGCAAAGAAGCCAGCGGTGGCCTCGAGGGAGAAATGGCTGCCTAAGACACCTCGCGGGCTGCTTTGAAGGCAGCTCAGCCACCATCTCTGTCCAATTGCTCTCCTCTCCTTCCTCCCATGGGACCTTGGCTGGTGCTGTTCACCAAGGTTGGACAGGCATGGTGCTTTAACTCCAGTTCCTCTCACCAAACTGCCCTCAGGGCTACCCAAGTCTGCTGCCCTCCAATGCGCAGCAGAGGAGAATCTGCTCTGCAAGGCCACGCACTGCATCCCACAAAAGCAATAACTCTTGGCATGATCTCAGAAACATATCTGGTGCTATCGTCGGGTATATTCAGGTTTCACTCGGTGTTGGCGGGCCAGCACGAAACTCTTGACTTGAGTGATTTCTTTTTTTAAAAAAACAAACAAACAGGAAACACACACAATTTTATTTTATTTTGTATTTTGTAAGAACGGGCATCCAGCATACCTGACCAAGTCGCTTGACTGTTTGGTTGCATTTATTGTGACAGGGATGCCTTTCTTCCTGGTGGTTGGTGGGAGGAGCTCAAAGCGGCAGTGAAATGCCCCCCCATTTCAAACTCGCTGAGCCAGCTGATCATCACACTTGCTCTAGCTGGGAGGACCAAAGCATTGGGGTTATGAGTTGTTTGGTTTTCACTCAAGTTGAACTAAAGCTAACCTCTCTGGCTTGAGTCTTTGAATAATAGAACTGTAGAGTTGGAAGGGACCACGAGGGTCATTTGGTCCAACCCCCTGCAATCTGTGGGGCTCAAACCCAGGAACTTGACATTAAGAGTCTCATGCTCTACCGACTGAACAATCCTCCATATCTAATGCCCTGTTCTCTGGCTCAGCAGTTCAATATCTGTCAGGGTGAGCTGCCCTTTCTCTCTAGGCTGCTCGCTTGGTTACCCCAAAAAAGCCCAAGACTATCAAGATCAGTTTCTGGTTTCCACCCCCACCCCCCTTATGTAGCCCTGGAAGTTGGGACTGCATTTGTAGTATCATATCAATTTCCTTATTGTCAAGAAGGCACCTGATTTAAGAACACTTCATTGCTTTCTATCGTGCACTGATAGTCTCGTTTGGGTATTTAGCATGTGTTAAGCAAGGAAAAGGGAGCCTGTGGCCTTCCAAGCATTGTTGGGACTACATTATCCCTGTGTCAGGATCCTGACCAATGGCCTTGCTGGCTGCTGTGAACTGGAGCTCAACATCTGGGGGGAGCCCAGAGGTAGGGATGTTGGGAAATTCCAATGGATGAAGAAATGGGTAATACTTCCTTCTTCCTTCCATGTCTGGAATAGTAATCAATCCAGCAAGTATGATCAGGACTCCACTCGTTGTTTTCAGTTCACAGCAACAGTCATGTTATATATGGACATCGTAACCAAAACCCCATTCTTTCAGGGTGCCAAGGTGGCATAACACCAAAATCCTTCAGTAGTTAAGTTATAATTTGCCAATGTGTTTTTTCTAGAAGTCTGATAAGGCCTCAGCATTCTACTTGTGTCAGGGATACACCCTCTCTCTCTGAAAGGATCATTGTAGACTTTCTATGAATATGGAATTAACATGTCATTATTATTTTTTAAATAAAAAATACATGGGAAACCATCTGGCCCTGAAGATTTATTGTTCCTTAACTTGGAATTTTCATATGGACTGAATTTTTCTCATCTAAAATGGCCTTATGTTACAGGTTTGTTTTCATTCTAGCCAAGTAATTTGCAAAGAAGACTGATTTATATAATTTGGCATAATATTATGTGAACTTTTGATGAATGCACTTGAAGTATCTTTGTCTATATGACTAGAGAACATTTCCGTACTTCTTTGAAAGCTGATAATGTCAAGGTTTGATTGCCAGATGCACAGCATTTCTGATGCAGATCAATCAAAGATTTGGTTATTTAGTGCAAATAGTTTTAAATTGTTCTCAATGCATGGTGGGTAACAAATACTTTACAGTGTGAAAGCCAGTAAGTATCAGCAGAACTAGCCGTGGATCAGTTGCATTATGTCAACGCCAGACCAAGGCTGTCTTCTTGTCTCTGTCTAGGGGGAGTAACAAAACCAATTATTTAAGACCACATCCAAATTTCTTCTCTCTCCCATGCCAGCCATGGAATTTCCCCAGTGATTCAGCACAGATACATGGGAATAAAAAAAACAACAACCAACTCTTTTCAAGGAGATGTTATGGAGGAGTATCTTTTTAATGTTTTTAAAAAATGTCTGTAGCTCTCAAGTGTGTTAAATTAAATTGTTATAACAAAGTATGAGCTGTGCCTTTGTTGGTTTGTTTCGGCACCACGACATTTCTGCTGCCTCTTGAAGAGTCTCTATGGTTATCTTAGCATGGCTAAACAGGAAGGCAGGCACCACCATTGGCCTCGCTGCATCACCTGTCCCTGCTTCATCTTCCTTTTCAATTAAATTCAAACCCTAGAGCCCCCTGACCTTGCTACTCGCCCCACCCCCACTGCTCCTGCCTGCTCACCTGTCCTTTTTTCAAGCTGGTGAGCAGAACCCTCAATCATCTTGGCTGCCCTCTTCTGCACACCATCCAGCTTGTCGGTATCCTTTTTAAGCTGTGATGCCCCAAACTGGACGCAGGACTCCAGGTGGAGTCTGTTAGCTGTTTTATTTATTACAGTTGCATTTTGACTACCAGGGAAGGGGAGAGGTGCTTGTGGGATTTCCTGCCTCGGGCGCCGAAATATCTCAGCTGGCTTTCGGTCCTCTGCACTTTGGAGGTGGAAGCTTCCCATTTGATGCTCCACCTCCGGTCCTGCTGATATGGAGGGGCCCCCCTCTAGCTGTCAATCATTGTGGCAACACTCCAGCCAAGCTGAATGTAAAGCCTGAGGGAAGCTCTTAATGAAGCATGCTTGACTCCAGCTGCCAAAGTGGATAAAACTGATGGCTCTGCATGTGGAGGAGCAGGAGAGGGAAGGAAATTGTCAGACTCAGATTAGGGTTAGCAGATAAGTGTGAAGAATGGCCCTGATCTGCCTCCACCATTCCTCTAAGTCAAGCTGTCATGTCTCTTCCTCCCAGTCTCGTCAAATGCTAAAAGGGTACTTAAGTTGCCTGGGGTGTTAGGGGAAGAGTAGTATGTCTGGAAGGACAGATCCTGAAGCTGAGACTCCAATACTTTGGCCACCACATGAGCAGAGAAGACTCCCTGGAAAAGACCCTGAAGTTGGGAAAGATGAAAGGCACAAGGAGAAGGGGACAACAGAGGATGAGATGGTTGGATAGTGTTCTTGAAGCTACCAGCATGAGTTTGACCAAACTGCAGGAGGCAGTAGAAGACAGGAGTGCCTGGTGTGCTCTGGTCCATGGGGTCACGAAGAGTCGGACACGACTAAACAACTAAACAACAACAAAGTATGTCTGGTGGGGGACATGTGCTTCTGGGGTAGTTTGTCCACCTTTGGTCCCCATCCTGCACTCAGCTCTCACCTGTGGCTTCTAGAAGCTGTCAGAATGCAACCCCAGAAAACTGCTTCAACTGGCCAGCTAAACCAGGAGAGGGTAGCTGATGGGACTCAAACCCTTGGTGCGTTAGGGACTTCCTCTACATGCAAAGTCAGGCTCTGGATGATTGAGTGGATAAGACCAATAGTGGGTCCAATGGTCAAGAAGGAGGTTTCTGCATGTGCTGTAGAGGGAAGTGAGGGGCAGATGGGGCTTGTCAACCTGGGAACGTAGCCCATCTTGGAGAAGGAAAACTCATCCTAAACCTCCACTGCCTTGTGGGATTTCTTCACGAGAAGAAAAAGCTAAGGTGTAAACCCTACACAAATCCAGAGTGGGGTCCTTAAGGTGTCTTGTACACTTTCTTCTGGCAACTCCTGTAGCCAAGCTGGTGCCAAACGTATTGCTCTGCTTTCCTTTGGACCACATCAGTGAGGCCAAGAGAGAGGTCTGGTTGTCTGGGCAGCCCAGGACCTCCATACACAATGCCCAGGCTTGCGCCCCGGAGAGGCGCACTCCATTGTCTCTCAAGACAATCTGATGCCAACAACAAAATGTAAGTTGTTTACCTGAGACAGGCCAGATTGTTTAATCAGCCAAATGTTTGTTTCATATATTTGTGAAATTTAAAGCTAAGACAAGCCTCTGAAATTGACAAGAGTCTCAAGAAAATGACAAAAGTGCCCCTTCCACTCTTTGAGCTCCTCTCCGCTTCAGCAGGGCTCATGCCAGAGAATAACCTCCTTCCCAGTAGATTTCATGCCTTTTCTACTCGGCACGTGGCTGGAAAAAGTAGCGCCGTCTTTTCATTCTCATGAGATTGTTCTCCAAAAGTCTGTTTCCTGTAAACACTGAGTCATATCTGGTTGCTATTGTGAACGGTGATACTTTTTGCTTTTCTAGACCATCGTGTTAATATTGTACTAACTTTGCAGCACAAGGTCGGAGAGAATACAACAGCTGGGCTCCCATCCTGCACATTTGCAAATTTGCCAGTACAAGGGAAGTGAAGTGATGCTCTGCGCAGTCATTTGGCACCAGCTTGGCAGCAGGAGTCGCCGGAAGGAGGCGTACAAGGTGCCATCCAAGGGACGCCACTCCAGATTTGTATAGGGCAGAGGTCAGCAAACCTTTTCAGCAGGGGGCTGGTCCACTGTCCCTCAGACCTTGTGGGGGGCTGGACTATATTTTGGGGAAAAAATGAATGAATTCATATGCCCCACAAATAACTCAGAATGCATTTTAAATAAAAGCACACATTCTACTCATGTAAAAACACCAGGCAGGCCCCACAAATAACCCAGAGATGCATTTTAAATAAAAGGACACATTCTACTCATGTAAAAACACTCTGATTCCTGGACCGTCCGCGGGCTGGATTTAGAAGGCAATAGGGCTGGATCTGGCCCCCGGGCCTTAGTTTGCCTACCCATGGTATAGGGTTTACTCCTTAGCCTTTTCTTCTCCAGAAGATGTCTCACAAGGCAGTGGAGGTTTAGGATCACAGTTTTCCTTTTCCTAGATGAGCTACCACCTGCTCTTCACTTCCTTCTACAGCACATATGGAAACTGCCTTCTTTATGTAATCAGTACCAAATTAGGTGGGAACCTGCCAACCATTGGTTTGTTTTCTAATATGCATCCAATACATCCACCCCATAGTGGTGTAGTCCATTGGCTTTGCAGTGCCTTGTGAAACACACACTGAATGAGTAAATTATTCTGAAACTGCAATAAGCAAGCCCTTCTTAAACCAGATGTTAAGGGGAAAGTCTGGCTTATTTCTCTACCTTTGGGTGATACTCAGTCTGGCTGCAGCCAACAAATATATAACAGCTTTACAGACTAATTCTGCATTGTCTGATATTGATACAGTGGATTGTATAGTTGATACCATCCACTGTTGGTATCAACAGAAGATAAAACACAGAAGGAAGTAGTTGTTCAGAAGTCTGGGAACAAATTGCATTTACAGTATAATGGTACCTCTGGTTATGAACTTAATTCGTTCCAGAGGTCTCGTCTTAACCTGAAACCGGTCTTAACCTGAGGTACCACTTTAGCTAATGGGGCCTCCTACTGCTGCTGCGCCACCGCCGCATGATTTCTGTTCCCATCCTGAGGTAAAGTTCTTAACCCGTGGTACTACTTCCGGGTTAGCGGAGTCTGTAACCCAAAGTATTTGTAACCTGAGGTGTTTGTAGCCCTGAAGTTTTAATATATTAAGTGTTTTGTTCCTCAAATATTCTTGCCCTTTTCCAAAACAAAAATTTAAAAAAATATGTTGAACACTTTCACATTTAATTCTGTTACCAAGAAGATACCCCATCTCACATGTCGTTTACCAAAAGAAAAATTTGGTCTTGTTGCACATTAATGCTGCCTTCAGCTGGTTTCAATAAGGAAAAGACTCCAAAGCAGGGGGAGAAAGAGTGCTCACCATACTGTATTGTTGTTTTTTTAAGTCCTAAACAGCAAAGACAGAAAGCCCATCCTAAGATAACAATGTAATCCAGATGATTTTCAAAAGGAGGAAATTACTTTCACAGCAAGAGGAACCATTATTATTATTATTATTATTTTCGAAACCTGCGTTCTTGTAACAGGCAGCATCAGCCAGCTCTTACCCTTTGGGGCACGAGGCATCTGCATGAAGGAAAAGCTTTCAAGCAGATTTTCCAGCGGGGGTGAACATCTGCGAAGCCTCAGCCATGCAGAAAAATGAGGGCTGGAGCTCTCGCAGCCCCCGCAAGAACCAGCCACGGCGGGAGGGAGCCTGTGGGGAGGGGGGCAATGAACACGCAGGCACACTGTGGCCCCTCTCAGCTTCTTGAGGTCCCTTCTTCACACATGGTGGCCAGAGGAATTAGAAGAAATGTGAAAACACTTTTCTTTCCAAAGGGAAGGATAAGCGGGGAAAGGTTTTCCCATGAGTTCTTTGCACTATAGATTTTTTCCTCCCTCTCTCATAACACCAGAACTTGTTGACATCCAACGACGCTGAATGTTGGAAGATTCAGTACAGATCAGAGAAAGAAATTATCTGTGCAGCACATAAACTATGGAACTCACTGCCACAGGAGACAGTGATGGCTTTCAGCTTGGATGGCTTTAAAAGAGGATTAGCCAGATTCAAGGAGGAGAGGGCTATCGATAGCTGCTAGCCTTGATAGAGGTTATACTCTGCCACCACAGTTGGAGGCAGCAATGCTTCTGAATACAGTGGTACCTTGGGTTAAAGACACTTCAGGTTACACATGCTTCAGGTTACAGACTCCGCTAACCCAGAAATAGTACCTCGGTGTTATGTACTGAGTTGAATAGGATCCAAAAGGCAGCAATCTGATTGGTCCTAGAACAATAGGATTCAGAATGCAACAGTCTGATTGGTCCACAGGAGCCACCCAATCCAGCTCCAGGTGGAAGTGAATCCACAACCTGATTGGTCTACAGGTGAATACCGGAATTAGCCAATCAGTTGGGGCCCATTGTGTAAATAATGTATATAAAAGCAGACATTCTGGGGGAACTTCCATTCCTCCTCACCACTATGAGCTGAATAAAGAGCATGAAATCCACTCTCGACTCCAAGTATGTCAGAGCTGGCTCCAGGTCCCAGCTCACAGAGGACCAACGCTAGCCGGCAGTAATGTACAAAAGTCTTTATTGAAGTACAGTTTCCATTTTCAAGCCGGAGCGCCCCAGCTCTACGTCTAGGGGTTAGATCGGCGAAGCTCCATCTGAGTCTCCGCCCCCTGTACACCAGTTTAAGATTCTAGCCTTACTCCACCTCTTACGTCTCTCCTTTCTCCTCTGGGTCCTGCTACCCCCCGGGGTCCCTTCCTTCCTGGATTCTTCTGACGCTGACCCTCCTGACTCCTCCCCCTCTTTCGGCGGGCTTTGGGACCTGGCTCCCTATCCGGGCTGCCAACTGCGCCGCCCTCCTGTACATTTGAACTTGGCGCGCGCCCAGCCTTCAACCTTCCTCTCAACCGTTTCCTCGCTCCCCGATGGAGGCGTGGCCAATCCTGACTCATGTCCTCCCACTGGCAGTGCGCCGCCTGATCCCGATGCCTGGGACTCCTCCCCTACTGCACTCTGGTGTGGACGCTGGTCCTGATTTCCAACTGCTGCTCTCTGAGTCCCCTCTGGCCCCTTCTTCCTGGGGTGTCCCCCTCGGCACCCCCTTGCTCTGACCAAGGGAGCCCCTTTCTGTGAATCTTCCGATTCGCTGGAAAGACTCAGAGACCTCGGACCGCTGTCATCGCTAACATTTCCTTCGGACTCCTCCCCCTCGCTCTCTATTTCCTCCCTTTCCTGTGCCTCTGCTCCTGAACCCCTGACAAAGTATATTTCACTCGGGTTAAGAACTTTGCTTTAGGATGAGAACAGAAATCATGCTCCGGTGGCACGGCAGCAGCAGGAGACCCCATTAGCCAAAGCGGTGCTTCAGGTTAAGAACACTTTCAGGTTAAGAACGGACCTCCGGAAAGAATTAAATTCTTAACCCGAGGTACCACTGTACCAGCTTCTGGAAACAGAGAGAGTGCTTCTGTGCTCTAATCTAGCTTGACGGTTTCCCATATGTATCTGGTTGGCTTCTGTGAGAATAGGATGTGGAAGCAGATGGGTCATTGGCCATATCTCTTCTTATATCAAAGAGTTTTTCACCCCCCTCGCTGTATATTTCTCTTTCAAGTCCTATTTGATTGTTGTACATCGCTTGGACACCTTAGGTCAGCTTCCTCTAATCTGGTACCCTCCTGATGTTTTAGGCGACCACCCCTCAGTCCGCAGAGCAAAAGTCAACATGCTCCAACATCTCATTTTCACAGCCTTCAGAGGGCGGTCTGTTTCGTGCCTCCGAGGGTTGCTCATTACAAAGGAAGAGTCATAGTTCCAAATCCTTGGAAATCCCAACAGATGTTTGAATTGTCCCAAACATTTATGAGAGTGTAACTGAGTACCACCCCCCTGCTTCTCATCCTTTCTGAGCAGCAGATCTGTTTCCCAAGCCCCAGAGAGAATCATGTGTCAACCACAGATGGGAACTTTGTCTGCGGTGTGCTCCATTCACCGAACACACATCCTCTACTATGAGAGAGGAAAGGAAACGCTCAGCTTTCCAAATAATACAGAGCCATGGGAAAAGATTCCAGGTGTAAATTAGTGGAGAGGGATTCTGTTTAACAAGCTTTGTTTAGGTGGAGCAGAGATGGATGGGGAAGGAGGTAGCTAGGCAACAGGCTGAAACCACAGATTCCATAACAGAAATACACTTGAGGCAAGTTTCTAGGATCAGGCTTTTTTTTTAAGGACTGGAGGTGTGAAGAGATACAATTCTAGGGGTTATCAACACACTGAAAATTAGTAATTCACAAGGTTTCATTGGCATCCAACCAAGAGCTCGTAAGACAAAACACACACTTCTGAAATTGGCAAGCTTCTAACAGGAATATGCAGCTCCCCCCCCCCCAAAAAAAATTGTCCTCCAATACGAAGGATTGGAAAGGAGCAAACACTGGTTTAAAAAATAAATAAGTAAAGAGGGATAATGGTGGTGAGATCCAGGAAATTGTCAGGTCATTTAGCTTAATGCCTATTCCAGTAAAATTGATTTTAAAAGTGTGATTAAACATTGAGTCTCCAGCCTTTTTTGGGCTGGGGGGGTGCATCTGAAAATTGAAGAAACTGTCATAGGTACTGCAATAAATAAATAAATCCCAATTATATGAAAATGATTCACAGATGATATCTAACTCTGAGTAGGTTGGCTAAGATGTATAAAGCAGAATCAGATATGTGCTGGAAATGTAAAAAAAATATGGAGGGAACTTTTTTTCGTATGTGGTGGACATGTAAAATGGTAAAAGAATATTGGGGAATGATTTCTAACGGGTTGAAAAAAATGTTTAAAATAACCTTCCCAAAAAGACCGGAATCCTTCTTATTGGGAGTAATTCAGACAGAAATCCCTAGGTGTCAGAAAGGTTTCTTTATGTATGCAACAACAGCGGCTCGAGTTCTGTTAGCCCCAAAATGAAAAGTGAGTGAGGTCCCTGGTAAAGAGGACTGGCTACTTAAGATGTTAGAATATGCAGAACTTGCAGGTTAAACATACAGAATAAGAGAGCAAGAAGAACATATACTTAAAGAAGAGTGAAAAATATTTATTGACTTTATGGAAAATAACTGTACACAGCATTAAGATAAAATCAGCAGTGTAATCGATTTGTGATGATAAAGTGGAGAACTGACCTAAATAGTTATAGTAAAATATGTAAAATGAACCATGGAAGGAGAAGGAGGAAAGTCACTGGATATTCAAAAGTATGTAAAATGTTTATTTTGAAATGTAAACATTGAAAATGTAATTTTTTTTTTACAAAAAATCACATAAGGAAAACTGGTAGTTCATCATCTCACCCCAATCTACAGGTAAAACACACCTTCCAATCAGCTATGACAGACAAAAAAGCATCCCCCCCAAAGGAGACACCCTCCAACCGAAGACCATCATATAACTGGATACTTGCATACTTTGGACCCAACTCACATTCAGCTCATGAAGCTGCTAGGATGTCATTGGTGGCACAATAAATGTGTGCAGGATGGGTGGGTTGCTAATTATTTTAATTGCACATGCAGTTAACTGAAACTTCAGTGGCAACTCCTTGCCTTCATGTTACTAGCTGGAGAACATTCCAAGTTACCTCTGGATTTCGGGGATGAGATGAAATGCAGCCCCCAGATACCCAAACAGGGATAGTTGCCATCTCTGACAATGCCCAGGGTGGTATAGGCCGGGGTTAGTGGGAGAGACCTGGATTCAAATCCCATCCCCACTCAGTCAATGAAGCTCACAGGGTGACCATGGGCCAGTCACTGCCTCTCAGCTTAACCTACCTCACAGAGCTGTTGTGAAGATAAAATGGGGAGGTGGGGAGAACGAGGTACACCTCTTTCCAAGAAAGGCAGGAGATGAAAGTGTAAATGATAGCGGGAAAAGCCAAAGCAATTCACAGCTGAACTATTGTGCCTGAGTGTGAGGAGGTCAGCTGTATTACTAACAAGGTGGAGGCTTGGGGTTTGGAAGTGGCCCCCCAGACCTTTGTATCTGGCCCTTGGGACCCTCCTCAGGCCATGGCACTCGCCAGCCCTGCTCTACGGCCTTCTGGAGTGCTTCTGTTTGGCTGGAAAGTGTCCTTGAACTACGATCCTGCCTCTTGCTTGCCTGGATGGAGGAGAGAGGAGTGGGTGGAGAAACCTCTGGCTTCTTTCTGCGAGGCTGGAAAGCTGTCTGCTGTACAAAGGCAAGTGTCGCATCCATTGCCCAGTTTTGTGTCTGGCCCCGGCAGATGGTAAGCCGCAAGCAAATGTGTCTCTGGGGCTGAGAAAGGCTCCCCAGCCCCCCTCTATAGACACACAGAGAAGCACGAGGCTGGAATCGCTCACAGGAAGTGTTAATTAGTACAGGAGTGTCATCTACTGGCTTTACGAGGAACAGCACCAGAACAACAGCAAAGACAGTTTTTACAGTATGGGGATTTCTCCTTCCAACAGGTACTGGTCACAAAAATCTTGCCTTGGTACAGCAAGGCTTCTGTGGTTGACAGCTGCAGCGCCAACTTGGCTGAGAGATGGGAGGAAGACACAGTCTGAGGCTCCCCCACCCCACCTGACTATAAGAGCCTGGGTAAAAGATAAAAGACCCCTGGATGGTTAAGTCCAGTCAAAGGCGACTATGGGGTGCAGTGTTCATCTCGCTTTTAGGCCAAGGGACACCTTTCTGGGTCATGTGCCCAGCATGACTAAACCACTTCTGGCATAACAGGACACTGTCAAGAACAGAAGGCACGAAGCAGAATTCAGAGAGCATTACAGTACTACATTCTAGTAAAAAGATTGTCCTTTATTGCACCACTATGACTATCTTCCTTTCGTTCCAAGATGAAAAGCAGCTATTATTGTTGTTTAGTCGTGTCCGACCCTTCGTGACCCCATGGACCAGAGCACGCCAGACACTTCTGTCTTCCACTGCCTCCTGCAGTTTGGTCAAACTCATGCTGGTAGCTTTGAGAACACTGTCCAATCATCTCGTCCTCTGTTGTCCCCTTCTCCTTGTGCCCTCAATCTTTCCCAGCATCAGGATCTTTTCCAGGGAGTCTTCTCTAACTCAGAGAAGCTATGAGCTATGCCGTGCAGGGCTACCCAAGATGGACAGGTCATAGTGGAGAGTTTTGACCAAATGTGATCCACCTGGAGCAGGAACTGGCAAGTCACTCCAGTATCCCTGCCAAGAAAACTCGATGGACAAAGACAACAGGCATATAAAAAAGCAACTATTACTTACAGCTTAAAGTTGAAGGAAATATTTAACTCTTATTCCTTAGAACAGCTCTAGGGAAATGAAGGTTCTTTTTAACTGGTTAAATTCTAGCAAAATTGAATATTGAAAAGAGCTTTACTTCAGAAAATTTCTACAAAAACTTTCCAAAAGTTCTCAGTGTGCATCAGAATTCCTCATTAAGAGTTATCTTGGTCCTTTCCCCATCACGCCTTTAATTAATGCCTCTTTTTCATGTTTCAAATGGCATTTAATTTTTTACATTAATTCTTATTTTGCATGACTTCATGAGCCACTTTTATGTGCACTTGTTGATGCTGCTGTAATAAATAAAAAGACAAGTTTGTTATTGATACAGGAAGAAAAGCAATTTACCAGCCAAGAAATTTCACATTGCAAGGTGTTGTTAGAAAATTCTGAATGAACCACTTTCTTTTTGCAAGTTGGCAACAACCTGAACTTGATCAAACTTAATTAAACAGAACAAACTCATTGGCAATCCAACCCTAGACAGTAAAGTACCACTGAAGCCTGCAGAACTTACTTCTGAGTTTATGTAAGTTCTACAGGCTACCGTGGTACTTTGCTGTCTAGTAAATATCTACAAGGTTGCAGCCACCACATTATTTTTACCTGTCTTCAGAAATGCCTAGTTAAATATATCTTTTTTAATCTACTTTGGTTTACACCATTAAAAAAACTTATAGGGAAGTTTTCATATTGAAGACAACTTCTGTTTCTAAAACTCTGTACTTTATTTATCTCTCACACTGACAGCTAATCAAACACATTCCATCATAACAATGTGTAAAATTCAATCTTCAAAATCAGTTGTTGTTTTTTTAAAAAATTACAATGTATATTCATGAGGTGTCAACAGAATGGTTTCATAATAATTTTTTTTAATTATGAACTTCTCACAATCCTTCAAAATTAATCTAAGACTATACATGGCTCACTCTCCTTTGTAAATTAAATGGATATTTTTTTATAAAATAATTTATTAAAAATATACAGGAGGTACAAAGAACTGTCCAGTATCAAATTCAAGGCCTCCATTCCCCACCCAAAAAAGACATGAACACCAAAGTGCCAGAAAGATTCCAAGTCAACAGGAGCTGCTGTCAAGGTTGCTAGTCTGGATCCAGAACACACTGCTCCACAATCTCCCGCAAGTGAGGATTCTCCATTGCAGCGGCGACTCTCTCTTTGTCATTTATCTGCTTGTTAACTGTAGCACGACGAAAAACAAACAAGAAGTCTTTGGTTAATGACCAACAGAAATGCACTAGAATATCGCAAAACACACACACACACACACACACACACACGGTGTGTGCGCACACGAAGATGCAAGTCCTACAGAGACACACACAGATTTGTCAAGGATCAGAGCTCAGTGAATGCCTCCCACAATCTGCTGTCCAATGCCTGCAACGTTTAGATCTTATTAAGAACATTAGAAGTGGCCAACCAGATGCCTGTTGTGGGAAACCTGCAAGCAGGATCTGAGTATCTCTCCACTCCTGTGGTTTCCAACAACTGATATTCAGAAGCAGTGCTGCCTCTGACCCATAAAGGCAGCTCTCCTCTGTAAATTTATCTAATTCTTTTTTAGAGCCATCTAGTTTGGTGTCTCCTGTGGGAACGGTACATTTGATTTTTTTTAATTGCTTCTGCTTGTAGGGAATTTATGTTGGCCAGTTTCAACAATATTGTTTTTAACTTTGTTTTTTAATTTTATGTATTTCCACCCTAGAACCTTTGGGCATATGATAAATAAATAGAGAAGTCATGCAATGCTAAGATTGCAAGAGATATTGCAAACAAGTATGAAAGCAGAAGCTAATGTGTTCCAGCGTGGTTAGCTCATATGCATCACTTCCTATGGTGCTGGGTGCCAGGCCCTCCCAGCCTGACTGCCACACAAGAGGATTTAAGACATGCTCAACAGGAAAATTCAACACACACACACTTGGTGATGTATATCAAGTGGCTGCTTTATTCCCCAACGCAAGCTGAAGACATACTTACTGTCCTCCTCCGTGGAATGCGCTCCCTCTGAAATGTAGATTTCCAACTACATGAGAGAGAAAATGACTGCTTAATATGTTTTTATAGCACAGGTATGCATCTGCACAGAATATACAACACTGTTTCGATGGCTTGCTATACAGTGGACCCTCTGGATACGAATGTAATTTGTTCCAGGGGTCCATCTGTACCCCGAAAAATCTGCAAGTAGAGCTGCCGCTTCTGCAAATGCATGCAGCGTGATATACTGTTTCTGCGCATGCGCAAGGCGCGCAGAACACCTCTGCGCATGCGCGCGTGGTGAAACCCGGAAGAATATGCTTCCAGGTTTGCTGCATTCGCAACCTGAAAGTTATGTTACCCAAAAGTAACGTAACCCGAGGATCCACTGTAATGGGCAAGTCTCACTTGTGTTTGCAATATGAAAGGTCTCTCTTTTTCTCTGCAACGCAATCTCCACATCCACTCAGGGGTTTGTTATATGGTAAGGAAGCATGGCCTCTTACAATCTGGCAGTTCTCACACGCCTGCCAAAGCTGTGTACATGATACAGTCTCCTGAGAATCTTATGGTACCTTAAAGACTGTGATTAGCGGTGATTCCTGCCCTGCAAGGGGTTGGACTAGATGACCCTTTGGGTACCTTACAACTCTAAAATTATATGATTCTTGTACAAATTTATTATGACTTAAACTTTGGTAGACTACAAACCACTTCACCAGATGCATGAAGTGTACCTGATGAAGTAGACTGCAGTGAGTGAAAGCTTATGCAACAATAAATGTGTTAGTCACAAAAATCTGTGTTGTTCTTCCTGCAAGAGACTAGCATGGTTGCAATCCCTCTGGAAATCCTGCCAACAGAAGAACTCTGGGTTCTTCATTTCATAGTCCTCTTCTAAGACCACATTTTGCGTGAGCGACAGATAACACCACCACTTGAAATTCCCCATACAAGCAAACATGCAAAACATTTGGGGGGGGAGTTGGAAGTGGAATGTGTGGCCAGATAAAGCCCTCTAAACATGCATTTCTGGAGAGTCAGCTGCAGTATATTTTTAGAAATACAAACAAAATTGTACAAATTGCGTACCTTGTGTTTAAAAGGCAAACATCTCTGCAGCTTGATCCTCAAACACAGTCCTGCATTTTAAAGAAAAAAGATGTCATTTTTCTTTTCAAGCACTACCCTTCCATTATCTTTCTACCAAAAGAGTTGGTGGCATGTGGTCATGCAGCAAAACGTATTGCTCAACCATCTGTACTGTAATTCAGTTTTATAAACATGTGAGGGAGAGCTGGCCTTGGTTCTCAGTGTATCTTGCTCTAAAGATAGGAAGTGTTGCCTCATCTAAACTGTGAAAAAGGCTGGGAAATGAAGTGAGCAGCATCTATTCTGCTTTCAAGCACAGAACTGCTTTACAATTTGGTAATAAGCTGTGAAAGACTGAAGAGTTTCGCACCACACACTGCCAGGGCATGAGCTCTGATTGGGATCAGGACAATAATGTGTTGAGCTTTACACAGGGATGCAGTTTTAAGGTTAAATTGGTTCCAAAGAAGCCTATCCCAAAAAGAAACATTTTTCAGCATGAAAGGTCCTTCAACCCATTCATATTTAATAATTCACAATGCTGCTGCAGAGTTTCAATGCACAAATCCAGAAATGCTTCCAGAAGAACTGAGTGTCCCTTTATTTGGCTTTCCAACATCTTTGTTTACTTAACGTCATGAAACCGGCAACTTCACAAATTGCTCAAAGAACCCCCTTCCCCCAGATCTTACCTATGAGAGTGGCCAAAGAGCAATGAGGTACCGTTGGTGTAAACCTGATTGTGACCAAATATTCATCTTCCCCAATTTCGTGCACTTCAACACAGCTTTCTGTTACCACGTCTAGTTCTTCTAAAGTGTTTGGCTTCTCTGGGTCCCGGATAGTTCGAATTATATCTAAGCAGAAACAAACAGATCACAAGTGTCTAATTATGGGGGAAAGGTTGAGTGGTCAAACTCTAGGCCTGGAGTCAGCTGAAAATCCACTTGCTTATGACATAAAAGGGAGTTTGATGCCAGCCTTGCCAGGACTCTTCACAATCCGGTCCCTCTCGGCCTTTAGGAGGAACAAAGGTTGCAAGCGACATTTCAAATGACAAATGATAAAAACAACAAATGAAATGTGTTTTGAGGCTCATTGCTTCATGACCAGGGAGCCTGCAAAGCATGTGTGGAGTGTATTTGGATATTTTTTTGTCTCTTCTGGTTTGGAAATAATCTTGCCACTCATGCATCTTGTGACTCATGCATTGTTATCCTCAAGAAAGGAACTATTGCAATAAACCTGGGCAAGGGATTACCTGAGTGGGGGGAGATAACAGGCAATGGGGCTGGAAATGTAAATGACTATCAGACTTTGAAAAGCTGGTATCACTGGATCAAGTTCAACAGCTTTGTTGAATTCATTAAACTAAAACTATTTTAAAATTAATTAAACTAAATTAATTGTTTATTGTTAACTAATTTGAACTAAAATTGGATTTTGAATATATGTGAAATTGTTACAATTTGGAATTTGATTGTTATTATCTTCCTTCATGGGTCATGCAAACCACCATTATGAATCATGCTATTTATTGGGAAGGCTAAGGGCAGTGGGAATGAGTTTATGGAACCAAGAGCGCAGTGGCCCCCCCAAAAGTTTAGGATCCACTGCAATAAACTCTATGTGGGGCTACCCTTAAGAGTGACCTTGAAGTTAAAGCCAACACAAAATGTATTAGCTGGCATACTGTTGTCACGCATGTTACAGTGTGCTTAAAAGAGCCTCATGCTAGCTGCCATTAAATTACTGGATCAGGGTTAAGTTCCAACTTATAATACCCTAAACAAGTACCTGAAGGATTGCTTTCTTCCCTATCTCCCTGTCTGGAAGACAGGACTGTCTGGTGAGGCCCTCCTGGCTGTGCCCACAGATCCCATGGGTCCTAAGCAAGGGGAAGAAGGCCTTTTGGGTAGCAGCCCCCTCTCTCTGGAATCCACTCCCTTCAGGGACATACAGGCAAGTGCCAACTCCAGAATCAATTGGGCCTCTGCTAAAAACGCATTTATTTCCCCTGGCTAGTCATTAGTGACAGCGGGCTGTAGAAGTAAGTTCTCGTAAAAATTAGAAATTAAAATTTGTACATTTTAAAGTGCGCACTCTGACACACTTGGCTGCTGGTTTAGTTTGTGCTGCAGTCTCAATGCATTTTTAGCACCTTGTAGTTTCAGACGAGAGGAGGTGCGTAAGTTTAAACTGTTCTCGGTTTATTGTTGATTTTATGTGTTGAATGATTTACAGAGCTGCTTTGGGGTTTTTTGTTTTTAATTTTTATCTTACTGCTTTCTTCTCTTCGTACACTCCTTCAAGGTTTCGGGTTTTCTTTTTAAACACCCCCTCCTCCAACTGCGAGGCAAGCCGGGTCCTGGGACGCGAAAGACCTCCCGCCCCGTGAAGCCTGGATAGGGACGGGGCTGGGGAGCCACTGACCGTAGACCTCCAGGGCCCGCTCCTGCTCCTGCTCCATGGCAGCGTCGGCGGCGGTTCTGCTCGGGGCCTCGGGCCGGTGGTGGGCCTGGTGGTCGTCCTCCTTCTCCCGGGCCTCATGCCCCCCGCTAGAGAGCGCCCGCCAGAGCAGCCCCAGCGACAGCATCCCGCCCCGAGCCAAGCCCGCTCGCAGCCTCCATCAACCGGCCCGCCCGCAGTCCCTCAGGCGGCCCTCGCGGGCACTTCCGGTCTCGGGGTGGGCGGGGCGCTCCACAGGCAAAGCGACGCTATACTGTACTCACAAACGCGCACTCTTCTCAACCGAGACTACATTTCCCGCCGTCCAACGCGCTCGCTCGCCCGGCTTTCCGCGCGCGAGGACTACATTTCCCGACTCGCAACGCTCTCACTCGCCGCCCGTAGTGCGGCAGCTTGTCCCCGCGAGGCATTCTGGGAAGGTTAGTCGGAAGGAAGAGCGTCGGCCTCCGCCCTCCCGGCTTTCGTTCTCTTGTTGTGGCTCTGCCCCAAGATGGCGGCGGCCGCGGTTGGTTTCTGAGGAGACCCACGGACCCGGCGGTCGCGGTTCTCTCAGGGGAAAGAGGAGAATGGCGGCGTCGGAGGCTGGGTCGCTTCGCGTTCTCCTGCAGCCATTCCGCAGCCCCAGCCAGGGCATCACCCGGGCCAAGCTCAGCGGCGGCCGAGACGCGCTGGCGACCGTGACGGGGGCGGAGCTGCGCCTGACGGGGCTGGTGTCAGCCCGGCTCGACGGCGGGCAGGACGGGCCCAGCGGGGACGGCAGTATCGCCCTGCCCGGCGCCTGGGAAGAGTAAGTGGGGGTGCAGCAAGAGCCGGGCCTGCGGGGGCCCAAGTCCAGCGTCGACCCCCCCCCCCTAGAGAGAAGCAGGTGACGGACTCGACCCCCGCCTCCCCCCGGCGACAGCTCCCCCCACCTCATTTAAAAGCGTTTCGTAGTCGGGAACCAGGCACCCACCCACATGGTGATCTCAGAGGCTAACTTACTCTTGCTTTTGAAGCACAACAATCCTCCGCAGCAAAAGGGTGTTTGTCCCCACGTAAATGTCGGGGCAGCAGAAGCAAACGGTGTTTGTTTGGGGTTTTTTTTTGCATAAAATTTAAGCACCTCTTGATTGTTTAAAAAAAAAAAAAAGGCCTCAAAGCGGTTTACAAAAAAAGAAAGATAAAACAGTGGAATTATTAAGAAAATTTAACCATGATTTTAAGTTTCCAAAAAGTTAAAATAACAGTTTAGGCTTGCATCAAGTTTCTAAGCATCGGAGTAGGCTTGACTAGACAATGTTTTTAGCAGGCACTGAAATGTTTATGTGTTATAAACAAAAATAAAACAATAAACTTACAAAAAGAGTACAGTACAGTGAAGGTGCTTGTCACACTAAAAGTTTGAGTTCTTAAAAAGGCAGAAAGTGTTATTATGTGGCACCTGTAACAGTACCAATTCCGCTGATTGCTTCAGCACATATGGGTTTGTTGCTGCATTCATGATGGTGCATTGTTAAAAAATGCATATGACTTCAGTATTATCACCATTAGGTCTCGCCAACCTTTTTTGGGCCTTTATCACCTTTGCAAATCGGAGGAATTGTCATGTGTACCCCCCACCCCCGCATTGCAACTAAGGACACACCACACAAACTATCCTGTTGTTTCTTTAAAACCTCATTTTAGGAGACACATAACCAAAAGCCTCTGTTGGCAACCCTTGAATGTGGAAGTAGTTGTAAAGCATGGATTGTGGGTGAGGGAGAGAAGAGAAGTGTCAGTTTTGGCCTTCATTATGGCAATAATGCCCATAGTTGTCTAAAGAGGGGGGCGGGGCTGTCAGACCATTAAGTCCAAAATGATCTAGCAACACCACTGAGGATGGTTTATCCAATCCCCCCCCCCCCCAAATTACTGCCCAGTTTCACTTGAATCAACCACTTCTCTGGCTCAGCATCCCATTTTGCAACAGCCCCACCTGCTGTGAGGCTTTGAGCCTGCATGTAAAATGAGCTGTCAGAATCTACAGTTCCCCAGTTCACCTTCTGGTCCCTCCCTACCTCTGTTGTTATGAAATTGAGTTGCTTGGAATTTTTCTTTGGATAAATAGGAAGTATTACTACTCTTGTTAGAGAAATAGACAAAATTGTAAACCCAAGTAGATTATTATTGGTTTCACTCCCTAGAGTTTTTGTTTCATTGATTGTATGTTGGTTGTCCTTTTCAACTGCTGTGTTCTTCTAAGCTTTGTGATCATTTTTTGTGCAAGTGGACAGTAATGTAATTCAGTTAAGTAATCTGTCTCTAAAAGGCACAGCATGCTTAAAATTTCAAAGAAGAACAATTGGAGGTATGGCTTATGTATTGAGTATTGCTTTCCTAGCTTCATGTGGGAGAGTGTGGAAGATGAGGACCTTCCAGTGGACAGTCTTAAACTACTTGCTGTCAGTAAGACCCATGAACTTCTCGTATATGAAATTAATCTAGAGGTTGGAAAATGTGATGCAACACTCTTGCAGAGCTGCAGTGAAGATACGCAGAAGCAACTCATCAAATTTAAAAATATTAGTGAGTATAACATTCATTCAAGATGTAAGATACTAGTTTATTAATTTGTTTATTGATTTGGAGGCCATTCTGTAGCAGTGTCTAGAAAACAAAATATGTTATATGGTATCTATTGCAGACATTAGCCCATGAGTTGTAACTTGCTGTAGACAGGTAATGCTTATAAACGTTGATGGGGCTATTTCAAACATTGAATGCAGACGGCCTGACTTTTGCCACTTGTGGGATGGGTGATCCATTTATCTTTATTAGGACTGTGTTGTATTGCTTGTTTATCTGACCTATTGTTACTGCATATGAAAATATCCCTTTTGACCTCGTCATGCAGGTTTATCTTCAATCTCCTCTTTGCGAGTGCTGTCATTTAAAAATGGCAAAGCTTTGATGCTGCTCAACAACTGTATTATTGCACAACTTGCTTTTCTTGGAGGAGAACTGAAAGCAGAAAAGTTGGAGGAATGCTTTCTTCTTGATCTGTCATCAGAAGCTCTGGAAAGGATAGTAGATGTTGCCTTTTGCAGAGGTGTTCTTTTCTTGTTAGAGGAATCTGGATGGATATGTATCCTTTTAAACTGAGTTTTAAAATCCTGTCCTTCCTGCAGCACAGAGTGGTTTGCAAAACAAATGTATAATATAAGCAGTAAAATAAAACACTAGCAGATAGTTGTCTGTGTTGCTCAGTAATGCTTAAGAAGCAGACAAATACTGAGATATATAAATGGATATTTTTGTTGTTGTATGTCTCTTAATAAATAAAGTGCTAGCCTTGAGTAATACAAAAGGTAAGATGCAGAAATAGTCCAGGATCAAAACAAGGTCAAAACCCATTAGGTCACAAGGCAAGTCAGGATGCTAATGCAAGGATTTTGTTCAAGCACTCTGGAGAGGAGAGGAGAGGAGAGGAGGCTGAGGGAACACTCCACAAGGGAAGGTGTTTGAAAAGGGGTGAGAGGCTGCTAGGTTTGTCGGCAAGGGGTGACATAACTGGACTCCTGAGCCCCCATGGGTGCCGCAGAAAATGTAGTTAGTCAAGGGAGCCATGGACTCAAAAAGGTTGAAAACCTCTGGCCTGAGAAGTTTGGTCTTCTCATGAGGAGGAGCTTCTTCACAAGTAACACTTTATTTTCAAGGAGTCCTTGTTCTTTGGGTGGGTGCACCTGTACCTTTATCCGCCAGCATGTCACCAGACTTGATGCTAACTAAGCCTCTGCCTCTGATTCTTTGCAGGGGCCCTCTCTGTCTTGCAGAGAAGATTGGGATGCTCTGATACCTGAAGGTCCCAGATCCCCCTGCTCTGTCTCACTGTGCATTGACACAGCCTGTTTCTCTTTCATTCTTGTTTTGTGGAGCACCAAATCTTTCTGTGAAGAGGATTGTTCTAGCCATGTGCCTGACAGTTGCAATATCTAAAGAGGTGTCCAAATGCATGCAGTTTGGAATGGTTCAGTCTACTATTTTGATTTGAAACAGTGCCCAGTGGTCTTGCACATTAGGTCTAAGTAAGCATGCATAGGATTGCCATGTCAGGATGGTGGGTTTTCCTTTGCATGTGTGCCTGTTCATGTGACTCAGAAAGTGTCTTTCTTTGACATTGTTGCAAAGATATTTTTGATGCTACGGATGGTGCCTACCTTGCCCATGTTGATGTCTCCCTCTATCAAACAGAGGGGCAAGATGAGAAGCGTCTGGACATCCTGTCTTCTCTTACACTGTTAAATATATCTCATGATCTCAGTGTTGCTGTGGTTGCCAACAGCTCCAGTTGTGTCGTGGCTATTGACCTCCATTTATACTTCAAGTAGGTTGGCCACAATATGCTATAAAGTGGTATTGGGCAGGCAGATTTTCACTTTTTAAATTCTTTGCCAGTTCTAGCTTTTCCTCTCTCTCTCTCTCTCGCTCTCTCTCTCTCCTGAAAAGTCTGATGGTCCTGCTCTCTTGAAACATTTAGGAAAATGGTTAAAACTTTTTATTGTGCTGGGCGTTTGTGGTCTTAATCTCACTTTCTCCCCCTTCTGCTTAAATTGCTTTCAATGACTTTTTAATGCTCACTGTTTTTTATTGTTATAATTTATTGCCAGTGAAAATTCTTTTTTTTTTTAGATTAACTGTTATAGGGAACTTTTTGAGGGTTGAAAGGTGGAGTTGAAATCATTTTATTTATAAATATACACTCCCCGCCCCCCCCCCCCCCGCAGAGAATATCCTGAGCATTTAATTTGCAAGAAAAACTTTGACAACCTTCCTGTAGAACAGTTGGAGGGGACAGATGAAGATGACCTCAGAAGTTCAGATTACAGCATGAAACTTATGCAGCATCCATTTCGGACCGACAGGTATGTCTACAGAACTTCTGCCTTGCATCATTAATCTATGTGGAAAAGAGGGATATGTTTGTTCAGTCCTACTTGCCACTTTAGCTCTCTGGTTCCTGCTGTTACTGCTGATACTGCTGGTAAAACAGCTTTAGAATGTTAGGATGAATTAGTATAAGCTTAGACATGTGGCATCATTTCCAAATAGATGCACAAGTATGTCTAAACACCGTCCTCCCCAGGACTAGTTTGCAGTTGTTTTGATGGCAAGAAACTATTTGTACTTATCCAATCTGTTTATCTGTATTACAAATCCTTTTTGTTCAAGCAATACAACTATAGATAATTCATAGATTCATTGTTAAAAATGTTGATGTGATTTTTCTCCTTTTTCCAGATCCTGGAAGGCACATTTGTCTTCATTGTTTGACATAACAAAAGGATCTAATTCTTCAAATTTGGCAGCCAACGTTTTCCTGCCTTGGTGTCAGTATCCTTTGCATCTAGAGCACTGTGACTGTAAGACTCGTGAAGCTTCTGAGGCCTCCTTTCTGCATGATGCTGCTCATGTCCTTTCAAACTCAAGAAGAAAAGATCCCCAAAACACAGGCAAAAGAGACAGACTATGGAAGAGCATAGACTTAGGAGGACTGGAAGATGGTGTGAAACTCGAGTGTAAATCTGTGACAGGTTTTAGTGCATTATTCACTCTCTCAAGTGAGAGTGAAGGACTGATTCTTCTTCTGTGGGATTTGGAGACCCAAGATGTGATGCGTTCTTGTGTGGGCAAAAATTCATTTTTTGTTGAGTGTAACAGAGAGGAGCAGTTATGTCCCATCCTTTCAGGTGAGCATCTTTTAGTTGCAAATAAAAACCAAAGCCTGCAGTCTAGAAACCAGAAGCATTTCTTTGTTTGTAAGTACTGACACCATTGAGGGTGATGCAAGAAGATTGCATTCAGTCTCATAAAGTACCATATAGACCATGTTTGATATGATAGGTGAATAAGTTCTTCTTTTATTTATTATAACCCTTAGAGCTCGGCCTCTCCTTGGTTCTGTTTGGCTTGACTCAAGAGGAATTCTTGAATAGACTGATCATCCATGGAAGTGCTGGCACTGTAGATTCTCTTTGCCAGCTCAATGGATGGGGAAGATGCTCTATTCCCATACATGCCTTGGAGGTAAAGAAACACTTGTGGCCCTTGAGGTTCTGTGCCTCCCACATCCCCCAGTGCTGGGAGTGGTGGGATCTTGCAACTGGCAGGGGATTCTTTTTTTCTTTTTCTTTTTGACAGCCTCAAATGTTTACTTTGAGCTTATCTAACCTGCAGCCTTTGCAGGCTACGTGGAAAGGGCACCACCCAAAGTAATATACAGAACTGCCATGTGGATAAATTGTGGAGCATGACAAAACTGACTGCTCTTGGTGACTCTGTCCTCCAGCCCTAGTTTTTTATTCTGCAGTATTTTCGGCATGAGGTGATCCTTCTTTTCCTGATTTATGCTGCACATCCTATCTAGGAAAGTCCTCCTCCCACAAAAAGACAAATGGAAGTTCTTACCTGCTGGGCATCTATTTTTCTGATAGATAGAAGGACATTCCACCCTCCTTCATGAAGCCTCACCTATGGGTCCATAGTGGAATAGTGCTTGGGGAAAACAGGCTCTCTTGGCTTGTTGCATGACTTTTTGGCTTATTTAATTGTATTCTTGCGTGGATGCTTTTTTTTTTTTAGTACTTTGTTCTTGCCTTGTTGTTTAACCATCCTGCAAATTGGTAGAAAGTAACTTTTCAATCCGCAAAAAGAATATCAGTCCCTTATTTAAGAACTTCTGTTTCTACTTGTTGCTGCATTTTTAACAGTGATTCTGTTGTTGCTGTTTAGGCTGGCTTAGAGAACCGTCAGTTGGACACAGTGGATTTCTTTTTAAAGAACAAAGAGAATATTTTCAGTCCCTCCGCAACTTGCTCCTTACAAGATCAGCCTGCAAGCACTTTGTCAGATTTTTACTTGAAGAGTAAGTAAAACAATGTAAATGCTGAAATGGACATTGCTTTGACACAGACCTTCGAAAAGCATAGTGTAGTCTTCACCTGCCTGATGCCTTCCAGATATTTTGGACTACGGTTCCCATCAGCCCCAGCCAACATGGCCATATGCTGCCGAGACTGATCGCGATCCAAAACATCTGGAAAGTTCCATGTTAGGAAAGGCTGGTGTAGTGAGGATGAAAGAAATTCACTGTGGTACAGCTCGTGTGAAATTAATGCTGCTCAAGCCACATAGAAAATAATCAGAGCTATATAAGGACATACTATATTCAGCGAAGCATTCTTGGGAGAGATGGAACATGCCCTGTGTATTCAGAAAGTGCAGTCGGCTAAATGGATGCCATATAAAAGATGGAGGCAAGCTGTGCTTTCTTTTCTGAGAATCCTTTTTTGAGTGGGGGGAGGACATTTTAAAGCGATCTTCTGGTCATTTCCTGCTTTAATTTTTCTCACACAGGCATGGAAGAGCTTACACCAGCCTTAGATTTGCTTTGCATGGCAATCCGAGAAAATGATTTGGAAGCACAGAGCAAGCATTTCTCTGAGCAGCTGCTGAACCTCACCCTGTCTTTCCTTAACAAACAGCTCCGTGAAATTTGTATCCACAGAGAAGGTAACGGTTGTGCTTGTGTTGCTTGAATTATCATCATGCTCTGCATTTCCCCAGTAACGAGCCATGAAACCTTTCTACTATTTGAGCTATTTTCATGTGCAAGCTGTGTGCTCCTGCATGTGACCTTTTTAAAAAAAAAAACCAACAACATCTCTCCAGTGGTGATATTTGATGAGAGAAGAGGAGGAGCGATTCAGGCCTCAGCTCAGTGAATAGTGTATACCGTATTTTTCGCCCCATAGGACGCATCGCCCCATAGGACGCACCTAGTTTTTTTTGGGGGGGGGGAAATAAAGAAAAAAAATTATTTCCCCCCCCCAGGCACGGGGGAAGCCTGAGCTTCCCCCGGCCCCAGCCCCCAGAACAGCCTGCTATCCGCAAGCCTAGGGAGCCGCGCCGGTCTCCCCAGGCTTGCGGAGAGCTGCGCGAAGCCCAGGCGCGCTCTCCAGCGCGCCCCAGGCTTCGGAATGCAGGCAGTTCTGCTCAACCTTTGGGAGCCCGGCGCGAAGCCACGCCAGGCTCCGGAGGGTTGCGCGGAGCTTCCTGAAGCCTGGAGAGCAAGAGGGGTCGGTGCGCACCGACCCCTCTCGCTCTCCAGGCTTCAGCAAAAGCTTGTATTCGCCCCATAGGGCGCACACACATTTCCCCTTCATTTTTGGAGGGGAAAAAGTGCGTCCTATAGGGCAAAAATACGGTAATTGTTTTCTTCCATTACCGTAATGTCCAAATCCTATACACACATAGTTGGAGGTGTGCCCTTTTGGACTCCGTGGGATGTGCTCGTAAATAAACACGCAGACAATCATAGTCGCTGTATGGGCTGTAAAGCTGTGATTCATAAAACGATTAAGTCAGTTTTCCAAGATTTAAGCTGACTTAACAACCTAGTCCTTTGGACTAGCTGGACCAGCACCTGTACTGGGTCAGGAGGGATCAGTACCTTATAGTCAGTTCATACTGTGGACTTTGGCACTTTTGCATTTTGTGTGTTTCTCTCTATACTATATTTGGACTCCTTTGTCATCATGTTGATGACTGAGTGGACCTTTGTGAGTGGGCAGGTGAGTGGCCCAGGCAAGCTTCCCTGTGTTCCTGTTGTCACTGTCACCACTGGTAATGAGGAGAGGAATGAAGGGGAGAATGTCTTTCTCCCCCTCTGCACCAGTGCAAGCGGAACAGGATGTGGTAGGATATGTCTTTGAATATGTTAATGTTCATTGGACTACCCTTAGTGTTGCAAGTCTCACAGGGAGATGTTTTCATTCGTTCCTTCCATTAAGTGTCTTCCTGTAATCTTCACAGAACTGGATGAAAATCTGGACAGATGTGTTGATATTTTAACCAGCTACATCAATAAACTTAGGATGTTTATGATAAAGTTCCCTCACAAGCCTTCCAGTGTCATCAGCTTCACGTGCGATCTTGAAGAAGACGTGCCCTGCATAGAACAAAGCCAGAAGTGGGAAAAGTTTAATACAGAGGTAATCGGAGCATCAGTTTCAAAAATGCATGAGCATATATTGTCCAAGACATTGTGTCTGTTTGCTAAACAATTTCATTATCCCAAGGAAAAATGAGTGACCTAAAGCCACGTTTATGGCAGAATCCAGCCATAGTTAAGCATTTGGAAGTCCTGTTGATTTCAGTGAGAGAGCTAGAGACTGTGTGCCAAACACTCCCATTGAAATGAAAGGCAGGTAGTATAATAAAAACATTAACTTGGTGTGAAGCAACTTTTGAAAAGTTGTGTGCTAAGGAAGAATTTGAAAGTACAACTTGATAGTATAGCAGTGGAAGACTGTGTCCAGTTCTGGCTGCCTCAAACAGAAAAGGATACCCTGGAACAGGAAAATATGTAGGAGGGCTACCAGAATGATCAAGTGATAGCATGGAAGGAAAGTAGCAAGAGAGACATTTCCCCCCTTCCTCATAATCATAGAATTGTTGAATTGAAAGGGACCCCAAGGGTCACCTAGTTCAACCCCCTGCAATGCAGGAATCTCAGCTAAAGCAGGCAACTTCCTGTGTTTTTAAGACTGGGTTGTGTGCCCTTAACAACTTCCACCCACTTCTCTGCCATTCCCCAACTTGCCTCTCCTGATCCTTCAGGAAAGAGGTTGAATGTCAGGCGTGGTGTTTTTCAAGAGCAGCTAGTTGCATTGCATGCCCTTCTTTGCTCTTTCAGCAAACGGTTGCTGAAGCCATATTAAACAACAAGCTCCCAGAGGCTCAGACCTTTTTCCGGATGGCAGGTAGCCCTGCCCAGAATCTTAAGGTGCTGACCCAGATAGGACTGGATCTGGTGTACAAAAGCCTTCTGAAGGATGATGTCAAAGAAGCCTCCAAACTCTTAAGAAACATGGTGAGTAATGCATGTTCAGAGCATGGCCTGATCTACAGTGCTTACTTCAGTGTATTTGCAGGTACACACAGCAAGGGATTGGCTTTGCTACTTCAGGTGCTAAAGAATGGCCATTGGGGATCCTTGGCGAGTTAACAATGGGAGTTGAACTCATTAAGGATTTTCTTTTTCCTGTCATATTCTGCTTAATTGGGGTGGGGACAGGGAGAGAAGTATCTAACCTAGGAGAAAAATAAGTGTGGGCATGATCCATTCAAGGGTAAGCACACACACACAAACGCACACTGACATTTATATATGTGTACGTGTATGCATTTGATTCTTAATTGGGTCGGTTACATAGGTCTGTTGTCACTTTCTGCAGTCATCTTTTTAAAAAGGGTAGTTCCTTTTATGTACATATATTTGGATAAGCACTTTAGGTCTTGTTTTATTTCCATTTTTATATTTGGTTTTAATATCTTTTCGTACCTCTGTTTTTATTATGTAAGTCGCTTTGAGACACTTTGCTGTAAAAAGCAAACAACAGTAATAGTAATAATTTGTCTGAGGAAGGGAGGCAGGAGTTTTTAAGCGTTGAGCATTTTAAGCCCATTTCACAATCTGTTGTTGAAATTTCTTCAGTCCTTTGCAAGTTGCAGCCAAGCCCTGAAATTATTTGTAGATACGCACAAAAGAAAGCCTGTGAGAGAAAATATGGCATTAATAATTTCTTGTGTAAACTCTTCTACCCTTCCCCTCCCTTGACAGGGCTTCAATGTGATGGAGCAGCTGCGCAAAATATGTTTCTACGTAACTGATCACCGTGTTCGTGATTTTTTGGTGAGTGCGGGGAAACCCTTTGCATGGGTTGTGGTCCTTTAATTTCATATGTTTCACCTGCATGTGCAGGGTACATTCCTGGGTGACTTCTGCTGCTACTGCCTGCCCCCACCTCACAAATTGTGTTAGTTTTCACCCAAGTCCCAGTGATGACTTCACTTTCATGTTGTCTCTTTGGCATTAGTAGCTGATGTGGAAATCCTGTTGCGGTGACATCAGTGCCATCAAGGATCCACACCACACTGTTTTGTTCTAGACCACTTCCAGTTCCTGCTCATATTTTTGATTTGACAACAAACCCTTTAAGGAGTTGCTTTTCCAGTGCCTTTGATGTTAGGGCGCAAACTGCATTGCTAGTTAATGTTTTGGTCTGACTCTCAAGGTGAACATACTGAAAGAGGAAAACTACTTTTCTGAAGCTGAGAAGGAAATGATAGACTTTGTGCATAAGGTGGAAAATGTCTATGCAAAAACTTTCCAAGAGAAGGAAAAGACTATAGCCCAGCCCAGGTAATAGATTTTCAGCCTCAATTTTTAAAAACATCATCTTTACCAACAGTGATGTGATGAGAATTGTGTAAAGTTTTGAATTTCTATCCATGCAGCAAAAAAAGTGAGTCCTTGTTTGCTCCAGCTTTCTCCAGCTGCAAGCTTTCTTTCCATGGAAGGTGTGAGATGATTTTCCTTCTTACTCAACTGGTTGTTAGCAGTTCCAGCTTAACTGTGCTGTAGGCTGCAAACTTTCACTGTTCATTGGAAATGGTTGTATTGGGGAAAAGGTGGCTAGCTTGAAAATCTGAACTCATCAGGAAGAGTAGATAAATGACATGGACCTCATAGAGATGTTTTGTTCTCATTTTCAGTTCCTGGAGAAAAGAACAACATCTGTCTATCCACATTCCTGTTCTGGATTCATTCCTGCAATGCAATGAAGATGGAGTTAATATTGCAGAGTACAGTATTATGTTAAACTGGGCTCAGTGGTGGGATCAGGTTACCCGAGAGACGATTCTTCTTCCTATGCAATCTCCTGAAGGCAAGTACTCTGCCATAAATATGTTGTGGTCAGGGAGCTTTGTGTCTTAAGGCTGTTCTTTTGGGACTAACAATAGGCCATAATGTTTTAAAGCAAGTGTGGGGATATCTGACCCCCAAGTCAGATGCAACCCTCAGAGGCTTCCCATCTGACCCCTGAAGCCTCACTTGCTCCCCACCCTCAATTTTTGTAGCGGCTGCAGAGGGAAAGGAAAAAACAGGAAATGGCAGGCACTGGGGACTTGTTTTGGATTGGGAACTCCACCCAGCATGTGAGGAGCTTTTAACCCCCTGTTACCTCCTGCAGTCCACGTCTGGGATGAGCCCACCCCTTTCCTACAGTTTGCATTGATAATAAGGGATCTGTTGAAAGGAATGAATCGGGAGTATCCTGGATTTGGGCCAGAGTGCGGAGCAAAGGGTCATGTATTCAGTAATCAGGGCATAGCTGCCAAGAAGACCTTTTACCTTGTCCTAACTAACTGTGCCTTGGCCACAGACAGGATATGGACAGGAGCCTCTCTGATAGGGTGAGGGCAGACTGATGTTGGTGAAGCAGCCCCTTGGGTATCCTGCACCCAGATTGTTAAGGTTTTTAAGGATAAGATCCAATTATTTGCATTACACCAGGAAACAGATTGGCTCATACACATTTACTCTTCCTAAGCTTACAGTGCTTTATTTTGCAGTGACAGTGGGGACTAATCCTGTGACCCTATACACAGTGTGCAACTACAGGCGTACACTTAGTTTATTGTACTGACTACCTTTTTTAAAAAACCACACACAGAACGCAAATCATGTGATCCAGAGGTTCTTTGGATGCACCTGTCATCTTGGCATGACTACTCCAGTATGAGCTCATGGATTGCAGCATCTCAGCAACAGGAGAGTAACACAAACTGGCCACGGCTGACAACAGAGACCATTGAACGCAGAACGTTGTGTAGCCATTACATGCAAAATGAAATATTGGACAATTTAGCCAGGTATGTGCCTTGTCTAAGTCTTGGTTGGTGGAACCTCTGGCCACGGGTCTCATTCAGTCCACCAGGCCAATTCCAGCAAACTCTGCCCACTTGACATCATTTGACATCAGTCATTTTGATCTGCCCTGCAACTTTCTGTAGTTTCCTGGGTTAGACTTATAATTGCCCATAATTTTACATAATCTCTTACCCACCCACCATTGGAATGTGGCCCCTGAAGACTAGCCAGGTATTGAATCTGGCCTTTAGGCTGAAAGGTGTTCCCCTGTCTAGCTCTAAATTGATGATCAACTTCTGTCAAGCAGTATCGTGTATTGGTGGAAGTAGCGTTTATTGTTGGAAGTCTCCTTAACAACTTTGTGAAGAGATCACTGGCTGCTTTGTATTAAAAAGATTGCTTTGTTTTTCTTGGTAGCAATGGAATATTTGTGCCAGTGGAACTAGAAGACTTTGAATGCCTTCTCCAGAGATTGACTCTTGTTGGAGGAGTGATGCAGAATCCTCATCCTGTTCCAGAATATATGTCCACCAGTGGCTTAGATTTCCATGCCTGCTTTATCCTGTACTGTTTAGAACATGGGCTGGACCATCTTCTCTACACCTATCTCGACTACTATAGGTAGGAATACATGAACTGAAGTGGTTTCGTATACACACATTTGTATATGTGTCTACCTGCTTTGTCTACCTGTGATGGGAGTTGTAGTTCAGGTTGGTGAAGCCTCGTCAGACATCCTCCTTCCACCACCCCCTCCAAAATGTTTTCAGAACAAAGGCAGCAGAACTTCTCCCCATGCCCCCAGACTGTTGCCTTCCTCCAGTGGAGCTTTATTCAGGACTCTGCAGCTGGAGCATCATCTAATTTTGTAACCTAAAGGAGCAGAGATGAGAGAGTGCTTGCCCAGTAGGGTCTGTGTGGCCAGTACCCCCCTAGCTAACTAAGACATCAGTCTCTTTTACTCCTGCCAGAGCAGTTGGTCTTCTCAAAATCCATGTGGCTGCTTGCCCAGCCTTCTACTGGCCCATATTTTAGAAGGGGGAAAATAACTTGTTTTTCTTTTTTATTCTATGAAATTGATATTGTGTCCTTGATTTTGCAGTTTATTTCCTTCAAATTGCCCTCTTTTGGATGACAAAGCACTTCACGAAGCTCATCCGTGGTTTGAGTTTTTAGTGCGGTGTCGAGCCATCGCCAGCAATTCTGGAGGTAGGAACCTTCATCTGTGATTCTCTTCTGGGCCAATGTTCTTTGTGCAATTCTGATGAAAAACAAACATTTGTGAGCCATTGACCATCCAAAGTGATGATGGATTCTCCCTAAATGGTCAGGTTGGAACTCACCTGGGCTTGACCTTTTCTGTGCATGCTTAGGTGGTCGCTGTGGGGACGAGCACCTTTTATACCAGCGTTGTCTGGTCTGTGGGTTTTCTGGCATCCTATTCTGAGAAATGGAGACCCAGCCACTGTCAATAACAGTCTGCTAACCTCAAAGATTAGGTTTCTGCAGTGTGCCTCATATGGGGCTGCCTTTAAAAAATGTTTGGATGCAACAGCTGGTCCAGAACGTACTGGGCTTTTGACATAGGAATGAAATCTTTTTTGTTCTTAACTGACTCCTGGTTGATTTCTGGACCCAACTCAAAGGGGTGGTAAGTCCTGCTCCAGGTTCCCCTACCTACAGCATTGTGGTGGGGGAGCTAGTTATAGCAGTGCCCCATCTATGGAACCTTCCCCACAGGGAGCTTTCAGAGAGAGGATTGTATATGCCTTGGGTTGGATTTTTATTTTTATTTAAATTGGAGGTAACATTCTGGCTGATGTTAGAAAAGTCAACTGTTGATCAACTATTATTGTTGCCATGTGTTTGGCCTTTTAAAGTTTTGCTGTGTTTTAACTGGTTTTAATATTGTATTTTAAAATTGTTGTAATGGTGAAGGGCAGGTAAGAAATCAAATAATAATAAAAATAATAAATAATAAATAATAATGTGTGAATTTCTTCTCTTTGCCATCCGCCTTTGGAGCCTGTTCTTGGGCAGAAAACAGGGTATAATAATGGAAAACAAGGCAACAGTTTTTTCTTTCTTTCCTCCCTCCAGATGCAAATAAGATTTTCCAAGCTAGCCTGGCAAATGCCCAGATCTTGATTCCCAGCAACCAGGCCAGTGTGAGCACAATGCTGTTGGAAGGCCGAACGCTCCTTGCTCTTGCCACCACAATGTACACCCCTGGAGGTATTGACCAGGTATGCTGTAGAATATTGGCAGGCTGTTGATGACCTTTTCCTTTCAAAGTGACAGCAAATGTCAAAAAGATCTTAAATGCCAGCAGCCTCAGAAAATTTGGGTCGTGTTCTTTCTCTGAAGGTGCAGATAAAGCCTTGTGCCAGGTGCTGTGGCTTGTGCCAATGAACTGTTCGGTTCCCATTTCCTTGCAAGTGTATTCAGGTTCTTCTTCTTCACTGTAGGTCCTTCAGAATGGAGATGGAGGAAAGAAAGTAGATGCCCAGCTCTTCAGGATGGCCCTTGCTCCTTATCCCAAGCTGAGAGCAGCCCTCTTCCCCCAGTATACCAGTCATGGGACCTTGCCTTCCGACATTTCTCTCTACCACCTTGTCCAGGTATAAATATATACCTATCTGCCCCCAATACAAATAGAATCATAGAATTGTAGGGTTGGAAGGGACCCCAAGGGTTATCCAGCCCAACCCCCTGCAATGCAGGAAACTCATCCAACCTCTGCTGAAAACCCTCCAAGGAAGGAGGTTTATCACTTTTCAGTCTTCTCTTCCAGGCTAAACGTACACAACTACTTCAACTGTTCCTCATAAGACTTGATTTGTAGACCCTTTATCATGTTAGTGGCCCTCCTCTGCCCATGTTCCAGCTTGTCCATATCCTTCTTAAAATGTGGTGCCCAGGTGGGGTTTGAGCAAGGCAGAATAGAGTGGAACTATTACTTCCCTTGATCTGGGTGCTGTAATGCTATAGTCTAGTTACAGCAACTGCCACTTTACCCAAACTTACACCAGTAAGTCTTGAAAAAGGGCTGTATTGGGAAAGTGGGGCACAGGTTTGAGTTCCTTTCCTGCAAAATGCTGAAGGTGACCTCTGCAAGGCATTGCTTCTTCCTTCTGGGTATTCTGCAAGCAGCATTAATTTGGGATTGGATAGGGAGAGGCCGCAGCCTCCAGCTTCACAGAACAGCTCCCTAATCACACAGTCACAGGAGCAGGTAGGAAAAAAGCCACATGACTGAAGCTGTGTGGATCTCCTAGGGGCTTAGCCTATGACACACCTCCTTCCAACGTACAGGGGCCCAGGGCTCCCAGCAGTGTACACTAGAACATATATACATACATAATTTTATTTGCATGTCACCTTTCCATAGTTAAAGCCATCCTCAAGGCAGCTTGTAACATTAAAAATGACACATAATTGCAAACATAAGTTGTCATAAACGGTAAATAAAACATCAAATAGTGCACAACCAAATTAAACAGTTTCCACGTAAATCATAATAAGATTTAAAATAAAGGCACAAAACAATTAATAGAAACAAGAACAACTACCCTGCCCCCAACTACACCCCCCAACCTAAGAATCTGTTCAGCAGCCTCAGCTTTTGTAGCTGGAGTCAGTCTTCCCAGGCCAAGTGGAAAAAGCCTTGCAAGGCAGGGAGCAGTACTGCCGGTGACATGGCTCTCATACCACCACCCCTTGGCCACTTCTCCCCATCTTAGCCACAGCTACATAGCAATAGCCCTGGCTTGCACAAGTGGAAGGGCACCTGCTTCTCCCACCATCACTTACCACAAGAGCATTTCATGGAGCTGCTGCGTCTTATTGGATGCTTAAGCAGGGATCAGCAAACTTTTTCAGCAGAGGGCCGGTCCACTGTCCCTCAGACCTTGTGGGGGGCTGGACTATATTTTCGAAATAAAAATAAAAATGAACGAATTCCTATGCCCCACAAATAACCCAGAGATGCATTTTAAATAAAAGCACACATTCTACTCATATAAAAAGACGCTGATTCCCCGACCGTCTGCGGGCCGGATTTAGAAGGTGATTGGGCTGGATCTGGCCCCTGGGCCCTAGTTTGCCTACCCATGTTTAAGAGTGAAATGCCCTTTTGCTCGCCCTCTGTGGATAATTTTCTCCTCTCAGCTTGGTTTCACTTGACACAGATACTTTAAAATATTAAGTGGCTTAAATATTCTTTTGAATAAATAAAATCCTCTGGAGCTGCACTCTGCTCTGTGGAGTGTATGTATATAAGACTGGGTTTGAATTTGATGTGACTGTTTCATTCCAGAATATCTGGGTCAGTGTGTGGCAGCAGCTGTACTACATGTGTAAGATGCTGCACAAGATGTGTGCTCAGTCGAGCAGCTTGGGTTAACATGTTTGCTGCATTTTAAGCAGGCCTTGAAATTAATGTTGTGTTCTAATTTTTCAGGCGTTAGTTCCATTTGATCCCACAAAATTGTTTGGCTGGCAGTCAGCAAATACGCTTGTCATACCTGGTAGGTAACTTTTGCCGTATCTTGTTACTATTTAAAGTGAGTATAAAGTATACATGTGTGGAATCTCCTAGTACTTCATTCTGTTAAACAGACATTTCTCTGGGAGCTGACAAGATGCTGAGAGGTTTGGCTTCCAGCAGAATCTTCTTTGCTCTCCCTGTTGCATCTGATCTTTCAAAAGGTGAAATTGAGCCCTAGAATTAGGCAAGTTTGTATTCTAGCCTCTTAGCTGTTTATCTTGAATCTAAATGATGTCCCAGACTGCCACTCTCCTAAAGTTGGCAACAAAAAAATTTCTGTGTTGTCTTTTTGCCAGTTATTAAGACTTGATCTTAAATGGTTTTTGGCCATGTTGTCTTGCTCCTGTAATTTAAATTGTTTACAGATTACTATTTTTTTAAAAGTTTATTCAGTGGATGTGGCTATTGGACAGCCAAATTCTTGAACAAATTCTTGAAAAAGAGTTCTCCTTCCCTTGGAGCTCCCTTTCATCATTCCACTTCTTGGCTCTCACACACAAACTTTACGCTGTCCAGTAAGCCACTGCAAGTCAGACAATGGTCCTGTGGTTATTCTGTATCAGAGGAGGCCAGCCTGTTCCAGCAGCAATGAAATGTTTACCATTCCAAAGTCTCAGTCCAAATTCTTTACAGGGTTGCAGTCTGGATCAGATGCAGCCACTGCTTTGGAAACTGGCCCCACAGATTTTAGGGCATGGTTGGCTGCTTAAAAACTTTAGCTCTGTATCCACATTTACTAAAGTGTCTTTGGCTCCAAGTGACAGCTGTAATAGTATATGGATGAAAATGGACTCTCTTAGAATACCTGCAGCAGCACTGGACTGTGCCCCTCTTTTCTTTAAGCCAAGTTCAGTTGCACAAGTTTAATCAAATCCAGTCCTTCAATATAATGTTTTCAAGAGCTCTTGGTTCATACAAATAAAAATTTCTCTGCACTTTTTAAAATTATCGATGGAAAATGTATCCAATTTATCAATTATTTGTACAAGATGCCACTTGTGTTTTACTTCTCTCACCCTGGATGTTCTGCATTCCCAAGTTTTATTTAGAAGGTTTGTTGACAGTTTGGTGGTCTTGAGAGAGGGAAGGTCTAATGGAAGTGGAAATGTTGGGTCAAGTCCTCCTTTCTTGCCATTTTTATTCTGGAATTTGAAACCAACTAGTTGTCCTCCTTCTGACCACTACTGGATAGGTCAGTAAGTTTTTATACAAGTGGTTCGATGAGCAGATAAAACTCCTGGGGTTTCACTGGCAGAGAAGACCAGAAAGCAGCTGGTTAAAAGACACCATAATTTATTGTCCTAGGGATTGTCCTTGTGGGTTTTGTTTTGTTTAATGGGTTGTGTGCTCTTCTAGATAGTAATTGTGTTCATATCTGTGATGTATCTAGTTATGGATTCTAGAGTACAATAATAAATCAAGATACTTTAAGCAAGTGGAACTTGCTTTTAGAAACCAGTGCGTTCTCCTTAGAAGTTGTTGGCAGTGGTGTGGCTGTTTCAGCTGCAGCTATTAGAAGGGCATGTGGAAGCTGTGTGGGAAAATAGCCCCCACCCCAGTCTGCTTCCATTGGCAGCTGGACAGCCTGTAACTCTGTAGCTCTTCCAGTGTTGGGACCCTATGGAGGCTCTGGGGTTGTTTTTGCCAGCTTGGCCTTATTTGGCTGGTGTTGATGAGAGTTGTAGTCAAAAACATCTGGAGAGCGCTAGTTTGGCAAGGCTTCCTCTTTCAAGTGTCGAAAGTGTCCATCCCCAAGGCTATAATGGCTGTTGCTGGTGTTTCAACTGTAATCCCATGCGGTGCTCTGGCACTCAGGTCCTGTGTTGGGGCTTCTGTTTGGCCATTGTGAGAACAGGATGCTGGTTTAGACAGACCTTTGTGCCTGATCCAATAGGCTCTTAAGTTTTTATGTAGATTGCTGAGATTGTCAGTTACTTCCTGGTGTAGACACTGAGCAGCAAAACTTCCTACCAGAAACTTTTCCTGCCCCAGCCCCATTGAAACCCACAACACTTATACATGAAAGGACAGAGGTGCCTATTTGTAGCTTTTTCAGTGGGCTGATCCAAGAGAAGTGCCTTTGGCCAGTTGTGAGGCCAAGTTTCAAGGAGTCAGCCAGAAGAATTGTGTCTGGCACTTGGGCCTGTGGAGCCTGCTATTTTTCTGTCTACTCACCACCATGTTCTCCCTTCTCTTTAGATACCTGTAGTGACCTTCCTCACTTCTCAAGTGCCACTTTTGTCAACAAATATGCTGTAGTTGAACGTCTGGATTTCTCCTACTTCTTGCGTCATGAACGCCCCTCATTTGCTTTTGGGACTTTTTTAGTCCAACAGCTGGCACAGAACAAAACTCCAAAGCAGCTGTGAGTATTTGAAAGCAGCAGAGATTTGGAAAGGAGCCTCTCATGTTCTCGACAGAACATTTTCTATGGAGAAATCTTTGTATTGCAATAACGTATTGTGTTGCTTTAGATAGATGTAAGCTGCCTTGTAAGAAGGGGTATTAATTTATATAAAGTACTTTTCAGATTTGTACCCCAGGTTTTTCCTGACCTGCTTACAGTCCCCTTGGCTTTGATTTTGACTGTGTGCAGAGTTGGGTCCTTTCCTTGCAACCTCTCTGCTGTTCCAGATGCATGATGCTAACGGCTGCTGCCTTTTCTTCCCTAGGATCCAGCAAGCAGGCAATGATGCCTACTCCTTGGCCCTCTCCTTCTTTTATGTGCCATCTGTGGCTTCCGCCTGCGCCTGCTTTTTGGAACTGCTGGGCCTTGATAGCCTCAAACTCCGGGTGGATGTTAAAGCTGCCAACGTGATCCTGAGCTTCATGTCTCAAAGAGAGGAGCCTCAGCATAACTCGATCAGGCAGTCCTTGGGTAGTGTTTCTTCTACATGTTTTCTCTATTGGAGAAAAGAGTGTAATATTTGATGGGCGCGCAAGAGCAGAAAGCCCCCCGCCCTTTTGTTCCTGAATGGCAAAGTCCACATCCACAGTGAAGTTAGAACTGTTATATTTATTTAATAAGTTTGTAGACTGTTTGATGTTTTAAAAATCCCAAGTGATTTACAAAGTAGACACCATAAAATCACAAGGTTAGAATACCAGCAAAACAAAAATCCGTAATGATGATAAAAGCGCCAAAACACTAAACCAAAGGTAGATAACCTATTGGGGGGAAAATATAACTTTGAAGTATTCTGCAGCCACATGAAGCAGAATGCTTTGCCTTTTCTGTTTGCAGTTGAAAAGCTGACTCAGTTGGCAGAGGGAGAAAAAACAGCAGCAGAAGAACTCCTTGTCTGCTTGGAGGAAGCCGTGTGGGATAAGATGGAGCACCAGGAGATAAGCAAGTGAGTCAGCCCTTTGAGCCCAGTGGTGGGAATTTGCTATACATTCTTTGTGGCCTTATATTACTTCTATGAAGACTTAAGGATTCAAATTTGGAAGGATTGATTTGATTTTTGAGTAGATTTGATTTGATTTATTATATTTCTATGCCACTTTTCGTTCAAGTGAATCTCATAGCAGCTTACAAACAATAAATAACAATAACATAATAGAACATCACAAATACAGCTTAAGGTTGAAGTGTGATGTATAGAACAAAAAAAAAAAAGAGGAAAACAAGTATAGCTTGCATGCTGTCTCCACCCCCTTTACTTTTTAGCCTGGAATCCCTGCTAGCTGCATATTAGCAAAGAGAGAGTCCCCTTCCAAATGCTGTTTCTGTGTTTCAGTTTCCTGTATCTCCACATTCACTTGAGTCACAGGGGATGGAGAGGGGTAGTTAAGAACACCAAAGCAAGGAGGGGCAGAGAAGAGTGTAAGAAGCAAAGGGCCCAATTAATCCAGTGCTGTTTCCAGATACCCCTGAGGCACGAGAGCAATGGCACTCTCCCACCCATAGCAGCTGCCATTCATAGGAATGCCCCCTCTGACACTGGAGGTAGTAATATCTCGCTGTCATAACCAGTAGCCTTTGATAGCCTTGTTCCCCTTGAATGCTGACCCCTTTCAAAGCAACCCAGATTCATGGCCATCGCTATGTTTTATGTTAGCAAATTCTTGCAATGTCTTTCCTTTTGTTTGTCTCTACTCTTCCACCATTTATCTTAATTGGATGACCCAAGTGTGGTCTAGTATGATGTGTTCATTTTCTGCACACCATGCATAATAATAATAGTAATGTTCTATGCCTTCACTTGCCTTTTCTTTAGAGGGCTGTTGTGCTAGTCCCTTGAAGGTTTTGGTTGTTCTTGGCAAGTGTTTTTTATGGAGGTGGAAGCTTAAGTTACTGGCTGTTTCAGTAGAGCTAATACATCCCTTCCCCATAGGACATCCAGCGAGGCAAGGAAGCAGTGGTCTCTGGTGGCCCAGTTTTGCAGGCTCCACGGCCTCAAGCTGAGCATGTCATACCTGAAGGTGTGTGCGAGATCCAGCGAATGGCTACAGTTCCTCATTGAAGCCCAGAGGTACAACTACCAACCCTCTGAGGTAAGGAGCCCTTCAGGCAAAAGTGATATGGCCATCTTTATTAATTTGGGGTTTAGTCTTTGCAGTGGCCCCTTTGAACAGACATTGCTCTTGAAATAGGGGGAGAGATCACTAATGTGGCTTCATTTGCCCTGGCAGCAGAAAGACAGGTACAAATCTATAAAGGCATTAATATAGTAGAATTCTAATTTGTGTTTGGTATGTGTACCACTTTGCTGTGAATCATGAGCTCAAGACAATAAACTAGACTTCCAGGTGTTTTGTTCTGCAACTCCCATCAGTCCCTCAAGGGCACCAAGTTGGTGAAGATTTCAATAAACCATTGTCTGGTTGCCTCTTTGCGCTGTTTGTTCACTTTATACTGTTCACCTAGTTTGTTCTTTCCCTTCCCCAGGTTGTCCCCATCCTCCAGGAGTTTCCCCCTCCTCTGCAGGACCACTTGAGGCTGGCCTTGGAGTGTTTGCAGTCCTCAGTTACTCCATTGGAGGACGGTCAGGGTGGCAACTCCCACCGGCTGAGGCATGAGCAAAAGCCAAGCACCCACACCAGTGATCTTTTCCGCATTCTCCTTTGGTGTCAGGAGCAGCCGCGTCCCTGGCATTACCTTCTGGGTGAAGCTGTGAAACACCAGGCTCCCATTCTGAGCATCCTTGCTGCATGCTTCCAGGTAAGAATGCTCTGAGGATGACCCTGTGCTTCTGTTGTTCATTTATTTCCATAGGCCGTATGTGTGATATTTTAGAAATATTTGCAAGTACATTCCTCAAGGTGGGTCACTTCCTCCTTGTATTTAACTTATTTACTTCTTTCCTACTCCTCTCTGGCCACATCCACCCGTTTGGAAGGACACCAGCATTATCCATTGCCTCTGTGTTTGGCTCATAACTTCCTTGGATAGCTCCACCACTGCCCAAGTGACAGACCACTTGGAAGGCTCAGCTGAAACCCATGAATGGGATCTTCAGGACTTGGCCACCCTCTGGCAGACACTTCTCCAGAGGCAGAAAATCCAAACTCTTCTTCATGGCTTTCAGTTCTTTCTGAAGGTAACTCTTTAAGTCCCTTTACCTGATATTACTTGGGCTGCCTCTGCTGGGTGCACGAGAAACCGCCCCAGCATGCAACTTCCATTTGTTTAACTTGTGCTTCTTCACATTTTCAAGAGTGCCTTTGAAAATAAATGTAACAAGGGTTCCTCTGTGTGTGTGTGTGTGATTTCTTCAAACTGAAAGCTTCACGAGACATGGAGACTGCACATGGAGCTGCCCAAATGAACCCTCCATTCCAAGTTAAGGAAGGGAAATGGTCCAATTTCTGCCCCCTGCTGTGGTTACACTTTCAGAGCCTCAGGAGCTAGATTGGGGGGGGGGGGTGTTCAATGTCAGAGGTGTATTTTTAAATAAATAAATGGTGCAACACTTGTGAAGAATGTTGAACATAAATTCGCATCAATCTGTTCAGGACTCCCCTTTGCTGATGATCCTGGAGCTGTACGAGTTGTGCATGGACTACAGAAACTACAGCGAAGCGCAGAGCAGACTCCTTGCATTCCAAGCCAGTATTTCAAGAGTAAGCAGACCCTTCCCTTTGCTCGCTGAAGCTTTTGAACCAACTCTTTAATTACAGAGGTAGCTAGCATCTCTAGGCTAGAGCATGGTCTTCTCTTGAGTGTGTGAGGTTTAATTTTTCCAGTTGAAGGATTGTTTGAGCATGCGGGCACACACATATGGCTGCCCACCCTTCTTCCTTGGGTGTATCCTTCCCAGTTCCCTACCACGCGACTTCTTTGCATTGTACAAGTTGGCTTACTTTGTCAGAGAGATGAAGGAGAGGGTGGGGGAGAGGCATGTTTTGGCACTTGGATAACTTTCAAAATGATTTTTGCACAGCTGCAAGCCTTACCCGAAGGTCCACCTCTGCTCTTGCCTGTGCCCTGGCTGGTGTCGCAGGCTTCATTTCTTCTTGAGCTGATGCTTCAGCAGTGCCGAACTCAGTACGAGCTGGGAAAGGTCCTTCAGCTTTTTGCAGATACGGACACCGTTCTCCCTCACGGTATGGACAGTTTTCTTTGGTTCCCTGTCAGTAATTTGTTACCTGCACAGCCAAGACTTCCTCTTGAAATCTGCTTTCAGTGCCTGATACCAGGCAGCCCTCGGGAGGTGGTAGTAAAGGAGCATCAGCTGTTGAGTTCATTCTGCTTTTAAGTGTAGTCAAATCATTGGTTTCCGGGGCATGGAAATAAGATGGGAATCCAGGAGGTTTGGAAGACCAGAAAAAGGGATGCGCATGTGCATGCCTCTCCTTGGCATGTTGGGAAACCCAGTCACTTCTCTCTTTGTCCATCATGTGCATCCTCAGTGCTGCATATAAAGGCAGGGACTGATCTGCATAAGAGATGGTTGTCTTCTGCTTCATTTTTATACCATCTTTCATCTAAAATGATCCCAGGTTGGCTTGTGATCTTTAAAGATAGAAGAAGTAAAACATGGGGATAAACTAGTGAATTAGAAGCAACAGAAGCACGCCAGCAATTTAAAAGCATTGGGATGAACAAAAAGGTTTTTGGTCTGGTGTCTAAAATAAAATAAAAATACTGATGCCAAGTGGGCCTCCCCTAGTTGGGGCTCTGCAGCCAAAAAGACCTCCCTTCATTGCCCTCCACTTCACTTCTGCCAAAGTTGTTGCTCAGCAAAGGGCCACAGCGCGGGCAGCTTGATGGGGATCCTCTTTGCTCCTTTCCAGAAAAGCCTGAGTCATTAAAGCACAGACTATCCAGTTAAGGACCTGTTTCTTTTTGGGCTGCTTTTGTGCTTAGGGCCTGATATGAAGAAGCTGAGTGCCCTCAGCTTCACCTTGAAGGACTCTCCTGTCTCCATTGATTGTGCCATTCTGAGCAGTTACACCCCAGAGAATTTCCAGAAGGAGTGCAGAAGAATTCTGGAGGAGCTGCAGGACCAAAGCTCTTTCCTAATAGCGCGGAAGGTGGCAGAGCTGGCAGAGCTGCCTGTGGACAACGTGGTGATCCAAGAGGTGCGCTAACCTTTTGACAACTCATGATTTGGTTGATTATGTTCCATCTCCAACCAAGGCACAATTAGAATGTGGCTTCCCCATCTATTGGACTCAGCCTCTAGTTTTGGTGACTCAGTCCCAGATCCAGTGCTGCCTTTGGCTACATATGAGTAAGTAAGGGAACTTGGGGACCAAGAATGAGGTGCTTGTAGTTTCCTGCTGTGAGGCAGTGAGAGGGGAATACATATTTATTTGTCAAAGCCATCACCTTGGACTGTGTCCGGTAATAATCAGGCAACCAGCGCAGGTCTCTCAAAGCTGTTGGTACATGTTCTTGAGCCATCAGGCCCATCAGTATGCTATCAGCTACATTTGTCACTATCTTCCATCTCCACACAGTTCTCAAGAGCAGTCCCATGTTGTGTAAACAGGAGTTGCAGCCAGGCTCTCCCTATCGACAGATGGCCATAGCTGGTGAATCAGTAGTTCAGCTTCCTTTCATTGGTTGTCATGGAAAGATGGGGCTGAGAATCCCTTTGATCTTTTGTGTGTTTTGCAGGTCCTCCAAAATATGCACCTCTTGCAACAAATTGGCCACTGGCCTCAGAAGCGGACAAGGATCGAGTTCTGGGAAAAGTGCCACGAAAACTACATGAGAAATGCCATCTCAACCCGAGCAGCTTCCAATTTCTTCTTAGCTCAGGCAGACCTTCTGTCTGAGTCCTTGGATGAGGGGAGAACATCTGGCATCTCAGAGAGGAAACTTCTGCTAACCTTGGCTGGCCACTGGTTAGCCAAAAGCGATCCGGTTCCACTTCAGGAGCTGGAAGGGATTGAGAAAGAAATCTGGCTTTGCCGCATCGCTCAGCAGACCTTGAACCAGGGCCCTGAGAAGGCCAAGCACAGATTCTCCCACCAGATTTCTATGAGCGGTGAAGTGTCCTTTGATTCCTTAGCCAAGGAGTTTTCCTTTTCCAAGCTGGCTGCCTTGAACGTGCCCAAGTACTTGCAGCTGGAGGGTTTGCCCTCACACAATGCATCCTTGCAAGCCACACTTTCTGCGGCTGATGTGGAATCGCTGAGCTTTCTGGTTGGGCGCCTGCTGGACGAGGGGAGCATCCACGAGGCCAGCCGGGTTTGCTGGTACTTTAACTTCTACAGTCGAGATGTCTTGCTGGTCTTGCACTGCAGAGTGCTGGCCTCTGGAGAAGTCCTTCGGAGCGAGTTTCACCCAGAGGTTCATGCCATCCTTGCAGCAAGAGACAGAGAGGAGGCAAAGGAAAAGAATAACGGAGGGGGAGAGGACTCTTCAAAGAAACAATCTCTGAGCAGTAAGTAGCAGGAGCGTTTGGAGCTGCAAATTGGACAAAAGCATCTCTCCCCAGGAGTCCACAGAGGACCCTCCTGGGCCATTTCTTCATTTCCCTGCCATTTTGTAGGTCTTGTCATTGCCCGTTCTTTAGAAATGTAGGTGTTTCTTGGATCTCAAACTTTGCCATTCGTAGCATTCAAAACTGCTGCAATGTTTTTCCTTCAAAAATTGGGAGGGGGGGGGAGAAGGGAGGGTGGCAGCTGATCAGCTGAGAACCACGGAGCATTTCCAATGCTCAAGTTTGTCATAGAATCATGGCAGTGTTGAGTTGAAGGGATCCAAAGGGTCGTCTAAACCAATCCTCTGCAATATAGGAATCATAGCTAAAGAATCCCTGTGTTTAAAAACCTCCGGCCTCCAGAGCTCAGAAGAGCAAGAAATGTGCCCTTATCTCACCCAGTGTTGGTTTTCTCCTCCCAGTTTTGCCCTGTCCATCTCCAGCCTTGTCTTCTCCCCTTGCCCAAGCATCCTGCTCAGCCTGCTCATTCCTTGCTATCCAGAGTCTCTGTTTCCTTTTCAGCCTCGAGCCTTGAGTCCTGGTCCTTTGTGGGAGGTCCAGGCCCAGAGAGCGAGGTGGTGGGCAGCCTGCAGGCCCTGCTGGCGGAATGTGTCCACGGGCGGAACTACTGCCGGCAGGTCCTCTGCCTGTTTGAGCTGTCCAAGGTACGTGCGGGTTGGGAACTGGGGAGGGGCAGCCATTGTGCTACAGTGATGGGAGCTGCGGGATCTCTCCAGTGGGGGCTTTGCCTTCCAGCATGGCACTGAGGGGCCCTTTGAGGATGAGACTCCTTAGGATCCCAGACGTAAGACTTCCCCATGGTCTTTTGCAGGAACTGGGCTGTCCCTTCAGTGAGATCTCTGCCCACGATTCCGAGAAGCTGCTTCGGGTGATCCTGTCTTCTCAGCAGCCGGACAGGTGCAAAAAAGCCCAGGCCTTTGTCACCACACAGGGAATGGAGCTGGAAACCGTGGCGGAGATTGTGGCCGAAGAAGTCACCCGAGAGCTGCTGGCCCCTTTGCAAGGGAAAGGCAGTGAGTCCTGCTTTGTTGTTACTGACCAAGGAGAATAATCCTATAACTTGTGGGGAAGTGGAAAGACTCCTAGGATTGGGTTTGGGCAAGAGTGGAGGTGGTACTGTTTCTTCCTCTTCCCCCTGTCAGCTGGAGAATATCCTGTCACCAATATGTCATTTGTATATACAGAACAAAAGCAAATTCTGAACCCAGCAGAGGAGAGCCAGGCATTCCTGCAGCTGGCTAAACTGTGCCAGGACCACACGTTGGTTGGCATGAAGCTATTGGACAAGATCTCATCTGTGCCGCACGGGGAACTTGCCTGCAGTAAGTCAGTGATGGGCAGGTGGAGGATCCTTTTTGGCCAGGGATTAAACATCCAGTAACAGCACACTAGCATGCTGCGTGGCTAAGGCTGCGATCCAAAGCCCGCTTACTTGAATGCAGATCTTATTCAGGTTCTTGGGACTATGCTTCTACATAAACATAGGTGGGGTTGGGCCTCAGGAGGAGGGTGCCATTTTTTCTGTTTGCTGTCTTTGTGTGGTTTGCATTTGGAAAATGCAACCACCCCACCCCACATCATGTTCATTGATGCCAGGAAGCTGGAGCTGTGGTCGTGAAGGGTTTGACCCACATGCTGCCATTCTCCATCTGTCTTAGCAGTAGTACAGGTTTTTGCTGGAGCCTTTCATAAAGGAGCATTTAGCAGTTCTGGGGGGAAAGGGAGTGGCCTCTGACTTCACCTAGCTGTCCTCAAGGTGGGGAACATGGTTTGTTTATGAGCAGCTGAGGAGCTTTTGCCTCCAAGAGCTGCTGTCCCTGTCCAGTGTATGTGAAAGTGACAGTTGTTGTTCCACTTTGCAGTTGAGGGACCAGATGCCACACAATCTTTGGCCAAGGGAGAAATTTAAATCGGGGCGGGGAGGGGGTCTCCCTTGTATTGGAGAGCACTTGCAAAACTGAAAAAAAATGTGCTTGCTGATGAAGACCCCTTTCCTCCTTTTTCAGCTACAGAGCTGCTGATCTTGGCCCACAACTGCTTCAGCTTAACCTGTCACATGGAAGGGATCACGCGGGTTCTGCAAGCTGCCCGGCTGCTCACAGAGGAGCATTTGGCACCCAACGAAGAATATGGCCTTGTGGTACGTGACTGCTCTAAAGCTGCCCTATTTGTGGGAAATGTGAACTGGTTGCAGGGACACACACACACCAGGCCTTTGAAGAGTCCTGCTGATTCCAAGACATCCCCTTGCTTTGCTGAAAAAGGAAGGTAGTGGCAGGTCAAAGACTCCCACAGATGGTTCATGCTCGGCTGCCCTCTGCATTGATGTTAGCAAGGAACAAGTAGCTCCTCTTATAAGAAGCAGTATGTGCAGCCTTCATTGGCTTCCCCTGGCCTGGTAGGAAAGCTGCTTTTGCTTTCCCCTGACCAATGATTGGAAATGGCTGATCAGTAACCTTCCACAGACTTCTGTTGTGCCCCCTAAGGAGGGGTGGTGGCGACTGCCATGACCTTCTGGCTTACCTCAGTGTGCATGTTGACACAGAGTGAGGCCCTTCTGCCTGCCTTGCTATACAAGTCCTTATCTCTTCTTCCTCCCTACCAAAGGTTCGGCTTCTCACTGGCATTGGCAGATACAACGAGATGACATACATCTTTGACCTGCTGCACGAGAAGCATTACTTTGAGGTGCTCATGAGGAAAAAGCTGGATCCGGTGAGTGCAGGAGACGCAAATCTGCCTCATCCTTTCTCAAGAGTTCCAACCCTTCCATCAGATGGACAATAGAGGGAATCCAAATGCAAATGTGTCATTGAGTCTGAAGCCTTTATTTTCAGCAGGATGTGGATGAGGCTTACAGTAGTCTCTCTGCCCGCCTGCCATCACATGGGGATCATCATCCTGACTGATCCAAGGGAGGGAAGTTGAAGCCAGGATATGTGCTGGCTCTTTAGTCTGAAGGGAACTTGACTGGCCTGGGCCAGGTGGCAGTTGTATGCAGCTCAAAGTATTTCTCGTGTCTGAAGGCTCATTCTCAATTCTCAAATCTGCTTCCCCCGCTTCAGTCTTCCCATTTGTTACCTTCTTGCTAAATCATCATTCTAGTCACAGCATCCCCACTCCAGAATGTCCCAGCTATAGTAAAGCCATAAAGCTAAAACTCTCCTTCTTTCATAGTCGCTTTTTCTCGCTCACTTGTTGAAATGCAGCCATTCCTTTCCTTAACACTTTTGGCTCCAGCTCTTCTAATCCTTTTTAAATACACTTTGGGGGGGGGGGGCTGGGGGCTCTGCTTGAGAGCTCTAGCTTCCCCTGTTGTCAGCTGCAAGCTTTCTCAACTCCTCTTTGTCACATCCACTCCTTACCTCCCTTCCACTTTGGCAGAGCGGGACCCTCAAGACAGCTCTGCTGGACTACATCAAGCGCTGTCGCCCGGGGGACAGCGAGAAGCACAACATGATTGCCCTCTGCTTCAGCATGTGCCGAGAGATTGGGGAGAACCACGAGGCGGCAGCCAACACACAGCTGAAGCTCATTGAATCCCAGCCGTGGGGTAAGTTGCCAGACCAGTAGACCTGCAGAGAGCCCACCTGCCCAGGATAACAGGTGCTCAACACCCTGCTTCCTTATTCACCTCTTGTGAAGAAGGAGATGTGATGGAACCGCAAGAGCAGCTCCATAGTTTAAGGAAGCAACTATCATTCTAGACCCCAAAATTCTATGGGCCCCAAAACTGACTGTTTGTCCTAACAGTATGAAATTTAGCACAGGGAATCTGTTCAGTAAGGTGTATGATATGGCTAAATTTCAGAAAAACCAGGCAATGGCCAGCTGAGCCACAGCATGCTTAAAACTTAGCATTAGGGAGGCCTATACCTGAAAGAAGAAGAGGAGTTTGGATTTGATATCCTGCTTTATCACTACCCGAAGGAGGCTCAAAGCGGCTAACATTCTCCTTTCCCTTCCTTCCCCACAACAAACACTGTGAGGTGAGTGGGGCTGAGAGACTTCAAAGAAGTGTGACTAGCCCAAGGTCACCCAGCAGCTGCATGTGGAGGAGCGGGGAAGTGAACCCAGTTCACCAGATTACGAGACTACCGCTCTTAACCACTACACCACACTGGCTCTCACACATTGCCCTGAATCAGCCTAGGTTGATCTAATGAAAGGCATAATCTGCTTGCTTTGTGCCTATCATTTGAGTCCTCACTGAGGTGCCTGGATTGGCTTTGGTGGATACATCTTTGGTTCGCTTGCTACCTCTTCCCTCCCTCTGGATTTGGCATTTGGTTCTGTATTTGCTGCCTTCACCCCATGAAGGCATTCAACACCTTTTTCCTTTTCAGAGGAGTGCCTGCAGGATGTGCCCAATCTGAAGAAGCTCCTGATGAAAGCCCTGACCCTCTACATAGATGCTGCAGAAAGCTATTCCAAGGCAAGATGGGAGTGGGACTGTGTGAAGGTGTAAAGGCGAGTGGCAGGGCCTTGTTAGTGTTTGCTTCAGGGATTGATGTGTCCCGTAGAGTTACAGAGGTGGCATCAGATGTGAGAAGAGGGCTGTGACCAGCGAGATGTTTGCAAGTGTGTGTGTGGAGGAGGGAAGGCAGTTGCAGCCACTCAGCTTCATCCGTGCATCTTTGACTCCCTTCTCTTAGGACTTCTGTGTGCGCCAGTCCTTGCGCTGCAACAGGCTGACAAAGCTCATCACCCTGCAACTCCACTTCCTGAACAGCAGCCACAGCACCAAGCTGATCAATCTGAGCAGGAAGAGCCTGCTGGAGTGTATCATGTCCCTGCCCAGGTTCTACCAGGTAAGGATGCCAGGCACCATCACAAGAACCTGTGGTGTTCTATTGATGGAAGGACACAGTGCACATTCCTGGGAGGATGATGTCAGCTGGCATTTCTCTTCCGTCTCTCCCCAGGCTGCCATTGTGGCTGAGGCCTACGACTTCATCCCAGACTGGGCTGAGGTCCTGTATCAGCACGTGATCCTGAAGGGAGACTTCAGCTACCTGGAGGAGTACAAGCAGCGTGGCCTGCTCAAGACCAGCACCTTTGAGGAAATAGCCCGGAAGTGAGTCCAAGGGAACCATTTGCAGCCCACTTCTCCCAGTGGGAAACATTCCCTACATCAGGCTTTCTGTAGAGTCGAGATCCTCACTCTAATCCTCAGTTGAAGGTTGCTGATTGCAATCCTGCAAGTTGAAATACAAGCAAAGCGGAGAGCTTTTAATCTCTCTCATGCTTGGGAAGCAGGGTCCGCTCCAGAAGGTTCACACAGAGCAGTTCCAAGGTTTATATAGGACCCTTGGAACCAACCTCCCACCCCGGTAAGATGCAGTCATACTGTATGTACTGAAAGCAGAGTTCTCCCTCCACTGGGCACCTTTTTGTCCCAAGGGCAACACCTTTCTCCCTTGCTGCACTTAGCTGGCAGGTAGAAGTGGGATCCTGTCAGAGGGCAGAGTGTGGGGGACGAGGCTTATGTCTAACCCCTCTGTGACCTTCTGTTCCAGGTTCAAGCAGCACACAGGTAATGAGCCTGCTCTGAAAAACTTGAAGCGGCTGCTGACCTACTGCGATGACATCTATGTGTATTACAAGCTGGCTTATGACAACCAGTTCAGCGACGTAGTGAACACGCTTCTAAAAGATGCTCAGACAGGTTGTTGTCTGAAGGACCTGCTGGCCAACTAGATGATGCTTGGGAGAAAGAAGAGCCACAGCCATCACTGGTGTTGTAGGAAACTCCAGTCAGTACAGGCAGGGGTTTGTGCAGAAGCGGTTACATTTGTTTCAGTATCTGAAACGTGCAACAAAGCGGATGACAGCATTAATCAATGGTATGAAATGGTAAGGAATATTAACCTCAGGGTTGGTTTCGAGTTAATTTGACAGTTGAAGTTAGAACTTTTTATTAGGAGAGCTTTTCTCTCTGGGAATCCTTGTGTTGAATATAGAGGCTACTTAAAAACTAAGCTGGCTCTTGAAGCTGCAGCTGAGTTTCTGGGTTACAAAATGATGAGGGCAGGCTTTCTCTTCGGTAACCTCTCCCCCTTGCATATTGCTGGATGATATGAATAATTGGAGAACCATTTGCTGTATAAAAATATTTTTTGTGCAGATTTAATATTGAACATATGGTATAAACTTTGCCATACCTGCTTTTCCCTGGTTATGTATAATGTTCTCAAAGTATTTCGGGTACAAGGTAGGTGGAGTGTCATAGAAACTTGGAGGCACTATCTGAGAGTGCTGAGCTCCTCTAACCCTTATGACTCCAGTGCATGAGCTGTTCTTGCTCATTTCTGCAAAGCTGTTCCTTACCCAACACCAGTGCCCAGCTTTTACTATCTTTCAGAATGAGCGTCAACAACAGTGGCACTGTGTGTTTTTGTCCGTAGGAAGGTAGTTAAATGAGGAGTGTTTATAGAAATGATCTTCCAATGTTTCTGTTACTCATATTTTGCTGTGTTTCTAAAGTCACCAATACAGCTTGAGCTATGGCGGTGTATACTTGTGTGAAGACTACAGAACATTACAAGGCTCCCTGTAGTTGGGGTATACAGTGAGCCAAAGAAGCTCTTCTGGGGAAAGAAATCTCTGCTTGACTACAATTCTTGCTTGCTCCTCAAATACATATCCATTTGCAAGCTTGTAGCTGTTAGTGGGGGAAAATCAGAAGTGATAGGAAGAAAGAAAACATGGCAACCTCTTACAGGTTGATGGTTTTTATTGCTTTTTGGCGAATTAAAATTAAATCTTCCCATATGCATCTGATTAAATAACAGCCTTTTGACCCTAGAGAGCAGGGGTGGGGAATCTCTGGACATGATCCATTGCCCCCAAACCATGCCTGCCCACCAGTCTAGTCCCTCACCCTGCTTACAGCAAGCCTGCCTAGCATCTCCCCATAGATCCATCCCTCAAATAGCAATGGAAAGGAAGAGAGATATGGGTAGGATAAACACTACTAGTTGGCCTCTGGCTCTGCCCAAGCAGTCCTACTTCACTCCTCCCTGCTTCTCAGCCCCTTTGGACTTCTTTTTTTGGCAGGGATGGAGTTACTGCAGTTCACAAAAACTAAGACATCTGTTAGTCTTCTGTGGTGCCACAAGACTTTATGTCCTGTGATTAAACACCCTGCAGTGGGCTTGCCCCAATCCAGCAACAGTTCTTGCCCGAGGTGGAAGCACAACCAAACCAAAGCTCTCAGTCCTCACAATAGTGATTTTATTAAATTAGTTGCTTTTATAAAACATTGCAGATGTCATAATTGTTAACATAACAATTTACCCAACTGTCGTAACTGTTGCAGTTTGCTAAGCAGGATTCCTGTAAATGAAAAAAAAATGAAAAACAGCAAAGTCTTGTGAGAGCTCAACTAAAGCCACCACAACCTGGTGACAAAGAATTCTCCCAAAGAGTCAGGAAAAAAATGTGTATAAACTAAACTGCTTAGACTTAAGCCACAAGTTCCCCCTGCCCAATGCAACAGAACCAGCCTCTGTTCTGACCCAAAGAAAGGGTTATTTGCTGCTTTCAAAAGCTCCAATGTCCAAGTGCAGAATCTTCTCCCTCAGGCCATTTGCCAACCTAATGAAACACCTCAAGCTCTAGTTTAATAGATAAAAGCCATTTTTAATACTAAATACACACCATGCCCCCTTGCTGCAAACTGCTTTTGTTGTCTGGGTAGTCAGTGGAAGAGGTACAGTTAAGGCTGTTATGACTAAACTGTGCTGGTAAGAATACAATTTTGGCCTTGTTGAAATTAATTAGTTTCCAATTCAGTGCTGCTTCTGCTGCTATGAAGTCAAACATGAACAAAGTTCCATTATTTCCTATGATTAAGCAATTGAGCCTCATAATTTTACTCCCTTGGCATCGAGATGGGCATCCCAATGCTTCAGCAGCTGAGTGGCGACAGGCTAACCCAACAGCACAAATATACTGCCTTTTTTTTGATTGTAGCATTTGGCAGAATTTAAAGGAAAGAAGTTGTGCTACACATTTAAGGGATTATGGGCAACAGAAAGACAACAGGAGGGAGAAGAAATGTCACATGAAGTCTTCAAAGTCTTGTACATAGCCACCGTCATAACCACCATAGTCTGCCAGGTCATCTTTCATAGTTGCTTTTAAACCACCTCCTGGCACCACCCCCTTTTTCTTCTTTTTGGCTTTGTTTTGCTGCGGGAAAGACAGAAGCAGTTTAGGAAGGGTTAAAGCCCAGCCTCAGCATTCCTACCCTCAGTTAGTAAAAAGAGAACAGCACTTTCTATAAACACAGACTATGATTTATTTATTTCATGCAGTTTATATGCCATTAGATTCTTAAAAACAAACCCACCACCCGCAAAGCAGTTTACAAATAAAAGAATGGCCATTGCCTGAATTTTCTCTCATGGAGAAAGAGGTAGTCAATCACAGTATTCCGTACCATCTACTGACTATGTGTGTACAGTACTGTGTTTCACCAGAAAAATTTATGGATTTAACTAGGCAACGAGAATCGAGAAACTGAACACATTAAACATGGCAATCTCGGGATGCTTCAGCAAAGGTATTGCAAAGATGCACATGGTAAGAGGGAGATGGCAAAGAGTTCTAGCATCAATGCTTCCATTTAGATCATACAACCCTCCCCTGATCTGGCATGGTCCAGATGTATGGAACTACAGCTCCCATAATCCTGAGCCATTGGGACTGAGGGGGACTTGGGCGTCCGACCACACCTGAAGGGCACCCAATTGGGGAAAGTTGGATTAGGAACTTAGAAAGGTGTAAGAACTGAATGCTACCACAGTCACTAGAAAGAAGCATTCTACAGACGCTCAGCATCACCTGGAGCAGGGGTCAGCAACCTAAGGCCCATGGGCAGGAAGCAGCCCGCAGAGGTTGTTTGATCAGCCCACGATCTGCCCCTGAACCCAGTTGCCTGCCCGCTGTGCTAAACTGGATCAGCACAGGAACTCGCTTCCGCAGTGCCGGAAATCACATCTGCGCACGTGTGCAATCCGGCCCAGGCAAGATAAACCTTGCCGACCCCTGAGGGCACCCATCACAAACATTCTCAGAGGAAATTTGCTCAAGACGTACCTTCTCTTGTTTCTGCTTCTCGCTGCATAGCACTGTCAAGGAATTTGTGATCTTTTTCAAGTCATCAACTTCCACTAAATTGGAAATAAAAGCACAGTAAGGATGGTCATTCATATGGCTTTCCATGCACTGGACCCAGTTTGTTTCTCTTACTGAATAATGGGATTCCTATCTACAAAACAAGTGTGGCATTTTAGATCTCCACAGGAAGCCCCTTTCAGAAAAAAATGCTTCAGACGGAATGGAAAGAAGCCAAGGGAAAGAAGGGCTGAAGCTTACTAGCAAAGCATTGTGGGTGTTCAGATGCTTGTGGCCACAGGTTCAGCCGCTGCCATCTCCAGGTTACAAGCATCTCAAATGCAGAGCTGAAAAAGACCCCTCTGCCAAGCAGGGTAGACAGCCCTGGGTCAATATTCCCAGGTCAAGGCGGCTCTTCCTTATACTGCTTGTAAGTGGAAAACAGGAGACAGATGAAATAAGCAATTGCTCACAAGCTCTCACATCTCTGAAAGGAAAACCCATCAAGTCTCCCCCTTGGGGAGGCCGCCCAGCTGCTGTGACAGAGATACAAAGGACAAGGCTGATCATAGTGCTACAACCCAATCACAGAAAATATTTTAGGTGGTCATGCTGGTCCAGTAAATAGATTATGATCCCAAAAACCCTCAGGCAATGCCGATAGGACTAACTAAAATGCCACAAGGATGCTGACTGTTACGTAAAACAGCAAAACGGAGTAGAAGGGGAGCCAAGTGCAAAATAAGTCACAAGAACGCCCAAAGTGCTGCAGTTTGTAACAGTCTTCAGATGGAGCACAGGACATATTATACAGACTAAGAACGCCAGTTTAACCCCACCTGACCACCCAGCCTCTCCCAATTGATCCCCATTTTATCTCTTCCACATGTTTAGAAGAAGAGCAGAGTGCAAATTTGTGATAAGCATACTTACATGAAATACATACATCTCGAACTAATGCTTCCAAAAAACCAGCATAATATAGGGATTTCTCATACTGTGTTATTTTCTCTTTTAACAATTTGCCGAACTCCGTGAAGTCATCTTTGGAAGATGGATTCATGGCATCTATTCCACACGTGCTATTTACACCTGTAGAAAGAACAGCCAATTGATCAGAGTGGTGTTGGAGACAGGATGGCAAAAATCATTTAAATTTCTGTGGTGCCCAGAAGTGAGGGGCAAACCCACCCACCCCATTTCAAGTATCAGGCTCCCTGGTGGCAAATGTGACAACAGAACATCCTTGTGTATTCCATACATGTCCCTGCAGCAGTCTCTTAACACTTACCAAAGGTTTCTTTTGCTAACTCAAGGTCTGCCTCTTCTTGCAATTTCTGCAGCCGTAGTTTGTCTGCTAACTGTTCTTCTGGCGTAAGTTCTTTAGATTCTTCCGATTCCTCTAACTTGAAAGAAGTAATAAAATCAAGATCAACTACATGCAGCAGCTCTTTTGTCAATGCTGCTTAATAAACTAAATATGGAAGCCAATGTGGATTTTAGAAAGCTTGGCGTTCATATAGTGAGCAAATAGTGGGAATATTTTGCATCTTTACTTTAATGTCCTTACATGAACACCCCTTCTAGAAAAACAATCTGACCACTTAGTTGAGCATGCAGGGGTACCACAAACAGGTTTAACTCTTGCTTTATTCAACTATATTTAAAAAAGTGAAACTTCAAAAATAATTGCATATGTTTATATATATAACTAAGCAACAACATAGCAAAAATTGCAGAGTCCAGTATGAAACAAAATGTTTTTTAATCCCCTACCTATTACTAGAAATGGATAGTCATGTAAGACTGTAATAACACTGCTTCTACAGGGTCAAATGGACCCCCCTTTTTTGCACAAGTTAGCTTTTCAATCTGTCATTTGTGTCCATCACCAGGCACAACAATGATGAAAAACAAGATAAAATACCTCTAAAGCAGGCATAGGCAAACTCTGCCCTCCAGATGTTTTGGGACTACAACTCCCATCATCCCTAGCTAACAGGACCACTGGTCAGGGATGATGGGAGTTGTAGTCCCAAAACATCTGGAGGGCAGAGTTTGCCTATGCCTGCTCTAAAGTCAATATAGTTTGGTTAAAATACAAACACCCCTTCCCCTTCCTTATTGGAGCCTGGGAAGAGGCCTCAGCATCAAGATGGAGCCTTTAAAGACCCACAAGACCCCTGTAGTGCTCAGGGTGGTCATCCCTATTTAACCCAGTGTGACAGCTGGCTGTTATGAAAACTTTTTGCCGTTTTTGGTTTCTTCTGCTAGCTTGATTACTGTCTTAAAAAACACTTTCCTTTGCAATTATAATCAAGTTTGCCGGTACTTTCTGTTGTTGTGATTGGTCTTTAAGTAAGATACAACACTACAAATCCCAGCAGCAAAATCAAGGGCCTTCCCCTCAGAGAAGTCATGTTCACCTGGGGAGTTGGAGGGTGCCTCTCAAAGCTAACCTCACCAGGTGATCTACATACAAGCAGAGGGAACTGATTTGGGGCAGCTACGCATGTAGCGACTCACTCAAAGCAGCAACAACTGGAGCAGCTCAGTGTGACCTCATGGGACAAACTCGGAACATCCAGACAAAGATCTCACTGCGTGGATAGAGCTGGCCTTTGGTAACTCAGATAAGTATTCCCCACCCCCAGCTCTTTGACATCCTCATAGGCAAAAGCTATTGGGGCTCACTCCTTAACAAACCAAAAGGGCAGGTAAAACTGAATCAAGGCACTGAAATTTATCTGGTGCATGAAGTAGGATCTCCACCCTCTCCTATCTCAGAAACGCCTTACCCTTTTTTTAATCTCCTCTTGCTTTTTCTTCTGCAGTTTTTCCCTCTCTTTTATTTTTTCTGCTATTTTCTTCTTTTCTGAAACTTTGGGTTCTGCAAACAGGGCACAACATTATTTCCTTCCATTTTATTTTTCAGTGCTAAGGATTCAGAACAAGAACTGCTACCCACACATCATCCATAGGTATCCAATCCCATCTGCAGGAAACATGCATGAGGCTGCCCAAGCCACAACCAGCATCCTCCTGCGCCACAAAAGGAGCAGAGTCCCCCTCCCCCGCCATATTTCTCACCTGTCTTTACATCCGCCTCCTTTTCTTCTTCCTCTTCCTCATCATCCCAATTATCCTAGATGGGGGAAAGAGTAGGTAGGACTGGTTGTCAGCAGTCACGCCCAATGCAGCAGCCCCTGACCCCAACACTAGATCCTTTTTCAAATAATTCAATGCAGTCTTTGGAACTGGAGTGGATAACTTGGTACCAGGGCTTACCACTGAAGCGGCCAGGTATATTTCCACCACTTCAGATCACTGAGGCCTTATGCAAGGGAAGTTGCCAGAATTATGACTCTGCTCTTTAAGAATCTCACTGCTCCCACCCGTAAGAGTTACAGGAACTGAGAGATGGACTCTCAACTAAGGCCAAGCTCAGCCAGCAGGCTGGCTTCCTTTATGACCCACTCAAAGAATGTTTTTCCAAGGACAAAAGAAAGTTTTCCTTGGAAAATGAGAAACATTCCCACAGTGTGAAAAGCTATAGAATTTCACCCTGTGTGGATGCTGTTCCAGAGAGGAGCCCTCAACTGGAGCGCTAAAGCCAGCCATCAGCTGCTTAGCTATTTCCACCAAAGACATCTTAAGACAGCAGCCTTGAGCTGCTGCAAGATGGCATCTCTGCATCTCACTGGAGCCAGCTCAGCCACAGACTCGGGTCCTTCCGGCCTTGAAGAATTGCAACAAAGCATCAGACTTAATTGCTAACTCCAAGTAGCACACTTTAATTACCAACATAAGTGAAAAACAAGAGGGGAGGAACTGGACTTCCCAGTCCAGAGTGCTTTTGCTCACCCAGCAAGTGCCAGAACACAAGAGTTCTGCCTGGAGCTGCAGCTCCAACACATGGCGCATTGGCTCAGCAGTGTCCCTCACAGCACAGCTGGATCATCTTCCCTTGCACACCAGTCTTTCAGTCTGCAGCTAACAATAAAACAAGAACTGCCTTCCCTGCCTGGAAGTTCTTACTTGCTGCAGGCAGCCAAAGTAGTGGCTATTTACAAACCTGTTTTTGAAACAGTAGCAAGGGAGGCTCCTTTTTCCATTCCATTCCATTCAATAATCAACAGCAATGATTTACAAGTTACTCATCTCTGCATCCTTGAAAAATTCACTCTGTCTGTGTGGATAGAGACCAACTTATCTTTTGCAAGTAACATTTCTGACAAACTATACAAGTGTCAACAGATATTTGAAGTATAAGCCAAGGAAACTATGTGGCTATTTTTACCTGCAGGGATTATGACACACATCAGGCAGTCACTCATTTCCCACAAGTAAACTAGTGTGCCTGGCCATATTCTAGGGACAGGCCCTCTGACATCCCACTTTCAGCGTCTAGCTTCTCAGCAGCAACCCTACAAGCAGCCACACCCTCTGCCTGGCTTGACACACCTCCATGCCCATGGCCGATAAGGGCAAGACTGAACATATGGCCCTGCCCCAAGTCCATTTGCTCCCCTGATACAACCATGGCTGGAGCCCCAGAAAAACAAAACAAATTCATGACAGTTATTCCAGCTCTAAGAATATGATCACTATAGAAATAAACTATATATAGACAGTATGCTCATTCTGAAAGAATCTGGCAAGGTAGCTGCATCAGAGAAAGCTAACAGAAACCAGAAGAGACTCAAACATGAACCATCAACAGGGTTATTAACTTACATTAAACTTCCATCAGAGCACCAAAGTTTGTGCCCCAAGATGACAGACATAGACAATGTTACTGTTCGGTTGTTTTAAGAGAATCCAAAAATATATTAAAAACTCTTCCATCATTAAGAATTTTAGCACGTCCATGATTTTTGTTGGAGACAAATCCAGTAAGAATGGCTTGATCAATTGGAAATATCTCCCTCTCAAACACTGCACCGTTCCCCAGCTTTCTGTTGTTAAGCCCCCTGCTACATCACAGAAAGGTACAGTTGCCTGACAAGTTTTATTTCATGATTTGCCTTGTCTGCTTTTAAGGGAAAATCTGCAAAACTCAACTAGAACCTTGCCTGAAAGATACTAAACCTATTTCATGTTATTAGGTTAACCTGAAGTCCGAACAAGCTTGATTCAAACTACCTATTTCACCTGCCTAGGCACCAGTGTAATGTTACCTGGTGTAAGAGATGGTAGCTGCTCCCATCTTTATGCCCTTCCCCTTCATGATCTCACACTCTTTCCAAAACATATAATTAGATACTGACTGGTCAGCGGGCAGCTACATCTGGGTAATCCCACCTGCCTTTCTCTCTGCAGGCTGTAAGCAAGGGAGGCCCCACAGTCTAAGCCAAGAAACGGAGCCAGCCAGCTGCAAGCAAGAGAAGCAGGACTTGACAACAAGAGATCTCAAGTCCATAGAAAAAAGCGGGGTGCCTTACAATGGTGACCCCTACCAGCGGGGCCATACAGACCTTGCTGAGATCTCCTTGGGCCCGCTCTCCCCTCCCCACATACATACAGGCAGCATAAAGCATTTGGCCATGGCGGTGCCACATGCCCCCGGGCCAAATCCTGCCCTAGATGAGCAAGTGCCAAAGCCGAGCCCGACACAACCAAGTCGCACGCGGCTTCTCCCGCGGCGGGGCCAACTTCCAGATCGACTGGGAAAACGGCTTCCACGTCCGGGGCTCCCTGGAACGACTGGCAAGGGGGCGCCGAGGGGCCGCGCTGGCCGAGCAGCGCAGCAGCCCCGGCACCTGTTGGGCCGCCACATGGCAGAAGCGGAAGCGGCCCAGCAGGCGGCGGCCTGAGCAGCCCCCACCCCCATTACATACAGGATCCTTTCCTGCTGAGTCATCAGCCCCTTTCCCGAGCCGGAGGGAGACCCAGCCCGAGAGGGAGGAGACCCAGCTCGACATATGGAGGGCCGCGGAGGAAGGACGGGGAGGCAGTTCCAACACGCTCCCCCCCCCGCCCTGTTCCCGCTCGGAGAAGAAGACCCCCCCAAATCCGCTTCCAAGTCCCCACCCCTGTCGCGGGGGGAGGCAGAGGCGTCTCCATAGCGACCGGGCCTACAAGGGGCCGGGAGGGGAGAAGCTGCCCACCTTGACGTCGTCGTCCTCGTCCTCGCCGGCCCATCGATCCACCGCCACCACCCCGGCCGGCGTGGGTAGGAGCCGCCTGGCCACGGGGTCCGGCGCCTCGAAGGAGTCCACGTCTGTGGCGGGAGAAGGAGGGAAAGCGGCGTCAGCGGACGGCGCTGGGCCGAGGGGAAGGGGGAGGGAGGGAGCAAGACGCGCCGCTGGGCCGGACTAGGCCGGGCCGGACTTACCCCAGGAGTCCGCCTCGGCCGCCATCTTGCCCGCTTGCTCGCTCAGGCCAGTCAGGCAAGCAGGAGGGAGGAGGAGAAGTAGGCGTCAGCCGCGCGGAGCATGCCGGGATGGAGGAGGCGGAGTGGAGCAATGGGCGGAACTTCCCGCCGACCCGCTCCGCCCCCTCGCAGACCCCGACGGCGACGTTGGCCATAGATTTACTAAAATGGTGACTTGAGCGCGGGGACCCAGCTTCCGGCTCTGTTTAGGCCGGATAGGAGTTGCCGCCTGTTACCCGAAAAAGCAGAGGAGGGAGAAGCAGTGTCTCTGCAGACTCCCGGCCGCCGCCTTGACATTCATTTATTCTACGGGTGAGAAAAACAGCCCCAGACCTCATGGTTTACGTGCTGACACACGGCGCAAAAGCCAAAGGGATTGCAGGGCGGAGATCGGGGAAGCGGAGCAGCCTCAGGCCCTGGAATTCTTGGCATGGCCAGCTTGGGGGAGGCAGAACAACTAAGCAGAGGCGGCGGCAAAAGTTGCTGGTAGGGAGGCCCTGCGCTCCAAGTGCAATGTCTGCGGGTGGCTGACCCTTGAGGGAGGAGCCCGTGGAGTTTATTCCATGCGGCCTCTCCCAACTTGCTGCCTTCCAACTTCCAGCAGCCCCCCAGCCTGGGCCGCCATGGAATATCATAGAACTGCAGGAGTTGGAAGGGACCCCAAGAGTCATCTAGTCCAACCCCGCGCAATGCAAGAATCACAGCTAAAGAATTCCTGACAACCGCTACTTAAAAAACCCCCATCAAGGTGAGGCCACCACTTTCTGAGGAAGTCCGTTCCACTGTCCCAACAGTTCTTACGCTCAGAAAGCTCCTCCTAATGTTTAGTCACAATCTCCTTTCTTGTCATTTGAATTCATTGGTTCGGGTCCTCCACTCTAGAGCAGCAGAAAACAAGTTTGCTCCATATTCCATGAGACAGCCCATAAAATATAAAACACAGTGCACTTATAGAAAATATGAAACACTTATGCCTGCAGGGATTTAAGCTGGTGACCCTGCGGCCTGTTTTAGTGCCCTTCACTTTTGCATTACTGCAAGTCTACTGACCTTTCCCAGCTCTTGTCTCCACTTTCAAGACTTCGAATGCAGAATAAAGTTGACTGTTGCTTTTTGCTACTTGAAAACAATGGTTCTGTTACATTAGGCTTTTTTGTAGACTTACACCATGACTGCCTCTTGCTCGCTGCTATTCACTGCTATCCTGAGAGCCTTTTCACACATGACACTGTCAAGACATAGTCATCACCCTACCTATTATTTAATTCAATCCCAGCCTCTCATCTTTTGGCAGAATGACAGCAAGAGCACCAGTGTGGTGTTTGAACTTGGGACTTAGAATAGCTGGCAGGCAGTGGCAACCATGCCTGGGCAAGTATGCCTGCCTCCTTTATTTTTTGCTTTGAACTGTTGTGACTGAAGTGGGAGCTCACTGAGCACCAGGACTTTGCAACAGGCAAAATTCCCATCTTTAGCTCTAGGGGGCGCCCTGCCACCTCCTTGCTCAGCTCTAATCAGCAGTCAAGACTGAGTTACATCTGGCAGCTCTGAGAATCTGCAGAGGTTTTTAAAGCACTCTAAGCACATGCATGTTTCAGATTGTGTGATCAATTTTGTAGGAGCTGGACAGGAGACTGCAGAATACATTAGGCCTGCCCTGGATGCTGCAAGCAAAAGGGACAGATAGGCAGTTAGCAGCCTCCAGGTCGCTGGGAATCAGGATTGGTAGAGCTGGAAGGGAGCCGAAGAGTAATCTAGTCCAATCTTGTTTCTCAAGTGCCTCTGAAAAGCCTGCCTATAAACAAAGAGAAGCACTTTAGGGAAGTCAATAGCAGGTAGCCTGCCAAATGACCAGCAGCAGCTTTCACCAACCTGGTGCCCCTCAAGGCGTTTTGGACTACAACTCTCATCAGTTTTGCCTGGGCTTTCTCTGCTTTTTGCCACTGGATGGGTTTTGAGATTCTTTGATTCAGCTTGGCTCAGGGCATCTTTTGCCGACCTGGGGGCTGATGGGAGTTAATGGTCCAAATCATTTGAAGGCACCACTCTAGCAGAGGTTGTGTTAGGTTTTAACAAAAAACAAACGCAAGTTTGCCACCACCACCCCTTTTGTATTTAAAAAGAGTAAATCTTCTTTGTGTGTGAATTACTTCTAAGAGAAGATAACTATTTAATTTAACACAAAGCTGCATTTGTTAGGAAACCTGATGTCTTGAGCATGCTCAAACCAAGCACTTGCACAACCCTGCTCAGGGAAGTTTTTAGTTTGTGATTCTGTATTGTGTTTTTACTATTTTTTGTTGGGAGCTGCCCAGAGTGGTTGGGGCAACCCATATAAGTAAATCATAATAATAGCAGAGATCCACAAACCTATGGAGATGTACGTAAGATAATCTAATTTTTACTGTTTACAAAGCGCTGCACACCCGTTAACTTTAGAAAAGTTTTGTTAGTATTAATTCTTTTTTAAAAAGCTGGAGTTGTGGATAGGTAGTGCCAGATGACTTGCTGTCCCATTTCTGATGTTTACTTGAGTGAGGGAATTCAATATCCTAAGCCATTCAGGAAGGAATGTCATTTGCTGCTTAGGGGTTAGTAGTAGGTTTTGCTTTAGGTTTTAAGTTTTTTCTTGCTGTTCACCTCTAACCCACAAGCCATATTATGCATGCAAAATCCTTAGAAAAAGAAACTTAAAACAAAGGAAAATGTATAGTAGAAATAACATATTATGCCCTTGTAATAACTAAACAGTGGGGGTAGAGTCATATATTCTTGTTAAACAGTTTTTATCAGGGAGCGAGAAAAACTGGTATGTCCCATTACACAGTCCCTCTCAAGGTAACATTCAGAGTCTCTACTGATCATTTCATTGGAGGGTTCTTTTTTAAATTACTAAGCCATTTGCAAAATGCCTAAATTTGCTTTAGACAATCTATGGCTGCTTTCTTATTTTTATTTTAATAGTCTGTATATTTTAATACAGTATGTGATTGGTCAATCATAAACTATATTCTTAATTAACTGGTTTTTTAAAGGCACCAAAAAAATGAACAAATGACTCACATTTTGAGCATCAGAAACCAGTTTACAAAAGGATGCAAAACATGACAGCCAGTGAATGAAGAATTAAGACACTGATCTGAAAGTGCTCAAATCTTCATGAATACAAAGTAGCAGCAGCTTGTTGTGATAGCCAAACCCAGACTAAACCCTGCAAATGGAAAGTGCTCCTAAAACAATTCTTAGCAGATTAGAACTTGATATGGCTCAATAGCCACACCAAACTATAGTTGAGGAAGCTTAATTATGGTTTGGGCTGATACCTGAATTGACCAAGCACACTTTGCAGCAATCGGACTCTTGTGCTAACTTCTGCTAACTAGGCCATGGCACAATGTTTGACTTGGCAAACCATAACTACAGCTGTAGCTTTACCTCCAGAGAATGGAAACAAGGATTGCTGAGCACATGGAACATAAAAGGAGGCAGCAGCTTTAAGCTGTGTCTGCCTGTCCATTTGGAAAAGAATCATCTGGTTTGGTGATAGGGCTTTTAAAAATCACATCAAAGATGGGTGCTTTTGCTAAAAAGGGTGGGGGTGACAGATGAGGAAAATCTGAACAACTTTGGACTTTATGCAAGTAGGAATTCAGCTGGAGTAAGTGATGGAATACAAGTTTGTGTGCTTTGCCTTTTTTCAATGATAGTTCTCAAAATGCATTTGGCCTAAATGTTCTCTATAACAAAAGGAAGACCTTCCCATACTACCTTGTTTAGTTATTCCAAATTCAAGGAAAAAAACAACCCAACCATGCCAAAAGATTGAAATCGCAACACCGTATGACATTTACAATAACCATAGTAGCATTTTTACATTTCCACCGAAAAGGGACAATGGGAATTAAAAATCAGACTTGCACCAACTTACAAAATGATACTTTAATATGTATTTACAGAGCAGCCTGCAATGGTTGATTTAGCTGTCCTAGGTAGGACTGTAGATTTCCCTACAATTTCTAATAATCGTCGTTGTAATAGCTCACATTCTTTCTTCTTTTCTCTTTTCAGTGATCACATAACAGGTAGGTTGGTAATATGCACTGTGTCAGCTTCACGAAAAGCAGTGGGGTTTGTAATGGATTTTTTTTTTTTTTAAAATGGAAATGCACAAATGCTTTAGAAAGGTACTCTAAAGAAGATGCTGTACAGTTTTTCCTTCAAGTCACCAAAAAATGTCCAACTATTTATTTGGTGGGGAGGAGGTTCTACTCACTTATTTCTGAACTGCAGAAAATAAAGAATCTCTCTGTGCCTACCTTCCACCGAGGCAGGTACATTTTGCTCCCATCACAGCTGCCATTATCGTGCTGCTGTCACCCCACTTTTAGCTGGTGCTTCTATCAAGCTGAAGAAACTCAGCCCGGGCAGGTGTCCCTGCAAAGCCTCCTCGGTCAACTTCTGTATCCAAGTGTGAACAGAAAGAGTGTGCATGGGATGCCTCTTCCTAGAGACTACTGGGAAAAACTGCTGTGGGTTGCTAGCATTGGTAGGAGCAATAAGGGAGTGTTTCTTGGTTATCACTAGATGTATCTTTTCCTTTAAAAAAAAATATGTGGGAAATTTAAAACTTAACATTTTCAAAATCAAATGTATCTATATCGCTATTTTTAGCAAAACAGGAAGGGAGTGGTTACAGGGGTCACTTCTCTGCAAACACATACACATTTATAATTATATATGTATATATATATTAATATACATATACATATATATATATAATTTATTATACATACATATATATGTATATACACATTTATATATATATATATATATAAAATTAGTAACATTATGTACATTTTATTTCAATAAAGACGTTAAGACAAACAGCATAAAGATGTTCAGATGCCCTAAAGATAAATACATTTCAGAGATTCTCATTAAAATGAATTTGTATCATTTTCCTGCAAGCAAAATACCTTTAGCATTCTAGATAGCAAATGCCTTTCTTTCTTTCTTTTTCTTTCTTTCTTTCTGCAGAAAATCCACCAAAATTTTGTTTCAAATGAATAATGATTTTCCACAAAGCAGGCTTGCTCTACATGCTTACTTTTTTTTAACAGTTCAGTGACACAATGTGCTAGCTACATATACAACAGATAATATAGTAAGAAAACACTCAACCTGATGAAAAGTTAAAATCTTCATTAATACATTGGAAAAAGTTGATATAACTCATGCCTTTTAAAATCAAAAAATACAAAAATTAAATGTTTTCCTAAAAAGATTTTCCTTATTTTAAGGACTCATTTGAAAATGAAGCTGCGTGTAATTTGTACAATAAAATTGTACAAGTAAACAGGTAATATACATAAAAAATTAATTGACATACTTCTCAATTATCAGTTGTCCACCTTTAATTTCCAATACTGTACTTTCTTTAACAAGCATACAAAATATCAAACTTCTCTTTAGAAAAAGTGCCATTCTGCAACACCCTTTACACAAAAACAGCCCGAGCCTATGGCATGTCAATGCAGTTTAGAGGCAAAGCTTACTAACTTTTACAAATTTTTCCTTCCATAAAAAGCCTCCTAAAAAGGAGATTACACTCCATTAAAAAAATATCAGCCTCTTTGTACAAGCTGCATTAGAGAACCAAGGCTTGAAAACCATTTCCATATAGCATAGAAAACCACTTTGATAGCATATCAGCTGCACTGGTGGCAAAGGAGTGTACTGAACCACAGGGTTATGCACAGTTACTGTGGTGGCCCTGTCCCTGCTAGGCAAGAAGTTTAGCGTTGATTGTAACAAGCTGCATAGCAGAGAGACCAACCCACGCAAGACAGTTTCAAATACTGAACTGCTCTCCACAATACTTCATTCTTGGAGGACACCGAAGGCAGAAGTAACTGAATTGCATTAGACCAAGCAAGCTCTCCCCAAGGACTTGTATTATGCACAGTAGACTCTGAGGTATTGATCCTTGTCCATCAGCCATGCGCACCACCACAATAGATCATCTCTGTCCAGAGTACATGCCATCACAATGGTTTAAATATTCTGAATATTAGTAATTCTTATATTTTTTCTTATCTAGCCAGTCTCTTGATTTTTTTTGAAAAGATTTCCACTACAGTAGAATATTACAGAAACAAAAAATATATATTTAAACGCAGATTTCTAAATGAAACTTACATGGAATAAAACTAGATAATATTTTTAAACAAATATACAGTATGCAGGCAGTCAAAGCAGGAAAATGGCCATTCAATTGTATAATAAAAAACTAATAAAACTTGGCTATTCCCAGAAAAACTATGAAGCCGCCTCAACTAAAAGGAATGCATAATGAAATTCTAAACTCTAATACAAGTCAAAAATGTAAGAAGGTTATAAACCTTAACAGGAAAAAAAAACATTTACTGGCCATTCCTGTTGAAATGAGAATCTTAAAAGTAACACAAAGTGGCTATAAACCCACTTAGAGAGCACCGAACAGAGAGAAAAGAAAAAGAGTCCATTTTCAATCTCTGTTATTTCATAAAATCCTGTGTGTGTGTTTATAGGTCAAACTGCTGGTGGCAGAAACAGAATTCTTTAAAAACGGCAGATGTCCTGTACATAAAAAAAATTATTGGAGTTGCACTAGTTCTAAAGACGCTTCTGTTCTAGCCTACCTACTGTATGGATTCCATTTGGCGAATATTATTATATAAAGTTCTTCTGTAACCCTTGATTATTGTTGGGCACCAGAGATAAGAAAAGCGAGACAGGGTACAAAAATGCAAAAATTTCAACAGTAATGGCAATGTTTTTGTTTTAGTCCAAAAAGAAAAGGAAAAAAAAGGTCCTGCATTTTCTTCTCCTTCAGCTACCTGGCAAAGCATTGGTGTTTAGTCAGGGGGTAGTAAGTCGTGCAAGCGAAATCTGTCTCTGATGTGAGGTCGAACATCTTCATTCTAAAAAGAAGCAAGGAAGGAAAAACCAGTAACTTCCATGTCTCATATGTAAGAAGCAGCTCCACTTGTAAAGTGCACGGTAGTTCACCACCACAGCAGAAGAAAAGATGTCAACAGAGATTCTAATTTTCAACTGCTCACCTGCAATTTTTCCACAATTTTCTTTTACTCAATGTTATGCCTAAGCCTACTTCTATGCAGAATTTCCAAGTACACTGACTTCTTGCATGCATGTAAAATCCAGCGAATGATTTTGCTTTTGTTCCTCTCCAACCCAATTCCAGAGACTCAAGGCAGCTCCACTACTCTAGCCATCCTCTGCAAAATTCCACATTGCTCGGTCTCCTGAAAGCGTTCATCTTTGAGCTTTGGCAGACTTTACATTTACTAATGCAGAAGCTATAGCAGGAGTGGGGAACCGCCAACCCATGGGCCAAATTGGAACCTGTGCTGGGCCAAATTAAGCCAGGCAAGCTAGAGGTTCCCCGCCCCTGCTCTAGCTTCTTATTCCCAAACCACACCAACCTGCCCCACACCTAATGAGACATGCAGCATCAGGTGTGGGGCAGGTGCACAAAGTGCTAAACCTTAGAAGTGTGCGCCTGATTGCTGTCACCACCAATTGGTGAATGGGTACTTAAAAAGGTAATGGTAAAGGGACCCCTGACCATTAGGTCCAGTCGTGGCCGACTCTGGGGTTGTGGCGCTCATCCCGCTTTATTGGCCGAGGCAGCCGGCGTACAGCTTCCGGGTCATGTGGCCAGCATGACTAAGCCGCTTCTGGCAAACCAGAGCAGTGCACGGAAATGCCATTTACCTTCCCACCGGAGTGGTACCTATTTATCTACTTGCACTTTGACATGCTTTCAAACTGCTAGGTTGGCAGGAGCTTGGACCGAGCAACGGGAGCTCACCCTGTCACGAGGATTCGAACCGCCAACTTTCTGATTGGCAAGTCCTAGGCTCTGTGGTTTAACCCACAGCGCCACCCGTGTCCCTCTGAATGGGCACTTAGAGCATGCCAAATGAGATTGGGTGCACTACTAAGTTCCCCATGGGGAATTCCATAGTGCAGCCAACCCCACAAGAAAGCAGAAGTCAATGACTATCAGCTGACATAGGCTAACTTCAAGCTCCATGGGACTTGTTGTACTACTGAGTTCCCCAAATGGAACTCCACAGGGAGTTGAAGGGGCTTGCAAAGAGCAGAGGAAAAGCTCCTTGCAGGCAGCCCTGCTAACTGTTTTGAAGTGCCCGTGATTAGCTGATCAGTGGTGCTGAAATCACTGTGCAGAAATATTTGCAAACCCTGCATGATGATCTGGAATCCCAAACAATGTTTTTTTAGGGAAGGCTTTTTACATCAACATCAGCATCCTCAATTATGCCCAGAAAGCAACAGAGGGCCACTACACTTGTAATGCTATCAAGTTTTAAGAGGGAAAATTTTATCAAAAGATTAATCACTGAAATACATACCATTTCTACAAGTTTCTCCAGAAAAGGAATCAATTTTAGGAGCTCATTGTCATTTTTATCCATGAACCAGCTCTCTATAGGAATTCCATTTGAAAGCTAGAAAAAGAAAAATATCAGAGGCAAGTTAAATTATTTATATATTTTTATTTGAATTTATAAACCCTTCCTTCATTCAGCTCACAAGGCATATTATAATTAAATACATGCAATTAAATAGGCCAACACCAGACATATGGTCAATTTACAAGAATTTCTGAAGCGAGTTCAGGCAAGTAGCAATACCATCTTACTGTGAGTTTCATTTTTGGCAATTCCCCTATGAGCCCAACAGTCCCCAAACATGAAAAGCTGTAACGGTGGGAAACAAGGCTGGGGAAAGCAGTTGGAAACTTCAGTGCATTAAGTGCATCTTGCCTTACTACAGATTGTAGCTACAATCAATACAGTGCAGCTTCTGTTTCTGTCAATGGATCATATCAAAACTTTGTTTGCTTCCTCTCCATTCCAGAGATTTCATGCTTAATGCTGAAACATCCTGGCCCCTAATCCAGGAAGGCGTGTGAGGGCAAATCTCTTAACATGAGCAAAACTAATACAGGATAAGATCAACAGCAGTGTCCTAACTCTGATTCAACCACATAATTTCACATAAGCACACTTTTTCAGTATTTATCATGAAATATTGTGGTAGCAAACTGCCCTTCAAATTGTAAAGTACCATATACGTTTTGTGGTGAATTAGGTACTTGCCACCACATGCATAAACAAAAATCATGCTTTTTTACTTGCTGAGGCTACAGATGAAGTTACGTTAGCATTTGTTTTGTCTGCAGAGCCAGCTGCGGAGAAAAAACACTCACCTGATAGGCAAAGGCTTGTGGTGAATTGTCAATAATAATAGTTTTTGAGAGATCTCTACCAAGGATATTTAAATCCTTTATGTAGTTTCCTTGTACACAAACACAATGCTCACGGAAAAGTCGATGCCTGTATTTGGTTAAAAGAACACATTCAGATTACATGGAGAAAAATGTATATGAAGAAAATGCTGCTTTTTACAAGATTTCCTCTCTTTCACGGGATTTAATGTTAAGATTTGTCTTTTTATTAAATGGTAGTTTTTTGGTGTGTGTGGTGTTATATCTATTTGAAAAATAGATGCAAAAACACAGCTAAAGGTGGTTGTTTTTTGGCTGAAAAATAGGTTTTTAATTCTCTGCGGTACAATACTATATATATATATATCACGCAAATCCAAACAAGGCCTTGTGTTCTTAATGATTAATTTGACCAGGAGGTGGAGCACCTGTGCTGTTATCTATGGAAGAAAATCAGGCAATGATGAAGTGTTTTTACAATGATCCCGTAACATTTGGAGAGAACCCAAAGACAGCCAAGCCTCAACTTCCATCTTTCACGCACAAGTCCACCAGGAGAATTCAGTTGTTGTTCTTATGTTGATGTAGTTTTCATGTTTGAGCCTAATTTATTTGTACTGATTTAATTTTTACTATAATCTGCCAAAAGAACTTTTGTTATTGTGTGGGATATAAATATTATGAATAAATAAAATAGGATGGCTCATCTTCAGGGTTCCAAACATCCAGCTGTGTCTTCCTTCAGCATAGTACACGCTATCAGGTCAACAGACCCCCTCCCCGCAAGTTTCTGTTTTTCTTTCCCAATATTCCAACATTCTGTGGTTCCTGGACACTACTGAGCATGCCCAGCAAACATTTGGGAGTTTTTCTTTTTTGCTTTTAAAAATGTTTTGTACTTCTGCATACCTCGGGGTTCACCCAAGCGTGCCGATACCTCCCTCCTGTTCCTCAGTAGCCCAATTCTGTCTGCACTCAGCCACATGAGTTCACTATTAGAAGGAACAAGTGGGACCTGCAACAAAATGTTGCATCATTAACACGAGTGCTTCTCTTCAGACTTCCAGTCAGTCACATATTTTTCTAGGATACTAGGTGCTGCTAGGGACTCAAGCAAGTCAGTCCAGCCCACCCCTCATTCCAGGCCAACTGAGTATCCTATTTTTCATTTACCAGTACACTCCCTCATATATGTAGGAAGCGCTACCTCATTGGCAGGTAGCCCCATTTTTCTCCCATGCGGACCCTTCAGGTGATGCTGGACTCCAACTCCCAGCACCCCCAGCAGCTAATCTATGGTCAGGGATGGTGGGAGCTGTAACCAACCACATCCAGAGGGCCCCCACAGATTTCCCACCCCTGCACTACTAGACCATCTGAGTTGCTACCACATATATGAATAAAATGGATAATCAAATCCTCCAATAGCAAACTCAAGGGGATTGAGTGATAACAGGGAATTGGAGCCAAAATGGGGTCACTGAGAATCAAGAGGAATATTTTAAAATGCTTAGTGATCCCTAAAGTATGCAGAAATACAACACTTTAAAAAACATCCTGTGGCAATCACACAGGGTCCCCGGACGTTTGACAGTCTATTGATCCCTGTGCCACCACTGTGATTGCCTCCTTGCTGCCACCAACCCGTTTCTCTCGGGTACACATGGAGTCCAGACAGTTGTTAACATTAACAAATAATCAATTTATTTTATAAGCATGAACAACAACTTATAAGCATGTTCCTAACAACTTCAAACTGATTATCCCAATTATCTATCTGACTCCACCTAACAGTTCCTCTCACTCTCTCACATTAAAACTAGACCAACCCACAAACTTATCCTCCCTCTTCCTTCTCCAACTCCCCACTAACTTTCAAACAACTCCAACTCTAACTCTAACTCCTCCCCTTGGGTTACCACTGGCCAATCACTTCACACTCATTTAACCCTTTCCTTATGACCCACCTAGGAGGGCAAACACCACACCCCCCCACCCCGGAACATAAGAGTCCAATGAGAACTGAGCATGCCACCAGTGGCCACTGCAAGCTGCTATGGAATGCTGACATAATTTGGTAAAGAAAACCAGGAAATGGAAGGCTGGGGTGGGTAGAAATGGAACGAACTGGCCTGCTTGAGCCCCTCAGAACCTGGGGAAGGTATGGCTGGCAGGTGGGAACCCTGAACATGAGCACTCAGTAGGGCCTGAGGAGACACTGCAGCATTTTGTTGCAGGCACCCATTTGTTGTTGTACTGTTCAACGTTTCCAAGGTTTCAAAATAGCCTGTTGTCAGCGTTTTATCTGTGTTTCCATGTGTATTCAGCTATGATAACTAAAATGCACTCAGGTTCTACATCATAATAGTGTATGCTACAATTCTGATTAAAAAAGAAATAACAGCCACCACTTGGTCATCAAGCTTACCTGACCAGTTGCTTTTTGGGGTCTAGTATGTTCAGCAATTTGTCTGCATATACCTTCTTTGAAGCAGTAAAAAGAATGATCTGAAAATGAAGGGAGGATGTTGTTATTATCTGTTCTACTGCTGAAGGCTAAGATAATCATACAAGATCCAAATTAAGTCCCTTTACCTCGTAGATTTGGGACATACGCTCCAAAAATTCTCTGAAGAATGGTCTTAATCTCACATAAACCTAGAACAAAAAGAAAAAGCAATTTTAAAATACACAGAACACAGGGACATTTTGCTTCAAATGGCAGGGGTTTCTGAAACTATAGTTGGTGGACAGCAGTGAAAATTTACAGTAAAATACTTATTATATTCAGTAATTGAAGAAGAAATAGTAATGCTAGAGAGGGTGTAAAATTCTTATTACTGTTTGCTTGTATAATTGGAAAACAAAACAAAATAAAAAACAACCCAGTTATTGTTTGGTTCGTATGTTAGTTTGTCCATATGTTTTATGATAAATCAATAAAAATTACTATTACTACAACTCAAAAACTTTTAGCATCATCTACTGCACTTGATACAATGGCAATTGTACCAGGCAGTATCTTATTTTTATTATTATATTTTTATTTATAAGAACATTTGTAAACCACCAACACATAATAGTATCAAAACTGTACAGTAAAATCATCATAAAAGTTTTAAAATCTTAAAATTATAGAATCATAAAATACAGAACACTTTGTCTCACCAAAACTGTATCAAATTAATTTTCTACAAACAAATAAGTTTTCCGCAGGCAACAAAATACCAGGATTGTAGGTGCCTGGAAAAGTGTTCCAAATTACTGAAAGCCTGGGTATGCTATTTCAGCATGTTCCGCTATACTGAAAGCCTTGATATGTGGAGAAACTAAAAAAAGTATGGGATAACTGGGACAATCAAGAAAGCTTCTCCAGATAAGCACAGTACATAAGGAATAAGGCAGTCCGTTCAGGTAACCTGGTCCCAGGTCATTCAGGTTTATACACCTTTATAATACATTGAGCTTAGTTCAGTAACGTACTGGCAGCCAGTGCAGAGCTTTCTTCATCTGTGCAATATGCAGTGTTCCAGCAACAATTGGGGTGCAGCATTCTGCACTAGCTACAATTTCTGAACCAACCTCTAGAGTAGCCCCAAACAGAGTGTGTAGTCCAGTCTAGAAGGTGACCAAGGGCAGTACTACTGTGGCCAAACTATCCCTCCTGACATAAGTGTGTACAGGATGGAAGCCTTAGCTGTACTCTGTAGCTTCCACAAGAATGTTCCTCAGCAAAGATCCCTGTTTAAAGCAGGGATGTGCCACCACTTAGCTCACAAAGGACACATGTGGGTGGTGAGCGGCTGCATGCCTGTGGGCAAGGCTGGTGTTGGCTGGGACTGGAGAAAAGGAGAGCTGAATGAAGTGCACCCCAGTGCCCAACGGTGCCTTCATTATGTATCTTAGGCGCCAGGCAAACACATCCTCCTTCTCTCAGGCCTTTGGCTAATTAAACAATCTATGGCCTTTAAAACTATATGGGGTGGGAGGTATTGCTTTAGTTTGTTACTATGTTATGTATTTTTGTGCTTTTATATTGTAAATCACCCTGTGGTCCTTAGATGAAGCTAAAAATCAACCCATTGCAGCAAATTGGGCTCAAGAAATGGAAGAGATACAGCAGCAGAAGCTTTGCTGTTTATCTGCTTTGGTGCCTGGGGCAAGTTATGGTGGGAAGGGCCACCTGTTTTGCATGCAGAAAGTCCCATGTTCAATCCCCAAAATCTCCAGGTACAGCTGGGAGAGAAAATACTGAGTTCAGCCGACGAACTGTCTAAGTCTAAGTCAGCTTCCTATGTTCTGGTGTTCCCAGGTTACCCCTCCCTCCCTATGTAAACAGCATGCCCCAGTCTGGCAAACAGCTCTTTAGCAAGGTATGGGAAGAGTGACTGTGATGTGGAGGAAGGGATAACTCTCCCTGAATACCTTCCAGTCCATCCAAATTGTGCTCCCTCAGGTGGGTGGGAGATGAAATTCAGCAGTGAGGGTGGATTGAGTGCCTGTGGTGAGTCACACTGAAGGGCATGAGAAGGTTGCTCTCTAGTGAACTAAAGAGAAGTCTTATTCACTGATTAACAATCCCTTCATCAGAACCTCTGCAAGTGCCAATACAAGTTATTAGTACCCAAGTGTGTACTGAGTACTGACTCATAGAATCACAGAGTTGGAAGGGACCCCCAAGTGCCATCTAGTCCAATCCCCTGCAATGCAGGAATTGGTTTCCATCCAGAAGAATAAACAATATTTGGCTGCAAAGTGGACAAAGAAGTTCTTGGGTTCACATTATTTCCAGTTGGTGTCAATAATTTAAGACAAGCTACCAATATGCCTTCGTCTAAGGGAAAAGCACAAATGCTAAAGGAGTGAGCAAGGCCTTTAAAAAAACCTCAACTCTAGACAGTTGCTATATTTTAGGATACTTAATTCTATAGTATCTTTCAGTGCCCAACTTGCTTTACAACTCTCATTTGCCTTCAAAACCACACTGAGAAACAAATTAAGCAGATCACCACTTCCAAAGGACCACATGACAGAGAATTTAAACCCCATACTGCCATCTTGAATCAGTACTGTCACCACAGGCCTTTGCAATCAACAGAAGATGATCATTAAAAAGGTGGGGAGAGCAAAAGAGTGAACTTGCATGGTCTCAGTCATTCTTTGCACAGTTAAATAACTACTTGAACCTTCCTTCCTATTATTATTAATTAAATTTTTAGTCACCAACTCCAAAGCCTCCTGATGACTTACAATAAAATAGTTTAAAACATCAACCTGTAAGATAAATACAGCATAACCAAGTTTTTAACAAAGCAACAAACTAATAACAAAATCCACTCCTCAAGTATGGACACAACCCCCATTAAAATTTTAAAAAATTGAGCTACCCTGGCAGATAGCATTAAGGGCACCAACTGAGAAGAAGATAGTAAACTGCCTGGGAGGAAAGACAGGTATTTGCCTGCTGCCACAAAGACTGGTGCCAGGAGAGCATCTCTGGAGAAAGCACCCCAGAAATGGGGGACAACCACAAAAAAGTCTTTCTTGTTGCCATTCTGATTTTCAGCAAGATCTTGGAGGAAGTGTCTTCTGGAAGACCAAAGGACCCAGATAAGCTCAAGCTTGGCTGCAGTAATGGACCACATCACTACAACACGATCATCGTGACCATTTGCACCAAATTAGTTCTAAATAAATTATGTAGCAAATAAAGAGGACTCTGGTCCACAAAAGGCTTTTGATTGTTTTTGCCTTTTGGAGTTTGACTGAATAATGGTTTTTCACAGACTAACAATAGTATTATGAAGCTGACACTTCAAACTTCCTTGCCATTTTCACTGGGCCCATATCAAAACAGAATAGGGGCAAACTCTGTTTATCTATAGCCATAGATGGCCGTGACTGCAATTTTGCAATTTCAAGCATACTTGGAAACTGGTTTCCCCTCAAAGCAATGAAACGTACTTCCAGATGTGAGCATTTGGCTTGAGAGGCAAAATGCTTAAGGGTTAGGACCAGGTCTGGAACATTTACAGCTGCAGTTCTTAACCTGCTTACTCTAGAGGAGCTTTTTATGAGACTAGCAGTGGAATAAGTGGATAGAGGATTACAAAGGTTGAGGAACAGAGGTCACTAAACTCCTAACTAAATGTTCAAGTTTGCAAAAATCAAGTTTTATGGTGCTAGCCCTGTGCTAGGCAGAAAAGGACTGCCAAGAAACTAATCACTCAATCAATCATTTTATTTGTATGCTGCCTTTCCAAATTTAAAACTACGCTCAAGGCAGCTTACAACATATAAAAAAATTGCATAACTACTAATATAACAAAAGTAGTTATAAACACTAAACAAAATATCAAAACCATTGAACACTTTCCACATAATTTTTAGGATTTTTATTTTGGATTTTACAATTGAACAGCAAAAGCAACAACAACCCCACCCCAAACAACACCCCCTAAACAATAGCCCAGCCCAAGAACCAAGGAGGGGTTTGTAAAACTGGAACTCTACATTTATTCCACCCAAGACTCAAATGTGTTGTTGCTCACTTCAGCAATATTTATATAAAGAAACCTCATAAAGTAGTGTTTACTTCTCAGCTGTTCTCAGCAAGTTGTAATATTGGCAAGCCACAGAAAAGAAGATGATGCTATCAGCCAATTTTCAGCTCTTGCTTTTACTATCCAAAATATTCTAAGGTAACTTCCTAACTTATCTAATTAAAGAGGAAGCTGAACACTGGTGTCATTAAACATGATTTCTTCTGGGGAAAGGAAATACCTCATTTTAAGCCTCAGAATTTTGGAGGGTTTTACAGAACAAAAAAAGACTAAATCCAAGTTTTAAAATTAGGGTAAAAGACCTGGACAAGTGTCCATTTAAGGTGCCTGATGTCATTCTCCAAAGATACTACAGAGGAGTCCAATATCGTGCAAATTACATGAAGGGAAGCTGTTGCTACTCCCAGGTACATCACACAATAGGGACCTGAGAACAACAGCTGGGGTCAGTGCAGCATCTTTGGCAGTTGCTGGAACACACCTCCAACTCTTCCTCTTTCCTCTGTTCTTTGCTGACCGAATTGTTGTACACACAGTAGATGGAAGCTAAGAATATGTTGTGAAGCACAACCAACAGCTAGCAATCTGGTAGTCTCCATCAACAAAAGCAACTCCTGCCACACAAGCAGCACCTAACTATGAAGGAAGAGATGGATCTGCACAAGTTATTCCCAGGTCTGTATTTTTAATCCCTTTTGAGCAGAATAGCATGGGTCGATTTTACTCAGGCAAGGCAGAAAAGCAAGTCTGCCCTAAGCTCTTCTGTAGTAAAATTATTTAAGCTTCCAGAACTCCTGCCTCCACCTGCTGGCAGGGAGAAAAGCTGCCACGTAGAAAGACAGCTAAGAGGAAGCCTTCTGGCTTCCTCATGCTTGAGCTCTTTACAAATAAATGAAAAGGAAGTGTAAAAGTATGCAAGTGTACAAGGAAGAAGCAGTGTGTCACAATACATCTAATATCTGAGGACTTGCCTGACAAAATTTCAAAGAATGTAATCAATACTGCTAAATTGCCAATGTTCCAGGAGGGCAAGAAGACACCATGTGCATGACAAGTGTTTGCCCATTTAATTTATATAAGCAGTTTTATACTTCACTGGAACGTGGTTTTGATTACCTGGTAAATGACATCTTGGAAAAGGACTGGAAATGTGAGTGCAGCATCTTCCAGTTCATTTAGACTACAGTGGACTAGTGTTTCATCCTATAAAGAATTAAGAAAATGAGATGACTTAGAAGGCAGGTAGAAATAAAGTATGCTCGGAAATGAAGCCCTCCCCCCTGCAATTTGCACAGCATACCTCTCTCTCTCTCTCTCTCTCTCTCTCTCTCTCTCTCACACACACACACACACACACACACACACACACACCTTTCTATCATAGCTAATGCCAATATGTATTCCTTACCAAGTCTAGAACTAAAGAAAATTCTGGTGTGCTTCTCGTTTTCAATGGAAGAGCAGGCTTCCGATTAAGTTGTTCTTCTGTTAGTGGTGGAACATGTTTGATGAAGTAGTACCTAGAAGAAAGGCAAACCAATATACGGTTTGTTAATTTATTACAACTGCTGCTTTACAACTCATGGGACAAATTTGGAAAGCCGCCCTGGCAGGCTAATGTAATGGACCACCAGGGCAGTAAGAAGACATCTTCAGCGATCCCAGTCCCCACTGGATGCAGGATGGAAATAGACACACAACTAATCTGGGAAGCCCTGGAAAACTTTCCTGTATGATTCAATGGGATGTGTCGTGCGTGTGCAATTGTAATGTTTTGAGATTAAACCTTTTTATTCACTCATCTAAGGACTGTTGATTTTTCTTTTACCTGCAGGTCTATAAACGTTTTATGTATATACAGGCAGATCCCCATTTACATGGGGTACATTCTAAGGCATCGCCTGCACCAGCGGGATGATATGAGCCCACCCCATTCTGCCCCACCCCCTTGCAGTGCGCCTGTCAGGCAAAAATTGTGTGCCTGTCAGCAGTCATGCACGTGCTGATCATGCGCAAATGGGGAAGTACCTGTATGTAAGTGGGAGCTGTAAATGTTACAGCAGAGTGGCATGCTCCTGCTCAGGGTTCTAGACAGCTGACTCGGCTCTCTTCCAAGATATTCTATTCTATTCTATTCCACCCCGCCACCCCTCAGTTTATCCCCCCCCCCAACATCAAGAATTCTGTGACCACTAAGCATGCAGTCCTCACTGGGTTGTTTTTTTTCAAATGCCTCCATACATTTTCCTATTTTTATTTTTATTTTTCATTTCTGCAAACCATATGGTTCCCTTGAGCACATCAATACCTCTTCCTTGTTTCTCAGCAGCCAAGTTTTGGCCATACTCTTGTCAGTGCTCACTAGCTGAGTTTGCTTTTAGAGAACGTAATGTATATTTTATTCTTCTTAAACCTTGTAAACTCTGCTGAAATCAATTTTGATGAAGAGCAGTATAAAGAGGGTTCAAATAAATAAATGTTGATTTTACTGCTATGGCTCTACAACTGAGGCTTGTAGAACTGCTGGAGTATTGTGCTCAAAATAAATGTTAAGTACTGCAGTCTTCAACACTGACTCACAAAGCTAACTAAGAGGGCAATGTATTTTATTTCTCAAAATGTCATATCTAGAATTACAAAGTGAAATCAAACATGAACACATACGGATCAAAAACTTCCCAGTCTTCCTCATAGGCACCTTCCGCATGAGCTGATGAGTAACCACTGTCCGGAGATACTGGTGCTAATAAACACAAAAGCTCCTCATTAGTTCATCTGAAGAGGGGAGGAAAGCTCCAGTTAGCAGCTAAGTGGAATATTCAATAATCAAAATATTTCCAGTCTCCATTTTTGCCTTAAATTACATTTAATCACATTTTAAGGATTTATTTATTTATTTATTTAGTCTGTTCTATTTAATCTGTGTAAGCTTCCATCAGTCCTGGTGTGGGGGAGAGGTAGGATATATGTAAAAATATAATACTACTAAAATGATTAGTGGGAACCTCCCCAGAATGGTCCTACATATAACAGTTTCACCTCTAATAACAGCTTTTATCAATCTATTAAAGTCTTAAATGCTAAGTTTCAAGTGTCAGCTATAATTTCATTTGAATGTTACAACAGAGCATAGTTAATGACACACTGAAACTAGAATGTACAAACGTAAGACAGAAAAAACCACCATCCATTTCTTCGGCTACACTCTCATCCACCAAAGTGTTATTCCCTTTGGTTTTCTTTTCTTTCTTTGGCACTAAGACACTCAATGCAATTACAGTGGTACCTCGGTTTACAAACATCTCAGGTTACAAACACTTCAGGTTACAAACTCTGCTAACCTGGAAGCGTCACCTTGAGCTGAGAACTTTGCCCCAAGACGAGAACGGAAATTGTGTGCCGGCGGCGCAGCAGCAGCAAGAGGCCCCATTAGCGAAAGCACGCCTCTAGTTAAGAACAGTTTCAGGTTAAGAACGGACCTCCGGAACAAATTAAGTTTGTAACTAGAGGTACCACTGTATTTAGTTCTAAGTTGTGAAACTCCCTCCTCACAGAGGTGCACCTGGCATTATATATCTTTCAGTGAAGGCAGAAGATACACCTCTTTCCCCTGGCTTCTGACATTTGAGATGTACATTTTTAAGACCCCCATTATTTCTGTGATTGTAAAGTGTTTTCAACTGTTTTCAACATGGTGTTTTTATTGTTGTAACCCACCCTGGGACCTTAGTGTGAAGGGTGGATAAATAAGAATGATAGTAATAACAACAACAACAACAATAATAATTGTTAATTCATGCTCAGGTAAACTAGATTTGCACCATTCCCATTCAAAATTGCAGAGCACTGTTCAACAGAATAAGTCCAGATAAAAGCTTCTCTGCTCCTGCAGTCCATGGCTATAGAAACACTTGGAGTATCTCAAGGAAGGGAAGTTTAGGACATCATTCTCTCCCAACAAATCATGGAAAGGTAGTAATGCAGACCGCACAACCATGCTGGTCATGGAGAATCCTGTGTCCCTGAGCCATTTGGTTCAGAAGAGTGAGGGCGTATCCCCCAACCCCCCAAAATTAGTCATGTACATAAGATTTAAAAACAACCACACCAAAATATGCCTGGTTCTTACCAGTGAGAGGAGGCAAATCACGATCAGTTACATCTTCTACTTCCTCCAAGCCATTGTTGATCGTTGATCTGACTTGCACTGCTTGGCTAGTATATGATGCTCCATTGGCTGAAGTTGCAGTGCTAGTGATAATCTCATCCACCTGCTCCATATCAAGCTGCTTCACTATTTCTTCAGCTTCAACAGCTTGCCCCGGAGAGTCTGAGCCGGCTGTCCCTGAAATGATGTTTTCGGTTCACAGATTGCTATTGCACTTAGGTAAGAATTAACATTCTTATTTCATTTTTAGCTTCAGAATCTTTAAATATTTTTTTAAAAAAGAGTAATCAAAACATACCTCTCTTTTGCCCAGCATTGAGACAGGAGATTACTTTTTCTAAATTGCTATTTTATTTTTAAGTGTATATAACACATTAAACATGGGTTTGCATAATACTTGCCATTTTTATTTGCTGGTGAGAAAAAATTGAAGACGGGAGAAAATATGGTCCCCAGTAAAGTAGTCCGTGGAGGGCTGCCGGTTGTGGGATTATCTTCCAATTTTCCATTTTGCCTAACATGCTGGTTTGTCATTTCATAATTTCCAGCTTCTAGAATGCAGACACAAAACATTTGACTTGACAGTATTGTACAATGCTCACATTGTTCCTGATGTCATTTTTACTACATAGGTTGGAATGACCAAGTCACACAGTATCTTCAAGTAAATTTCCAGGGCCAGAACAAGACATTTTGCTGCCTGAGGCAGACTTCTCCTTGCAGCCATACTGGAGGCGAAAGGGGAGCTGGCATTACATCCAAACACAGTCAATACGTATGAGTAGCAATAGCAATATTTTTGTTTCTTAACAGGATTTCAGTAGGCAATATTTTCAATCCATACAAACACATGGTTAGTTCAACAAATACTTATTTCAGGAGTTTAATCCTCTTAAAAATGGAACAAGAGGTTTCTGCGTTTGTTTTACAGTAAAAAAAAAACCACAAAAAACCCTGCAATTAAACACCAGAATAGCCACTCAATATCTAGAAAACCCATAAAGAGCTGATGAGATTAAGGCAGATCCTGTGGCCTGCAGTCTTCAAGGCAGTAAAGCAGGCAGCATCACAATTGGTCACCTCTGACTACCAAATCCCTATTAAAGATACAGTTATTTGCTCACAACATGTATCTAATAATACACAGTGGCTGCTTGCACCATAATCTATCTGGAATATCAGATAGATACACAAGTCAGACATCCACCCACCCACCCGCAGGCTCTGTCCACTCAGTTGTCAGGGCCTTCTTAAATATGTAAGGCAAAGGGAACTGAAGGTCAGTTTCCCTCCCACCCAAGGTAAGAACAGCTCAATTTGCATATTATTGCCTAGTGGAGCAGCCAACTCACCCAACTATCCTCTCCTTCCTAAGGGAAAATAATGCTGTTTTCTTTCTTTTCTTAAGTGATCCATTTGTGTAAAACAAAAATGCAGTTCAGCATGTTAAGCATTAACTGTCCCCAATGCAAACAATATAGCCCATTTCATTGAAGGAGGAAAAGGAGCGGGTGATCCTGCTAACTATGCAGCTACAAGCTATGCAAGAGTGCTCTGCTCCATTGCCAAACATCATTAACCACTACAGTGCAGGTGGGGTGGGGTGGGGTCAGCCAACGTGCTGCCCTCCATGTTGTTGGACTTCAACTCCTATCCATTCTAGTCAACATGGCCAATGGTCAAGGACAATGGAGCTGTAGCCCAAGATTTGGAGGGCACCATGTTGGCTACTCTGTCAAGAGGTTTGAGTGGACACGCATCACATTTCAAACCCTAGTTCAGTAAGGCAAAACACTCTTTTAGCCTTTGTTTATAACAAAATAAATAATTCTGGATTCTAAGAGAAGTTTAATTAAGGAAGTTCATGGAAATATGGTTTTGTGTTCCCTTCTACCTACAGCAGACCCCCGCCCCCAATGCCCCCCCCAAATCTTCTCTGGACAATGTTTGATGTTGTGCAGGGGGCTGCTGTGGGAGGGAGAAATCCTCCGGTACCATGCATGGATCCTAAGATGGTAACTAAATGAAAATCACAGCCCATCCCTTCCTTCCATCAGGAGTCCTCCCTGCCCTTCTAATATTGTTCAGGATGGCCAACCAATACTCTGCAGAGGCTACTGTGGGTGGGGGTCACAAGTACCTCGGGGGGGGGGTAAGGAAGGAAAGGAGGGGACTGCAAACTTTTCTTCTGTGAATTTTCTTAAACTCACTTCTCTAATGACCCCAACCATTTTGACATGTCAGATTGGGCTACTGTAAGCATCAAGAAAAAATACTGCAATGTATTTTACACAATAAAGGCACTAGGTTTACTTCTAAACCACCCAAATAAGTTGGTTTTAAATATTTATATGCTGCCTAATAACCAATGTGCACTCCTGGCACTGCAGGCTCAAATTTTCTCTTCCATGAAACCAGGACACAAAACCTTAATTACTTCAATGGTGTAGAAAGACCAAAGGCTTCATAGGAGTCACTTGAGTAGAATATTTACAAACCTCCATTCACTTGACTTTTCCGCCTAACTCGAGAAATCTGTTTGTTAGGTTTTTCTCCTGCTCGAGGAGTGGATGTAATCAAGTTGTCATCTATATCACGTTCAGTTCTACTCCTCTTTGCAGGATGTTCTCTTTCATCCTTAAAGAATAAAGCATAAACAATTTATTATCTAATACGTAGTTTACTAACAAACTTTCTATGCCCTTTTAAAAACTGATCCTCACTTTTATGCTCATGGTGGTGGCACTGTTAGCATCTACCACATTTTCGTTTCCACATCTCTCATTTCATAAGGTTCAGCTCTGACTGTTTTGGCAGAAAATATGTCATAAACGGCTGAAATAAAGGGGCCCTTCAGTTGAAAGCAAGTGAAAGCTGCACAGGTCCCATCCCTGCCTGGGACAAAAGTGTGGTTGGGTGTGTTGGTTTCTTGTGTGTGCTCAAAGACTCAAATTGGAACCTTCAAAGTCCAAGCTTTTGGTTTGTTTGTTTTTTAAAAAATATTCCTCGTACTTATACAGCTCTATAGAAAAATACAATTATAGAAATTGTTACACTATAGGAGGGAAGGGAGAAATAGAAGGCTCAAACATCTTTCTTTTCAACACTTGTATTCTAAGATTATAATAGCTGTATGAGGACTGGCTGCTTTTTTACCTATATCTGAGGTACTACAAACTGAAATTCTCTAACAACCTAAAATGTTGCCTTTAAAAGTCTCCCAAAATCACTGCTTGGAGCTTTGTGTAAAGTTATTACTGGGAAACACATGGCTCTACTAAAGTATGAGCTTTTTACAAAATGTCCTGCATTCTTGTGTGAAACAAGAATAGGGTAGATGAGGAACTTTCTCTCTTGAGATAATCCCAATTAAAGTCTGCTCCATTGTCACCAACCTGAATGATGGAAATTTCCCAGGAAGTTTCCATTCTTATCACTGAGAAGACTTGCTGAATCACTTTTCCAGCACCCTGGGAGGAATTCATCTGCACACTCTTCTTATTGTTCCAGCAACAAAATGACCCCTTCTCTTATCCCACTGTGTGCTGTTCTGGGAGTTCCCTCCAGAGAAGACTGGGGGAGGGGGCATGCAGGAGAGGAGGGATGTCCCTTCCTGCTAGCATTTGCATTGGGGGTTGCTTGCCCTTGCATTACATCATTCCTACACCAGCTACATTGATGTTTATTTCCAGGTTCAATTTAATGTGCTGGCATTGATCCTTAAATCCCTAAAACATTTGGAGCCATGTTAAATGAAGGTCTGACAGCTCTCATAATAACCTACTTGAGATTAACTTTATGAAATAGCAAGGATAGAGCCTTTTCAATAGTGGCCCCATGTTTTTGTAATTCCCTTCATAGGGAACTTTACCAAGTCTGCTTTCTTGCTATCTTTAGGATTGCTTCCCCACCTGCTTATCTCAGTAGCCTTGCAGCTTCAGGCCACTCATTGCTTCTTATTTTGCATGGGAAGCTTGCCCCCCGCCCCCACAAAGTGAACTAGAATTCTAAGGCCATGCTAGCTTTGCTGTGCCAATCCCCTTGAGAAATCTCTATCCCTTCATAAAGTGGCAGTCTAGCTATCCCTAATATGAGCACTAGATGCCCCAGCCAACACAACTGGTAGGGCCACTCCACACACAGGCCTTAGTGGACGTGTTAAGATCTATTCTGTAAGGTCCAGTTTTTATTCTGGCATTATGTTTACAATTTTGGTTCCAAGGGACCAACATTTATACAGGTATAAAAGAGAATTCCTGGATGCCAAGATCCAAGTTTAGGGCAAGAACTCTTTGGTGAGAGAACCCTAACAGAGATTTGAAATCATAAAACATGCAGCAAAGTAAAGTGTGGAAATACAGGCTGTAGAACATTAAAATGTGCCAGTTAAAGTGAGTATCAAAATGTCCCCTTAAAAGGCTTCTTTCCAAAGTTTCCCACTGGCATACAAAAACACCACACATTTGGTAAGTTAAAAACGGCTTACTTATAAATGCTCCAAATGTCAGATTCATGTGCTTTTCCATACAGAATTCATAAAAAGCCACAGGAAGTAAAATTTAGCTTAGTTACAGAGTGGTGAAAGTTCCTTGGTTACTGGTATAGGAAATCAAGAGTGGCTTGTGAGACCCATGCAGTCTGAGCTGGAGCAACCAACTCAAAACTCTTCACATGGGAGCTTCTCAGGTAGACCCTTCCAAGTTGTGTGAAGCTGGGCAGGACAGCTTGCTCTATGGTCTTAAGCATGTTGGTTATGTGAGGCTGCTTATTCCACATACAACCAATGTGTTTACATTTCTTTTTATTGTGAATTTTTGTGGTTTTAAAACTTTTTTGGGAAGACTGTGGTGATAAATATTCCATAGATAGATTAGCATGATCAAAATATTTGAAGCTTACCTTTGGGGTGCTTCCTTTAATAAACTTTTTGATTGAAGATAATAAGCCTGTTTCATTTTTCTGAGGTTTTCCTCCCCCAACAGGTAAGCTCTCTTCTACATCTGAGTACTTTCTCTTCACCCTCAGTGTACGCTGCGTGTGATTTTGATTTGACTGCTGAGAAGCTTTCCGCGTTCTCAGCCTCATTTTGTTGGTATCACATGTAAAACTGTAAGAGAACAAGCACATAACATTAACTAAAGCCCAAGAAGTACTAATCATCTATGGTTTTATAGCACTTTCAATAATTAATCCAAAGCTGGGGTAACTGTTTTTCTTTTTTAACTAAGTATTTTATTTATTTAAAATAAATAAATGAAAAGCCACATGCACAACTGGTTTCTAGCTCCCTAAACTGCTAAGGCTGGCATGTAGGAATTTGAAAATTCAGCCATTCCTGGCTAAAGAACATATGTTTGAGTCTCCTACACACTATTTGATCAAGATCAAGACATGAGAACTTGAGGGGTCAGGTACCCATCTCATTATTCAGGTGAGCCATATTTTCACAGGGGACATTAGCACATGCTCAGGATATTTGCAACATTTAATAATAATAATAATAATAATAATAATAATAATAAATTTTATTTATATCCCGCCCTCCCCAGCCAAAGCCAGGCTCAGGGCGGCTAACAACAAACAAATAATCAAACAATCAAATAATCCAACATTCTAAAACATTTCATTATAAACATTAATTAAAATCAAATTAATGGCAACCGTTACGCAAAGTTCTGTGCAGGTTGCCAGAGGAGGGAGTCAGGCTGGGCCCTGACCAAAGGCCTGGTGGAACAACTCTGTCTTGCAGGCCTTGCGGAAAGATGTCAGGTTTTCTATCCAGAATCTCAACATGCCTTTCAGCAGGACTCTTCATGGATGCTGCTCTGGAGTAGGTCTTCTAGCAAGAAAGGGGCAGCCATTCAGCACTGAGAAATCTAAAGGATGCAGTTTGTGATTCTACTCTCACAAAAGAAAAACCTACCCCATACTTTGGGCATAGGGTCTGACTCCCAGAGATCAGTATACCTAACAGTTGTAGAAAATTTCATGGGTTTCTAAAGAAGAAGTTAAAGCATCATCTCCCCATTGCCACGACAAGTTAGCCACTGAAGAAAACAAGGCAGGCTCCTTCCTGCAACTTTTCTGCCCTGACCTGGAACAGGGTCATTGGTCTTACTGGCTCTTTTCCCTGAAAATAAGTTCAGCATGACCAAGAGATGGAAGTACGGAACTGAATAAAAAATTATTTTCTCTCATTTATGTGCATTAGGACGCATACTGACCAGCCCAGTCTATCCCAGCAGAGCACAAAGAAAAATATCACTGTGCAAATTAAGGTGTAAAACAGCCATGTCCTAATCACATTCTAAATGAACATTTATGTTTGAGAGGGCAAATGGAATATGTTACTTTGTACATCCATATTCGCAAAAGGGTAATTCAGTGACTGGCACCTGAACACACACCATATCAATTTCCAGCTCTCCTACACACTTCCTGCATGGCTAGAGGCAAGCCACAACCTGTCAGATCCTCTGCTTACCATCTGGGGAACAAGTATGTTTGTGTGGCCCACCAGAGGGAGGGAGAGGAAGTGAGCTTCCACTAATGTTTGTAAGCTGCTAACAAACAACAATGAGGAGGGAGACAAGTCTGCTAAACTCCAAGTGCTCTGTGTGAAAGGTATCTAACTTTGCCAAAGTTAACAAACCAGTAAAAATATTACATCATGAAAACAGTATGCTTAGGTAAATGGGTTTCCATTTGTCAGTGTTGATAACTTCAACTTCTACATTTATAAAACACAGGACTACTCTGTGAACTGATTTTCTCTTACAATTGTGGTTGTTGTTTAGTCGTGTCCGACTCTTCGTGTCTCTAACAATAAAAAGCCTTAATTAGGTATAATGTCAATAAAACTGCTAAGAATCACCACCCATAAACAGAGCTGTGAAATCTTAACCAGGTAAAATGAAACACGAAGGTGTAGTCTTGCCTTAATTGTTACTTTCCATTTGAAGTAGCTAAGATAAGGAGCATACAGTTTCATGCTGAAACTCTTTAATTTTAAGTTAATTTAAAAGAAGCAGTTATTGCATGTGTATGGGGAGAGGGCGTTAGGGGAGGAGTAGTACCTCTGGTAGGGACACATCATGCTCTTTCTGCGGTAGTTTGTCCACCTTTGGTCCTCACCCTGCACTCAGCTCTCACCAAGGTGGTGCCAAACGTATTGCTCTGCTTTCCTTTGGACCACAACAGCAAGCTAGAGAGGGGGTTCTTATCATCTGGGCCCAGGACCTCCATACACACTGCCCAGGCTTGTGCCCTGGGGAGGTCACTTCAGTGCTGCTAGCACAGTGGTTTGATTTCACTCTCAGAGGCGTTCTCCATTGTCTCTCAACAACAGAGTGCATTACCCAATTATAAAATGTGCCTTGGGAATTTTGTTAGGATATTATTAACAGGGCAAGATCCAAGCAATGCCAAGTCTTTTAATGTCCCATTGGTTTCAACAGGACAGTGTTATCCAAAACAATTCCATTGGAATTAATGAGGCTTCCAGGTGTTTGTTGGAATGTATCCTTAGTTTGGGGAAAACCTGAGGGGAAACATATTACCAGCCCTCTATCCAAAAGGTGTGAAAGGGAACACTGCAATTCTTTACAGAAAGCGATAGAAGGTAGGCTGCAAACGTGCACACAGAGTAAATGTTTTTGAATGGGAGATTAGGTGTCTATATTGAGAGAGCATGAGCGTTATCCTCTAAGCTGCAGTTCATTTAACTGGGCCGACTGCTAGTGCCAGAGAGTCTTTGGCTTACTTCACATCCTGGCTATCAAACCTCAGTTATAAATATCCTTAATGGACTTAGCAACAGGTACCTACAATCCTCTTGATGACAGAAGTTTGTTTTCCCCTTACCTGATGCACCCAGAACACAAGTGCTGTTTCGACTTGAATTGCACACAAACAAAACACAGAAGAATCAGCCCAACATTAAATATTTGTGCTAAAGGAACACGTTCACTCAATTCAGACATTTACTGGTAGCCCACCATGCTGAAGGCGATTGATTCCTCACAGAAGTTTTATGCCTTTAACAGTTATATGACGGGCAGAAATTCAACTGGTGCAGCATTCCCTTCCACAGCAATGCATATATAGCACTAGTTAAAGGCTGATAAGCCTGAAATTCTAATGGGAAACACAAGACAAAGAAGAAATGCCTGATCTGAGAAGGTACCTCATGCTCTCTTCCTATAAGACACAGTAGTGAAGTGTGTGCAGTGAATTCCAGGTTCTATCAGATCTGAGCTGCTTTCCATAATTACCGTATTTTTTGCTCTATAAGACTCACTTTTTCCCTCCTAAAAAGTAAGGGGAAATGTGTGTGCATCTTATGGAGCGAATGCAGGCTGCGCAGCTGTTGCTGAAGCCAGAAGAGCAAGAGGGATTGCTGCTTTCACTGCGTAGCGATCCCTCTTGCTGTTCTGGCTTCTGAGATTCAGAATATTTTTTTTCTTGTTTTCCTCCTCCAAAAACTAGGTGCGTCTTGTGGTCTGGTGCGTCTTATAGAGCGAAAAATACGGTAGACATGAGACTTCCTTTTTGGCTTGCCAAAATTTTGGAGCAGCACACTAGCAACCAACAAAAAATGTTGCTACCTGTACAACTCTAAATGCTAGAAAATCAGATAATAGTGACAGATGGCAGTAAAGAGAGCTGCATCAGGATGGGGAAATGTGTAAAATATTTTTTCCATATCATGAAAGACATAGAGAATTACTGTATTTACTCAAATCTAATGATCACCTTTTGGGGCCAAATTACGTGGTGAAAATTAAGGTGCGCTTTAGATTTGATGGAACATTTACATTCGCCAGCAAACACTTTTTTTGGTTTCAAGGTTCTGAAAATTGAGATGTGCATTAAATTTGATGGCATATTAGACTCGAGTAAATACAGTATTCTTTGTTATATACAACTGTGAAATTCCCTTCCTATAAAGCGTATGAACACCTTTCAGAAACATATCCTTTTCAACAGGCTAGAAGATTGGACCCAAACTAGTAAAAATACCTTTTCTAACACCTCCTTCCATAACATTACAAGGCTTTTCTTGTAATGTGTTTGCAGTTTGTGTCTCACAAACACTGAGCAGAGTTCTAAGAGGCCGATCAATCAGCAGGAGTTCGGAAGTCGTGTTGTAATTGGCAGCTGTTGCTGCCTGTCACTCTAGAATTGTGTATTTCAGCCCACCAAGCATAGATGTGTGGAGGCTGGAATTGGGAGGCATGAAGCAATGTTTCTATGAATATGCCAAGTCATACAAAGCTGATCCCTAAAACATGACACTCGATGAATTCTGACAGATGCTACAGGTACATCAGTGGCAGGATAGAGTCAAACTGCCTGCTTTTCCTAAGAACATAGGTTTGAGTTCGAAGGGCAAATATAGTCCCAACTGGAGCTCCATCTAGACTGCCTGTGATATATCAAGAAGTGTGGTGTGGTTTCTGCTTGAAGTGGAAATAGCTACACCTCCAGTGTAACACCACACATATTTCACTGTAAGCTTCATTCACTTTCACAACACAGAAACACAGCAACAACTGCCCATATGCCAATTCATGTCTAAGTCCAGACGTGGCCAATGAAAGGATGCACTGAAGCTGCATCAAATTGAAAAGAACAGGGCTTCAAGCATTAATCAATTTAACTGAACATTCATCAACCAATGAAGGGAGCAGGAGGGCTTTAAATTGTTGGTGCAAGACTGAATGACATTTTAAAAACCAAATCCGTTTTGACTCTTTTTATTTAAAACGAATGCGACATAGCATTTTCTACTAGTGGTGATGAAAAAGCTGTTAATTAAACTCTAATTTATCTATATTTCCTTCAATATCCACAAAAACACTATTTGTAATATCCAAATGTAAATAGATTTAATCCATCTATTGACATTACGATGATTAGACAATTAAAAACTTTGGACAGCAGCAAGTATGATTCCACAAAAAAGAAATGGGTTGAGATGAACTTTACATTATCATATTCTTGTACACTTCCCCCCTACCCCACTAATAATTTTATGATCTTGCACTGAAAATTCACAAAACTTTGTTAAGTTGCAATGCCCAAGTCCAATGAACTCAGCAAGGCTTCCTTTTGAATAGATATGTGCAAGACTGAACTGTTTAGTGGCTTATAGGTTTCAGCAAAACCTGTGCAGTTCCTGTTGGGGTTCTGGAATGAAACAGCTGCTCCTGGAGACATTAAGCTCTCTGGATTTATAATCCATAGCACTGGACATGCAGAAGCCTATTTTTGGAAGTAATTTTCCTCTTGTTTCAAAGCTGATGTAGTATAGCCAGACTGCTAAAAACTTCCTGAATGTGCCCTTTAGGTTTTTCATGGGAAGTCATGACCCTAAATAATAATTTTATTGGCATCTTTAATTGCTTACCTCAGGCATGTTTGTAATTTTAAGCAAAACAAAGTAATTATAAGACTTAACTGGCTTGATTTTTGTGGTTCCCAGGCATTTATTCTTGCACTATAAGCTTTATCAGCCAGCAATTATTTCTGCCTACTATTTAACACTTGGTAGGCTAACAAGTAAGGACTAACTGGCATACTACACAACACACAAGTAGGAAGAGTCCTGAAATGGTGTGGGAGCCAGTGTAAAGTTATCTTAGGCATGGACTTGCTGCTGTCTGAATTGCAGCATCTTTATGGAATGAATGCAAGAATCACTGTGCTGGGTTTTGTTAATGGTCAGGGGTACCTTTACCTTTTAATGAAGAATTAGAGAAAAAATGTTTTTAAAGGGTTTTGGGGTACTATTGACCTCTAAAACAGTTTGTAGTGATATTAAGGGAAGTGAAATGTCTACTATGAAAATGGACAAAATATTCTATTTTCACCCTTTGTGTGACTTTCTCACAAATCACTTTCTTACAAGAACCACTTCTGGTCTAAGATTCTACAGAGATGAGAAATATCTAAAATATTAAACATAATTTTGTGGAGTTCTTTTGACCCTGGCAACTTATGTGCATAGTGTTTCAGTATTATCAGTCTGAATTCTCTGTGGTAAGCAGAAGTGACCCCCAAAGCTGTAAGAATAAGGTATACTTTTCTTTAACTAGGCTCTCTCTCTCTCTCTCTCTCTCTCTCTCTCTCTGTGTGTGTGTGTGTGTGTGTGTAAGAACCACATGGCAATTTATAGCTTATTTTGGTTGAGGAATATCTAGAGAATGAAGTTGCAGAAGAATGGCACAAAAGTGTTTTCATTTTTTGTATCATTGTTGGGATATTTATTTATATAACCTCCAAACACTAACCAGTAGTTAATGTCTAGCCCACTGTGCAAGTATAAAAAATAAGTCTAGTCTATTGTGACCGACCAGAATGTTAAAAATAATTTCCTTACTCCAAAGAGATGAAAACCTGTCCAACTCATTCAAGTCTCATTCTGTGATGTTGTCGTCTGTTACCATCAACTGGAAGTCTAAATAACCTCTAAAATTTAACAAAGGCACTCGTATCTTTTTTGAAGATTTGCTTATGCCCAGAGTGCCTACTACTGGAGGCAGGCATTTGTTCTTCCCATGCAGCAGCAGCAGCACACTGAATGGAGAAAAATAAAACAGGCAGCAGCACCTGTTAAATGGCAGCAATTTGGGGAAAAGACAATGCAGAGTGTTGTGGCAACTTAAAGGCCTAACAGTTTTATTATTATATAAGCTTCCATGGGCTGCAGCCCATTTCCATCAGATACAAAAACTGTTCTCTTTGAATATTATACACATATATACAGAGGGGGAAATTATAAACAGTAGGGCCTTGAAATGCAAGAAGGCTATCACATGTCTCTGCAAAGCTAAAATGTATATGACACACACACACTTCATAACAGGAGTAATTTAAATAGTAACCAATTGAAAAGTTACAGACACTACCCCCCCCAAAAGGTAGTGAAGCATCATAGATTTGTAGAGTTGAAAAGAACCCACTGCAATACAAGAATCTCAACTAGCTCATACATGACAGATGACCATCCAACCGCCAAGGAAAGGGAGTCCACGCCTCTCAGGGGCGTCTGTTCCACTGTCAAACAGCTCTTACTGCCGGAAAATTCTTCCTGATGTTCAGCCACCTCTGATTCCCCTGGCTTTCCACCCACTTTTAAATAATATTAGTCATCTGTATGATGTGGTGGGGTGGAGAGCCAGGGGTCTTTAGATGTTATTATTTATTAAATTTATTAATCATTTTCAAACATGACCAAAAAAACCACAAAAAGTATTCTAAGCAAAACAACAACAACACAGACATTAAAACCAGAATTTTTTTTAAAAAAAACTTGTCTAAAAGATAATTATTTTTTTTAAAGCTAGATTAAAACATCCCACTATGCAACAAGGCCATAGATAATTAAAAGCCAAAGGCCTGGTGGAAAAAGTTTGCATTTCCTTAACAATATGCTCACCCATGCAAAAAGACCTGGTGTCTAAAGCCAATTAATCTTAAGTAATCCATCAGATTCTACATCAATCTTGCCTCCACCTTCTCCCCAAAAGAAAACAGTGTGCAAAGTTCTAAAAGTAGCATGACTTGTGGGGAAGATTAAGTGGAAACTAAAAAATGTAATTCATCAGAGACAAAAGCAAAGCTCTGCACATGGTGAAGCAAACATATATTCACAAACAGTAATAAGATGGGAGATACAGTCATACCTTGTGTTGTGTCCACTTCATGTTGCATCTTTTCGCATTACGTCCCGCAGCAACCCGGAAGTACCGGAACAGGTTACTTCCAGGTTTCGCCACTCATGCATGCGCAGAAGCACCAAATTGTGCTTCGTGCATGAGCAAAAGCACCAAATCGTGCCACGTGCCTGCGCAGACGCAGCGCTTCGAGTTGTGGGCATTTCACATTACAGACGGGCCTCCGGAACGGATCCCGTCCATAACACAAGGTACCACTGTACCCTGCTTGGAAACAGCACATATGAAAAGGCTGCAAAAGGTCTATTGTGATTTTAGGCTGCATTAATCGAACCACAGTTTCCAAATAACAAGAAGCAACAGTTCCACTTTATTCTGCATTAGTCACACCTCATCTGGAATTTTATGTCCATTTCTGGGCACTTTAAAAAGGGGTGTGGTACACTGGATTGGACTTTCAGGGCTGCTGTCATTTTGTTGTATGGAATTCATGTTGGCCTGTTTTGATATTACTGCTTAACTTTGATTTTTTGTATTTCTACTCTGGGATCTTTCAGCAAAGGCAGACTATAAAAATGGCAAATTTAAAAAACCATCAAACCTGTTTCCAATCTATGCCTAATCATCAACTTTTTAGATGACTTTGACCAAGCCAAATAAATTATACTCTGTATAACTATATTTTAAATGTTAAATGGGATTACTAATTACCTGTCTCATATGACTCAGTGGCAATGTTCATAAGGCTATAACCATGGTCTAGCACAAGTTTGGGGAACCTAAGGTCTAGGTGCAAAATGGAGCCCCCTCTATCGAGTCTCTGGCCACACCCCTTCTTCTCAGGCCACACCTCTCACAAGCCCTATTTCTATAGTCTCCTCAAGTGTTTGATTGGCTGGAATGTGTCCTTGAACTGTGATTGCATGGATGAAAATATGTGAAGGGGTGGGAAGAAACCTCTGACTTTGCATGGCTGGAATGTAGCCTACTCTACAAAGGAAAGAGTAGCATCCTTTGCCCCACCTACTTTTGCCTCTGGCATCCAGACCCTACAATTTTTTCCACAAGAGAATGTGGCCCTCAGGCTGAAAAAGCCTCCCCACCCCTGCTTTAGCATGATGTGCACAAGATGGAACAATCCCAACAGTGGCATCATCAGCCCACATGGCCTGGAAAATTACTCAGACTGCATTTTGCTTCACTCTCCCTGAAACTTATGACAATAAACTCTGGTTAGTTTAACAAGACAACGTCATAACCCATGGTTTGGAATTAGCTTGTTCTAAAACTGACAGGCGCTTACTATAAAACATAAGCCAAACAACAAGAAGCTGAGATTCAGGGACAGTGAAACAAAACAGTCAAAATTGTTTTCCATGCTGTGATAAGGCAGCAGAAAGGAGAGAGCAATGCAGAACCCTGAGGTTCATCCCAGCTCATGGCACATCATGCTAAACCACAGTTAAGTGCAGGAGTTGCCAACAATTTTGAACTCACATGCACCAGTGAGTGGTCAGTGAATATGTACAAGGAGGGTAGGGGTAGCCCATCCTTCCTTGCGCTGCCCTCCTCATCATAATAATGCACCCCCACAGCCTGACACACAGCTATTTGGGAGCTAGCGCAGGCTGGCTTACATACGTAGGATGGTGTCTGGGGGTGAGCCTCTGCCACAAGCTGCTCTAGGAGAATCCAACATTCAAGGAAATAGGGAAAATAACTGGGCCTTTGGCAGTGTGTAGGGGCAAAAGGAGAGTAAAAAAAAAAAACCCCGGCAAGAAACATTTGGTGGTTTACATGTACCGACGAGCTGCCCATCTGCAATCTTGTAAAATGTGTAATTGCAGCCTATGAAGTAATTATTGGACAGTACCTACCATACTATGCAGTGTGATATAAAAGATACATGAACAATTTTCAGATTAAGTAAGAAAGTAGTTACTGAAGTGAAATAACTCTTACAAAATATAAGCTAGGAAAGAGATGTTATGGGAGCTCAGCAGCTTCCAGCTTCCATGACCAGTAATAATTATTCAGTTACCTCTCTCTTTGTGATCAAGAAAGGGCACAAAGGGGGCACAAAACTAGGATTAGGGATCTTTTCAGAAGCTACATCTATTTGGGGGGGGGGGGCATCAGCCTCTGGCAATCATGTATGTAACTTTCTTCAAGGTCATGTTTAAACCTCAAAATTGTTGTCCTAACTGTTCTGTAGAAAGTGACATTTTTTAAATAACATGTTAACAATACAATGAATGTATATCTATCCAAAACAAAAACATAATGTAAGAATGACCCCTCAGGCCCAAATACATCAAGCAACTTGTCCTCGAGGTCACACAGAATGCCATTAATTTGACTCAGCTCAACTGGTTGCTGGTCATACTTCCTACTAATTTCATTAAAACTAGTTTCCAAATAAACACACTTAATACTGCAGCCTAATGGAATTTTGTATTAAAAGCTAAGTCACTGATTAAATAAGGACCATTGAAAGCACACAGTCTAAAATATTTGTAGGAATACTACTTTGTATGTATTTGTACAAAGTACATCATGAAAAATGTATACGCCTGAATCAGACTTGCCCCTTCTTAAACACAATAACTATATTGGTCTAACTTTCAGTGTCAAAATGCAATATAGAAAAGTTATTATTTACACATGGCATCTATTCTGCTCGTAACTATTTCCTTGGGAGTCAAGCCGAACTGAATGAAAACAGTGTGGGTAGGGCAAAAGAAGAAGATACATGTTTTGTTTTCACACATTCAAAGATCTAAAATTAAACTGAAATTGTGGCACAACAATTTTCTAATGAAATGAGCATTTCTCCCCAAAAGATATACAAAGGCCTCATTTGGACTATGTCTTAACATTATGTGAACAAACCTCCCGTCCCCAGTGTGGTCATGAAGAGATCTGCTGATGTCACTTCCATTTTCAATAAACTATAGCATGAAGTTGACTAGTTTCAGTAAACCATAGTTAAGACTACCCAGTTTGCCCAGCTGCAGTTAGAAACAGAACAAAAGCTTCCCATTTCCTCCACACATCCACACCAGAGAGGAATATGAGACTGAGGCTCATTCACAAAACACTACATCATTGGTTAGTGTGATATCCAAATGAGGCTAAAGAGTACCTTCAATTCTCTCCAATACAGTGGTACCTCAGGTTAAGAACAGTTTCAGGTTAAGAATGGACCTCCAGAACGAATTAAGTTCTTAACCCAAGGTACCACTGTACTTATTGATGTAGCATATAGGACATTCAATGTCACCACTGCATTTTAATATGATGATTGTTTGTTTTTATTTGCTTTTATTGTGTAAAATGTTTTGAAGACCTCTACTGTAGTTGGAAAGGTGGAATATAAATTTTTTTTTTTTAAATGACAAAGTGTATGGTTCGCCCACCAAGTAAATTATTTATCTTGCTGTGATCCTAAAGGTTCAATTTGGATTAAATGCATGATATACTAATACAGTGGTACCTCGGGTTAAGTACTTAATTCGTTCCGGAGGTCTGTACTTAACCTGAAACTGTTCTTAACCTGAAGCACCACTTTAGCTAATGGGGCCTCCTGCTGCTGCCGCGCCGCCGGAGCACGATTTCTGTTCTTATCCTGAAGCAAAGTTCTTAACCTGAAGCACTATTTGTGGGTTAGCGGAGTCTGTAACCTGAAGCGTATGTAACCCGAGGTACCATTGTAATTAAAATAAGTATTTTTTACTAAATTGCTTCCCCATTTAAATCTACAACAGCATTTATATTAGCAATTCAGAAGTAGAATATATTGCTACATAACTGATAATTAATTGCAATACAGCGATCATGACACTTGTATCACTCTGTTCCATATAGCTGATCGCACAAGATATCATACATCAAGGTCGGACTGCTGCAATGTGCTGTACGCAGGACTGTCATTTTAATTACGTATATGTCTTGTCATTACAGTTGACTCAAAATGCTTCATCCTGCTGTTGACAGGGGTCCATTACTTGGAGCATGCAACTCTGTTGCTACTTCAATCCACAGTGCTCCAAATGCAATTCCAAGCCCACCTGAAAGTGCAGGCGGTTACCTTTAAACCCCTATATTAGGGTTGCCATATTTCAAAAAGTAAAAACCAGAACATCCCAAAAGTTGTTGAGAAAACCACCAAAATTGTGGAACTTGTTGTATATATAAGATATATCTGGTGAGTATGAAGGACAGGGCCTTTTGGTGATGTCACCCTTGGGAAGCCAGTTCAGTGCCGCCACCCCCACTACCACTTTCCCGGTTTTGTTGTGTTCAGACATATGTTTGATGTTATCCAATCTCTGAAGTAATGGTTTATCAATATGCTATTTTGGTTTTCTGGTGTTTGTTAAAACTGATTATTTTATTTTTGGATTGTAATTTTATTATGTTTTGTGAGCTTCCTTGGGGGTCCTATGTGGTGCCCCCAAACAGCATTTAAATATATTTAAAGAATAAAACACCATTGCCCCCAAATGAAACAAACTTAGTAGATTCTCCTAGACCCTAAGAGGAAACATCTTATGAAAGCCAATACTATCCAAATGGACTGACTTCAGAAGTCTGGTTGAGAGATGCTCTGTAGTCTCTGGTTGGCAAATATTTTTTTATCATTTTTTACCAGAGGGAAAGGCTGAAAGGACAGTAACATTGGCTTTACCCAAGCCAGGGCACAGGCAAAGAGCTCTTTGATTTCCTCATTCCTAATGTAAGTGTAAATAGAGGACCTGGCAGGCACCACCTAATGCACCTTATCCATTCATGATACAGGAAGACATGGCAAAATGATTTTTAATCCCTCCCTTCCACATTAACTTCATGGAAAGCTTTATCAAAATTTTCATTCTTACACACCTTACTTCCTTTTGCTAGTTTCTTAGTTAATGCACTGGAATGAGAAACCAATGTGCATATTGAGAGGGCAGCCTGAGATAGCCTGGGTAAAAGAACAAAACTGTTTATCCCTACCATAGGCACAAACATGAAGTTCAAAGTCAGTGAATAGCAATAAGGAGCAACATGGGGGGCGGAGGGAGAGAAGAGAAAAGAAAAGAAAAGAAAAGGGATCAGTCACAAAGCCATAAATCTGGAAGAACAACTTTGTAATCTCATGCATAGGTCAGACTTAACAACAGTAATTTGAAACTTATTTCCTCATTTTCAGAGTTTGTATTTCTTCACCAAACATGAAGAAAGCTCACCCAAAATGTTACCGTAGCTATACTGAATTTGAGAGAGTCACTCAATAATAATGACAATGCAAGACTATTCGTTTGGGACCGTATTTTTTATTTCCTTCCCTACATATATATATATCCATTCAATTAGGTCATATGCTGCTTGAGAAAAGCCACTCACAGAAATGGGTCTGGAAATTTCCAGGGTGCCTGGACACCTAGGTATCAAAGGATTTCCTGCTGCAAACTCTGATGGCCCTTCTTGAATACTTTGTTCAGGTTTCTGGGTTGTTGAGATATTTTTCCAGACCTGCTCCAGAGGAGACTAATATTTGGAAGACTGAAGTGTCATGGAACTGCTGAAAACGACAAGCCAAATATGAGGCCAGGAAAGTTTGTTTACATATATCCAACAACAAATTTATACAGTTTACCGATTAATATTGTATGCACATTTCAAACAAGTCTGCATATTCTTGAAACAGAAACAATGTCTCTGTTTCAATCATCCAATGAATTCACTGTGCATGCACACACTGACCATTCTGAAGGATCTTCCACATACTTCACATAAGGTTTAATGTCTACCTAGCAATGTAGAAATATGCTTTCCTATAAATTACTTAGTCCTGGTGTGCAAACACCTTAAAGTCATTAAATATGTGAGAAAGAAGCTTCCTCATGGTCTACCACTGAAAACCAGTAAAATGCAAACTATTGCAGGTACAGTATATTGAAAATATGATATCACACCTGCCCTGCCAATTATAAACTTTGGCACCACAAGTGTTACTCTGAGGAATGACAACTTTGTTTCAATATATTTGCAAGTAGTACATACCCAGTATCATTTCTCTTTTCATGTACAAGATTTGAATTGAAAAAACTGAAGCTGCTCCTGGTTTTCAAAACCCACAACTAAAAGACCAGGACAAGACAAATACATTACCAGGCTTCTACAGGAAAAGAGAAACGGTCTCTCTCAAATTGGGATGTGCTATAAATAAGACGTTTAAAACTGTATGCAGTAGATTTATCAGTGAAGCCTCATTGTATCCTAAATGGAATCTGGCAGGGAGAGGCTGGGGAATGGAGGCCCTGACTCCAACAGGCTCGGGTTGGCAATGAGATGCTATGTGAAGAAGAGGAAAGATTTGTTGAGTGGATGCAACCCAGTGAGGTGGGGATTCACAAAATTTGAAAAACATTGGAGGAGCAAAGAATTTCATAAACCAGAACCACACTCCACCTGCAAGGAGAAACCACTCACCACTAAATAATGGCAATAAAATGGGATGTATCAGAGCAATGATGCCACATAGGGGTTCTACTCAGAGTAGACCCACTAAAACCAATTAAGCAGGCAGGCAAGATACATCAGAGTGGCTGTTAGCTGCCTTGGGCGTCAAATACAGAAAGGTGGCTTACAAACTCTTATTAACAAAACAAACAAATCCTGCATGTCCCAGAGAATGTGCTCAGCTAGGAAACAAGACACCATGTGGAAGCAAACAAGGAAGTAGCATCACTAACCATCCAGCTGCCAGTTTGCAGGGGACATATGCCCCATGCCCTCTGGAAAGGGCCCCAGCTCACCTCCTGCTTTACTTCAGGAGAGGAGCTACAACTCAAAGAGCAGTGCTCCTGCTTTGTTTGCAAAAGGTCCCAGGGTCAATCGCTAGTACAGTGGTACCTCGGGTTACAGACGCTTCAGGTTGAAGACTCCGCTAACGCAGAAATAGTACCTCGGGCTAAGAACTTTACTTCAGGATGAGAACAGAAATCATGCGGTGGTGGCGGCGCGGCAGCAGTGGGAGGCCCCATTAGCTAAAGTGGACCTCAGGTTAAGAACAGTTTCAGGTTAAGAACGGACCTGCAGAACGAATTAAGTTCTTAACCTGACATACCAGTGTACAGCGGTACCTCTGGTTGGGGACACGATCCGTTCTGAGGTGCCGTTTGCACCCCAAAAAGTCCGTAACCAGAGTGGCGCTTCTGCACATGTGTGAAGCGCGATAGAGAGCTTCTGCACAGAACGCTTCTGCGCATGCAGAGAAACCCGGAAGTGAACACTTCTGGGTTTGCCGCATTCTTAACCCGAAAAAACTCAACATGAAGCATTCGCAAGAAGAGGTATGACTGTATCTCCTGTTAAAAGGACCACATCAAATGATGGAGAAAGGACTCTGCCTGTGATCCTGGACAGCCACTGTCAATCAAAGCAACTAATAATGGGCTAGATGGGCAAATGATCTGCTCTAGTATAAGGCCATTTCCAGTGTTAGAAACTGAGATATGAAAGCTAGGAGCCAAATTAAGGTTACCAGATTTTTTTTCAATGAATTCGGGGACACTTTTCAACTTCTCACTAAATATATGGATTTTGTCAGGGGACTGATTTGTAAATCTGGGGACTGTCCCCAGGAAACCAGGACATCTGGTAACCTTAAGCTAAATGGCACCTTAAACCTAGGTTATGGGTGCAACAACAGAATGTCTAGTGTACTTTTTTATAACAAGAATACAAAGTTGAAAATGAATAAACTGCAGATAAAATATTATGTTCATTTTTTACATGATCTAGTCCTTCCCCTGCCCACCCCCTAATATTCTTAAGAGGGTCTCTTCTCCAGTCTTCAGAGAGTAGCTGGAAGTGGGGAGGCAGAAAAATGTCTTCCTTTCCTTCCACTCTGCAGTTTAAATCTGAAATCTTAGGCACAGTACTGTGCCCAGAGCTCAGAAACTGCTTGCACTAATGAAATTCCCTGTCGCAAAATGCACCTAGAACAATGGGAGTTTCAAACATTGGCCGTTCCCCAATTTGCCCAAGCCTACACCCTCATCCTGGGAAAACCTTATGTGTCTATGCTTCTCACGCCCCTTGTTCTGCCCTCACCCAACATTTGACCCTACCTAACTTCCCATCTCCACCCCAAGACGGTACTAGATCCTTGCCATTTCCCTATCTTTAGTTGTTGGGGCAGGAGGAAGAGCTTTACAGTAGGCAGATGCCATACAAGGGGCTCCAACTACTTCTACACATTCGACTACCCACACTCACACTCACCTCTCTCTCTCTCTCTCTCTCACACACACACACACCCCTTTGGGATGCACAGCACATTTGGTTGACCAGGGACAACAAACTGGGGCTGACTAATAAACCTAGCCAAAATCTGAAAAGCCCCCAAAACTATAACTCTAAAAGTAATTCTCTGATGCAAAAGTGGAAGCTCAGGAGAAGAAAGAATATGCCCATTTCACTGAAATGAAGTTTGTTTTCTATTTAGGCAATGCAGGAAAAGTAGCACTCAAATGTGTTCATTCTTCTGTCACCCATGTACATCATTTATTAAAGCATCACAGGTGTTCGGTACCTCCATTCTTTCATGTGCAGATGAGATACAACTATCATACTTCACAGGGCTACCATTAAATTAAACCAGTAACTTACAGTTTCATTTCTGTGGGCCATTTTCCATTCAAAGCCCTTTGTTTACACTAATAATTAACCTTTGCAGCACCAGCCCTTTGTAATAAATTGGAAATAAATATTCCTATTTTTGTTCAATACAAGCTAGCAGTAATTAATGCTCACAAATGGATTTGAAACCTTCTAGGGAAAACAGGAGTCAAACTAGTGCTGTACTCGTATATCAACAAGAGATGCCACTTTCTTCAAATTTCTCAAAGATTTATTTTTCATGAGGCCTTTGACTTGGCTCCCTTGTTCCTATGTCCTATAGTGTTCTTCACCAACTGGATGCCCTTCTGGTTGTTTTGGACTATAACAAAAAAGGGAGCTGTGGTACAAAATTTCTGGAAAATACCAGGTTGCCCGGCTGCAGTTAAACCTGCAACCAAGCTTAAGCCATTGCAACAACTGCTTATTCCTTCCCCATTTATCTCACCTGCCCTTCCCCTGCTCTCAATGTATCAAATTTTAGATTGTAAGCTCCTCAGGGCATGTCTCCCTAAAGCACCACAGGCACTGACAGTGTTATATAAATAGCAATAATAAGAAAGTGAATCCATAAACAAAGTTGGAGTTGTAAACTCCCGTATTAGAAACTCAGCACTTGGGAGTATTATTAGTTTAGAATTCGGCAGACACATTCAAGCACTGTGCATTGATACTATTTCCACCACAAGCCATGGGCAGGTGAAGAACTGCTGATGCCAAACAGGTAACTACATTCATTCAGATTTAATTGCCCAAATATTGAGAGCAACAGGCAGCCTCAGTGCAGAGTTGCATACATTTGTTCAGCAACACAATCTGATAATTCCTACTATTTTGATGCAGCTGATGGATGAGTAAAACATACCACTTGACTCCCAGTCCCCATAAACCATATATTGTTGTACTGATTGCTGTGAATACTCTTTATCTCTGTAATAATAGCTTAGCTACTTGAGTTCAATGAAATATTGTCTCACTTTTCCTGTCAAAGGACCCCCAATTGCTTTATCCTTGGTATGCGTTTGGCAGACAAAGCCACATCCAAAGCATCACTGGCAGGTACTTGGTTGCCTGGGCACATTCTTCAGTGCCATTGTGAGCAGTCAAAATTTGTCCTACCCCAGCAGAGGTTTGGCCCCTTAGCTTAGAACATGCCACAAGTCCCTAAGGATTTGAGCTTAATTCTATGGCCAAGACAATAACCTCTCCCCACAATCTCAACAAATATATTAAAAAGGAACACTGGGTAGCCCCACATTGGACATTCCTAATAAACAATTATAGAGATGAAGGGCAACCACAGACCAGGAGTATAATACATGGCTTACAGGAGCTTTCCATGCCTGAATAAATTCCAAATGACTCACAAAAATGTTATGTCAAATTCTGAGTGGGGAGACCCAGGTTCAATTCCACCACTCAGTGAAGCTCCTTGGGTGACCTTGGGCCAGTTACCCTGCCTCAACTTAACCCTCCTCACAGGGCTGTTGAGAAGCTAAAATTATAAATGTTGCCTGGAGCTCTCTCTTTTTTTAAAAGGAGCTCAAAATGCATATATTAAGATACCTTCCATATTAAGCAGCGGATCCACAATACACTCCTCAGCATGACAGGAACTGTGGTCCCACACCTGGTTGTGCATCAAGTGCTTAGGCACAGAGCATAGGAAGCCGTTTGATACAAAGTCATACCACTGGACCACCTGCCCACAGACAGGGAGCAGTGACTCTCCAGGGTGGCATGCAAGAGACCATCCCAATCCCACCTGAGATGTGACTGAGAACTGAACCTGGGGCGTTTTGCATGACAAGCAGGCTTCGCAGGTGTGTTCAATGGCTAATCCCCAGCCACAAATCCCAGGCAAGAAGGCCAGTGTTACCATCTGGGGTGGGGTGGGGTGGGGGTGCCTGGGGCATCTAGCCCCAGGGCCTTCCAATGTTCATCCAACACAGGAGTCCAACAACGCCTAAGGATCCATTCTGCTTTCCTGCCTGCTCTTGTTGAGGCTTTGCACATGCTCTGGGGCAACCTCCCTCTCTCCCCCGCCCCACTCCAACACACTCGTCTAGGGCCTGACCACAAACAGGAGGCGTGCGCGAGTGGAGCTCTCAGCGCCAGTCCCACTCGCAAGCATGCAGGCAGGCAGGCAGGCAGGCAGGCAGAGAGAGAGGACGCAAGCGCCTCGTTCGGGTGCTGCTGCTCCTCCTTCTGCGGCGCCCCCAAAACAAATCCAACTCGCGAGTAGAGAGAGAGAGAGAGAGAGAGAGAGAGAGCGCCCACCCCGGAGGAGGAGCAGCGCGGGCGGGAAGGCGAGCGCGGAGAGGGAGAGAGAAGCTCCCGCTCGCTCGTTTACTCACTCGCCCGCCCCCCTCCCGCGCTCGCCTCGTGAGTCACTCGGGCGCGAAGGACCCCCCTCGCCCCTCCCCTCCGGCCTAGGCCCGACCAGGGAGGGGGCGAGCCCGGAGACCCCTCCTTCCTCTCTCCCTTCCCCCGCGGCGGCAGCCGAGGGGCCCGCTGCGCTCCCCGCCTCCTCCCGCTGCCTTCCCTGTCCCCTCAGAAGTCGCCCAGGGCGGCGTCGCGGCGGCGGTTACCTGTGAGGCGCTGAGAGAGATGAGGGGGTGAGGAGGCGGCGGCTGTGGCGAAGGGGGACGTCCCTCACTTCTCCCGCCGCCTTGGTCGTCGCCTTGGTCGTCTCTGCTGTCCGTCAGGTGTCCGGCTACCCCGGCGGCAGGGCCGGCCCCCCCGCCACCTTGGTCGCACGAAGCAGCACCGCCGCCGCCGGGGGCTCCGTAGCCGCTCAGCAGCCCCGGCAGCGGCCAGTCGCCATTTCCCGCCTACCGACCTGCTGCACCGCACGGAAGGACCCGGATGATGACGGGAGGAGGAGGAGGAGGAGGAGGAAGGAGGGGGTAGCGAGAGAGCGACGGAGAGAGGGAGGGAGGCGCCTTGCTTGCCTGCCTGGGCCGTCGCAGTTACTGCGCAGGCGCACTCCGCGCGCGCACGCCAGGCTAGCCCCGCGGGCGGGAGGAGCAGTTCCTGAGGGGAATCGGTTCTCTGGCTGTGAGAGGAAGAGGGAAAAGGAAGGAGAGCAGTCGGCTGAGGAGAAGGGGAAGAAGGCGCCCTCAGGCAGCTCGCGCTGGTGGGGTCCTGCGTCTCCCAGAGAAATGCATTTTGGTCGACGCCGCCGCCAAGGCACTCTGCACATGCTCGGGCGAACTTCCTCCACTCGCACAAGCCTCGCCTCAAGGGAGGAAGCGGCTGCTTTTGCTGTCTGTGGGAGGCCGCCCAGCGCCGATGGACTGGCGAGCGAGAGGCAGCAGGACCACCCCGGCCGGGGGAGGCAGCCGGCGCCAGGACAGGGACCGCAAAGGCACGCCTGGTCCCTGGACACACTCTGGACCCGCGGGCCGCAGCTACCGTAGGGGCCGCTCGCCCCTTTGGAGGCGCTCCGAAAGGACTGAAGGGGGCGGCGGGGAGGATTTTCCCTTTTTTCCGGACTTGCTGAAGCAGTTTCTTCGTGTGTGCGTGTTTAAATTTTCCCGCCCGTCGGAGAATGAGGAATGATTGCGTTGATTTCGAAGACGAGCAGCTACAGAAAAGATCAGCAGGAAACAGGTCCATCGGCAGCGAGATCCTGTTCGCTGCCTAGGGCGTTTGGACAAGGCGGCATAGAGCAAATCCAACAGGTGCAGTTGGCAGGTAAGGCTTTTGTTTTTCTAGCAGCACAACTTCATAGGTACTGCAGCTCCAAGGCAAGGAAATGTTTAGAAGAGAGAAGGGCCCACAAAAATATTTGATGGAATTTTGCATAACGGTTGCAGAAGTCACAATCCCTGCAACTAATTGATTTTATGTCACTTTTAAAATGTATAACCTGCCTTAGAGGCTACATATCTAGTTATATTTACGTGACTGCTAATCCCGTTACATTTGGTAGTACTTAACGCCTTGAGTATTTTCCCCCCATGCATGGAAAGGTGACTAAGTGATATCCATAAACAAGATGCTTAAGTGGACTTTCCTGTGTTTCACCTTCCCAAAGGATGCTGCTTCTGGCTCTGCCACCACCTAGCGGATTGAGATGGACTTGTATACCACTGAATCAAAGCGCTGACCTCACAGTGGCCTTCCTGAAACCTTTGAAGGGGTTTCTTCAGTTAGAACTGCCTAAAACAATGCATTTCTGGGGAAACAGGCCTTTTTGTTTTTCCAGGCACACATTTTGTTTGTTCTCCTTATGAAGTGCAAAGGTATCCTGCATTGTGATTTCATATTGAGGTGAGTCCTTTGTTACATCCCTAGCTGTATGTGTCTGCTCAGCAAGGTGCTATCTGTTTTCAAGGGAGCAGAGTTGCAAGGTCTCCAAGCTAACAGTGTCCAAATACATCTTGTGAAAGTCCATCCATTTTACTTTTCAGTCTAGTCCACAGAAAATCACCATCATGGCCAAAAACATGTGTATCAAGATTTTGACTGATTTTATCCCCAAAGCATAGTGTCAATTGCTCACTTGGTAATCAGCAGCCACCCATCCAACAAAATATCTGTTAGTTAAAACATCACCACAACAATATAATCAGTTGAAGAACTCTCTGGCTGATCTTTTATAGCTTTACCAGTCACATAATGACAGAAAACATTCAGTTTACTGAATCCCTGCCTGCATTCCCTCACTCCAGTATCAGAATAGTTGACATTTTTTATTATAATTCAATATCTGTATGGTGCGTAAGTTGGTTACTAGTTACCAGTTCCTTACTTGCATGAAAATTCAAAACACACTTCAAGCAGAAAACTTTTTTTAAAAAAGAGAACTAAAGTTTATTTGGCCCTGAACCTCAGAATAAGCTTTTGTCTATCACGTATTGTATATCTTCATGATTGAAAGGCTATCACCTCCAAGAGTCACAATAGTTTTCTCCATCAAAATTGCTCTGTTTGCTGAATACTACCAAGTAGGTGAAGACCTCCAATGGCAATAACAAAAAAAATAATTTGGGCAGTGCACACCCCAAATCTTAAATTCCACACCTCCAGGTATGTGGAAAGGCATTTAACTATGCCCTCCCCAGTATAGCATTTGGGTGCAGCAAACTGTCAGAAGTGGCAGCTTGATGCCTATAAAAGCTCAAATGTGCTGGGCACCATCAATAGCAGAAAAAAGGAACTGGGGTTGTATGAGTGAGGAGGGTACTAGCACTTGAAAATGTCTGTGCCTAAGAAATGCATTGGGCTGAATGTGATTCAATGCTATCCAAATGCTGGATGCATGGGTGTATGATTGGTGGTAGACCAAAGGTTATTTTAGAGTGTGCACTTTTAGCTCCTTTTTTCTTTTTTTGACATATTTTGGCTCCCTAATCCAATTCAGTATCATTTCATAAAGGACACTATCCTGATGCTGTGGATGTGGTGGGCCAAAGTACATACAGTGGTACCTCAGGTTAAGTACTTAATTCGTTCCAGAGGTCCGTTTTTAACCTGAAACTGTTCTTAACCTGAAGCACCACTTTAGCTAATGGGGCCTCCTCCTCCTCCTGCGCCGCCGGAGGCTGATTTCTGTTCTCATCCTGAAACAAAGTTCTTAACCTGAAGCACTATTTGTGGGTTAGCGGAGTCTGTAACCTGGAGCGTATGTAACCTGAAGCGTATGTAACCCAAGGTACCACTGTATTGTGGCTATTATTGGCATAGGGTCACTGCATTCAGCAGTGCACTATGCCCAGTAAGCATTGAATTAGGCATAATTAAATGCCTTTTATAAATACTTTACTGGAGGTGTGGCCTAAATCTTGTTTTTGGGGAGTACATGCCCAGTTCCTTATTCTTTTCTATATACATTGGTGGTGGGTCACATTTGACCTTGCACTATGCTGAAGAGACATTGAGCTAGACATACTTTTTATAGACAACACTGCTCTTGAGATTTGGATGTACGATTTGGCGTAGGTCAAAGCTTATTATGGTGTATTTCCTTATTATTTATTGTCATTTGGGGTCACTGTGCATCTATACAAGGGTTGCACCAAGACAACAGTTTGAATTGGAGAACAATTATGTTATTGAAAGAGAGTCAATCAGTCATGATAAGGATAGACCAAAACTTTTAAGTTTTCTGCTTGAGCTGTTTCAAACCTCTGTGGAAATAAGGAACTATTTGCCAACTATTAACCAACTTCTACATCATAATTCTTGTACTGTTGGCAGAGAGAGGGAGACCGCACCTTTGAAGATAAGACCATCAAATTGAGCTTAAAGGCCTGGCAGATGTGAGAAGATTTGATGGGGGTGAGGGTGGCATTGCTGATTGCTGTGCCTGGAGGCTACTCTGTGGCATACTTCTCTGGGTTTGGATTGTGCAGAAAAGCTGTTTGTGAGAGAAAACTGGTTATGTTTATAAACCGGGATGCAGGGAAGCTGTCATGTTGGGATCTGCTTTGTGGTTTTTGGAAGAATGAGATTGAAGAAACCACCCAAGAAGCTGCTGCCCAGACTTTCCACAAGCCGTATCATGCCTGGTTTCAACCGTAAAAGTGTAGAAGAGGGTGCTTATTAGAGCATCAATAGGCCTGGTCCATGGATTTCATTACATGCATTCTGCTGTTCAATAAATTATATGTTTATGGGCCATTTGAAACAATATTTATTTATACAACAAACAGCTTATAAGATGCCCTTCAGCATAAAACTCCCATGGTATCCTCTACTTCAAACTTAAAATAAGTAAAATGATAAAAGCAGTAGGCCATAACCAGATGATAAAATCCAAATTTATAGTGGATTATGGGGCACAACTTCTGGATTGCCTAGAGCAACAATGTGTCCTGGCTTAGCACTCAAAACATTTCCACTGCATAAAAGAACCTAATCCAAAATTATGCAAAGCTTTCAAGTTGGCTGGGTGAGTTGCTTTCTGAGATTACCCTGTTTAAAACATATCATTGCATAGGGCAATGTCATTGCTATTTATAAAGCAGACATTAAGAATTTGATTTGGTATGCTTATTACCAGATACTTTACGACAAAGCTTTTTGCTCACTGCAGAAAGCAAAATGCTTTTTTAATTTTTTATTCTAGCATATTAGGGCTGCAGGTTTCAAATCAAGATGTGGCTCTTAAGGCAAGCCACAGTTGGATTGGAAGCACCTCAAATGGTGCAGCATTATTTGTGTCAAGCTGGTACCTGTTTCCATGGTAATGGCATCACACATAAGTTGGTAGGTGTGTAAACCACTCATTTTGGAAAACAGCCCCAACACAAGCTTGCAGCTTTTAGATTGCTTGTTTGGAAGGAAATACAGGTGGATGCTTTCTAATATTTATTTTTCCACAAACCCTTCCCTCTTCAATCTCGCATGCATGGAATTGTGTACAGCAAGCATGTGCTGTTTAGATACTCAAATTGCACCACAGGCAGCAAACATGTTGCTTTAAGAAAAGGATGCCTACAGGACAGAGGCAGTTATGACAATTTAACACATCACATTTTATGTACGTCCAGTGCAGATTCAAATTAGCAGTGTGAGGGTGGCTGTGTTCCTGCCCATTAATTTACAGACCAAGAAGCATGTATAGGAGAAGAGTTAGATTTGTGCTTACCTTGTACAAGTTCAGTTGCATTGCTGTAGCAAGACTGTCAGTTTGGTCCATGTTTGCTTTATATGATCTCCCTCCCCCCGTCCCAATAGTTAGCAATTGCTGAAGAAAGCTCTGTTTCCTGGAACAACATGCAGTTTCTCTACTTCTTCCCTGACAGGCTGCTTTACACAATTGTTGCCTGGCAACTGCCAGCAAGGGAAGACTACTTTTGTCAGAGCCTGAGCAACATATAGCTGTATAGCCCCCTTGCCTTGCCTCAAAAGGAGCTGTTTCCTGGCAACTGCTACCTGCTAGCAAGGGAAGACTGCTTCCAACATGGGCTGAGTAAGACCTAGCTGTTCAGCCCCACCTTTGCCTAAAAATACTTTGGAAGGAACTGCTGCTTGTTCAGACACCAGAGAAGAACAAGGGCTACATAATCCGTTTCACACAAGTACCGTGCCATCCTGTCTAGATTACAGTGTGATTTTAATTTTGAGAATTTTTTAATAAACTGCTTTAAGAGGCACTCAGGACTGTAAACTGGAAAGCAAGTACTCTAAATAAATGTTAAGACTGCATGTCTACAAGCTGAAGCACAGTTTAGCAAGAAGAGTAGATTTTTGGAGCAAATATTGCTGTTGTGCTACCCAGGACTGAACCATGGGTTTGACATAGAATGATGTTCAAACCTGGGCTTGGGGTTTGAACCAATAGCCCAGGTTCAGAGATAATGCTAAACCAAACAATGGCTTAGGCCCAGGTAGCATGCCAATGGTAGCAGCAGATGGACCACAGGAGGAGCACAGTGCCTTTAGAGTCGATGCATTTGCACAAGTGTGCATTTTGCTGTATGATAATTTTCCTACACCTAAGTACTTTGCATAGTGAAATTCTTTGTGTGAAGCAGCATTACTTGGGATTTATTGCAATCAAGCTGAACCCCAGAACTGATGTTCTTTAAACATGAGACTACCAAATAATGTGTTAATTAGTATGGGTCTTAAAGCTGAAATCAATCTCTGTTCAGATACAGATTTTTGTCTGTCTGCCAGCCTCAATTCCCCCTTTTCAGGAACCAGCACACTTATACCAACCTTCCCAAACCTGGTGCTCTCCAGCTGTTCTGGACTACAACTTTCAGCCTCTGGCTGACTAGAGCTGATAGAAATTGAAATCCAAACCTTCTAGAGGCACCATGTTGGGGAAGGCAGTCTTTTATGCCAAAAGGTCAGAAGTATGACTTATGCCTTGATTGCATCATAAAAATTCACCCATGGACAGCTTGTGAGGCTGACCAGGTTCATAGAATGGAGAGCAGCACATCCCTGGAACACACTGCCCTCCTTCACTGGATGGTTGAAAGGACACAAAGACAAGCACTAAAACTGCAGTTTTATTAGAACCTATTAAATTTTGGATTTCAACAGCAAAATCCTAATAAAATTACACCTAATTTAGGGCAGACACATTTTGGTCAATTCACAAAGTACAACACTGAAGATTTATGGAGAAAGAGGTGTTAGGAATGGTGGCAGGGAGAGGGGGAGAGAAACTACCTCTAAGGCAGGTTCAGCCTTGTAGGTTTTACAGCTTGAAAATAAAACTAAGACGAACAGTCACCACTCGTGTCCAGGTTTGTGTGCTTGAGAAGTGCCCAAGCACAAACTTCCATATTTGTTGTCAGAAATAAACACTGTTCTAAGGGAAGTCTTAAACAGATATCTCCTTTTTATTCAATGCAAATTGTTAATTAAATTACTGCAAATTAACTTTAACTTACCAAAGAGACCAATAACCTGAGTACAGCAGAAATCATGAAGTACAATCAACCCTGTCATAGGACCTAAATTCTTTATTCACAGTAGCCCTTGTTGATAACTAGGGTTAATAACTTGTTGCTCAGGATATAGATGGGCATAACCATTTCTGTGAACTTCAGAAAGTGCTTAAACATCAAAACAAACAAAAAAACAAAGTAAGACCTCTTACACAAAAACACAGTACAAAACCGCAAGAACATAGAACATGCCCAGCGTTTTGAGTAATCCATACTACAGCACTGAAGTTGAAACAAACTGAGCATGACTCCAATTCTGAAACACATCAGAGGTTCAGACAGGAATGAATGAAGAAACTGATGAGATTGCACTTTTAGCCACTCTCCATTACATTCGGCTATTATTGCATAAGATTGAAATCACTGCTGTAAAAACAAAGGCAAATAAAATATTTATAGCTTTTATGTGTTGGAAATACTGGTTGTAGGTTTTGCAGAGTTAAACTCTGGTAATTATCCTATAAAATTACTACACTGTTGCTGCATTTTTACTATGGATAACTTTAGTCACTCTCCTAGAGTTAACAATATTGTCTCATATAGAATTAATGTAGTATGTATCACACAGACCTTCCTTAGTTATAGTAAGGAAAGTTCTTTCATAAAACACAAACACATTTTCAGTCAACTTTCTCAAAATGAAATGTAGTCTCTAAAATGCAAGTCACAACAGTAAGAGAAATGAATAATTTGCTTGCATGGGTTAAATACATTGTGGTATCAAAGAGTGTCCCATCTGTACAGTTATTCCTGCAATGAAGTAATTCATATATAAGATACAAACTGTACAAAGTTCTCCAGTTTACAAAGTGGCTTAGTTTCAGAAACATGTTGACCTAAGTTATTTTGCAATGTTAGCTATTATTTCAAAGGTTACAGGTAAGGAACAGTCTTACTGCCCAGTCCAATAAAGAGCCAGGTGCACCCAACTTTGCGTAGTTTCAGGTTATTAAGCATCTCCTAAAAGAACAAACCATCTCTGGTTCTGTTCATTTGCGAAATAAGTACAACTATATACATATACACAGCATTTTACCTTTTCCTTCCACTGTTAACTTTTTGCTGTCATTCTTTTCAGTGTCTCTTACAGTAAATACTGAAAAATCGGTTGCGATTTTTTCCCTCTTGCAGAATCCCTCAGATAAAGGTAATTTGGAATTTAAAGTACATCGTTGAAGTGTGGTTTTCCGTAGTCTGCAATATCCATTTGAAGCTCTCTCTCCTCATCATCTGGAATCAAAGGAGGCAAACCAACATTAAGTTTTTAAAGTAAGTTCTCTGAAACCCACAGGACCATGTGTTGAGAACAAACGATTCACTGCCTTCCATATAAATTATGGGTGTGTGAAGTGTGCATATCCAGAAATTTTGTATGCAAGATGCTTTACTAAGAGAAACAATTACTTAACATCCTTTGTTCTAGAGGTCTGCATTTCTGTAAACTTTCTGCTTTGAACGACTGTTTTCCTTCCTATTTGCTCTTTCCCATCCCATCTGTATCATTTTATACACAACACAATTCCAAGGAGGATTCACAGGAGCTTGTGAGCAAACCAACCCGCAGGTAACCCACCCCTTTGGCTTAGTAGGACGAGTAAGCTATTTAGCTGTACTGATTCTGAACTGGTGTTCTCCATACCCCTCTAGACTTTTACAGCATACTAGAATTAATTGAACAGTAGCTTTACCTTAAGACATCTTACACATGCACACCCAGTTTGAAACCCTGCTGCTGGGCACACAAAGGCAGAGTTCATCCAACCAGAAGTAACCCTCCCACAATCAACTGCTGTGGACGAATGCTGTTCATAGGTACAAGAGGCATAATAAGAGCTGCAATATAATCTGCACACAAATACAGTGTTTTGAAGGATAGCACCTAGTTTGATTTAAACTTCATTATCACCCAATACTTACATGAGGGGATTCAGACGGGAATGTATTTAGAGACTACTAATATCATTTTCTCTTATGGTCTCCAACAGATTAATCTCACATACAATTATGCTTACAAGGTGATTGTAAGTTAATAGAAGTTGTTTTGTCACTTTATGTGTGCTGGACCTACCAACTTCCCTGATAGGAAAAAAGCATATTTTTAAAGAAATGCCAGCAGCACTTCATTCCAAACTAAACAAAAACACCCTCTTAAAATTCTATGGTACTTGCAGGCAGGCCAATTTAAAAGAATTTCAACTGACCTAGAAGATTAGAACACCAGTGTCAAGAATGAAGCTTTGGAAAATGATAACATCTTATCCTGGGAAGATGCAAAATAAATTTGTATTTCACATTTCATAATTTAATGAGAGGATGTCTCCACAAGAGCCCTTGAAATGAATGGAAAAACTGCTGTATTCCGGGGAGGGCAGGGTAAAGAGAGAAAATGGGTTTAGTTAACATAAATACCAGTTTGGGCCCTAATGTGATTTGGAAAACTGAACTGTGGAAGCTATTTCTTACTGATTTCTAGAGCCTTCTGCAGTACAAAAAAATATTACTATGTGCTACTTTGTTCTTCAAGTTGGTAGAGGCAGTTTAGGGTTTGGAAGCGATACCACACCACACACACACAAGCAATGGAAGCAAACAGGTAAAAGAGAGTGATAGACCAAGGCATATGCCAAGTGCAAGATGAGAGCATGCATGAGAACACCTTAGGTATTGGAAGCAACAGAAATGCACTATGGAGGTCCACCGATTATGTATATTAGTAAGGCATAAGAACATTCCAGCTAGCTATAGTTATTCACAACAGTGATGGCTACAGATTCAGCTTTGGGCCTATGCCAGATCCGCATGCTTTCCTAATAGCTAGAAGCACAAATTAATTCCAGGACAGCCACTGTGTTAGTCCTTGGCAATAAGGAGGAAAACGCAGCAGCACCTTCAAGAATGGTTTTATCATGCCCTGCATAGGCAAGAACCAACTTCACCACAGTACCCTTGACTCCCTCTGGTACAAATTCAAGACTACTGGAAAAAAACATATTTACTAGCAATTAGAAATTGCTTCAAGTTCTAGAGTTATTTCACAAGCTGAACTGCTAGAAGATGACACAGTCAAAATTCAGCTGTCTATTCACAGCAGGACCTTTCTAAGCAGCTAAATGTTGGAACTCTACACCACTGCAGCATGGTTCTCGAGTGAGGGAATCACATGAATGGGATGGAGACAAGGCCCAAGCTCACCTTGGACGTCTTCTTCACCACCATCACCATCCTCTTCCTCATTGTAGGCCAGCTCAGCCTGCTTGTCTGCCTCATACTCACCCACGTTCCCATCATCCCCATTATAATCCGCCAGTTTAGAGCCATGTTGCGGATCAACAGGGGACTCATTCTCATCAAAGAACCGGCCTGTGAAGTAGGCAAAGGATTTATAGTCAGAGGCCAGGATGAAGGGGAGGGGGAGAGAAGGGGAGAGAAAAAAGCGGAGTAAAGAGAAGCAGGAAGGAATCTGAACTCAGAAAAGTGTTTAAAAGTGGTTGCAAATAATCCTTGCAGCACTATAAATTGAGAAAAATCCTTCTGCCTGGAACTTCAGAGCACTAAATTTTATGACCTTTCATTATAATCTCTAGCCCCTTAAAAACTCCAGTGTTTTATATCTAAGACACAAAACACTTGCCTCAAAAGAAGGCAACTGCCTTTTTGGAATAAGTGAGCATCTTGTATTAATGAAACTTTACCAAAATATTTTGGTTGCTTTGACAATAATAATAATATAATAATAAATTTTATTTATATCCCGCCCTCCCCAGCCGAAGCCGGGCTCAGGGCAGCTACAAAAAAGATCTGAGCTTTATAATCGTTTGTATACTATAGCCTTTAATGTAACTATTTTCTAATCTGAATTTTTCAAAGCTTTAGAAACTTTTTAAAAAATGGAAAAGTAGTTCTACACAGTGAAATATAGATTAAACCAAAGAAAAGAATACATCTCACACTATACGCATGAGCAAAAAGTAAGATTCAGTGTCATGCTAGTAGCAGAGGAAGAGTCAGCTCTGGGCAAAGGTCTGAGCCCAACACAAAGTTTATCTTTCAGCCATGTAGGATTCTGCAAAAGAAGGCTACTGACATTTCCAGAAGATGAAAACTTGCATAGGCCTTTGGTGTTTTCCAATAACAATATTTACAAACTGAACACTTGAGCTAAACAGCTAAGATAAACACACACACACACTTGAGTGTCGGAAATACGGACTACAGCAGAGAGTTGACAGTAAGCTGCAAGCAAATAAAGTTCGCTTAAATCTTCCATATGAAATGAACAGTAAGTGGCAAGTAAAGACTTCAACGATTGAGAGTTCTCCAGTTACACTGTCACGCTTCATCTGTTTTCTATATCTTGAAAAATTACAGCTAAGCACGACTGAAGCAAACAATTAGAAGCTTCATAAAATGAAAATAATTTACAACTTATTTCCTAAATGCCTGTCCAACGTTGCAGATCTGAAAAAAATGAAGGCTCAAGAGTTCATTTCCAGAGCCACAGCTAAATTATGAAGCAATTTTTAAAGTATTTTGAGAAATTTTAAATGCTTCCTTGTCAGATAATCTGCTCAGAGCCAGATGTGCCAACAGGTGCACTGAGGAATTCATGCTCACATAAAACATGTTTGTACTTGGGGGTACAAAGTGGAGAATCTTTGGCCCGCCAGGCCTCTGAATCTGGCCCAAGATTACAAAGTGCTGTGTTTGGATTAGAGAGGAGTGATCTCTTATCTCTACTCATAGCATTAAGCATCACAATGCTAAGATCGGCGATAAGCACCTGCTTGCTCTTGGAAAGGCAGCAGGCAGAAGCTCATCTCTTAGAGTTACGGGACTATAACACTAGAGTTGGAGATGACTCTGTGGCTTGAACTTTGAATCACTGGGTGTCATTTGACATGACCCACCTGCCAAAATGACCGGCAGATGGAGGGAACAAATCAAGATCTGGCCTTCAAAGTGGATCCGGTTCCTCAGCCCTGGCTTGGTCTATGGCAATATCCCTAGCATTTGTTGTGGTTATTTTAAAGTTCTTTCAAAAATTCTTCAATTACCATTCAGCCACACAGGAGAACTCGGAAATTCCCATGCCTAAAAGTTAAAATCACTTTTTATTGTTATTGTTTTTAATAGTTAAATTGCTTAGAAATATTTTATAGGAAGCATTTAATAAATTGAAATGAATACAGTGGAAAGTTCCTGGAATCGCGTGAATTATTTGTATCTGTCTAAAGAGATTATAAGCCCAAGGCTGTTTTCAAACACAACAATCTTGCTAAATTGCATAGGCGGGCATTACTTTGAGACCCTTACATAGCAATACAGTTTCACATTCTATGTCCATACAGAGGTGTGGTTTGGGGGAGAATACCCATACCAAATATGGTGGGAGAAACCGGACAGCCATAACTGTAATCTTCAACAAATAGAATCTGAGCAACGAATACTATATATTGAAATACTATATATTCAACTGGCCCAGGATACAGCATTCAGGTGTAAACAGCTCCACTAGGTTGCTGAAACAGCTCCACTAGGTTTTAATTTATTTCCAGGACCATTTCAAAGAGCTGGTGATGATACTCTTCTGTGTCCCATTAACTCTAACCGTACATTTGACTCTAGCCATACAGGGCCTTCTTCATTACCTATGTACCTTCATGAGGGAGCCTACCTTGAACTATCTTCAATGGCGTTCTGCAGCAATGGCAAAGAGGAGTCAATTCAGTTTGTCATTTCAACTATGCTGTGGGAGTTTGGGGCACCATTCCCCCTATTCTTGAAGTTTTATGGAACATTCTGAATCCTTATGTAGGCAAAATGGCACCATCCACATATAAGAGTGAGGGGAAACCCAAAGGCTTGTAGAAGGACAAAAAACATCACTGAAAACCTCTCAGGAAGGGAGGAAAAAATAGAAAGCCCTGGAGGTGTACATGACGCATGCCATGCAACAACATTTTTGTTGCAGATCTCACTTGTGACAGTAATTTTAAGACTGGCTTGTCTACTTGGTAATCTTTGTAATCTTTCACTCTGAATTGGTTCTGTAATATTGGCTGTCGTTTTCCAACTTGGGCTTTAAGGCAGGATACAGAAGTTTTAAAATAAATATGTCAAGGCAAACTGACCATGCTTCACTTAAAGCTACAGAAGATACTCATGAAAAGTTCCACTTTTCTGCATCACAAGACCAGAGCTCAGCTATTTTTAATTTCCAAGAGGTATATTAAAGGAAACCTTCAATGATGCAAGCAATTCCTAACTTGAGGAAAAGAGTTATAATGTACCTTGCATTGCATGGATTTATCAGTTTCTGAGCCATTCAAAATTGTTCAGCACTATGAAAATAAAGGGATCCATGAGTTTATTAAACTGTTTAACAGTGCAGTCTTATACCTGCCCAAACAGAAGTACAGTGGTGCCCCGCAAGACGAATGCCTCGCAAGACGGAAAACCCGCTAGACGAAAGGGTTTTCCGTTTTTGAGTTGCTTCGCAGGACGAATTTCCCTATGGGCTTGCTTCGCAAGACGAAAATGTCTTGCGAGTCTAGAGATTTTTTTTTCGCTTCCCCCCCCCTTTATCTAATCTGCTAAGCCTTTAATAGCCTTTAATAGCCTTTTAGCAGCGAATCCCTAAGCCTTTAAGCCTTTAATAGCCGCTAAACCGCTAATAGCGCTAATCCGTTAAGCCGCTAATAGGGTTGCTTCGCAAGACGAAAAAACCGCTAGACGAAGACTCTCGCGGAACGGATTAATTTCGTCTTGCGAGGCACCACTGTATATGCTCCACTAACTGTAACAGGATTTGCAGCCTAAGACAGTCTATTTCTAGGTTTAACACAATGAAATAATTGAAGTTAGGGGTTGTCATAATATGATGAAAATGAACCTTAAACCCTCAAGAGAAATTGCAAAAAAAGTAGGCAATACTTTTGGAACTAAGCAACATTTTAAGCACACTAAGTTCCTATATATAACAAGCCACAAGAATTCAAGGAAAGAAAGTTTGGAATCGGGCTTGATTCTGAAAGTTGTGCCTATCTAAAGCTGCTCATATTCACAGTGCCTCACAATGGAAATGTGACCTATTGTCTCTTTCTTTTCCATTGATCAAACACATCCTCAAAATTACCAGAGTGCTCAGACTGAGTGAAAGTGAGAATGGTAGTGAAGAGGGCACAGCTAAAGCTCCCCACCCCCACAAGATCTGGTGTTATTAACATTACCTGAATATTAACTCATCTAGAAAATCCATGCTTTGGTTTTGCTGTGTTGCTTCAATTATGAGTGAGGGTCTGAGTCAGAATTATGAGCAAGGGTCTGATTAACTTACTTTGCTTCATTCTTTGGAAGTCACTGATTCTGTCCTTTTTTAAATGTTCTTTTTCAGCTTTCTGATTATCTAGGACGGGATCAGGAATCAAATGCTGAAGAGGATTTGGTGGGATCTGCTTTATGATGTCAGCATTTCCATCCTGGTTACTGTTTACACCTGGAAGCGCACAAAAAACAATTAAAGCACTTTGACTATTTGCACTGTTCAGGCACAAGGAAAAGCAGCTTATGAATTAAGTCCTTTCTGAAGGGCAAGGGATCCCCTGGTGTGTGTGTTTTTGTGTTTTTTAAACTTCTTTACGAATTTTTCTCCAAACATTGCTGACACCTGTGCTTTCATTTTCTCAGTAGTCAAGGGAGAGAATGGGGAAGAAGGCGTGTCATCCATTATCAGCTATTGATACTTCTGTCACACTTCTTTTAAAAGCTTAAGAGGAATGCTGCAAATACATCATTGGAAGCATCAGGCTTTCTCCATGCCTGGACGTTACTTTCTTACCAAGTCTAGTGACCACTTGTGTCACTTAAACCACTTTGTCCATTCTTTAATTTAATGCATGGTGTGGGGACAGCAGTGGTTCCCAACCTTTTTTTGGCCATGCCCCACCTAAGCATCTCTAAAATCCTGACACCCCCCACCACCCAGGACACATAATTCTTATCATTCAAAAAGTGAACTCCTATTCAAGTGGAGGAAGCCTAAAAGGCCATTAACTGTTAATAACTCATTCTCGAATTCCCCCCCCCTTAAAAATCAAATTGCCCCCCCCCCCCGCCCCACATTGGGAACAAACTGGATTAACTTCAGCCCTTTTACAAGTTAAATTGACCTTGTCAGTGTTTGCTTCTCACTACCACTCTCTGGTGATTATCGCCTCTCTGTTCTCTGGGATTGCTCACTTTACAAATAAAAGCTGCCCACATGTACACCTTCACACCTCTAATTCCTAAATAATGTCTCCTTTGTAATGTCTTTGCTAAACTTGAGAAACAGAGAAGGAAGGTGGTGGTTTTAAACACTCCTAAAGAAGTTTTAGATCACACTCACCTTGGCTATGCATAAAGACTAAAGGAGAGGCCAGACTGTGAACAACTTTTTTTATCTTAAGACCAAGTCTACTGTAGGTATAACTTAAAGGTAGAGGAACCCCTGACCATTAGGTCCAGTAGCAGACGACTTGGGGGTTGCGGCGCTCATCTCACTTTATTGGCTGAGGGAGCCAGCGGTCCTCCCCATTGACTCTTAGAAGGCTGGGGAAGAACTGGTGACCTCATTCCGCCATAAGAGAGTGAGGGATAACCTCCTTTAGAATGCCCTTCACTGAAGGAGAATATTTACTCCTGTTTTAAAGATACACCAGGGACTTCTTACCTTGAACCAGATTTGGAGCATGGGGCTTTTCTGTTGGAAGATTTCCATTGGGGTGAGGTTCATTCTGAGAAGCTGAAACAAGTGGCTTCTTCAAAGCTAAACAAACAAAATCACACTATGACTCACTGATCTACTAATACCAATGGCACATCCTAAGGCAACCACTGAGCGCACTGTTCAAAAAGAGAACTGATATGTTCTGTTGAAAGCCGCCCAGAGTGGCTGGGGAACCCAGCCAGATGGGCGGGGTATAAATAATAAAATTATTATTATTATTATTATTATTAGTTCTGCAAAGGGCTGATTTCTGACAAGTGAACCAAGATTGGTACAAATGCAGTTGTTGCCAGAAGCTCTTCTATATTTTCAAGATAAGCCATACAGAAGCAGGGGCTTTCCAGCAAGGGCCAGAATCCAGTATACTATAACAAAAGTTTGCGCTCTCACCAGTTTGAAATGTTTTGTCAGGGCAGCATTTGCTAGCGTTCACATGCCGAGAAGAGTTAAGTTCAATTTTGCGGGGTTGCAAAAAAAGAAGAAAGCTCCCCCTCCCTATTTATACTTCTTATTGATGAGCAAGAATCAGTGGCAAGTAATTCTGCCAGTTTATACTAAGAATCAAGACAACAGGGAATCCAGAGATTCTGGTGCAGCATCTGTCTTTATTTCACATCTGATAACTGCTTTAGCCAATAGCACTTCACCCCCCTTCAGGCACGTCCTCTTGTAAACTACCTTGGTCACCTTTGGCAACAAACTGAAATCTGACATAGCTAGCCCTTTCTCTGGAGTTTAAATCAGTAACCCATCTAAAAAAACCACAAACTGCTGAGGGAGGAAATGGGTATTTCAGAATTATCAAAAATAACAGATTTTAGATTACTTAGAAATAATAGTAGTAGTAGGAGTAGTAAAATATATATAGCTTTGCTAACCAGTGAGTGTATCTTCAGCTTTAGCAGCGTCATTCTCTTCTATCCCAGGCATGCCTGCATCATCTCCTGGTTTCATTTTCTCTGTCAAGACAAGAAGAAATTTCTCTCCTTGCTGCTGCTTACTTTTAACTTCTAAGTGGATTCAGAATTGTTACAGGGACTGGACTAGAGGTAGTAGATCATAGTTGCTGAACAGAAAGCAATACATCTCCCTCAGTGAGCTAGCTGCAAAGGCAGGCAACTTTCCCCAAGACTTCATTGCTGGCCAATGGTAAAAATGACACCAGATCTGTGCCTCAAGACTGAGGAGTTCCTAGCCAGCCAGGTACTCTGCATTCTCCCAAAACACTTTAAGAGATACATAGTGATATGACCCAGAATTGTACTAGACAGACCTTTGCCATCTGAGATATTGTTGATGGAAGGTGTTTCATTCCTAATTACATTCTTTTCATCCAATTGTTGCGTTGTCTTCAGTATTGTTGGATTATTGCTCAGGTTGCTCTCAATATCCTTACTGGACTGGCTTCTGTGAGCAGCCTGCTGCAAAAATGTAAAGAACCAACTATGAAACACATTTGTTCACATTTGAATTAGACATCCTGTGTGCTTGTCACTCCATTAGGATGATTCAGTCTGTTGTCAATGGAAATACACTTCTACTTCTCTCTCAACCAAGTTTTGTTCTTTTCGCATAACAAAGTCTAACATCAAATTTATGGATAGAACTGATGTACGCCAGATGGGCGGCGTATAAATAATAACTTTTATTATTATTATTATCATGATTATTATCATTATCATCATGGCAACAGGGGTGCTGGAAACCCATCCTAGAATCATGCAGCAAGCAGTGAAGGGTAGGATGCAAAGCGATCCTCTATCCATTCCCAAGTGGAGCGAAAGCTGGTTAGATCATACATAGGCAAACTCGGCTCTACAACTCCCATGATCCCTAGCTAACAGGTCAGGGATGATGGGAATTGTAGTACCAAAACATCTGGAGGGCCGAGGGCCTATGCCTCAGTTAGAGCCTGACCCTTTTCTTAATGAGTAACTAGAGAGGAAATTACCAAAGGAAAATGGTATTTCAAACCATTCTCAAGTGTCTATAAAAAATGATAGGAACATATGAAGATACGTTCTTGGACATTCCCAGCACTACCTGGAGATGCTGGGGATTAAACCTGGGACCTCCTATATCCAAGGAAGATGCTCTCTCTACCCCTCAAATATGGCCCTTCACAGCCTTAAACAACTGAGCATTTAGATGATGTACCTTTTGGTCTTGTGTAACTTGGTCCTCTAACTTTCTCATATTTTCTTCATGCTGCATCCTCAGTTCTTTGATCTGATGTCCACACTGAAAACTGGCAGAACAGATAATGTACAACAGAGGTAACAAATTTTATAACTTGCCCCAAGATGACACATGTTTTATATGCTCCGCCTTAGTACCGCCTAAGTACTATTTGTTTCTGGAACAAAACTATCTCTTTCCCTTGCAAGGCACTGAATGTATGAATCCAGTCTTTCGGTCCATCTAGCCTAGATCAGTCATCAACACCAGCTAGTAGTGTTTCTCTAAAGTCCGAGGCAAGAGGGATATTTCCCAAGATCATAGAATCCTGGAGTTGATGACAGAAGTCCACAGATCCTTTTAAGTGAAGATGCCAAGGACTGAAGCTCCTATCTTCTACATACAAAGCAGATGCTCTACCACAATATTATGGATGCTCTTTGCAAAGGAAAGAGTTGCAACCTCTACTAAGACTTGAGTTCTAAATTAAGGTGACTCTCCTCATGGACACATGAATGGCAATAAAATTGTTAGCACATTTGCAAAGCTAAGCAGGGACTGGTATGGTTTCAAATTGGATGAGGGATTGCATGCTGAGATTCCTGCATTGCAGGGGGTTGAACTAGATGACCCTTGTGGTCCTTTCCAACTATGATTCTATGAATAAGTGCCACAAGAATTGAAATCTCCTGTCAGACCTTTCCTTATCAAACCATTGTGTTTGCTTATTCCTTGCCTGAGGCAGGAGGTGGAACATGGAATTGGCTCTCCCTCCATTCCACATAACATAGCAAACTGTGAAGCACCCTCCACTGTGTTGACTGATGGTGCTGTAGGATAATCAATACATTTTTGGTGCAGCGATTGCCATCCCTCAGGAATTCTACCTTGGATACCTTGATTAACAGGTTCTGAGCACCATTTCTTTTGCTTCTTTTAGCAAGCAAGTCAAAATCATGAAGTTTCACTAGTCTCCTTTTCAGTGAGGGCAGAAAGGGCACTACCCTACCACAGCTGTCCTAAAATATGCTTTTCTTCTAATTCTTTCGGCATATAGCTAATAAAGGATGCTGATGTCAAAAGCAGGACTCCACTTTGATCTGAAAGTTCATGGCATAGCTAAGCTGGAAAGACTCTGCAGAACTCTGTATTATTAGAATACATTGGCATCAGTTCAGATTTATATATTACTATGCTCACCTTTCATACTCCAACCTTTTCAGAAGTTGTGTATTGTTGTTCCTATATTCATGAAGCTGGTCCTCTTGACGAATAAATTCTTGACGCAACTCTGCGAGTTGTTCTAAGGCAAAGTGTAAAAGTCAAAATCGTTAGAAAAATAATGCCTTCATAACTTAAATGCAACTTCCCCCCACAAGTTGGGAAATTTTTATTTTTCCACTGCTAAAATAGAATGTTCTGTATACGCTAATGTCTTGGACAAGTGATACGAAACCTAAAATATAACTGTTTAGGAACCTCATTACAAAATAGAAGAAAACTTGTGTGTGTGTGTGTGTGAAAGAGGTGTTACTTTTCTTTCTGGAGTCTCCGCGGCATAATACGGTCTCAGTGATGCCACATTCAATTTTTAGTATCTTATGCTTGTATTTTAGTAAAGCAAACTCTTACAGCTACTACATCTTGCAAACTATAATGTTAGGGCTCAAGGAGCCACAGCACTTATTTATTGACATCCTGCCCATCATTCAAACTCAGAGGAGTGTACATATTTCTTTCCCCTCCCCCTTTATCTTCACAACACTTTAATGCAGATTAGGGTCCAAGATCACCCAATCAACTTCATGGATGTATGGGGATTTAACTTGGGTCTGCATGTGCATCTATCTTTGTAAAGCATTGCCATTTACTCTCTAGCACCCTTTATATATGAACAAATATCATTGTTGGAAAGGGTATGGCATAATGTTATTTATTTCACATGACTTCCATTCTGTGAGAACATGACTTTGTAGCTTCACCTGACAAAGCAGTGTAAGAAGATTACCAGCGGTAATCAACCATATTAGAGACCATACTACAGTGGTGTGTTGTTGCATAAACAAAGCAATTCTTTGACTTATAGCAATGTAAGATCTCCACCAGAAGACTTGTACATTATTTTAATGTTATAGCACTTGGCTGTACAACTGATAGAAGTCACTGCCTATGCTATAACTTCAACTCTCCCTTTAAAAACCAAAACACTGCTGCATATCTAAGGTCCATGAGATATTTGAGGGCACATTTGCAGAATTTGTAACAAAACAGAACTCATGTTCTCATCTTTGAGGCAGGAACAGAAAAGGGATAATGGCAAGCGAGGCAATGGCCTTTCTATGCCAGATAAACGAACATAGCATGTTATTTTTTAAAGAAAGGCTCTAGCTCATGTCAAGAGGAAGAGTATTAGGAAAACTTGACAGTTGCAAAGTTTTAAGCTTTGCTTAGCAATACAAGTAAAATAAACCTGCTAAATTAGATCTCTAGGGCACCAGAAACTTTTCCAATTCACAATTCTCCAAATAATCCATATCACCAGTTGCTACTTTGCTACCAGTATACTTTCTTTATACTGCTCTCAGAATTAGTAGGTTTAACTGCTGCATGCTTCTCCTTTCTTTTGACTCCTTACCCTTTAAGCGATGTATGTCTGCCATTTGATATGATATGTTGTTCTGAAGCTTAATCTGAAAAGGAGGAAATATATATTGTGCAAATTAGTGGTCACTATACAGTTAATATCAAAATGATCATGGTAAACAAGACTTTGATGAAACACTGAGCTTATTAAATAGCCTAAAGTTTCAACAAAGGCTTCCCAAAATCTGTTTTCTTTTTCATTCAAGATATTGCACACAATCCATTTACACTTCAAGACAACAAGAAGCAACATTTTTTACTTTGAGCCCAGTAGCCATTCAAATTCAGGGGGGGAAATGATTGTTTTAAAAATACCACTTCAATGTTTCCTTAGAATGCAGATTAATCAATGAAATTTTTTATTCATTTATATTCTGCCCCACTTTCACATATCTCTGGGAAGGTAACAATAATATTGCATGAAACCGAACATACACAACAACAACAACAACAACAACAAATCGTAGAAACAGCAGTTGAAATATTTGCCAGTGTGAGTGGCACTGTTGCACTGAAGGCTGCATTTTCAACCAAGCATCTAAAAGGCAGCAGTGAAGGTATCAGCCAAATTCTGGGGCGTCCCTTCCTACAAACAGATACCACAACAGAAAAGGACCACCCCACATCCCAGTGAAGTGCACAGAAGCTAGTGGTGGGATGCTAAGGAGCCCCCTGCCCCAACCAATCTCCCATGCAAGGACAGAGACAGAGAGAGACTCCCTCAAGATTTTAAGTCCCAAGGCATATCAGGGTTTTATACATCATCTGAAAAACCTTGGATTTGACTTGTAAATGCACTGACAGCCACTGCAGAAAGGTCCTTAAGAACCCGAGTAACAACCACTCTGGCTGGTGGACCCACTCCAACAATGGAAAACTATATTTTGCACAAGCTGCAGTTCCCAAGTACTGTAGTATTCAAAGGTAGCTCCACATACTGTAATGACTACTGCATTACAGTAGTCCAGACAAGAAGTTATCAGAACACAGATCATTGTGGCTAAACTAACCCTGTCCAGGAACAGCCAAAAGATGAGCAAAAACACTGCACAATACTGAGACTACGTTTGTCTCCAGTAAGAGATATGTATCTAGAAGTACCCCTTAAGAATCTGTACCTACTCCTTCAAGGGAAACGAACTCCACCAAGAATAGGTTGTTCTTCTAATTCAGAATGGTCCAATGTGTGGCACAAGAGCCATCCCTCAGCAACATTTTATGCCCCACAACTGTTTTCATGCTGCCTTCCCAAAGCCCAGGAAGAGGTGCTGGGCTTTGGAAAGGAGGTGTGAAGGCTCTGGCAGGGTCCTAGAGTCCTCCCACTTCCTTCTCAAATTCTAGTGGGAACTTTCCCAGCTTTGGAAAGGCAATGTGAGGGCTTTGGGGGGCATCAGATTTTAGGCTTGCACCCACCCCATGATAAGACAGTGTGCGACCAGCAGGTTCCATGTTGAAGTACTCTTGCAGCCCACTTGGTATGAAAAGTTAGACTGCCCTGTGATAATTCATAAACTCAGAAACCACCTAGCCACAGCATCATCATCTTATTCGAAGATTCCAGCCTATTACAGTGGCCAGACATTGGTTGAGAATCTGCATGGCTAGAAGCATTGTGGGCAGAATGGAACCCTGAGGGACTCCACAGATCAACTGCCATGGGGTCCAACAGAAGTCTCCCAAGACTACCTTTCGCTCCTGAAGAGAGGAGAGGAACCACTGCACTCCCAACCCAAAGAGCCAGTCCTCTGTGCTCAACAGTTTCAAAAGGTGCTGCATATCCAGGAAAATCACAGAGTCACACTTCTCCTGTCACTCTTGCAGGAAGTCACACATCATTCTGGTCCCAAAAAGGTCATGATAATCAGCCTCCCCACCTAAAGTGCCTGCACCTTAGTTACTATGTCAATATGATTTAACAAGCATTACCTTACATCAGGGATGTCCAACTTCCAAGAGACTGAGATCTACTCACAGTATTAAAAAAAAAAATGGCAGTGATCTACCCATTGTCATTGGAGGATGGACCGGAGTTGTTGAGCTTTTTTTGGGAGGGGGTGAGATCAACCTGGGACACCCCGTGATCTACCAGCAGATCGCGATCTTCCTGTTGGACATGCCTGCCTTACATTAATTAGGCTGCAATGTTAATCCCAGGACTACTACTTCTGACTTCCGATACCATTTGTACCTGGGGGTCAGGTATTAAGGCATTCACATTTGGAATATGGCCTTGATTGATAAAGCATTTTGTTGCCACATAATTATTCCTATGTGATCACACAATGAAAGTGTTGGCAGCTGGAACAATGAAGTGCTCTGACACATCCTAGGAATGGGGAATAATCTATGAAAACCAAGGCTTTAGAGACATTTGGACAAATTGGCTCCTTACTCCCGGCCATGATTTACTCCTCCACAGAAAGAACGTTTTTTTGCAGGACTGCCTGTACATCTCAGCCTTCAAAATTCTGTTACATGAAAGGTTATGGGTATCTAGGATGCCAAATTTACCATGGCAAACTAACTCTGTAAATGTTAATGCATTTTGGAAACCTTCCTTTGAAAACCTAGAATCTGAGAATCTCTTAAAACATTAAAAGATTAATGTAAGCACCATCTTTCCTCTCTCCCTTGATGGGTGCCTTGTCCTCTCAAGAGTGTTTTCTTGTGTAAATACAGCTAATGGGACTCCAGTCTTAAGAGATTCAACACAATAAAGCAACAAGCTGTCAGACTTCTGTGATATAAACAAGCATTTGTAGGCTACAGTTGCCTTCATGGGATGCATTCAGCAGACTGACAAAGTGGGCTTAAATGTGTTACGTCTTTAAAATGCCATAATATTCCTCCTGAATAATAGGGGTTGGGGGAAGAGAGGAGGTCCCAAACCATTATGTAAAAAAGAAAGGAATGCCCACAAGCAGAAGGAAGTAAACTTGTCACAACAACAACAAAGCAACCTCCCCACTCTTCCTTGATTTCATTCCTCCTCCCTCTCTCCCCCAAAACAAAGCTCATTTTGCTTAAAAGCACACCCATACACACCCCTTCTCTTCTGAAATAAGATGAGGAGGGGAATCCACCGCCCCTCTCCTATCTAGGAACAGAAAGCAAAGCTGAAAACTGAAAACATGCCTCATTAAACAGTGGAGAAAAGGGAGAGGCAGAGGGAGAGATGGGGGTGGGTGGGCTGAAACCACATGAAAAATTTTTACATAGGCAAAAGGTACCACAATGGAGCCTCTTCAGCTTATCAAAAGGCTTCATGGGAGTAGCTCGGAAAGGGAAAGCTAGAAGCTCAATGGTTGATAACAGCTGCCCTTGCTCTCACAAAAGGCAGCTGGTGACCAGTTAGTTTCGGACATGCTGTTTGAAATATACAGTACTAGACAGCATAAAATAGACACAAGTAACCATCATATGCAATGACACCTCACCCTGCTCTCTTCACACTTCCTTATCTGGCCTTCCCTGGCTTGCAGTTGGTTGCTCAGCTGGCTGTGCTCAGCTTCCTTCTGCTCCAGCTGTTTCTTGTGCAGCTCCCCCTGGAGCAAGAGCTCAGAGTTCCTCTTCTCCAAGCGCCCCCTGGCAACATCACTGCGCTTGGCCTGGCCCTGCAACTCTGCCACCTCCTCCTGCAGGACCGTTTGGCGGGATGAGGTAGTCCAGTAATTGAAGGCAAGGACGGCAATGACTAGCAGCAAGGCAACAAAGAGGAACGAAGGGAGACGGCCCCCCCTCCGGTTGGCCCCAAACCCCACCATGGGGGAGTCTGGGGAGGGGGGCGCTTCAGCTTCTCACTGCACCTACCTGGAAAGAAAGTACCCAAGTCAACACAAGTAGAGAAAGAAAACAAAAACCCCACTGACTTTTCAGAAACAAAATATAAAAAATGGGAATACACAGAATCATTGACTGGGCTGTGTTCAGCTTCCATTGCATGTATATAAATCTTAAGGCATACTGAGAAATAATCTAAAGCATTTATTTAACATAGGAGAGAAGGCAACTACCTCCTAATTTCCAAAACCAGCTCTTAATAAAATAGGATGATTTTGAAAATTGCCTTTTTTTAGTCTGCACGCAGGTTACTGTAGTGGCTTGCCAGTGCATGGAGTGGGGACTGCCTAGCTTGTTCTTTCTTCTGTATGCCAGGCTTATGGGAGCAGGTTAAAATAAAGTTTAGACTAGGCGCAGTGGTTACCAAACTCGGCCCTCTGGATGTTTTGGGACTACAACTCCCATCATCCCTAGATAATAGAACCAGTGGTCAGGGATGATGGGAACTGTAGTTCCAAAACATCTGGAGGGCCAAGTTTGGCAACCACTGGACTAGAGAAAGCCAAATCCAAGTCAATAAAGGCAGTGTAGAAACCGTCACAGAAACCAAAAGTGAGGCCAGACGGTGGACCCTCTCCCACTTTTCAGGGCAGGAGGGGAAGAGGGGGAAACCCTGTACAGCACCCAGGTCCTAGCTCAGTCTAAATCATGCTCTGCATCTGCAAAGCCGAACACTGCGCCCACCTTTGGTGCGGGAAGATAGGTAGGGGAGGGGATCGTAGAGGGGAGGGGGGCTGGTTCAGCGTTGCGTGCAAGAGCTTCTCCCGAATGGTCTCCGTTGCTGTGCTGGCCGCATCTCTCTCCCCCCCCCTTTCTATATTTTAACCCCTCCCCAGTCGAGTCCTCTTGGCCGCGGGTGGGGGAGGTGCTATTAGCAACGTCGCGCCCCCCGCCCCCCGTTTTCCCAGCTCCCAGGCCCGCGGTGCAAAGGACAGCAGCTGCAGCTGCCCAGGCTTCTCTCGCTCGGGCCTCCTCTGCAGGAGCGCGAGGGAGGCCGAGCGAGGAGCCCCGCGAGGTCGCGTCCCCGCCGGGAGGGGAGAAGGAGGGGCTGATGCGGGAGGAAGAGGCCCATCCCACTACCCGGGGGGTGGGGGTGGCGGGAGGCGCCGCTCTACCTCCTATGCTCCCCCGGCCACCGCGCCACGCGCGCCTCCGCCTCTCCTGGCCTTTCCCCCCTCGCCTTCCAACCGTCTTCGCCTTCCGATGCAGCGGCGCCGCCGCCGCCACTTCCGTATTCGCGTTCCTGTCGCCGTGGAGCCGCTTCTCGCGAGAACGGCGGAAGCAGCGGAGGTCCCCCCACCTCCCTCCCCGTTCCCGCTCCAGGTCTCGCGAGGCTTCCGTCTTGCCCGACGGAGAGAGCGAGAGCCGTCCCAGAGGAGATGAAGCGGCCGAGTTGCCGGGCGCGGATAGGAAAATGATCCGGCCTCGGCCTTGCCGGGTGGGATTCGGCTGCTGGCGGGAGGCCTCTCAGGCAAGGGGCGGCCGAGGAAGGGCGCCCTTCACACGAGACGTGCCGCCGCCGCCGCCTCAATGAGGTGCCCACACGGGTAGGGGAGGCCCCGATGGTTAAGCCCGGTCTGCGTTGGTGCTGCCGCCTGTTCGTCCGGCGGCCCAGAGTACCGCCGCGGCGGAGCCCCGAGGCCTGTCTGGAAGCGGGTTCCCACAGCGCCGCGAGGTGGGGGACAGGGAACCGCCGGCGGCGGCGGGACTTGGGTTCCCCTCCCTTCGGCAAACCCATTTTGTCCTTCTGGGTTTCTTTGAGTTTCTTAATTGAGCGGGGAAGAGTCAGTTGAGGGGGGCGGGGCGGGGGAATGAAGGGCTGTGTGGACGAGCCCTGGGCGGGCTTTGTCCAGCTACAGAGGAGCCTCGCTGCTGATAACGGGGCAAAGAGAGAGAGGTGGCGGGAGTCGGAGGCACTGCAGTCCCCGGTTCAGAAATGGAGCTGCCGTCCCTATCCAGATGCGCCAGGTGCCTCCCAGCCAGATACAAGGCTACAGGGAGGAGAGATGTCCTAGTTTAAAACTAGGGCATGAAAGGATCAGAAAAATCCTCAGTCGCTTGCCTTTTCTCTTGCATTGTGCACTCATTGCTGGTGCTTTTTTTTTAAATAACAAAAAACATTTTTTATTAAAGCTTTTCCTCGTTTACAAAAGCACATGCATTGTCTCTTTCTTCAGGTTGTGTTTTCTACAGATCAGTTACATTTGCCCTGAGACATTGGTGTTTGTTATATGCAGCATAGGGTTGGGAAGAAAAGAGGGAAGCAGGAGAGAGGATGGGGCAGTAAACTTTATTTTCTTTTACTTAGTGTATGCATGGGGTTTTTGTGTCAGCTCTCACTTGGGTAGGTTCTCTTTCTATACGTTTACTTGGTGGTGAGACAGGTTGGGGTGGGCTTGGGTGTGGTTGATTGTCTTTGATTGGCTGCAGTTCGATTTGTTTGTGCGAATGTGAGGGGGTTGTTGGGTTAAGTTACGGTAACCATATTGAAGTGTTCTAGTTACAGGTAGGTAGCCGTGTTGGTCTGCCGTAGTCGAAACAAAATTTAAAAATTCCTTCCAGTAGCACCTTATCTGAAGTGTGCATTTACACAAAAGCTCATACCAATAACAAACTTAGTTGGTCTCTAAGGTGCTACTGAAAGGAATTTTCATATTGAATTGTGTGATGTCGGTGGGTTCATGTTGTCTTGTTGGGCCGTGTATATGATAAAGGGGAGCCATACCAGAGTGAAGACGTCCTCTTCTATTTGTCCCCGTATCAGTTACAGTCTATTGGTTAGCTTTTCTAGTACAGTGGTACCTCGCAAGACGAATGCCTCGCAAGACGAAAAACGCGCAAGACGAAAGAGTTTTTCATTTTTTGTGTTGCTTCACAAGACGAATTTCCCTATGGGCTTGCTTCGCAAGACGAAAAACGAAAACGTCTTGCAAGTTTGTTTCCTTTTTCTTAAAACCGTTAATACCCTATGGGAAACCGTGCTTCGCAAGACGAAAAAACTCGCAGAACGAATTAATTTCGTCTTGCGAGGCACCACTGTAATGCTGTTTCCCATACTACTTGATACCAGCGTTCCATGTTTATTTCTGACAGGTCCCTCCAGTGTCTGGCTATGATGTTTCTGGATGCTGAGAGTAGGTGGATTATGAGCTCTTTATAGTGTGTTCAGTAGGGCCAGTTCTGGGCTGACTTCTAGTACCTGTTTAGTTATTTTGCTTATTTCTTGTACGATTGCTGTCCAGAAGAGTTGGGTTTGGGGGCATTCCCACCAGATGTGGAGGTATGTGCCTATGGAGGTGCAGCCTCTCCAGCATTTTGGTGAGGTTCCTGGACATAGCAGCACCAGTTTACGTGGTGTTAGGTACCAAGTGAGTTCCTTTCTTTTTGCTGATATGGATTTAAAGGGAGTTACTGATGCTTGTTTTTAAAACCTTTTCAGGCTTGCCTGAAAAGATGTATATAAATACCTTACATAAAAATCTAAAACCATTTTTGCCTAGAGATGTCAGTGTACAGCTGTGCATTCACAGTCATTTGTGCTGGAGCCGGTGGCACATGAAACATGGGATTTCTTTGGCTGTTGAAACCTGATTAATCATAGGTGGCATTGTGAATACATTTCTTCTTTCCCAGGAATGGCTATAGATCAGCAGTAGAACTCCTACTTTCCATGCAATGCTCTCTGGGTAGGACTGGAAATGTCTCCTGCCTGAAATCCTGGAGAGTTGCTGCCAGTCAGAGTAGATGAGGTAGATCAGGGGTAGGCAACCTAAGGCCCGGGGGCCGGATGCGGTCCAATCGCCTTCTCAATCCTGCCCGCAGTCGGTCCGGGAATCGGTGTGTTTTTACATGAGTAGAATGTGTGCTTTTATTTAAAATACACCTCTGCGATATTTGAGGGGCCTGCCTGGTGTTTTTATATACTATAAGATGCACAGAGCATAAGACGCACCTAGTTTTTAGAGGAGGAAAACAAGAAAAAATAATATTCTGAATCTCAGAAGCCAGAATAGCAAGAGGGATCGCTGCACAACGATCCCTCTTGCTGTTCTGGCTTCTGGGATAGCTGCGCAGCCTGTATTCGCTCCATAACACACACATACATTTCCCCTTACTTTTTGGGAGGGAAAAAGTGAGTCTTATAGAGCAAAAAATACGGTAAGTAGAATGTGTGCTTTTATTTAGAATGCATCTCTGGGTTATTTGTGGGGCATAGGAATTCGTTCATTTTTTTTTTTCAATATATAGTCTGAGGGATGGTGGACCAGTCCATGGCTGAAAAAGTTTGCTGAGCCCTGAGGTAGATGGACCACTGGTCTGACTTCGCAAAAGTCAGCTCCCTTGGTCCCTATCTTATTTCACATTTCGAAAACACCATTGTTGAAGGCTTGCTCTGTGTTTGTCTCCATGTGGCTTGGGCACCATCTGCTGGGCAAGGAAAGGGAGTGAGGAAGCTGGCCCCATGTGATGCCATCCTTGATGACAGCTTCAACCACTCTGAAGTGAATCTTTATATGGATCTAGGAATAACGGATTATGGGCAGGGACACTGTTAAACTAATGCCCAAATGATTTCAGTTTCCAGTTGGCAACACTTCCTGGACATGATAAACATAAAGGTCTGTACAGTGCTGTGGCATGTCCTTAACTTTGCCAGAAGTTCCTGGCTCTGCTTAAATACCTTCAGCAAAGGAGAGCCCACACTTCCTGAGGCAAACAGCTTGTATCATTAGGGACTGTCTCCCCATGTTTCCCCCAAATCAGCTTCCCTGCAATTTCCACCTTTTAGTCCTGCCTTCTGGACAAAAGAAAAAAAGTATGCATGACCGAGTCTCCACCCCAGTGTTGTTTAAAGCAATTAAAATGTTTGTCCTAAAGTCTGCTTAGTCATTTCCATTTGACTTTTGTCAAAAATTGTGGCAGTGTGTGCTAAATTATGTAGAAGATGTTTGTGTGTAGCTTTGATTGGATGCCTTCTAATTTTGACAAGTACTAAACCAATGTACCCCATTTTCTTCTCCAAGCTATTCATCCTTCTTGATTTTGTGCCTCCCCCGCTTCTATCAGCAGTCTAGTACTATTAATTTATTTATATCCCACCTTTCTCCCAAATCAGGACTCAAGAAGACTTACACAAGTTAAAACAACATAGATAAAATACTGAAGGCTAAAACCGTATAAAAGATAATAATTTAAAAGTAATTAAACTGTTATAGAATTAAACAATATACAAACAGATCTATTAAAACACAAATAGTAAAAACAGCACAGTGCTATTTAAATGCCCATTTCTTAAAAAAAACATTCAGGCTGCAAAAGCCTATTGCAATAAAAGAGTCTTCAACAGCTGGCGGAAGGGTCTATTCTACCACAAGTTATCACTGGCTCATCTCTATTTGTGGTTGCCACAAATTCCCTTTCCCCTATATCTTCTGGCAAGTACAGAGGGCTTTGGAGGAAGCGGTTCTGTTCTCTCTCCCCTCCCCCCCCCCGCCGCTGCCCCCGCTATGGCCTGTACTAGGACTGGGCGATATCTGGTTTTCAACATCACAATATATCGCCAGCTAAATATAATATATCTGTGGTGGTAGAGGGTCTTGCTGGGCCTGCGGGGGGGGGGGGGCAAACCATACCTCCCTGCAGCGGCGGAGGCTGCACCCCGCTTCCCCATGGCAGCAGAGGGTCTTGACGAGGCTCCCTGCAGCGGTGGAGGGCCTAAAATGTAAGGAAGTGGTAGATTCAATTAAAATATTAAATAAACTTCCATATATTATATTTAATATATTTTAAACTAATTTATGAGTAGTTTAAGTGATTTACCAGTCAAGTTGCATCTGCTTCCCCACTCAGAGGTCTAAGTGGAATCTGTGCATGCATAAGCCCCACTGAGTTCAAAAACTTTTACTTTCCTGAGAGTAAACCCCAATGAATTCAGTAGGGTTTGCTTGTGAGTAGACATGCATTTGCTTTCACCGCTTACTGAAAAACACCCTTCCCATCATTCTTGCACAGTACCTAACCTCCCATTTCAGCATAACGCAGCCAGCTAAATCATCTCCCATCCATTCGCCCCTACCCCCACAGAAGGGCCCCCCCAAAAGCCCTCATCCCACCAATATCTCCATTTTTATCAAAAGGAGGGAGGGCAAGCAAGCAAGCAAAAAAGGTAGTCTCTTTTAAATTAAAAAAAAACCATTTATAATATGGAGGAAAGCTATTTAGGGGAAACCAATAACATAAACACCACCAGAAAATAAAAATGAAAACTCTTCCCCCTCTTTTTTTTCACTGGTGAGGGAAGAAATACTGCTTTCTAGTTCTTTGTTTACTTTGCCTCTTTGATTTTCTAGCATGGGGGGGTCTCTTCTGTATTGTTAACAGGCTCTGCATAAATACTCTGCTTCAGAGTATCTGACAAAGTGTCAGATTCACAAAGTGTGTATTACACAGGAAAGCTCATATCTTCAGCTGAGCTACTCCCGGGTAAGTTTCCACCTTTTGTTCACCGGTATATCGCCTTGTTGAAACACTTATCACAATGTTATTTCACTTCACCGATGTGGTGATTTATTGCACAGACCTAGCCTGTACAAGCCATCTTTCGGTGCTTCACCCCACTGCCCCAATTTCATTACTGCGTTTTTATTTTGCTGTCTACTACTCCTTGCAGCAGTCACCTTCAACATGGCTGACATGTTATTGTCACGGTTCAGCCCTGCACAGACATCAAACCTGAAGTCTCAGAGGAGCAAAGAGAGTACCCCTCTTCCAGCTGTAATAAAAAATGTAAGGTCTTATATATATAATAAATGTTCATAAATGTACCAACCAAGCACGTACATAGATATGTGGACCACACGTCTGGAGCAGCACAGGAAGACAGTCCTGGACCTTTTTGATTCCCAGACTGACCAAATGTTTTCTCTGCAAGGAGTGAGGGGGTGAGGGAACCTTCCCATTGTCTCAGGAATTGGGGAATCACCATCTCAAAGGAATGGCCAGACTACCAGGAAAGGTAATCAGATAACCTGGCAGACAGGAAAAACAACAACATTCAAATTCCTGTTGTAGACCGCCTTTTCTGTGATGTAGGTATGATTGTGGGGGGTGGTCTTGGGTTACCCCCCTTCTGTGATGTATGTGTGATGTATGGAAGGGTGGTCTTGAGCTCCAGGGAAGGCAATTTAAAATGTCTATATAAGGACAGGCACACCTTTGTTCTGGGTCCTCCTTTCTCCTGCATGTGAGGGGAGCACCCTGTTGCAACAGTTCAATAAACATCAGTCTTACTAGCTGCTTTGCTTCTCAATATTCTCTGCTTGGCCTCTGTTATTTTCTCCTACCGATGGAGAACCTACAAAGGACTCTATAAGGGCTCTTGTGTCCCCCATAAGGGAATAAGGGCAGGTTTTGTTTACAACACAGCAGATCACTGGATCCAGATACCCCTGCCCCACACCAGTTGCCTGGGTTCCCACCAACCTCACAGGATTTCCCCCCTTCACAAACATCTTTTTCTTTCTTTTTTATTGAATTTGTATCCCACCAGAGGTCATCGCCTTCATCCCTTATTAGTTTCAGTTTGTGGTTCAGTCTACATGCCCAGTAAGAAAAAACTTCCAAACTGAGAGACACTGTAGATGGTGATGATGATGATTATTTGGGGTGGCTATTCTAATAACTTAATCTTTTAATTGATTTTTTGTATAGACACTGAACTATATCCTTGCTCTGGGATTGCATTTGCTTCCCTGGCTGCCTGGTTAACCTGGTCTAACTGTCCCAAGCCATGACCATATTAGCTGAGGCAGTTTGACATCTGAGAACAATGCAGATTCAGGTCTGTTTGAAAGGTTTATTCTTATACTGCCAGTCAGCAAGATTCAGCAGTCCACTCCTGTCCTTTCATTTCTGTCTGAATCTTGCCTGACACTCGGGGCATTTGCATTGCTCTTCTCCTCTTATGCAGTGGCTCACTCATGTTGTTTATAGTTCAAGACAGTGAAAATAAACAAGTTAAGTTTCAGGTCACTTCCTGAGTTTTGCTTTTGTAAGACATCATCTTTAATAACTGTGTGTGTGTATTTCTTTTTGGCTGCTGTATATTAGCCATGATTCTAAATCTACTGAGTTAATGCCCCTGTCATTAGGCAAAAGAAAAGGCACTTACATTCTTTTAAATCCCAGTAGCTCAAAATATAACCTTATTATTAGACAAGAGATCAGTAGCTGTTTATTTTTCAGATTTGAAGAAAGAGGAAATAAATGCTTGTAACTAGTAGATCATGAGGACGGTATGAAAAACTGCGCATCCAATGGTATAATTGGTCCTCATGGGTCTATGGAGCAGCATATAATACTTGGAAGATGGAAAGAACAGAATGAGAGTCTGTAAGACTTCAGGAGGCTTCCTGACTCCAAGAAGTAGAACCCCACCACAGACTCGAGTGAAAACCAAAATGACAGAGCCAGGCTGTTCTGCTGCAGGTAAATGGAAAAGAGTGAACAATCTGCACTTTCCTTGCTAAATGCAATATACAAAGAACAGCAGCCCATTTTCAGTGAGACATGTAGATTTTTCAGAAAAAATTCAGATTTTTCTACACACTGCCCGTAACTGGCAGAAGCAGAAAGAAACTCAAACTTATCAAAAACTGCAGGTGTTCTTAAGAACGCTTATGCTACTGTCTTACCTAAGCTGGCCAGTTTTTATTAAAGCAGATGCAGGTGGTTGGGAGACGCATAAGTGTTTGTGTGCCTTGGGGTATGGAGTAAACTACTGAACAGCAAGCCAACCAAACAGTTGAAAATTTGGCCAGAATTACCAGTCTTTTTATGAAGGTTTTATCATTTGAAACCTCAAACAGATGGCACATGAAAAGCCATGGTGGTGGTGCCCTGCTAATCCAATCATCGTATGGCATGCAGAGGACAGTTCCAAAGGGCTGTGTGAAAAGATGCAAAAAATTGAAGGGTGGGAATAATTATAAGCAAATGTGGGATTGCACTTCTCCAATACAGATTTACGGATATTTTTTTCCAAATTAGCTTTTAATTAAATAGTTGCATTGTTTCATGTATTGACTTCCCACCCTCACTGCCATTGTGTTTTTATTCAAACTCTTCCAATGCATTATATATCAAATTATTTTCTATTACCAACTTCCTTCTAATACTTTATCATTTTTCTTCCACTGTTCCTAAGGGATTACATTTCTCTTAATGAAAACAAAGAAGGAAGCTCATGATTACTGATAACACCAAGGTTGCAGGTTCGATCCCTGTATGGGACAGCTGCATATTCCTGCACTGCAGCGGATTGGACTAGATTATCCTCAGGGTGCTTTCCAACACTACAGTTCTATAATTGGTGGCAACATTAATGCCAAGTTGAAACATCTGGTTCAGGCTTGCATGAAATGCCAACAAATGGCACCTTTTGTTCAGACAGAAGTTTGTGCTTGTGACAAAATGGGACCACTGGATATAGTAGGCACTGTTTGAAGCAGCTACATCATCAGGTCCTCCCCAAAATGACTTGGCTGCATCCTATAGAACTGCCATCTTAAATCTTAGTGTTCTCATGTTTGTGCTTTGGTCCTCCAGGCTCCAAATGCACATATCCAGGAATGCAGATAGTGAAGAAAATGAGGATGGGCTTGCTTGCTTACTTGTTTCACCTTGGGAGTACAGAAAGCCCGAGTTCCTTTGCAGTGAGTGATGGATGCTGTCTTAGAAAAAGGCACTTCTTCCTTGACCATATCAAGTTCTGGTCATACTTCAGGCCCCTCAAACGGTCTGCATCAAGTTATTTATAACCATGTTTTTATTGGAAAATTGCCATATACTGAGTAAAAACACTCACGGCATCAAGGTATTGATTTTTTAGATGACATCAATATAAACAGCGCTGAATCTTCCTAGATTGTGTGTGAGTAAGTGTGAAGCGTTTTATGTGTAGCAGCAAATACACAGTTCCATTAAGTGTTTTTCTTACCAAGAAAGTATGGATGAGAGTGAGGAATACCAAAAGGAAGACTGCAGCATTTATTTACTTGGTTACTCCAAAGAACCAACCATACTCTTTTCAAGTCACACTCAAAACATGCCATCTTATTCTGAGATTCATGAGTGTCTGTCTGGTTGCTAATTGGTTGCGGGGGGGGCGGGGCAGGGGGAGAGACAACAAAGTGCTGCTAACAGAACTGATATGTTAACTTTTTACTGTAAGGCGTCAGTGTGGTGTAGTGGTTAGAGTGTCAGACTAGCACCTGGGAGAGCAGAGTTCAAATCCCTGAGAGTGACCCTGGGCCAGTCACTCTCTCAGCCTAACCCACCACATCAGGTTGTTGTGAAATTAAGATGTAGAGAACTATGTCTGCCACTTTCAGCTTCTTGGTCGAAAGGTTGTATACAAATGTTGTAATAACTGTGGCATTTTTAAAAAGCCAGATTGGTAAAAGGCAGCTTTTTCTTCACAGAATTTGAATAGTAGTCAAGGAAGTTTGAGACAGCATCTTGGAGCATTTCCCCAGCTCTTTCGGACATGTTTCAAGTTTGGTGACAAAATTCAGTTGCTTAGTGTTCTGATAAGGATGCAACCTAGGCACCAATGAAATCCGTTTAGCTAATTGATATTTTGCCTTTTAAACCTATCAGTTGATCCAAAGTAAATCACTGTATCATGAAAAGTCATGGTAGGCCACTGCCGCGCCACCCCCCCCGTCAAATTGCCTGCTTTGTTGATCTGATAAAGCAATGCAACAGGTAAAAGCATGAATGTGCATTCAGTGTGCATGGAGCCATGCTGTGCGTGAGCTGCTGGGAAGGCATCCATTCCAACTGGGTCTTCGAAATCAGACACTGGAAGATTCGAGCAGAGTTCAAAGCAAGGAATGCCAGGAGTAGTTTAGCTGAAATGCAAATTAAATCCAGTGCTTGTCAAATGCTGTGATGTTGCCACACAGTGGATGGGGGAGAAGGCCAGCCTTGGTGCTGTGACTAGCCTCAAGCTATGACTGAATTTGCTTACTCGACCACTGAGGGACTCTCTTGCCTCATACAGAACAAAAATGTTTAGCAGGGCTTCTAGATCCAACTCTATGAACACACACCACTATAGAAAACACAGTATACTTGACACAAATAAAAGATGAATGCTCTTGCGTAATAAAGCATCGGTTTCCATTCCGCCCCATGTCTTTCGCATGAAGTGCTGTTTCCATTCCACTGCAGTTTAGCTTCCAATGAAAACTATGTTATCTGTCTTGCTGCCGGCTGTGGCAAATTTATGTGTAATTAATTACAATTAAGTCATTCCACATCATTTAAATGCAAATGGAATGCAGTGCAAATGGGTGTAGTAGGTACTATTTGTGAACTGAAAACAACAGTGAATACTGATTGTATTGACTGGATTGATTTCCATTCCAGACATGGGACGAAAAAACAGACACAGTTAATTTCTGTCCTTTTCTGCTGAAATTTTCCAACAAGCCGACTCTTCAGATGTTTGTGCTTGTGCTTGTCCCAGGAACAAAACTGATGTTCCTGTGTGTGCATGTACATGGCTAGCCAATGATCAGGATGGCTGCTTCAGAGCACTAGAATCAAGAGACAAGCCCTTTTGGCAGGAAATCTTGAATCTTATCAGTGATATAATTAGATCTAATATAGCTTTAGACCCAAAGTAAATGTTCCTTGGTAGCCTAAAAGGTATCATTTGGAAGACAGATTTAAGAACTCGCTTTCACATTAATTCCAGCAAAGTTGGTGATAGCAATTAATCAGATACAATGTAACAGTACATGAAAATCTGAAATATAGTTTTTTACAAACTTAAAAGTACACTGCTATCAGAGGAGGATGAGCTGATGATAGATGTATCAAAAGATGGAGTTCATTTATAAACTACAGTATTGGAATTTGAAATTTCTAGATAATATCCAGCTGTACACTTTAACTCAATGTGACCTGAAGTGATAACTGGATGATTGTTTCTGTATTATTTAAAGTGTGATATTATCATTATAGGCAGAACTTTCTGATTATATGTATGTAAGCCAAGGGGTCCCAAAACTGTGACTGACAAACTTTATTTAGGTGAACTATAGCATGTCTGCATTAAATATTCATATTGATTTTAATTGCATTTTAATTGCTGCTTTTATTTCATATATTGTACTTTATTGTATTACAATCAGATTTGTGTGATGTACCCTTAAACGAACAATATATTATGAACTCATGAAGCTGTAACCACTAAAAACACACCTGTATCAATATTTCTCAAGAGGACTCCATGCCCTTTCACAAGCAAGCTGCCAAACATTTAGGCATCCGTTACAATTGGGGATCCCCCTTTCAACATTAAAATTCAGGGCCTGATGCCATGTTCTAGCATGACTCAAATATATATATATATATGAGAGATCACTTTGAGCACTTAAGAGCTGAAACTCTAGGTGAAGAGGAAGATTAGGCTGACAGCTCCAAATTCTTCTATTCGATGTATAAGTGATCCCACAGGTCCAAAACGAATTTACAAAACAACAGATCAGATACTCAGGAATGAATTTAAATTGGGAGAGTGCACCAGCCGGAAGATAATTCAGCCCCCAATTGGATGGTTTAGGAAACAGTCTGACTAGGCTTGGAACACCTTGGAGGCTTTCCAGTTCAGCTCTGATGTACCAGTTCGGGAAAACCAAAGATCTGTTCCTCTCTGTTCACTCTTATGGGAATTAAACAAAAAACAACGGCTATTACTCCCCCTTCCCTTTTGACGGAATTGGATGAAATTTACAGACGGGCGTTGGGGGCTCGGGTTCGAGCCGTCGCTTCTCCCCATCACAGCAGGCCTGTCTGGTTAATTTTCACTCACCCGCTTTTGAAGGTTCGTGGCCTTATGGCTAAAACGCAGAGAGGCTTTGCTATCGCTGGCCAGAAGCATGTCCCATCTTTAACTGGCCCTGAATCCTCGAGATGCCCGTCTTTCCCCGGAGCCTTCCTGCAGAGGAGGAAGTCCTCCTCCCCCGCCACCCCTTGGGTTGTTCTCCCTTGGAGGTTGCCTCCCCCGCCCCCGTTCCTCTGAGCACATGCCTGCCTTTTCTACCCCGCCCCCTCCTTTGTACCGGGACACGTGGAGGGTCGAGGCCAACGGCAGCAAGAGGCGAGCTATCGGCAGTGCCTTGGAGAAGCGCTCTGCCTCGCAGGCAAGCTACCGGCCGGGCCCCCCCAGCAGTAAAAACCCGGGACTCTCCCGGCCTGCAGTCTTCTCGGGGGGGGCGGGGGTCCTGCTGCTGCTGCACCGGAGCGCTTGTAGACACCGCCGTCGTCGCTGCTGCTGCTGCTGCTGCAATAACTGCGGGTGCTGCGCGCCCTGGTCACCCGCAGCAGCAGCAGCAACTGCAAACGCAGCGCCGGCGGTGGGCGCGAGGAGGAGTCGTCCAAGAGCGACCCTCCCAGGCGGCGCCCTATTGGTCGGCGCCGAAGCCCGTCAGACGCGTTGCGGCGCTGGGATTGGCCTTTGCCGCGGTCGACGGCCGCCCTGGCGCAACCTTCCCGCCTCTCCCTCGCTGCGCCCGACGCCGCTGCACCGCTCCAGCCTCACGCCCGCCTCCTCCCGGCCGGGCTTTGTGCGGACGGAACGCGAGGAGGAGGAGGCGAGGAGGAGGAGGAGGCGGCGGCAGAAGCAGCGGCGGCGGCGGCCAAAGGCAGGCGCCCACCATGTGAGAGGCCCGCTCGCCGGCCCGCCGGAGCCGCGCCGCCTCCCCGCAGCAGCTCCTCCTCCTCCTGGTGGCCGGGCTGCCGGCAGGCAAAGATGCTCAGCCGGCTGATGAGCGGCAGCAGCAGGAGCCTGGAGCGCGACTACAGCTGCACCGTCCGCCTCCTGGACGACAGCGAGTACTCCTGCACCATCCAGGTGCGTCCCAGCGCCGGGAGACCGACCGACCTACCGAGTGGGGGGTGGGGGGAGGATAGGATCGCCGCCGCCGCCGCCTCCTTTCCTGGCACCTGCCCCCCGACGAGCCCGCTCGCCTCCTGCCCCAGCCGTCGGGGAGGCAGCGGGGATCCCCATCCGTTCTTCCGCCCACCTTGCCCAGCTCGCCGGAGGGCAGAGCGGCGCAACTTCCCCGCTGGCAGCGCTAACTTTGCAGCCGGCGGCGGCGGCGCAGAACAAAGCGGAGGCGAGACCTGTAGCTCTCCTGCCGCCGCCGCCATCCAGGCGAAGGAGCCGCGCGCTCCCTGCCTCGCTTTCTCTCTCTCTCTCTTGGGGCGCCCTCCGGGCTGGCGTTGCACCAAAAGGGGGGCGGGGAGAGAATTCCGCCTCGGCTGCAAAGCTCCGTGCCTTTTTGGCTAAAAGGGGGTGGGGGGAGGGGAGGGGGTGGGGTGGGGGAGGGGAGGGGGTGGCTCCCCCACCCGTCGGTGTTCCGTGCCCAAGGGTGAGAAAGGGAGACCTAGCAGACCCGGGGTGGTGGAGGAAGGGCAGAGCGCCCGAGAGAAGAGGGGCGCCCATAGGTGCCTGGAGAGCACAGATCTCTTGGGGGCTTCTGCTTAGCCTGGGACCGGCGAAAATCTGGGCAAGAGGGGAGCGACCTCTTTTGTCTCCAGAGAGCGGGGCATGGAGCACCCTCTCTCCCTTTGGGGGCCCCTCCTGGCTTCCAGCAGGGCGGGCTCCTTAATTGGGTGCAGCAAAGAGCCTGAAAACACCCCAGGCTGGCTAGCTCCCGAGAGTGGCAGATCTTCTTAGGAGAGATAACGACGTGCCCACAATTGTTTCGCCTTTAATGGGGTTGGATGCATCTTATTTTTCTTTAATGGGGATGCTCGCTGAACTCTTTCTGTTTGCATTGCCATCATCTTGGGGAGAGGGGAGGAGGGCCAGATCATTAAGACTTACGGGCAGCAGTCGAGAGGCTGAGGGGCCCCCCTAGCCCAGGGTGGGCTCAGTAGTTCCTCTCCATTATATGGAGGCATTAAATCTCATGGGTGCCCTTTTTCAGACTCCCCTGGACCCACTGTTTATTCTAGAACCCAGGGGTTAGGCTATAATTCTCACTGACACCTTCTTTACTTTGTAGGCTTTTGTTGATCTAGCCAGAGCTTTCCCCATGATCCCCCCTCCCACAATCCTTGAGGACTAGACACTTTTTCAGTTTTCACTTGAAGCAAATGGTGCAGTTCTCATGTTGTGCTTGAGCAGTAATGGAATAACATTGTCCTGGGTAGGAGATCTGGAGAGCTGGGGAGATATTGAAGCACCTGCTCAGGTGATCTGTAAAGGTAATCGGGCACATTCTCTTCAAGGTCACTGGAGGAACGACACCCATGCCAGAGAAAGTCTCTCTTTACACACTCTGCTCTGTTCTTTCCTCTCCCGCTAATTTTTCTTAGGTGGCAATTCTCTTTCCACATTGTCTGTTGTGAGCACAGAGGCCTGGATGTGGCTTAATCACAGCACCCTCAGTGATCCACACATTGCTCAGCAGAAGGGGGGGGGGTGCGTCCCTTGTGTGTTTCCAAAAGCTGATGTACCATTTCAAGTGAGAGCCCAGGTGGACTGAAGGCAGCTTCATCCTTGGACTCTTCTGAACGAATGTGGGTCTTGCCAAGCTCGTAGTAACAGCAGCTGCTGCTACTGCTGCAATGTGTGAGCAGGAGCGAAGGCTGGCAAGGTTTGGGGCTGAATGTGTAATTCATCACTCCAGCTGCCTCTAATAATGCAATCCACGTTGCCTTGGAAGTAAGACCTGCTATGCTCACAGGGGCTAATTCGTAGGTAGGAGTGCACTGCAGCCTAATTTTCCTCTGGCTTTCTCTGGGCATTGGTAATGCCAAGTATTGCAAAGCCCCCTAGGATGTGTATCTGTGTCTCGATATTGCATGTAGACATCTACAATACATTGTTAGCTTATTTGCTACAAGGAAGAGTTTTGGGACACAATATTCTTGCCTGTAACCAGAGGGGGGTGGGCATTAACAGATGCTGGTTTCGGTCATTTGCCGAGGGAATATTCTTTGTTCTGTGGATCTCTTTTCTGCCACACTCTTCAGATGACAAACTGACTCCTTCTGTTTAACCCCAATTGACTTTTGTGTACGCTTAATCTGGGATAGAATGTCTATCAAGTAAATGAAGTGGATGAACAAGGTTGTAAGGTGGGGGCCACACGGCATATAATGTTTTGGTTTTGGCTTCTGGTGGGGAAAGAAAATTGAAGCCACCTTTTGCAGTGGATGGAGATTTCTACCTCTTGTGCTGCTGCATCCAGTGTATGATCCAATTGCTTGGTTCTGGTGGTTCCGCTGCACTGAGGATAGAAATGATTAGCTGGTGTTCCTCTGGCCACCTGGGTGGCTGCAGTCACATCTGCGCCTGTCTGTTTGCGTGGATCAGGTGGAGAGAGTGAAAGATTGTGAACCCTGTTTTTCGCATGCTCGGTCTGAGCAAAAGCATTTGCAGGCTGTGAGAAATGGACATCTGTATGCACAATGGTGATGGGTAATGTTTCACAATCGAGAGGAATTGCTGCTTGCTCGGTGTGCAGTCTTGCAAACCGAGAGTGAGTTCTGAAGGTCATTCCTTTGGAAAATGCCAAATCAACTTACTTGGGTTCAGGGATTTGGTTTCAAGAGCATTTTTTTAAAAAAAAACCTATATGCACCATTTTGACTTTTTAAAAATATGAATGCAGGTATATGCACTTTCTTGTCCCTCATACTGTTTTAATTAAGTCAGGCGAAGAATAATAGGTTTCCAAGACAGAAGATATATTTGAACACTCACTGTTGGAGATTTAGTTGAAATGATTTGTATAAATGATCTGTCCATACTCATGGCTGTGCTGTGTTTGGACTGGGGTGGTGGATTCAAAAGACGGCAGAGCCCATCTGAAGTGCGTGTCCCTTTTTGTGCTGGGGAGCATTTGCCTTTGAGGGAGGGGTCCCCTCCCGCTTGTCAGAAAGACCCAGTAGCCTTCCATATAAGCGTGGATATGAATCCATCAGCACTTCTGGGGGGCTCCTGAAAAACAGTTTTGGTTTGTGCCTGATCTGTGATGGAGAATAAATCCAGGTACCACATTAGATTATTTTTAGAGGGGTGGCTGTGCTGGTCTGTGTTGTAGCAAAGCCAGTGAAGAGCCTTGTTGCATCGTAGGGAACCTTTTGGGTGGGATGATTTCAGGCATAAATCCGTGCCAATGGCGGGTGATTCTTCAAAGGTGGGGGGCTCCAAGCCTCACCGCTTCCAAGTACCGCTCCCACCATACCTCACTTCAACTCTACCCAAAGTTGAGGGGAGAGAGATGAGAATCGTAGAGCCCGACTTTGCAGCAGATGAATGGGTAAAATAATTCTATTGCTCCTGGGATTCCTTCCCTGTTTACTGTGGCTGTGTTCACACCCTCATGGACTGGACACTCACTGTGTTTCTGGGGCTGGGCTTTTAACCCGTGTTCACATGACGTTATCCAAAATGCAGTTTTAGCTTCTTTCTGAAATCAGTGTCAAACTGATGGGACTGTCCCCTGCCTTATATCCCGGAGAGCTGCTGCCGGTCAGTGTAGCCAACACTGCGTTGGATGGACCAGTGGGTCTGGCTTGGTATAAGGCAGCTTCCTGTGTGCTGCAAGAGCCCAAACCCTGAACCATGCTGCTACTGCTGCTCTGCTTTCGTTTAAGAATATGCTTATTTAAGAAAATATTCCTGCACTGCAGGGGGTTGGACTAGATGACCCTTGGGGTTGTTTCAAACTGCATAATTCTGTCTCCTCTCTTTTCAGATTAATTTCCCTTCTCAGTTGGATTTAATTTTAGATTGGATTTAATCCTAAGAAGTTAATTTTCATCCTGGACCTTCCCAAAATAACCCCATTAATGAATTATCCCTGATTCATTTTTCCCTTTTCCAAAAGTGAATTTCTCTCATGTTCCCTACATTAATGACCTGCTCTCCTAATGCAAGAAAAATGAAAAATCCCCTTCCCTCATCCTGGCTGCCTTTGAATGCAGCCTGAACCACGGACACCTCTTTTCTTCCACCTTCCAGA